TATATATTTTGACCAACTAAGACTAGAATCATTAAAATGTGAAATGCTTTGAGAAAAAATAGGTACAACTCGAGACTACAATAGATCATCCCTCCACATGTGCGGAGCCAACACTAGAGAATAATTGAGGAATAATATGGCTAATAGGCATTATCTTACCAAGAGTTTCTAATTCATAGAGAAGCATAATGTTGACATTCTGATATTTAATCTCCAGAAATAGTAGATTATCATTTTATATCATTATAACTTAACAGTTTAGCAGTTTTATCCAGCTCAACTGAATATTTGACATTATTTTCCCTTCCCATAAATCAAGCAACAAGACTTAGTTCGATTCTGGAGATATATAATTTTGAAACACTGAAAATCAAATTATATCTTCGAGAAATCAAGGAACTCACATCATTAGAAAATGAGAAACATTTTGAACTGTGGAACTGTGGTAAATTGTAAATGCAGTCAAAATATTTACTATTTCTATTTTATAGTTGCCATAAATTTCTTAGCTATGTCTTTGCGTTTGTGTTTTTTAGATTTAAGAGGTCACCAGTACTTTATTGATTCCTTTGATGTTTTTTCCATTTTACAAGAATGCAAAAAATGAACAAACATAAATGAGAAAAGGATGAAATGTACGTAAAACTAGAAGAATATAATATTTAATAATATGACTTAACAAATTGTGCAGTATGCAAAATGTGCAGTATTCATATTCTACCTTCCTACTTGCTAAAAACTGCAAATTGTCGAGTGGTATCTATGTAACAGTGAAAGTTCTATTTACTTATGTTTCATCAAAAGTGATTGATTGAATAGTGTATTAACTCAGTGAAATCCAAGACGCTAAGAATTAATTAACAATGCAGAAAATCCCCCAATCTATTAATTGGCCCAGAGAGATAGAGCCCTTTATTGTTAGGGGTAATTGTTACAACGTATCATCTTCTTATAAAGGGATGAATCAATATGTCCGGGGAGTGATCAATATGTTCATCCCTATTTATCTAAGAAGAGCAGCTTTAGTTTCAACTTCAGCCTTATAATTGCATTCAATCGCTTTATTCAAAATGATGTTTTCTTTAAACTTTTTAGAAAATGATGATCATATTACGCCAATCTGGTTGTGTACTCATTATACATTATAGATCTCCATTGAATTTAGTGGTTAAATATTCTAGTAGGTTAAGAATGTAGAAGTTTTCATTTGGGTTTGGACGTAAGAAGTGTATTATAAAGTCTTAAGATATAAGTCTGTCCATAAATGGGTCATTCTGGTACATTTTTGTTGCAAAGTCACAATGTGTCATCATGTTTTGCATAAAACCACAATCTAGGCACCAAGGAAATATCTCCATTACAATATCATACGTTCAACATAGCAACCAAAAAAACAACACACATATCACACAAAAACTAGTTTCATTGTTTTTACCATGTGTTCTCTTTATATTAATACCACATGAATATTAATTAGCAAAAAAAACATTTTAAAGAATTTTGGTATTCATTGTCGCTTACTCTGCCATTTACTATAAAGTTAAAGGAACAACATATGATTATCTAAAAATTTGTAATAGTTTTACATTTTTCTTTTTGGTATACTGCTTTCAGACATTTTTAAAAAGATTGTAAAGGAAGAAAAAAATTATATTTATAAAGATAACTTCTAAAATTTTACAAATATTTCATGTAAAAGGTCTAATATACGATATGAAAAAACATTAAATGTAATTTGCCATTACCAAACTGTAAATCGAAATATTTCCTGGTGAGAGCTCTCTTAAGCTGCTATGTGGCTTATATCATATCTAACCAAGCGTAGATGATCCATAAAAGGATTATCTCTGGTATCACGCCAAGTCTTCTATTCTCTGACGTTACCTTAAGCGTCATTTGTTATAGGAAAGATAACATTTGGTGACGTTTAAGGATATAGGGACAAAAGGACATAAAAGGGTTTAAGATTCCATTGTTACCTATTCTTCATTTGTCAAGTTTAAGTATATCTAGGTCAAGGTACCCAGAGACTCAAAGGCTATCAGGTCACTAACAGAATTTGATTTTGATGCAATTCTTGAATTTAAAAATCTGGGATAACCTGTGAAAGTTAAGCTATCAAATTATTGATCTTCTGCTCACAGAGTATGCAAAATGCAATCTATAACATTTTTTGTCACAGCCAGAAGTGGTGACATATTGTTATAGTCTCCAACATCTTCACTCTCCACTGGGTCTAGAGGTAGGAACAATCGAAACCTTGTGAATCAAGACCTGTGGATGTTTGGCATTCAGTTTTCAGCATCTATAACAATTAACGGTGTCTGTAACAAATGGCAGGTGGTGCATATTTTGCATATTTATGCCAACGTTATTATCCCACCGAACGAAGTTCGAGAGGGATATAGGAAAGCCGTCCGTCCATTCGTCCGTCTGTCCGTCTGTTTGTCCGGGCGATAAATCAAATACCGTTTCACGGATTTGATTCAAATTTTATAGGCTTATGCCTTATGGGTGTAGGACCTCTGCTCGAGAAGGAATTTTCAATATGGCCACTGAATTCAAAATGGCCGCCATTTTTCGTAAAAAATGTAATCTTTAATAACTCAAATACTAGTTTGAGGATTTGGTTCAAATGTTATATGCTGATGCCTAGGGACACAGTAGATATGTTCGAGTAAAAATTTTCAAGATGGCGGCTAGATTTCAAAATGGTGGCCATTTTTCGTAAAAAAACTTAATCTTTGATAACTCAAATACCAGTGAACAGATTTGGTTCAAATTGTATATGATGATGCCAAGGGACACAGTAGATCTGTTCGAGTTACAATTTTCAAGATGGCCACTGAATTTCAAAATGGAGGCCATTTTTCGTAAAAAAACGTAATCTCTGGTAACTCAAATACCAGTGAACGGATTTGGTTCAAATTTTATATGATGATGCCTAGGGACAAAGGAGATCTGTTCGAGAAAGAATTTTCAAGATGGCGGCTGAATTTCAAATTGGACGCCATTTTTCGTAAAAAACGTAATCTTTGATAAATCAAATACCAGTGAACAGATTTGGCTCATTTTTTATATGATGATTCCTAGGGACACAGTAGATCTGTTCGAGAAAATTTTTTCAAGATGGCGGCTGAATTTCAAAATGGTAGCCATTTTTCATAAGAAAAAACGTAATCTTTGATAAGTCAAATACCAGTGAACAGATTTGGTTCAAATTTTAAATGCTGATGCCTAGAAACACAGTAGCTCTGTTCGAGAAAAAAATTTTAAGATGGCAGCTGATCTACAGAATGGCTGCCATTTTTCATTTTCATTTTCGTAATCTTTGGTAACTCAACTGCTGTTCGGTGGGATTTGCTACTCCGTGGAGTTGCTGTTTTTCTAGTAACATGTTGTTTTAATGGCAGAGAAAATCTAATTTTGTCTATTATTTCACCAAGTTGTCCAAATGTCAACATTTGAAAATAATACAAGTTGTACATTGTACCATTACATGGTGGCTTCCTGATTTGAAATACAAATCTAAAATTACATTTCAGTAAATAAATAATTCTAGTGAGTCAATACGAGTCGATGGGATGTCAATGGGTGCTTTTATATTGTCCTGGACTGCCTTGTGATCTTGAAAATTTGAGGGTTGTTAGTTTGTGTCAGCGCAAGAGAATGGAGTGTTTGTGTAACACCATTAAAGCAACAAAAACTCTAAACCTCTTCTAGGTTTTGTATTTACTATGTTGAGCGCATAGTCTGTAGATTTGTTAAACAAATTCACCTTTCAAATTGCCAGTTGAATTGATGTTGCCTGTTCAGTCACTTTACAAACTAAATACAAAGTTCCTTAACATGTTGTGGTTTAGGTGTAATATAAATAAAGGTTACTTCACAAAGTACACTTTCTTAAGGAATAGTCAATGTTGTTGTCACATCTACTAGCATGTAAATCGCAAAAGCCTTAAAGAGGATACAGAATTACTTTTATAAAGCACTGTATACACTTTATATACTCTATAAACACAGCATTTCCATATCCGGATTGCCTGAATATCTTCGCAATATGAATGTTATTTATGTTGGTCATATGGTGACATAATTTAGTTGTTTTACTGACCAGAATATCCTATTTTCTTCTGCAGGAGAACAGTCGTTTCACTCCTCTTAAATAGTATCTCCCTCCAAACTTTCAAGAGAGGGTTCAGGTGACACTGTGACCAAAGCCTCTATACATTGGCCATGTCCAATGTTATAGTGGCTGTGTTTGCAGGAGCATTTTTTCAGATTCGTGTTCTTTTTTTTCGAGGTCTGCTCTGCCGAAGGCAGCGCAAAGTAGGAGCGTAGCGACTACTTTGCGGGAGACCTCGAACCATTGATCACGTTTGCTCCTGTAATTATTCACTTCTTCACCTCTTTAAAATGAGATTTCAATCAATTGATCAAATCTTCGGACTTTGACCTCAATTTCAAATATAGATATTTATAAGAAAAAATACTGACTCATAATTATATTTTTAAAAGTCTTTCAAATAAAGTGAAATGGAGTCAAAATCAGCTAAAATTATGCAATGTCGTAAAATGGCGTTTCAAGAATATGATGCAATCACCCGTGACGTCACAGACACGTATCGCCACATCAACAACTAAAACAATTAATATAGACTTCACTGATTGGTTTAAAGATTCTTCGCATCATTTGTGACGTCACAAACATGTTACCCAACCAACAACTAAACAAATAATAACTAATAGGCATATAGGTTCGTTCAGTGCCACGCTCTCGAATTGATTATAAACAGGATAATCAACAGATATATGATAGGGTCAGGAATTTTTTTGACTTGGAGACCTCGACTCGAGGAGTTTGCTGCATTTTCTTGTTGCAATATTTGCAAGTGCCTCAATTTGAGCGAGGAATACATTTTTAAATTTGTGGCATCCCAATCATGATATCATTGTCATTCTAATAAAAAAATACATGTACCTTTATTTTTGTTTTCCAGTTTGAAGGCTGTAATAAAGCATTTTCCCGCTTAGAGAACTTGAAGATTCATCTGCGATCTCATACTGGGGAGAAGCCGTACCTTTGCCAACAACCTGGCTGCACTAAAGCATTTAGTAATTCTAGTGACAGAGCTAAACATCAACGAACTCACTTAGACACGGTAAGCTAAGGAGAATTGTGGGACAATTTAACATAGAATGTTTTGGTAAAAAGGTTAGGAGTCTTTTGTTCGATTTTTAACAAGTATAAATCCAGTATTTAGATTTAGATCTCTTTTATACTCACTTATTTTTCTGGCAGTGGTTCCCTTAAATAAACAGTATTGAAATTGAATATTTTTTGTAATTCTCATTTAAGATATCAGACCAGATCAGACCAAGCATCAGTTGAGTGTTTTTATCGCACTTTGAAAACATGCTATATTGCTGTCGGCTTGTTTCGTATTTTATACGGAGGAGGAAAAACATGTAAATTAAAAAGCAAGTCAGCGAGTCTATGGTAATAGAGAAAACATTGAACAATGAGGTTAACTGAGTAGACGTAATATTTAATGCATATTTGTACTTTTCAGAAGCCATATGCCTGCCAAATCCCTGGGTGCACAAAGCGCTATACTGACCCAAGTTCCCTTAGAAAACATGTCAAAAATCACTCTCAAAAAGAACAACAGGCTAGGAAAAAGGTGGGCTGCTTTTCTTATGAAGCATTAATATCAATGATATTTACAGAATATATAAATGTGTACTGTACGAATATAATACTAATAATTTAATAAGTATACTGCATATTGCATAGTGCATTTTATATTAAAAAATCATTTCTATTATATAAATAGTTCTAAATGATGTGATTTTGAAATATTATGTCTTTTTTAGAATTCACACTAAAGAGAACATTAAAAACATGTTTATTAAAGATCATTTTACTGAATTTTATGAAAAGTACACTCTTATCTACTTCATCTTTCTTATGTACCATTAAGGTTGGCCTCGTACTCGTAGGGTAATTTTTAAATCTGATAGTTCATGATGTCAATTTGGCCACCCTACATGAAACCAGGCCAGGTTAATTTTATTCAACCTTCCTTAATAAAAGGTTATTAAATTAAATTTTTTATTTTAGTTACGTCCAGGCGACAGGCCTGAATTTAGCCCAGATTTGAATGATTGTCTAACAATCCATTCACTGCGGCCTGAGGATTCACCCCTTGGCTCTACAACAGATAGTGGTATCGGGCGGTCTCCTCATGGCTCTCATCCTGGTACCTCTGTTGACATGTACCCAGGTAAACTCACACATAATATTTACTACAAAATATTTGCTTGAAGATACTTATCTGGTTTAGATAATTATCTGGTTTTCATCGAGATTCATATTACTTGCTGGTAGTACATTTGAGGGTTCTGTATAGAATTTCTTAAAATGCTGCAATTTAATATTTCTATTCTAGTGAATTAAGCATATAATACATGAACATTTTCATTCCCATGAAAGTAAAAACTTGAAGTCAACACCAAACAAGAATCTTTCGAGTGAATTCAGATATTTCAATGACTTCGGCAAATTGCCTATATATATGAAAAAAAATTTCATGTCGTGTGCATGTGATGAAAGTGCACCAAATTGGAGATTTCATTCATATTTCTGCAAAATTGGAGCAACAGTCATAATAGTTTCTTATTTATTTCTTATTATAGGTTATTCAAGCACCCATTCTAGTCGCAGTGGCACTGCCACAGGAACATCCAACTTCAGTCACAATCACTCCCCGATAAGTATGCACGGGAGTCCAATGGCGCCATCTATGACAATACGGAGTGACTCCAGTGAGGGAGGGTGAGTATAGCGCATTTTATTTCTAAATCTGTGATATTGAATGAACTATCAGTTATGTCTTAGTGAACACCTTTCTTTAATGTACACCCTTCCTTGCCACATACTCGACTGACTTCTGTATAATTAGCCTTTCTATAATGAACACCTTCCTACAGTGAACACATTTTGTGGCACCATAGGTGTTCATTATACAAAGGTTTCACTGTGTTCATGTAACATAACAACAGTCTGAAATTATGATTGAATTCAGAGAGCCATTCTATTTACTTTAATATGCCATTGTAGTTCTTCAAAACATATCACTCTGAATTTTTGGTATAGTCATGCTATCTGAATTCCATACCAAGCATTAGTTTATGTTACAACTGAATATTTTTCTTTAGGGGAGGTTCCTCAAGGGGAGGTGGTCATTAACTTTAATGGGACTTCATACAAAGGCAAAATTAAAAACAAGACAACTAGCCCTAATTATGTTTGATAGGAAGTTTTATTACACGGTCTTATAATTGTAGAGAAAGTCTAATTTTCATCATTTAACTCAAGAACTCGCTAATTGTTCAATTCATGAATTTTACAAATGAATAATTTTACCATTCATATCAAAATTCAGAAACAACAAGTTTATCATGTCATGGAATACTAAGAAATCCACATTTTTTAAACCTGCATGAATTAAACATGTTGTGTAACATTACTTTGTTTTTCAGTGTAATGGGAGGTGGTTTCTCTCCTCATCCTCCACAGATGGTTTCCCCAGGAAGGCGGTCCCTTCCCCCTGCTCTACAGCAGCGACGCACCCCCCAGCCAATCTCATCTAGTCCACACGTTAACGTCCCCAGTATGACCCAGCAGATACAACAGATGGCTAATGGTTACCAACAACAGTCACCCCTCCCACTTCATCAATCCCCAATGCCAGTTCAGCAGCAATCCCCAATGCCAGTTCAGCAGCAATCCCCAATGCCAGTTCAGCAGCAATCCCCGATGCCAGTTCAGCAGCAATCCCCGATGCCAGTTCAGCAACAGTCTCCAATGCCATATCAACAACAACAATCTCCTATGCCATTTACTCCAGTCACTCCACAAATGGCCCCTAGTAAGTTCAGTTTCTTTATTTGCTTTCTGTAATTATACATCTCCCCGGATACACAAACAGTTACTATAGCAACTGTTCCTATACAACTAAACCAAAAACATTACATCTCCCTGGATACATAAACAGTCACTATAGCAACTGTTGCTATACAAGGTCTCTAAACCAAAAACAACACACCATACAATAATATCATAATAATAGGGATGGGGTATTATAACAGATAAACTATTTACATATAGTTATAGTAGCATAAACGTGTAAATGACTAGGTACGGGAATGAAATATAACAATCTGAATTTGAGTCAACATCTAATAATTACAGAATATGCCTCGCTACATAAATTACATGTTGTAATTATCACATGCCTTTTCAGATGGAGAACAACATAATAACAGCTATAATAATATGAACAATCAGGGACACCAGATGGCCATGCAGCCATCGCAGAGCAATAATAACTACGCATCACCCGATCTTTATGCCAATCAAAATAATATAACTAGAGAAAATAGTGCCAGAGGACTTTTACCATCTTATATCCCTACATTTGAAGAGACGTTAACTAACTTACCATACGACCAAATGCAGCGAGCTATTTCAAATTATTCTGGTTAGAACATGTTTTTTTATATTATTTTTTATAGTGCACTATAGTCTATCTCATCTTCTTATTTGTAGTTACTTGGGAAAAAAACAAAATGTATATTCATTCCAATCATGGGTAGGCCTATGCTGACAATGCAAACAATGATACTTTGGTACAGTGTTTTATATTTCATGATTTTGTCAATAGTAGCAGTAAGAAACATTGATATTCATTATATATGAGTACTCCTACAACATTGTCATTATTATTTTGTTATTTTGGTTACGGTAACTCCATATGTACACATGCGATATCTAAGTGATATCAAATTGAATGTATGGGTGGAGTTATCAATAGAAAATCAAATACTCTGTGAGAAAATCATGGGATTCCGTTGATATGTCGATCAACTTATTGCAATCAATATCGGCACTCATTCACTCTCAAACTTGTGTTGATATTGATAAAAATAATATCACTCTAAAGATATTGATATACACTTGGATCTTGCTTTTGAAGGATATACCGCATTTGATTCTTTTCACTTAGACTATCATTCTTTTCTTCACAGTGGACATGAGTATTAGGAATCAATAAACAGGCTTAGAATTTCACCTTCTATTCTGTCAAAAAAGTCAATAACATTATGTTACTCCACTGTCAGGAAGTGAATGATGCTCATTTCTATTAAGATTCTGTTACACCAATGCCAGGAAATGCATGATGCTTAGATATTGTTTACTTGTACGAATTAAACAGATTTTACACATTTAAAAGTAGGTTTGAAATATCCTGGTGAAATATCATTATTGAAATTATTTCACTATGAGAATAGAAGGGGAGAGATTATTTAGATGTTTTTGAGAGGATTTCTCTTTTTATTACTTGTATCGAGCTGTATCACTGAACTTACATATATATTATGTTTTTGCTTTGAATAGGTGATCCTGAACACCCCCTATGACCTGCTTCCATCTTAACACAGCATAGGAACCTTTAGCTTATAGTTAGCCTTTTCTCCTTATTAGTAGCTCTACACAATAATATTATTTGAGTACTGTATTGTATGCCTTTGCAAAACTGATCAGCATTCAGGAATTCTACTGTTACCTATTAAATTTTAAGCATTTTAAATGGACGGGTTGAAATATTGTAAAAATTTTTGATTTTTTCTCCAGAAAATGTTTTGCAAATGTATTCATTCAGGATTCATTATACTGTAGTTTCTTAGTAGTTAACTTTGCAAATAGCTTACATCTCATTAGATATTCCTTGTAAAATACTAATTGCTTTGCTTTGCACTAGTTATGTAGTTTAAGTTACTTTTGCTGCACAAAACTCAAAATATTAATTCTCTCGGGCTTTGCATGTCTGCATTTAGGCCCATGTAACCTTGCAACAAGTCCCTCGCACCATTTTTCAAAACAAGATCTTGGGGCTTAATTCAAAACTACATAATTTATTGGTCGAGTTCTTCCATGGATTTTAGTTTAATATTGTGGTTTTATTCCAGGGTATAGCGAACACCCCCCAGCTGCAATGCCAGGGGAGCAGTATGTTGACCCCACAGGCGTGTCCCTGCCCCTAGGGAGCCTCCCTCATGATGACAATCAATACCTGCAGTTAAACGCAATAGACCGCTGTAACAGTAGACTATCAGCTGTATACGCAGATGGCAATTCATGAGAGGGTACTGTCTAAAACAAGGAATGGGCAAACTCTAAAATGTGGAATATGTGAAAAGGAAATAAGATGGAGATGGAGAAGGAACACAAATTAAGTTATTGAATTGGAAGAACAAAGTATTTTGTAATATATTTTTAATACAATGATCTTTGTCAGGACATCAGGAAAATATGTACAGGAGTTGACCTGAAATTCTGACAAATGTATATAGTACATGTACCTTGCAGTATTTGTCAGTATGACATGTAGTGACACGAGTTGTAATATGTACATGTAATATGTCTCCCATTTAGCTTTGAACTTGTATCAATGATTTTACTAAAACATGCAACTGTATTAAGATTTAATGCTGTTGATTTATTTAAAGATTGTAAAATCAAAAATCAATTTTATATGATGTGATCTCAGAGTGAGGTTTGGTAAATACATGATGTACATGTATGAGAAATTGTTGAGCTGAGATGAAACGTGGTAGTTTACCATGGAAACAGTGTGATACATATGTCTTGTAACAAAATTAATGGTTTCCTATTTATTATATCTTTTATAGTGGTTACTATGAATTCATTTATATTTAATTTTTTTCTCAACAAAATTCTAAATAATTTGATTTATATATAAGCCCAAATTAGAAGAGTGCCCCATGGTGAAAAAACACTTAAAATGCTTTCACAAAGCCAGTTAGCATGAACTTCTGAATTTTGTTAAATATGGAATTTTTAAATCACCATTTTACCTTGTTCACATGAAAAATTAAGAATGATTAAGGTTAAAATACTTCTGCGCAAGCTTGTTCATCTCTGTATTATTGAAGTATTGTTATATGCCAAAGAAACATGTACCAAAAATATATATGATTCCGTCCAGAACCGACTGAGTGATTGGTTGAACAATCCTCTCTAGTATTGATATTTTATATGCATAGTATTTTAAGTAAGATGTTATATATAATTGTATATAAAAATAAGGTGTATATTGGCATATATAGCTTATCTACAATGTTCTACAATGGTTTCACAATGGAGTACCAGAATAATGTCCATAAATCATTTTACATAAGTTGAATCCATCCATTTATATTATGTAACTCTTAATAAAAGGAAAACAACTACATGTTTATCAATTTAACATTCATTTGATTTTGGAAATCTATAAATATCATAGACTTATGTAATAATCAATTGATTCATACATTATACACATTAGATTGTCAAAAATGCTATTGGATTATTCTACATTGTGAGTTAACCCTGCCCCAGGGCATGTATTGGCAATATAGCTTATCCACTTCTCTGAATATGGATGCCTGTGTCATTTTATATCAGAAATAAAGAATCATGGATGCATACACCAACCCATTCAAATCAAACATGAGGGTGAAGTTTAAGTGCATTTTTCTTGTGGGTCAGTGCATTGTTAAATGCCTTATATTTCCAATATATCAAAGTCCCTTAATGTATGAAATTATGTTCTCTAAATACTTTGTCTTTTAAAGTATTACACAAAAATGAAAATATATCTTGTTTTCCTTTTTTTATGAGTACACATTATGTCCGTCTTAAACTGATGAATACTCAAACTTTGTTATGAAAATAATATACCAATTTATAGCATACTCATGATTTGATATACCAATATAAGGATATGGTATACCTAGCCACAAATTGATATTGCTGGCCGAATTTTAGTATAGATACAAGAATTGATAACTTCGGATTGGTTGATTATAAACAATGTATATTTAAGCAGTGTCTAGTCACGCCATTAGTCCTCATAATTAGCTACATAGTACAACATAATTAGCTATAAAGTACAACATAATTTGCTAAATAGTACAACATTGAACTTATGCTGGTCATGAGTGTCATGTTGTAATAGTGACTTTATATATACATGTAGATGTATACAAAACAAGAATATGTGAGTAGAATCGTATCCTCAACAGAGACATATATCTCTGTCCTCAGTGAAATCATTTATCAAATGCATATAGTTAGAAAATAGTTATTTATTTCTGTTCTCATTTTAACATTTGGTTGATTATATTAGATTTATGAATAGGTTAGAATTAAAAGCATCTGGTTGGTCTCTTCATGGAAAGCATTGTATTCAATTTAAAAATGATTGGTGAGTTTGTCATATTTACCTGTATCTCCATTTTCCATTTTCATCATTTCATGTATGGCTACTAGACTCAACATTCCTGGGTGGACATATGTTTTTCCTGCTTAAAATATTTTTTATTTAGGCTCATGTCAATCTCTTCCAATTGTGGTACATTTTTTTTTATGTTTTCTGAGTAATTAATGTATCTTGACTTAAGCTATTTATTCGCAATACTAACAGCATACATTTATGAAATACTTTTTTCAATATTTATTGCCAAAGAAATGATTTTGAGTGGCTACTGCCTGATTGAGCAGAAATTATTTTCACCACTTAACTTTTTAAAAAAGTTAAAAGTTTTTTGAGAGAAAACAGATTTTTTACATTTTAATGGAGAAAAACTTCTTTTCATTCTTTCTAATAATTTCATACACAGATGGTAACGCACATTTAACATGGCCATCATAAATATATTGAGCAGAGAATTGCATCATTATTCGCAAATGACAATTCATGTACAATAAATTCACAAATGACAATTCATGTACAATAAATTCACAAATGACAATTCTTTTTCAATTAGTTCACAAATGACAATTCATGTACAATTAATTCACAAATGACAATTCATGTACAATTAATTCACAAATGACAATTCATGTACAATTAATTCACAAATGACAATTCAAGTACAATAAATTCGCAAATGACAATTCAAGTACAATAAATTCGCAAATGACAATTCATGTACAATAAATTCCCAAATGACAATGCATGTACAATAAATTCATAAATGACAATTCATGTACAATAAATTCACAAATGACAAGTCATGTACAATTAATTCACACACTGTAATAATCACTGAAGAAAGTACATGAAATATCCGACTTACTGGATCACTGAATTTCAATATATTATGAATAACTGTCAAATCTGAGAGATGATTTTAATTAATCTATTCTTGATTATAAATTGTAGAGTATATGTAGCTTATCTATCTATCAATGACTAGCAAATTACCCATATTTTTCACATTAAAATGTATGAACATTTTTCATACTTTATCCTTGACACGTAGAATGTTCTACTAATAAATCTACCCTTTTTGTAAACGCAGGAATGTACAAATTATGAAATAATGCTATTATATATATATACATAATTCAGCATGTATTATGCTTTATTAAATAATCACATATAGTCAAAAGTATGGGTACATATTTTATGATCAAAATATCCATACATTTGACTATTGTGATATATTTAGACTATTACTCTGACTCAATCAATCTGTAGGTCTATCTACACTGATTTTAGTAAAATGGATGTACAAATTATGAATTATTTTCTGACGAGATTTTCCCCTTTTAGGGGGGTACTTGATTCTATTCTGCATGCTATGATTACCCTGACCTAGTACATTCTTTGTACAATCATCGATATATAAATATAGAAAAATGATTATTCCACCAAAGATATCATGTCGTTTTCTTATAAACACAATAGCAACCAATCAACACTATGTCTGTAACACAATATCTGTGCACTATTTTATATTTCTTCATATCTTTCCAAAACTATGAGTTTTAATTCTGTGAAATATAATTCCTTCATATTTCTGATGTTTTAAAACCTAAGAGAGTAAAATAAGAGATGACATGATATATTGTGGTGGGCTTAGTCAACTGGTAGATTTGTGATTATCTACAACTGGTTGGTCTTGGATCATCTACAACTGGTTGATCTTTGATCATCTACAACTGGTTGATCTTTGATCATCTACAACTGGTTGATCTTTGATCATCTACAACTGGTTGATCTTTGATCATCTACAACTGGTTGATCTTTGATCATCTACAACTGCTTGATCTTTGATCATCTATAACTGCTTGATCTTTGATCATCTACAACTGGTTGATCTTTGATCATCTACAACTGCTTGATCTTTGATCATCTATAACTGGTTGATCATTGATCATCTACAACTGGTTGATCTTTGATCATCTACAACTGGTTGATCCAATGATCTTCTGCAATTTGCTTGACTATATTAAAGAATGAGATTTTTTATTTATCATTTGATGTGTATTTGATATCAAAGTGCTACTTATCCAACTTTTTCACCCTCCCCTCAGCAACATACACAAACTTCTACACATAGCTTTATGAGTTATAATTATTAAGAATTTTTTATGCATTGAGGAATGTGCAGAATGATGTCTGTATATTTTATAACTTTACATGTAAAGTTTTATTCAAGAAATATTCTGGACCAGTCATTTTGTTTCAAATACACATCAGGTGAAACTATGTTATATTATTAATATTATTTAGCTTGTTGATTGTCTTATGACTGTTGATTGTATCATTGATTAATTGTTGATTGATTGATTGGTTCATTGATTAACTGATGATTGATTGATTTCTTGTTAATTGAGTCATGATTGTTGAGATTTGGTATTGTCATTGTTACATTGTATGAAAAACTATTAATACATTTGTTAAACTTTGTTGCAGACATACAGTTTTGTTCACTGTTTTATGGTTCATTTAATAATATCATACATCTTCAATATGGAAAATTTAAGACAAATATTAGCTATTGTAAAATAGAAAACTTGTCTGTAATTAAAATGTTTCATATTATGTGTTTGTGTGATATGAAACAGTGCCATCTAATATATTGTATCATCAAAAAGTGATTCACTTTTACAAGTATCATGTGATTCATCTAGTGTTACATTCATGTAATTATTTGCATAATATATATTTATATATTGTGAAGAAATGTATAAAATCTGTTGTTTGTTTCTTTCTTTGGTGCTGACTTTTTAAAATAAGTGGTCACATTTGGTAGTTTGGTCCATGTCCATAGCCAGCTTTTGCCAAGAGGGTTCAGTATTCCATGGTGGGAGGGAGCAAAATAACTTGAAAAGTGCTCATAATAGTGATTAACTGCATGATTTTTTGTTTGAACCCCCTGGCTATGGGTCTGTTTGCAATCCCAGTTTGTTCACACTCCAACCTGCTTTCTGCCATGATGAATTTTGGAGGAGAAACTTGTGAATTCTGCAAAGTAAAGATGAAAAAATGACAAGGATTTGGAAGTCATTCATTTAAACATGGAAGTACAATCATTTCGTAATTAAAAAAAAAATTGAAATATATATAGATTCATACTAGAAATACAGCTTTACTGAAACCATGTGTGATTTCAGCTATGATAAACAGTTAAAAACTGAGAAATTAATCAAAAATACCTGAGAATGAAGGCATGAAGGGACTATAAACCAATATTACCCAATGCCCAAAGCATGTTCCAGAGCACCCATGCATGCAAGTAATTCACAATCCCATGGGATGATCATGTATGATAATAATATATCCCAGAATATGTTAAACCAACATTTAAATATATCCAAAAATATGTAAAACCCACATTTAAATATATACCAAAATATGTAAACCCACATTTAGCATCCCAGAATATGTTAAACCCACATTTAAATATATAACAAAATATGTTAAACCCACATTTAAGATCCCAGAATATGTTAAACCAACATTTAAATATATCCCAGATATTTTAAACCCACATTTAAATATATCCTGGAATATGTAAGCCATGACAGTACATGTATCAAAAAATTGTCAGTTCTAGTTTGTGTGATAACTTCTATTATATAGATGGGGAAAATGCTGATGAATATGATAAACCCTGACAAAGGGGAAATTAATCCGAATGGTCCGAATCCAGAATGCTATAGAAAGCAAGCTCTCGTTCATTTTTTGACTCGAGGGGATTATATACTCAATGATCCTTATCATTTTATGAAAATTAAATACTAAATTAATAGGCAACAGTGGGAAAAGAACACTAGTCTAAAGTGAGTCTTGTATTACTTCCTGTGAAAGCTATGTGGATTTTGATGTAATAAGTTTCAAAATCTAACATGTCTCTCGAAGTGAGTAAAGTCTTGTACTTGTTTTAATCATGATGTAGAGAATGATCGGTCCGCAAGAATTTATAGATGGCATATGTAGTACATCACGTGATATTTTGGTGTTGCACATGCTCTTCCGGTTGAAAATATTTTAACGTAATTTTCTCGAAATGTAAGTATAAGTTACTTTGACAACAAGTGTATATCTTCATCCTATACTGAATTAATAAGGCTCAAACTATACCATCGGGTGATATTCATTTCTGGAGTAAATATATTGATATCAGCGAGTATTTGACTTTTTAGTTTTCTTCACACACTTGCATGTTAGTCTAGTCTCAGATTGATAATTACACCACCATTATTCGGAAGTGTATTATCATGGGCTTTCAACAAGAGTGACAAGATGAAAAATATGAATTCAAAAACTAACCCTTTTTATTTTCCAATTCTTGCCTTATTTAGCTCATCTCGCTAAAATGAAAGTACAGTTTGTAACAAAAATAATGACACATAGATTTGTAGTCCTTAAATCCGACTGTTGTATGCTGTTCTTCAATGTCCCATGTTCTTATTTGGATATTTATTTTTTATCATTTTCTTGGCATATTCGATCGTAGTTCAACGTCGTTAAACTCAATAACGGCGTTCTTTATTATTAGGAATTTTCTTGGGGCCATTATTGAGTTTAACCTCCATGCTATTCTTTCTTTTGATGCAAGTTGTGGATCTATCAAAACCACTTTTCCTCGCTAATATGACACTGATACTTAACAATAATATAAAACCACATTTCATCAGGCGATTTCACATAATATTATTGTGTTAAGGACAGGGTGCATGTTGGGAAATTTTCTGCGTTTCCTCAATTGAGTCACATGTTATTTTTCAAACATGAATAACTCCTTCCCCACATTGTCTACATCTTCCAAGTTTGCACAAAGAGTGCACCTTTGTGCCTAGAAAAGCCTTGTGAGAAGGTTTGTTTTGTAAAATGTATAAAAAATGAGAAAATTCAGTGAAAAAAAATTCTGAAAATTTTCTTATTTTTTTCACTGAATTTTCTTGTTTTTTATACACTTTATCAAAACATTCTTCTCACAAGTCTTTTCTAGGCACATAAGTGCACTCTTTGTGCAAAACTGGAAGATAAAGACAATGAAGAGAAGGAGTGATTCTTGTTTGAAAAATAACATGTGACTCAATTGAGGAATGCAGAAAATTTCCCATCATGCACCCTGACCTTAAATGTTCATTTTTAATCGTAAAATGAGTCTTATTCTTACCAATTTATGAGACGAATATTTCAACCGGCAATGTCTGTCTGTGCGTCGCCAAAGTAAACTTGGTCAGCGAAACGAAATTGTTCTTCAATATTGATATTTATTATAACCATCCAGTATGACACGAATCTTTGCTTTATTCAAACAGCGCGTGTATTCACCCAAGTTTACTCTATTGTTATTTATAAAAACTTTAAAAAGCAACATTATTGATGCATTTGATTACTGGTAATTTCAGCTCAAAGAAATATAGATGTTATTGATTGTGCTAGATTGTGATTGTGTTGAATAATTGTGCCTAAATATTAAATTATGGTAATTGTTCATGGTTTTCTGCTTGCAAAAACGTACCTAGGAATACACTCAATTGTTTATAACTGGGATCATGTATTTTACTCAGCATACATGCTTTGTAACAATTGTTACATTTTAATAACTTCAATGTGGTGATGTATTGTGATAAGATTACATGTACAGTGATCTCCCCATGTCACTTTTACCGGGGGCTCCCCCTACTTGAAACCAAAGGCCCCCCAGTTGGCACCCAGTTGGCATCTGCACTTCAACTTCTGATTTAAAGAATGAGTGAAGTAAGCACCTACACTGAGATATTGTGAGCGTAGCAAGTGCTGATTTTTTAGACTTGAAATCTTGCACCCAGTTGAAAATTTTTTTTGGGGAGAACACTGATGTATATGCATGGTTGTTTTATTCCTAGCTCTTAAATGTATGATGTTCTTAATAAAATTAAACAGAAGTTTTGTTTATGCTATTTTATAAAACATATTTTTCTACAATGATATTTCATTTACTCAATGAGAGAAAAGTTAAACACATGTGTTTTATCACGATATTGGAGCAAGTAAATGTACTTTTAACCTATACTTCACACCTGATTTATCTCGATACCTCCAAATCTGATTTTTTTCAAATCAACACTTTTCAGCTTTTTTCGATCTCATTACTCTAATGTTAAAAAACCTTACTTGATCGTCATTAAACATGTCATACTATCTAGTATTTGAAATGTACATGTAAAAGTACATCAAGAAATATTGCTTCAAATATTGTTGATCAATTTTGAAAAATTTTTGTTTTGGAAAATGTAAATGCTACTACGGGGAGATTCAACATATAAAGTCACAAAAAGTGAAATATGTTTTCTTGTATTGGACAGATAATATTTTCTTTTACATTATTTTAATTTGCATAACTATGTCATGCTATGTGACCTGAATGAGCCACCTGGTGGTGAAACTGGTAACTACCTACTCGCATCTGAGTTATTACAATGGGAAATCACTGACTTTCTGGGAGAGAAAACTTTGGCACAATATATATTTAAACATGTTAAGAAAAATATCTAATTATTCAGTATCACATGCTTGCGTCTGTCCAAAGATGTTGAAAGCTTTAAGCATTTTAGCCAGAAATTTACCATAATTCTGAAAATAAAACAGGAAAAAAAGTAGGAAACTTAATCATGTTTATCGCAAGCCTCCTACAGTATTACAATATTTTGTACTTATATATAGGATAACCGGGGTTCGTTTCGTTTTATGAACTTGTTTCGTTCAGTGTTGCTAACGGCGGTTTATTCCTGAAAGGATTTGCCATTTCGATGTTACCGGAACCAGAACAGAGTTTTCTAAACTAAGAAAAAGCCTTCTCCCAACATTTTCATAATTATACATCGATGAGGTTACAGGGGGGTATGTGATGATTTGTATTTATTCATAAGGTATGTATGCATGCGTTGATCACATTATTTCTGTAACGATACCATCTTATTACGGTTTAATTAGTTCCGCATGTCGAAACCTGCTGAACGATTAAATGATCGCATCAAGGGCAAAATCATCATGGAAGTTAGACCTAGCCGGGGCCATAAGACATGTCAGATAAGAAACGAGGCCCAGGCTAGGTCTAATGTTGTTGGACTAATTCGATCGTAGATATAATATGGAACAAATTGCGGGAAACGCTTTCCTGGCCTGTCTGGGTATCCATACCAACCAAAGTCACACAAATTATAATTTCAATATTTTGCTCCAACATCAAAGTGTTAAATCTTACCTTAGACATGTAAAACCCTGGATAATTGACGAAATATAATCAATTGAAGTTTATTTTCATTATCGCCAACCATGTTGCTAAATTCTGTTTCCGGTAGTCTAATGGCCTAGTCACATAGCCCGGCCGATGAGGTTCCGATGAGCCAGCGATGCAATTTTCACCGAACTCGGCCGAACACCGGCCGGACATCCGTGGCGTTTGTTGCTTAAAACCGCATCGGTGGCAGCTTGGTGAAATTTTAACTTCGGAGTTAAATTTCACCGGGCTCTCACCGAGCTCCCTCATCGCAGCCCCATCGTAACCACATCAGAACACACGTCGGCCGGTGCACAGCCGAGTATCGGTCGGTGTCCCGTGCATCTGAGACAACCAGAGGACGATGTTTTTTTAACGGACACTGGCCGAGCTCCGACCGAGCTCCGGCCGATGTGGGACAGAGCCTTGGAAAGTATAGTACCTGAAGATGTCCGGACGGAGTCCGTTCACGTCACCGAACTCTGCTTCCGATGAGGAGAGCTCGGTGGCACCAAAAAAATCCACCGAGCTCTACCGATGCCGGACATCGGCCGGGCTATGTGACTAGGCCATAAATGTAAACATGGATCGAAACGGAATCATAATTATTTATTACACAGAGATTCAAACAGGATTCAAAAGCTGTTCTTGCATACTACTCACTTTTCTCATTACTGAAACAATAACTTCTCCACGTTACTTCCCTTCTTAATGACACTGCGTTTGACACTGAATCTTCGTGTAACAAATACTTATGATTGATCTAAGTTTTACATCTAGACTATCAGATTAACCCGGAAGTGACCTTGGTATGCAAAATGAGAAAATTTAAAAATTCAAGCAGCTTGCTTATATTTCTTCAATTACCAAGCGTTTTACGTTCCTAAGGTAAGATTAGATACTTTATAGTTGAAGCAAAGAAATTGATTTATCATTTATGTAAATTTGGTTGGGTATACAGGCCAGGAAAGCATTTCCCGCAATATAGAAGCGCTAGTGTGTTCGACCGTATATTCCAATAAAAAATAAATATCCAAATAAGAAAAAATAACAATAGATACCAGCATATGACTGTCAGATTTATTTGACTAATGGATTTGCTGAAGTGAGGATTTCCCATGTTAAAAATAAGAAAATTTTCAAGAGGTCATACATCAGTGGATGACAGTATACAAAATGTAAAATATACAAATTTTAAGGGATGTGTATCTAGACAATATTTGAGACTATAGGGCTTTCAAAATACCATGGTTTGGATATGGTGATAGAAAATCCACCTGTCGTTTATTTTGTTCCAAACTTTACATTCGTACTTCATTCTCATGATTTTCTTCTCTGTGATTGGTTGGGTATGTTTGTATAGTAATTGAAAGCTTGATTGCCAAGGAAGAGAGAACAACGTTTGAGTTGGGATCACATGAAAAATAGAGTGTATGAACAATAATCTTTTTTTCCTCAAGATTTCAGGCCTGTCATCTTGGTACAAAAAATTTGAAGCAACTGGTTGATATATACACATATTTCAAACCAAATGTGTGACTATTTTCAATTTTTCCAGCAAATGCATGACAAATATGGCTTATGCGTGAGGGTTGACAGGGCAGGGATTTTACCAGGAGAATTGGCTCCCAGAGTGCAACATCGATATTTTTGCTTAATTTATTTGCTGAAATCAGTTAAACATGACAAGTGAAGGCAGTATGGTCAGGAAGAAAAATTGAATCGAAAAAATATTCAATTTTTCTTCCTGACCACACTGCCTTCAATTGTCATGTTTGACTGATTTCACTCGGTAATCAGGTTGTCAGAGGTTGGGAACATATTGAGAAGTAGATACGTGGTTAACAGTGTTGCCGCGGTGTGCCATAATCGTACATCGATGCATCGGCAATTTTCAGTAGTAAACATCATCGCGATCGAGAAAAAGTTTGAGAAAAGTGCACTGAAATACCGAACGCTAATGCACTAAAATATTGAACAGAACAAATTAATAAGAGTACGCTGGTACATCCGGGAACATAGTAACGGTGAAATGAAAGTAAAGTAATTTTTTTAGATTAATGGTTCATTTCGACTAGCTAAAACAGTTTTAAAGCGAAAGAATATCAGAAAACATTTGAAAATGAAATAAGACATGAAAAAAGGTAAGCAATTTGCGTCAAAATAAGATAAGAAAGGGCGATTTTAAGCAAATTAAAATTTTTTAAAAACATCGATGTTTTGTTTCAGAAATCGATGCATCGCCAGAACCAGCTTTGGCGATGTATATCGCGATGTATCGATTAATCGCGACAACACTAGTGGTTAATAGAATATCATTATCTTATTTTAGGAAGTCAAACTTATAAATGGAATATTGACTCCAAGTTTACACTACTTAAATCCTAAAGTATCATTGTACTTACCATACCAGGCTTTACGGAGTAGTAGAGGAATTTGATGAAAATTGTTATTGAATTGGTTAATTGCAATTCAATAACAATTTTCGTGAATAATTTTCCTCTACCACTCCGAATAGCATGATATGGATAGTACAACGATACCTTAGGATGTTATACATCAGTGGCATAGCATGGGCATTTTGTGAATGTATGCCACAAGTGAGCAAAGTGAACGATCTTTGAGGGGGGTTTGGGGTGGGTTTTCCTACAAGAAAATTTGAAAATGAGATTGCAGTTGAAGCGTCCTGGGATGTTTTAAAATACGAAATTCCAACTAAATATGGACTAACAAAATGTGAAATATTGGCCATTTTTATCTATTTTTAAAGTTGGGGATCAATGATCAATTTAGAATTATATCCTACAAAAATACAGAGAAATACATTCTCAGGATTAAGATACAAAACTTGTAATTTAGTTACAGTTTCACTCATTAGTAAGTGTATTTTTCTGAAAATATCTCAACATCAAAATGATGCCAAAAAGTCACATTTGGGTAATATGTCACTTACTGTATGAGCACTGGAGCATATGCTGTTTATCTTATTACGCTAACCATATATTCTTCCTTAATTTCAGGTTCTAAACATTTTCTTGAGTAAAATGGGGAAGAATAAGAAAGGAGGATCAGGCTTAGGCAAGAGTATAATAAAGGATAGATTCGGTGGACAAAAGACGAGCAGGCAAAGTAGTGATTCATTCGTAAGTTCAACACTAAGGCTTAAATTGTTGAGTGTCAGATTATTTCATGAAGAGGGCAACTACTTTAACGAAAATTCACATTTTTACAGCTGCCATTTTCAAAATGACGTAAAATATAAACCAATAGAGATACCTTCACCAAATTTTCCCAGGTTGGTGAAAATAAAATTCTTAATAATAATGCTACGTTTTTTAAAAAATGGAGAAATTGAAAACCCCCTAATATACATTTTTTACTGAAAACAATATTATCTATTGTTTGAAAATGTGTTTAGAAAATTTTGAAACTGGCATTGTTTGTCTGTTGATTTGACCAATCAGTGACGAAGTCCTCTCAATCCAGACTTATGTTATAGACATATGTTTTTTTTTGAATCCCAGAGCTATCCCCCTCTGTAGAAAATAGCAATGCTGTAAGGGAGTGACATCTATGAATTGAAGCAAAACATTTCTATTACTCTGTGACCAGTGGTTGACTTCATATAAAACAAAGGCAATTTTCCCAAAAGTATGCAGAAAATACTTTTTCTCCATGAAGTTTTCTAAGTTTTCTATGCACATTCAATAGCCATCAATGGAGCTTCACTAATTATTCATATGGTAATCTATGATGTCTTCTACATAATTTAGGAAAAAAATTGTACTTTTTCTCTGATGCTACCTTTAGGTTTAATATCAACCATGCAACGGTGTATAGCAGTGACAAAAAATAAAATGAAAAAAACACAAATGCAATATTTGCTTAATACATATTTCTATTTCAGTTGCACACTAGTGAGTTAGATGACGGTTACGACTGGGGTCGTCTCAACCTACAGTCTGTCACTGAGCAGAGTAACCTTGATGACTTCCTGGCTACTGCAGAACTAGCGGGAACAGAGTTTACTGCCGGTGAGCTTACTCCATAAATTTGATGAAATTTTAGTTCAGCCTGTCTATGTAAACACCTCTCTTAACCGTAAACCTCTCTAAAGTGAACACCTCTCTTAAGTGAACACCTTTCTTAAGTGAACACCTCATAATGGGAACACATAACTCCATGTTTTGAATGTCATGATATGTGAGCATTATGTTATGGGAGGTTTTGGATATAGGGTTTATCCTGAGTGAAATATACCTATCTTGTTGAGGGTCTGGTCTGGAAATCTCACTAACCTACCCCCGTACTATACCCTGTATTTCTTAAAAATTGATACAGGCTACATTGAAGTTGCAAATGGAGCGGGAATTCTCTATCTTTGTTTAAAGGGCTATTCTGGTAAAAATACAATGCAAGCTACTCAATGAATTTATACAATGTATAGTAGAACACTTGGAATATATGTAAAACCTAGTCTATCTTCAGAAATATGGAAACAAATAAACACCCTCCATTTACATCTTCACTGTAGCCTGTATCCCTTTCAAAGAAATACAGGCTACAGTATGGGGATAAGGTGGTGTAATATACCCAATGCTGGGACATATTTTTATTGTCTGTAGGCATCCTCTGTAACAACCTGAAATCCCATTTAGTTTAGTCATTTGGGTATTGACTCATTTGTTATTAGAACTTCTTAATTTGAGCACCTCATCTCAGGTAGTTTTCTGGTCATGATGTTCTTCAGAGTTCTTTCACCTTTAATTACATTCTTAAATTTCCAAGGATCTTTTCATTATCTTAATGAACCTAAGGCAGTATGTGGGAGATACAACAATTATAGGTAGATTTGATGTTTCCATTATCAACAGAATTGCAAGAAGGCTGTCTGCTTGTTAAACTCCACCTCCTGATAAAGTCAAGTTTTCAATATTTTCAGCAACTCAACTATTAGGAGGCCTGAAAAGAAACACTTTTTATCCATACCCTTGCAATTCCCTTATCAAAATCAGTTGCCAATATTTTTAGAGGACCCACAGGTGAAGGGAGGGCTGAAAAAGGACCAATCCTCAATCCTTGCACTGCTCTTACAGATTTTTTTATATTTTCAGAAAAGTTAAATGTTAGATTTGTGAACCCAGAGCAACCAAATGCAATCTTGAGTAAAGATGAGAAAGAAAAGATTCAGGCTACTCAAGAAGCTAACAAGTCACTCTTAAGTATACCAAGAAGGTTTGTATTTTAATTATTACCCAATCAAATTAAGGTATCATGAAGGTGCAGTTATTCAATCAACATTTTATTCTATACTGGTGTATGTAAAATACATGCAAACTTTACAGGGTGGGTCACCAAATTAAGAATGAATAAAGAATACAACTGTACTTTGACATAAAAATGTTATTCAGTATGATATTATATGATGAAATATTATATAATATGATATAATTTAATGAAATATAATATGATATTATACATGTAATGTAATCAATTCAAATTTAACCTGATAATCGTAATCTGTTCAGATAAAAGATGATCAGTTCCCCAAATATGATTATTAATTATTTCAATATCTACTGGCATAGTCTACTGTACTTCTAAATATAATGTGTCAAAACCAGTATCAAAATTCTAATTTTGTTGATCAACCTGTCCTCACTATTCAGGCCTAAGTGGGATACCAGTACAAGTGCTGAACAGTTGGAGAATATGGAGAAGGAGGGATTCTTGAACTGGAGGAGAGCCTTAGCAGAGTAGGTACAAGCTTCACTATATGTTGTCTTAATGTGCTTATGATACACATACAAAGTTATCCTGCCTAGCCTAGCATTTACTTAGAGGTTATGTCACTATTGTGGCATACATGCCCAAGTTTATATATGGCCCGACCTTGTGAGGGAAATTGATCTCTGAGAACTGAGGGCATGTGTGCCACGATAGTGACATAGAGTTGATGTGGTCAGGGCCTAGGGATTGAAGTGATTGCGAGTTTAGAAAAATTGCTTGCGTAGTTTTATTTTCACTTGATCAGTATTAGTACATGCGTAGTAGTCCCAGCCCCTTGACTTATCAGAAAGTTAGCGGACCCGAGGTTTTCAAAATTTATATTGGCGCAGTGTGTTGTGAATAGTTCTCACCACACATCATCATAGGTATGTTATAAAGAGAGCTTATGCCTGCCATATTTGAAGAGATCTTGCCATCATGTATCTAGAGACCCGGCTATCATAAAGATTCTGTATATCTGTACATAGAGACCCCACCTGTCATGCAGGTACATGGAGATCCGAGATGTCTTATACATTGAGACCCTGCCTGTAATGGAAACAGTGACCCTCCTTATCATGTACATAGGGCCCTCACTACCATAAGATTACATAGAGACTCATATACATAGAGGCCCTGCCTGCCATGTACTCTGTCTATCATACTCATATATACACATATTCGAGATGTGATGATGCATATCGTATAGATGCCTATCAGTAAAAAAAGTGAAAATACCAATTTGAAAGGGAACAAATAGATTGTAAAATCACATTTCGTTCACTGGTAAAACACTGTGCCCACTATGTAGAGTTTGATTTTGGGTTCATTACTCCATAAACAAGTGTGTTTTGTGATTAGAGAAAGTAAGGATGATAGTGATTCACTGTCTTCTATAGAGTTTTGCTGCCTCTTCAAATTTCTGATCATAATTAGTGATATTTTCACAATCTCTTGATTAAAAACTTTTTACCTTACTTTCTAAGTTAAGCACATTGCAGGGAGGGCAATAACTATTGATAAACATATCTAATAAAGTGTATGTATTATGTTGGCTTTCGTCAAGGTATTACACTCCCAGTTGATCATTGTTATTAAATGCCTTAAGGTACATTTAAGATTAGAAATATCCTACGCCGCCTTATTTAGGTTAATATGAGTCATCTCCGTGATTAAGATTATGAGGATCTAAAGAGAAAGAAAGGTCACATAGATATAGGAGTATCTCACTTTCAGAAAAGCATTTATTACTTTTTGATCAGCCTTTGTATCAAAGCTAGGGTATCCCACATAAAATGTACATGCATACTTGTGTATCAGAAGACTCTCCTAAGAGAAATGTAAATTATGAAAGAGTACAGGGTGGTCCAAAAAAAAGTGAACCCCTGCAACTGGCCATATTTCCCTTATTACTTGCAGGAATTCTTATTTATTTTCACATGTTGTAGAGGAAGGTCTAAAATTTATGTTGGTACCATACATTTTTCTTAGTCTTGAAATTTGCAGAAATTATAAGCCCTAACCAAACGTTACTGAAAATGGACAAATTGTGATTTTCAATATCCGCGATTCTTCAACCCTTTAACACCTTTCTCCTGAGAATTTTTTAAGCTGCAGTCTTAAAGAACTGATATTTTCTGACTTTGTTCAATTTTAAATCCTGCACATTATGGCTTAAAACTAGCATCCTACATTTGTTAGTTGCAAAGTTATTGTGATCCAAAGAGATGTGATAAGCTTCCACAGACGAAAACATTTTCCAGTGAAATCATGAACATACGCCTATATGGTCTTGAAATGTCATTATCTTCATAAATCATGGACCAATTCTAATGATATATGGCTCAAAACATTGAATTTTGGATTTTCTTTTGATTTTTTAAAGATAATTGATGAAGGGGTTATCAGATTCCTGGTCACAGGGGGCAACTTCCTTCCATAAGAGGCCCCCCTCTAACTGTTGGTGTAGGTAACATACCCCTGAACTGTTGAACAGTAAAAAATACTTCAAAATGATCAATGAAAGTGTGAAATGTGTTTTCTGCTTGAATAGTGTCCCCTTTGTCATATGGTAGGGTTTTAAACTTGTATCTCTAACTGAAAGCTGTTTAAGATCATCCAATGTGTTTCAACAATTTCCGTGAATCACATTTGTAAAATTTTGTACAATATCTAATTTCCAGGTATGTTTGTTAAACGCTTGTAATTTCTTCAAAATTTAAGACTGAGAATAAATTATGGCATCAACCAAAATTTTAGACCTTTCTCTACAACATGTGATAATATGAGCCAATTCATGCATGTATTAAGAAAAATGTAGCCTGTTGCAGGGGTTCACTTTTTTTGGACCACCCTGTATATGATTATTCCATCAAGGATAGACCATTACAATAATCTCTCCTTAATGAGGACTCCTACCAAACAACTTTCCAATATTTTCTCTGAAAAAGTTTAATGATATCTAAAGAGTCAGTTTCACAAGGGAAACTTGTATGTACAATTTAAATTTTATAGAGTGTTGGTGATCTTATTTCACATTATATCTGCTTCTTCAGGTTACAGGAGGTGGAAGGAATTGTTCTGACACCATATGAGAAGAATTTGGACTTTTGGAGGCAATTGTGGAGAGTCATAGAAAGAAGGTACCCTTGACCCTTACTACAATAAGTACCTGTCAATTTCAACTAATTGTTTTCTGAACACAATCTAGTGTGTCTAGACAGTAGTATGTATTAATTTTGTGATAATGATGGCTAACACTTTAAACTCCTTAAATTGAACGCAGTCTTGATTAACATTTTTAGAATCTTTGACAGCCTTAAAAACATTGAGTTTTGGATTCTGTAAAATGAATAAAATGTGCTGGTGAAAAAAACATGAATATGTTCATTGAACAGTGTTCACTACTTCTATTATGTACAATGTATTCCTACTCTATACAATGTATTTCTGTTCCAGTGACATTGTAGTTCAGATTGTTGATGCTAGAAATCCTCTCCTCTTTCGCTGCGAAGATCTAGAAAACTATGTTAAAGAAATCAGCCAAGAGAAAAAGAACATGATTCTGATAAACAAAGCTGATCATTTGATGGAAGATCAACGTAAAATTTGGGGAGAGTTCTTTGGCAAACAGGGAGTGCATGTTGCATTCTGGTCTGCGATGGCTGAGATACAGAGAGTTAAAGATCTTGAGGTGATACATTTTTGATATATTTTACATGTTCATTTTTGAAGTTCTGTATAAACAGAGAGAAGCCCTCCATCCTCCTGTCCATCTGTTCATTCGAGTGTTTGAATGATAACTCAGTCAAAAGTTTGAATGGCTTAGGGCATCTGCTTTAGAGGAAATTTTTATAGAATTTTGAATGTGGCCACTAAATTCAAAATAACTACCATTTTTATGCAAATAAGATTAGCCTTATATATTCTTTATAAATGTAAAGTCTTACTGATAGGTCAGATGGCAGCAAAATGGCCGCCATTTTGTTTGAAAATAATTTTGTGTTTAACCTGGATATATAGCATATTACATGCCAAAAAGAAGACACATGTTCAAAATGAGGACTGATTTGATGACAAATGTTTTAGTCAGTTGGATTTGCTACTCCATGGAGTTGTCATGTCACCACCAGAATTGGTGACATATTGTTGTAGTCTCCAACTTTTTTGTGGACAGTGTTTGATGGTTGGTGTTTGATGTCTGATATTTTGCATGTTAATGCCTTGTTGTTTTTGTTTCAATGTAAAAGGCTGCAGTTGCCTTTCCATTTAAATTGTTCTGCTCATCCATACTTGAATATGTTTCCAGGCTGCTGAGAATGAAGACAAAGAAACAACCAATAATGAAATGGAAATTGAAGCAGATGTGGAATTAGACTCTGATAATAGTGATGATGAAAATAATGAAACTGAAAATGATGGTGATAATTCTGTACCAAATTTAGAACATAATGCATCAAATGATGATACAAAAGAAGTGCCTGAAAGGACTAGTGAATCAACCAATAGTCAGTTAGACACTGGTCATACAAGCCATTCAAATTCAGAGACTATAGCCCCATCTATTCCAATAGTTATGGAACAGTTATCAGAGACATCTATAGAAGATTCTGTGAAGGTTGATACGGAGGAAAGTGTCAATGTCATCCCTGTAAATAACAATAGTAATTTATTGACTGGAGATGAGCTAATTGAACTCTTGAAGACATTGCACACTGGAAAGAAAGTACAAGAAGGCCTCACTACTGTAGGACTGGTATGTAATTTTACAGAATTTACAAACAGAATGTTTTGCAGAATCTATAGACTTTTGTAAGATAAAGTAAATGTACTTGTTTTGTCAAACACTTAATCTTTTGATTTTATCTAATAGGTAGATGTGTCCATACTGTTTCCTCATTATAGGTTGGCTATCCCAATGTGGGTAAGAGCTCTACCATCAATGCTATACTGCAGTGCAAGAAGGTGCCTGTATCTAAACAGTGTTTCCTCATTATAGGTTGGCTATCCCAATGTGGGTAAGAGCTCTACCATCAATGCTATACTGCAGTGCAAGAAGGTGCCTGTATCTAAACAGTTTTTCCTCATTATAGGTTGGCTATCCCAATGTGGGTAAGAGCTCTACCATCAATGCTATACTGCAGTGCAAGAAGGTGCCTGTATCTAAACAGTTTTTCCTCATTATAGGTTGGCTATCCCAATGTGGGTAAGAGCTCTACCATCAATGCTATACTGCAGTGCAAGAAGGTGCCTGTATCTAAACAGTGTTTCCTCATTATAGGTTGGCTATCCCAATGTGGGTAAGAGCTCTACCATTAATGCTATACTGCAGTGCAAGAAGGTGCCTGTATCTAAACAGTGTTTCCTCATTATAGGTTGGCTATCCCAATGTGGGTAAGAGCTCTACCATCAATGCTATACTGCAGTGCAAGAAGGTGCCTGTATCTAAACAGTTTTTCCTCATTACAGGTTGGCTATCCCAATGTGGGTAAGAGCTCTACCATCAATGCTATACTGCAGTGCAAGAAGGTGCCTGTATCTAAACAGTGTCTCCTCATTATAGGTTGGCTATCCCAATGTAGGTAAAAGCTCTACCATTAATGCTATACTGCAGTGCAAGAAGGTGCCTGTATCTAAACAGTGTTTCCTCATTATAGGTTGGCTATCCCAATGTGGGTAAGAGCTCTACCATCAATGCTATACTGCAGTGCAAGAAGGTGCCTGTATCTAAACAGTGTTTCCTCATTATAGGTTGGCTATCCCAATGTGGGTAAGAGCTCTACCATCAATGCTATACTGCAGTGCAAGAAGCTGCCTGTATCTAAACATTGTTTCCTCATTATAGGTTGGCTATCCCAATGTGGGTAAGAGCTCTACCATCAATGCTATACTGCAGTGCAAGAAGGTGCCTGTATCTAAACAGTGTTTCCTCATTATAGGTTGGCTATCCCAATGTGGGTAAGAGCTCTACCATCAATGCTATACTGCAGTGCAAGAAGGTGCCTGTATCTGCCACACCAGGGAGAACTAAACACTTTCAGGTATGCTTGTGGGTCAGCTCTATTTCATGGGATGGTTTAATTAAGATTAACTTTAATTTTGTTACGGTCTAATCACAGTGTGATGGGAAGATTTGTCATTACGGTGATCATGCTAAAAAACGAAAAAAGAAGTGAAAGTTACTCACAAATGATATACCCATTGCATGGAGAAGGTTATTTTCTTTGATATAAAGAAACATCTTTGTTAAAAGTAAATTGCAAGGATTTCATGATACTTTTACAGAAATAGCATAATCCCTATGGTCGACAAATCTTCCAATCCCACCCTGTACTAATACTCAAGGCCATAAACAAAATTTGAAAATGTTGATTTGCTGTTCATTTGAAAATCAACTTTTCAATTAATATGAAATGCACTGTCCTTCCAAATAAAAGTTACTTTATCGCAGCAACACATTCTACTTGCTACCCACTTGACGCAATCACAATGTCTGCTTGAATAAATTATTACCTATATGTACTCTAAGTCATCTCGTGAGAAACATGAGACAGTGTCTATATATTTAAGTAAAATTGCTTGTCAATTTATGAAGGTTCATGTACATTTTCTAATGCAATATTAACAATGACTCTCTCATGATAAAACGCAATACAATTAATGGCTTTTCTACTGGATGACTGCTTTAACCTTTACCATGCTGCCTTATTTCAGCAAATATATCCCACGCAACTGGCTTATTTTTCAAAGAGTGCAAAAAATGATATACCTGGACTAAATAATTAATATCTCAATAACTACTGAATGAATCTGGATAAAATTTTCACAAAGGGAAGATACAGTGGCCTGGCTCATGAAAAAAATGTTCAAATGAATTTTTTCGTACATTAACACGACTGGGCATAAATATACCATGAATACTCCTCCGGAATCCGAGGCTCCGCCTCTTCGTCTGGTCAGAATCCAAATCTGAATTTGCAGCGATCGAATGTTCAATTTTTCAATTCAGAAAATATTCTAGTTTCTATTTTCGATGACCGTTATCGGCTTCCAAGAGCCTAAAGAGCTCGAAATCGTAATCCATTTCCTCCACATTTTCGTTGTGATCGTATTTGTCCACCATTTTGTACGATTCGTTCACTAAAAACGACTAAAACACTGTTTAAATTGTTGAATTGAGAATTATTTTTCGAAATATCGCCATTTCTAGGTCAACAGGAAGTCATGTTAGGCACTGAATAAATCGGGCAATCTAATTGGACAATACGAATGGCGCGAAAAAGTAAAGTTTTTAAAAGTTTGAAATCGGGCGTACGGGTCCGCCGGCAGTTGTGAGAGACATTTTAGTCTCGGCGGACGAGTCCGCCGGCAGCACGCTAAAGGTTAAGGAAAAAGCAAGGCCTAATCTGACTATTGAACTGAATGTTCATATTCATCATATTCTCTCAATTTCCCATTTGATTCATAAGTGTTAGGATGTCATCATATATGACATCATTTCTTGACACTTTTCACCAGCACAATTAGATCTAGCAAGCAACCATTCCAAAAAATATTTCAATTTCTTGAATGCTAAGCACTTTTCAAACACAAAAGTATCAAAAATAGCCCCACATTCAAATAAAATGACACGCTATAGTTGAAATTTGCACCAAGCCAAATGCAAAATAATTAACCACAATTAGTTTTATATGCAGTAAAACGGTGGAGTTTCATCCATGATAACTCCTCCAAAATAACATGTCAGAGAAACTTTAAACCACAAATCTAAAATATACAAATGTTTTGCATCTACATGTATATAATGAATGTTTTTTGGTCATTTGATTGCTCATTTTCAGGTTTGATAGACTTATAACACCACTTCCCCAGGTTGTACTTTAAACAAACTCAGTGCTCTGTAATAACATAATAATACCCATTACCAATAAGTAGGAGGCTAGAGCAATTGCAAATGTTACGCTGTCATTCATATTACTTCATTATACTTCACTTCTTAAATAACAAGTATCTTCATATTTCACATGCTCATGTAATTTGTTTCCTCAGTTTAACATATTACATATGTAAAATTTTAAATGTTTGGAACTACTTTGAATTTGAAAAATAAGCAATCAAATGACTATATTGCAACAGTATATGAAAAAATGGAAATATGTATAAGGCCTAACTTTTGTATATTTTAGAAAGTTATGTATAATGTGCAGCAAAGCTGTGGCCTTTTGTAATTTAGGGAGTTGAAGCCATGTTAATTTTTCGAAAATAACATGGCAGAGAAGCTTCAAAATATAAGAGGCCCAACATATGATGGCCAAACTACAAAACAAACTAAAATATACAAAAGTTAGAAGATGTATAAATGTTTCTATTTTTACATATACTTTTTCAATATGGTCATTTGATTGCTTATTTTTTAGATTCAAAGTAGTTCTAAACATTTAAAATTTTACTGTACATTATATTATTGTACTTGTGAGTAATTATCCCAACGAACGAAGTTCGGTAGGGATATAGTGAAGCCCTCCGTCCGTCAGTCCGTCAGTCAGTCCGTCCATCCGTCCGTCCGGAAGATAACTCAAATACGAGTTGACGGATTTTCTTCATATTTAGTGGAAAGATGTATATTGGTGAATAGTTGTACGCAAAAAAAAATTTTTCAAGATGGCCGCCGCTTCAAAGATGACGGGACTTTTTCGCAAAAAACATAAATTTTTCATTCTAAACCAAAGTAATTAATATTTTTGTTTGAAATTTTGGTAGTATATTCGCAACATCTATCTATTTCACATATATTCAGTGTTTTTATCGCACTTTTATCGCACTTTGAAAAAGTGCTATATTGTCGTCGTCTTGTGCTGTTGGGCGGGCGTTTGGGCGTGCGGGTGTGCGGGCGGGCGGGACATAAACTAAATCTTGTCATCAAATTTCCAGGATAACTGCTTACCTGTTCAACTTGAAATTTTCACAGATGCAAGAGCAGACTAGTACCAAGATCTGATTAGGTTAAGGGCATGCTGGGTAAACTATGTGGCGGCCATTTTGAATTTTTCAACAAATCTTGTCATCAAAATTCCAGGAAAACCACTTATCCGTTCAACTTGAAATTTTTACAGATGCAAGAGCAGACAATTGCCAAGATCTGATTAGGTTTTGGGTATGCTGGCTGAATTACATGGTGGCCATTTTGAATTTTTTAATTTGGCGGCCATTTTGAATTTTTCAACTTGCTCCAAATTGACCAATTTTTTTTTTAAAAAACATCTACAAGTTCTCAGAAGTTCAAATCTGACGTTAGATTTCAGATTTGACCTTTCATTCACCTTCAGTGACCTTGAAAAGGTCAAAAAAGTTGATTTTCTGAATTGATATTTTGGATTTAAATTTAGGTCAGCTTAATTACAAAACACCTACTGAGGTCTGAAAAAGTGAAATTTTAAAGGTCGAAAGTCAAGGTCATTAAACTAGGTCACAAATGATGTTATCCAAGTTTCTCAAAGTTTGAGACTACAAATCAATTCTTGTCATCAAAATTCCAAGAAAACCACTAACCTGTTCAACTTGAAATTTTTACACATGCAATAGCAGACTAGTGCCAAGATCTGATTAGGTTAAGGGCATGCTGGGTAAACTACGTGGTGGCCATTTTGAATTTTTCAACAAATCTTGTCATCAAAATTCCAGGAAAACCACTTATCCGTTCAACTTGAAATTTTTACAGATGCAAGAACAGACTATTGCCAAGATCTGATTAGGTTTTGGGTATGCTGGCTGAATTACATGGTGGCCATTTTGAATTTTTAATTTGGCGGCCATTTTGAATTTTTCAACTTGCTCCAAATTGACCAAATTTCTTTTTTAAAAACATCTACAAGTTCTCAGAAGTTCAAATCTGACCTTAGATTTCAGATTTGACCTTTCGTGACCTTCAGTGGCCTTGAAAAGGTAAAAAATTTGATTTTCTAAATTGATATTTTGGATTTAAATTTAGGTCAGCTAATTACAAAAGACCTACTATGGTCTGAAAAAGTGAAATTTTCAAGGTCGAAGGTCATCAAATTAGGTCACAAACAATGTTATCTAAATTTTCCCAAAGTTCAAGACTACAAATAAATTCTTGTCATCAAAATTGCAGGAAAACCGCTAACCTTGTCAACTTGAAATGTTTACAGATGGAAGAGCAGACTAGTGCCACGGTCTGATTAGGTTTTGGCCATGCTGGGTAAATTGCATGGTGGCCAGTTTGCTCTTCAAAGTGCGATATTTATCACTGTGTGTCTTGTTCATCCTGACCCCCAGGGGCCGTGAATGGGGGGTCAGGAAAACAGTAATTTTCGCTAATTTTTAGATCTTTCTGAAGTATAGCTTTATTATACTCAAATGAAAGGCAATTAAAAGTAGATTGCAAATATTGTATCTTTTTTCTGATTTGAGCCTCGTAAAATTCAAAATGGCCGTCTAATGTACGATTTCGCAATAATTTTTCGATCCCTTCAAAGTATGGCTATATTATACTCAAATTGAAGGAATTTTGGAGTGGATCACAATTATGGTATTATTCTTCAGATTTGTACCTCAGAAAATTCAAAATGGTTGCTTTGCAGGAATTCGCAATTCTAAAATCTAAATTTCTCAATTTTAACCAAAGTAATGAGTATAATTGATTGGAATTCGGTAATTGATATTTTGTTCGTTGGGATTTGCTACTCCGCGGAGTTGCCATTGTCTAGTTAATTCTATATCATGTTATCAACGAGTAATTATCATCTATAATCTATTATGTCTCCATAACAAGTGCTGACATTTTTTATAGTCTCTAACTTTTTTCTGGACAATCTTTCTCGGTTAGCATCTGTAAAACATGGCAGGTGGTGACATTTTGCATGTTAGTACCTTGTTTTTACTGATTACTTCTTTAGATTTCCTATTTTTATTTTAGTAATGTATTTTTTCCACTGATGTAATAGAAGACTCACCATATAAAATGAAAAAGATGGCCAGACTTATTTTTCTCAAGAATGCACCATCTTTGATACTTCCCCAGTTTTGAAACATCCATATAAGAAAAGATATTACACTTTTTAAATAAGGTGGTAGTATGAGAAGCTATAGGACTATCAGCTATCAGCCCTACAGGACAAAACACATGTCGTAGAACATGATAATTCATGGTATAGTATGAGAATGGAAGATCTTCAGTCAAAAATAATTCCAACTGACTGAACTTCAATCAGCTAATGTGAAATAGGATATATTTTCAGACCCTTTATGTAGACAAGACGATAATGCTATGCGATTGCCCTGGTCTGGTGATGCCGTCATTTGTCTCGACAAAGGCTGAATTGGTTGTCAGTGGAATACTTCCTATAGACCAGATGCGAGACCACATACCACCTGTGGCATTTATATCCTTCACCTATAGTTCAATTAGTGTGTCTATGTATGTGTTAACCACATTCACATCTATGTGAGAATACCATGTCTTGAACATATGCATTTACTTCAAATAAATTAGACTAATATATTCCATCTATGTTACATAAACATTATTTACATGAATATGATCACATAATTTTCACATATCCTCGGAATGCTATGTTTGTAGTTATTATTTGACATCCTTAACTTTTGTACGTTGCTAACCATATCCCAAAGCATATCATAGAAAGGACGTATGGAATCAACCTGCCCCTGCCTCGTGAAGGTGAAGACCCCAAACGTGATCCCACTGCCATGGAGATTCTCAACTGTTATGGCTGTGAGTACATTACAGTGTCTCTTGTCTAAGAATGCCCCTGGGACAAGCCAAAACTGTTCAAATAAGCAGGTGTTCACATTCTAAGGGTTTATTAAAAGGGTCAAAAACGGGTGGATTCAATTTTTTTTATTCAAATAGGGACATGAGTTGTGACAGAATTTACTGTACATTTATCTATTGTATCCCACTCACCAGGAATTCCATATGGCATTTGATGAGATGATTATGAAATCTATATTGTTTCAATTTATTAATGTAACTCCAACTGATCAGAAATATCTGCTACTCAGGTAAGTTGATCCTTGGGCTATAATTCCAAATGCTATTTTCTCTTATTTTTATTGCAATGTTTAAATCATGTGCAGACATTTGTATATTGTTACCAAGATGCTAATAAATTGGATCTATCTTAGTGGAGTCAGAATGTGGGTTTCGGCGTGCATTCAGAGGGATTTTATGGGACATAATTTTTCATGTTAATACTATGATTATACATATTTGTATGGATTATTAGATCTTAGTTTTTCAGCTTTTAGATTTTGTGGCCATTTTACCCCCCATGGGCTAAAATTTGGACCCCTATTAAACGAATAAAACATACCCTTCAGGTTTTGATTTTCGGGCCATTTTTTCAGTAATGACAGAGTCATTTTGTGCATATTTTGTCACCATTGTGTTAGGAAGGGTTAAAATGTGAATATAAAACTTCTATATTATATTAGCAATTATACCACTCTAAGTCCAATTACAGTTGTATAACATGGGTCTATAACAACGATATACAGTGGAGAGTGGTATATCGTCATCGTATACAACTCCTCCGTATACACTTCAGCGTATACCACTGTAGAAGTGCATTCTGGGAACTAATGAATAAAAAAAATCATGAAAATTTTCATGATTTCCTAGAATCAAGTGACATCATAAATGGTGCCGGCATGATTTGCTAGAATCAAGCTACGTCATAAATGGTTCGAGATCAACATCAGCATTATTGAGTTGGCTATGGGATATTTTTATGGTTTTTATTGTCGATTGTGTTCGAATCAACTGTACATTGAACTTAGAGTGGCATAATAAGATTATATAATGGTTCATTCTGTATATCGTGCATTTTATACTCTCGTGAGAATATAATGTATTCACTCGTTCGCTACGCTCACTTGTGAATATATCATATACTCACTCGAGTATAAACACGATATACAGAAAGAACCATTATATAACCTCATACAATCTTATTTGAAGATCAGTCCATATCTTATCTCAGGTTTTGGCCTTATATGGGTCCATGACCTATACAGGGGTCTATTTCACAGACTCGAACTCCCACATTGGATGGATGTTATAACTTTTGAAATAAGGGAGATACATGTCTCATTTTTTCAGATTTTCATAAATGGTTGGTTTTAAGTATTTTTATATACTTTTGGAGCTGGTATATGATTGTTTGCCATGGTAACCAGGGTTTTAAGGAAATCCTGACCCCGGCATTGGATGGATGCTATAACTTTTGAAATAAGGGATATTCATGTCTCATTTTTTCAGATTTTTGATAATGATTGATTTAAAGTATTGATTTAGACCTTGAAGCTGGTATTTGATTGGTTACCACGGAAATCAGGGTTTTGTTGAAATTCCGACCTCCACAATTGATAACCGCTATAACTCTTAAATACAGCCAGATAAGATATCATCTTTTCAGATCTAAGATAATAATAATATGTGTGTATTGTATTAGACTTTGGAAGTTAGGATTTATTTGTCTGCCATGGTAACCATGTTTCATTGTCATGGTAACTGCTGTTTTCGTTTTCAGATTCACATTTATTCTGAATAGGTCAATACATGACATAAAATACCAAATTGCTCAGTTATCATTTTATTCTTAATTTTTGGATTTTCTATTTTATATGATTTACATGCTCATGACTCATCAAATATCAAATACTAGTAAACTATACATGTATGTCTGACAATATTGCCTTATTCCATACTACTAGTTCTTACAAAAGTTCTGATTCCTAACTTGTTCATTTATACTCATCATTACTGTTTTCATTTAGCACAATTTCCTCTTGACAACAATTTCTGTTGGAATGAAGGATTGTTTTGACCATTCCGGAGATAAGGATCCTCAGGGGATATAGTCCATTCATGCAGTATTGGACTTGGCAGAATGGGTTAAGACTGGTCCCTGTAGGTTCATTGTATATAAAATTTGGCTGGGGTCCTAGGCTGAACCCTCAGATATCAATATGTTCCCATCCAATCTGTCAAATTTGAATGTGTTTCGATATCAACCAAAATATCAGAATTTCCCTAAAACCCTGGTTACCATGGCGACCAATCACATACCAGCTCCCAAAGTAAAATAAAATACTTAAAACTAGCCATTTATGAAGATGTGAAAAAATGAGACCTGTATCTCCATTATTTCAAAAGTTATAGCATCCATCCAATGTGGGAGCTCGAGTCTATGAAATAGACCCCTGTATAAGTCATGGACCAATACAAGACCAAGATCTGAGATTTTGTGGACTGATCTTTACATACAATTGTTGCTAATATATTATAGAAGTTTTATATTCACTTTTAACCCTTCCTTACACATTGGTGACAAAAAATGCATGAAATGACTCTGTCAGTCCAGAAAAATTGGCCTGAAAATTGACACCTGAAGGGCATGTTTTATCCATTACCAAGGCAACCACTTAACCATGTGACATGAAATTTTTATCATATATTCAGTTAGCCTACACCAATATAGCTTAGTAATTTGGAAATGTTCCACTGAGTATTTTTTGAGTTCTTGCCCAATTTTATAGTAGGGGTCCAAATTATAGCCCATGGGGGGTAAAAGGGCCACAAAATCTAAAAGATGAAAAACTAAGATCTAATAATTCATACAAATATGTAAAATCATGCTGGCAACATGAAAAATTATGTCCCATAAAATCCCTCTAAACGCACGCCGAAACCCACATTCTGACTCCACTATCTATTTAATGAGATAGACATTGGAAGTTATGTAATAAATAATGTACAATAAGGTGTCATTGGCCGATTATCACAATAATTGTTAATAATTGGTTATATCCTAATTGCAGATATGAGGGGATATATGACCGCAAGGGGAGTGCCAGACTGTCCAAGATCAGCTAGATACATCCTCAAAGACTACATGAATGTAAGAATCAAACTTAAATAGATGGGTATTCAAAGCACATGTATGTATGTACTTTCGTCATCATTGAATAATAACAATCTGCCCTGTTGGTCTTAGCACGCTGAAAAGTGTTCCACTAACAGAGTTGTTCCACTTTTAGAGGTGTTCCACTTCTTTACAAAATGTATAATAATTAACTTTCCCTATTGATAATAACTTAGGATTGTTTTGTTGTGGCGTATACAATGCACCAAAGTGGTGACTCATTATAATGGACTCCATTTTTGTGATGGCCATTGGTGTTCAGTATCTGTGACATTTTTCCTATCAATCAGATGTTTGTAGTCTCTAACATATTCATTGTCATTCTTACAGGGAAAATTGTTGTACTGCCATTCACCACCAGATGTCCCTCAGGATCATTTCCAACCACCCCTAGAAATGGACTGTTCCAAGTCTGAGGAAAGTGATGTCACTAATAAGAAGGTGAGTCCATTTCAGTCAAGGTAGAATAATTGGAATGATTATGATTCATTGAGATTAGAATTTCTAAGCTTACTTAATATTTTATTTTATACCATGTTTATCGATTCGGGAAGAGTTATATGATTTATTATGATCAGTCTTATTGACGTCATAACTGAATTCCCCAGATGCTGGAATATTATAATTCCAAGTTTCATTTGTATAAGAAATGTCAATAACTTAAACAGAAGTAGATCATCATTATGTAAACATCTTTCATAACTAAGGATGAATCCACAAGGACATAATTTGCTACAGTACTTGTTTTGCCACATGCACTTATTTGTATTCACTTTTTGATATAATAATACGAGTTCATTTTATGAATTTGCAAGTAAACACGATTGTTTGTCTTTGTAACGAATTTTGCTGTTGGTATAAAGAAAAAACAATTGTATTAAAATACAATTTCAACTAGGTTATGATGTTCTTTTTTCATCCCACCTTGAAATTCAGAAATATTTTTTTAAACTAGTTTAATATCAGGCCAGGATGATCATGGTTACAATGTGATCTTTGATGAGGGAATGGTCACTGAACATACGTATGCAATATCAGGGCTCTCACCAGAAAATATTTAATGTGTGTTGGAATCATCTTCAGCATAACCTTTCAATCGTGATAAATCATATTCATGTTATATTTCATCCTTTTTACATGCTTTTATTGTGTATTCAGTCAAGTTTACACTGTGGGAATAATCAATATTTGCCAATAGGTTATGGTGGAAGCTAAATAGACTAAGGTGCTGCGCCACGGTCTAAAAGCCTAGCAAGAGACCCGAATATACTTGTAATAATTATGATAGCCTAAAATGCTTCTTCAAACCCTTGTAATTCCATCTCTCCTTTACACAAATGAAGTAGATAAGTGGAGAGCAGAGACACTTGAAGCTTGACTTAGCCTACAATATTTTATTTTCTTCCAGCCTGGTTGGAACTCAAGCAGTCAGATTAGTGGTGCTGATATGGACAAAGCATTTTTCCTGAAGGTATTCTATCATTACATCATCAATGTGACACATAACAGATAATACTTACATCTATTTTATGATTCTGACCATTGACACACTTAAAGGAATATTCCTTGCCAGACCCTTTCTCTCTTGATATGGTAGCTATAATCATATATATAGTTTCCATATTTGGCAAAACATGGGAAAATGTTTTAATATGGTCAATATTGATCATTTAAAAATCTAGTGCTTATTTCCAGTGAGCTGCCATCTTTTAAGATTTCTTGCAGGAAGTGATGTCATCAACTCTCAACTTCTATAACCTTGCCCATAACAGTATAGGAAAGTAGCACAAAATCACTTCTAGACAAGTGATCATTACTTTCTGTGCAAAAATATTTTCAGGGCTTGTCAACTTAGAATAAAAGGAGAGATTTTCAGAAGGACTAAATAAGATACAAAGTTGAAAAAGAATATTTAGCTGGTTTTGTAATTCTTAATAGCTCATCACCTAATGCTATATGCAAAGTTGAGAGTCGATGACATCACATCCTGTGTGATATTTTAAAAGATGGCAGCTTACTGGAATTGAGCATCACATTTCTAAGTGATCAAATTTGACCATATCAAAACATTTTTGTGTGTTTTGCTAAACATGGCAAGCATATATATGGTTATAGCTACCATACGAGGAGAGAGATGGTTTGGCAAGGAATATTCCTTTAAGATAATATCTCAAGTGCTGTTTGTCTGATTTCAACTGCCAGAATAATGTCCCATTTCTAGATTTAAAGATAACTTTGTATTTTGATTCCAGCGAGAAAGTCAGCTGCATCGTAAAGGTGTCCATGGTGACAAAGGAGGCCTAAGGGAGGGTTTACAGTCCAGTAGCTCCTCAGTTAATGACAAACCATGGAAGAAACATTGCAATAAAGGGAAGAAACAAAAACTGAGGCGAATACATACTGATCTAGACAAACACTGAACTCTGAACATTTTTAAATCTCTGTCCATAGAAGAAACTTTATTTTTCCAGTATTCGGGGGTCCATTTTTGGAACAGTCGTAACTTATAATTTGGTCGCAAATTGTTTGCCAAAAAATAGTTTTCTTGGCATGATAAGTTGTAGGAGAGTCATTACTGTTTTCCCTTTTAAAATATGAGGGAGTGTGTCTATCATATGATGTACTATTCCAAAAGCTAATAAAAATTTAAAAAAGACTATAGAATGAATCTCTTAGGAATATTTGCTGTGGGTACAAAGGGTGAAACAAGACACAATAGGTTCTGTACAAGAATTCTGTATAACAGTCTTTCTTTATTATCACCCAAGTTCAGTCAACATTTTAGAAAAATATGGCAACTCCCAAATTAGTGAATCCCAACTAACAAATTGTTTTCCAAAGTCCACTTTAGATCCAGTTTTATCCATATTCAGGTTGGCCCTAAAAGTGAGTACACCTTTATGTCCAAGCTCTGTTTATTTGTCCCAGTTTGTGTCATATACATACATATCACTGGTGAGATTATTCAATTTACAATTTAGCAAATACATGTAGCCCATAATTTAAGAAAACTGAAGGTCGAGGAAAGGTCAGATCTCAGATAAGATGTCAACTTCTGGCAACTTGTATTGTCATTTGAAGCAAATTGAAAAAATAACCTTTCCACGTCCAATTTCTCAAAATCCGGGCAATTTTTTTAGACCGTGGTTTTCCAGTTCTGCCCATTGTTTTTGAATTATATATCAAAAGTGACAGGTCCTTGGTGTTACCAAAATTGTTGAATTCCTTTGTGTAAATATTGTCAAATATCTCCTTACAAAATATATTTTTTCCAGATATAATTTCAAAAGTTTGATACTATAGTATTCATAGTAACTGTAAATCCTGCATTTATGAAATATTTCAAACAATTCCGTGAATATTTGGTATTTCCTAGAGAGAAGTTTTTCTCCATGCCCTCCATATGATCTTTGACATTGAGATTGGTACAAGAACAACACAAAAGCAAATAATGCGGTGCTACGTCTTACTGACTCACAGGAGTCTTGTATCCAGATTAGAGAAACATATATAAAAACGCGTTGGGAACAGACAATGGAAACAACAAAGGGGTGCCCAAATGTCACATATGGTACATACAGGCACTGTGGCATTGTGCCTATATTAATGAAAATTTTGACATTTTTACTTTTTAGGCTACGTATAACTTGAATAATACATGCCCCATTTAGTATATGTCAGCCACGGGTGTTGTCGATTTTACCAAAAGTGAGATACATACTGCCTCGTTAATTATATCCTGACATGTTCAAAATAAGAAGTGAGTTGATAAAATATTTTCCCTGGGTTTCGCTCATCAGATTTGCCTTTACCATTTTAACAGAACACAATCAGTAGGCGTTTTTGTTGATGCCAGTGCCTTGTTCAAACCTAGAAGTGATGACAACTCATCTTTATATAATTATTACTATGGCACATGTATTGTTATGATGACGATATCTGTTTTGAGAGTATGTGCTAATTGACCAACAGCGCTCGCAAATAGAATATATTTCATTCAACAGAGTGAACACGCATTGCCGTGCATGTGACTTCTTTTAGGAAATTCAAAGAACATAGGTTCTGTTCTGACACGATTGCCTAACATTCTTGGATCGTAGAGTAAGTAATAGTTCTTGTTTCAAAATCTTAATAAATACATTTCTGATACATTTGATTTAGACATGTCATTTGATTTTAATATTTGTCTCATCAGTTTTACCTTGTGGATTTGAAAGTGGGCGCCATGGCAGAATTTCACATGATACAACGGTATGTTGCTGGAGTGGTTACACCGTTTATTGGGGGATTTGGCATTCTGTTCAACATTTCCGTCCTCATGACATTGATCAGGCGACAGGAACGGACACAGCTATGTAAGTAATGAGTTGGAATTTATCAAACTTAACTGTTAGTTAGTTACATTTACCTTGTAGACCATTATTTGAAATTCTAGTACTGCAGTCTTTTAAAACTGAGCTCGGACTAACGTGTCAATCTCGCCATACGCACTTTGTACTCACGAGTATAAATAAAAAATGGCTAAAAAATTTTCTCAGACCTCAATAAACAAGGAGGATTGGCTCCCAGACTGCACCACCGATATTCTGTCCCATATATGGGTATGTCGTAATACAAAATTCGAATTCAAACAGCCGCCATTTTGTTCACTTCAACATTTAAATCGTGAATTTTGGTCTTATTTCCAAACGAAAAATTCCAAAACTCACAAGAAACGATCGAGATATTGGTTCGAATCTTTTGAACTGTTTATTTTGAATTTATAGTCGGTTTTAATTTCAGAAAATAACGACATTTCGACGTTTTCATTGTTGGAAAATATCGAGTTTCGATCCTGGGAGCCAATCCTCCTTGTCAATAAACAAATTATTTCTTGACCAGCAAATTCTGCCGTTTTCTTGTCTTAATTGAATTAGGAGCGTTTTTTGATGAATTTACATCGTTTTATTTTTAATAAGGTAAATAAATTTCATATCAAAACGATGGATTGGCAATTATGTTTTGGCAATTTATTGTCTTCGTGATTTCGATCTCCCAATTTCGGAAAAATACCCTTCTAGGTTTATAACGTGATTTAATTTGTTTTAGGGTTCTTGCTTGTATTTCTATCAGTGGTCCACCTGGTGATTTCCGGGTACCATTCAACTCTTTCAATCGTTGTTGCTGTTGCTACTGGACTTAGAGGGATAACGCACGTGTTCACAGATTCGATGTGTTCCGTTGTGGGCGTTTGTAGCTATATTCTTGACAACGTTTCGATTTTGCTGCTTGCGCTTATCGCAGTCGATCGGTGAGTACTGAAATTGACAATTTCATCTGCCCTTCTGGAACAAACTGCACATATCCAAACTAGTTACCAAAACGTTTGGGTAACAAAATGGCGGAACCTCGAAGGCACGTTTTTACTTGTTTCCATATTTCACGAGTTGTAGGCAGCATTTCCACGACATTTTTAGATTTTGTAACCGAAACTGACAGTTATGCTAACTAGTTAAAAGCGTGTAGTACCAGTGATTATAAGGATCAGATCTAGTCAGCTAATGTATTTTCAATTTATAGACAAACCACAGGCATTGGTTTATTAATATAAAATGTCCAAGAAAAATCCATAATGATTTGCATGCTTGGACTTGTCACATGGTCATTGCCATTCTATTTTTGAAGAAGATTTATGCAATGACAGTGAGAACAACAAGATCGTTCTCTTTTTAGTAAATAACTAAGTTAATTTGAAAAATAGGTTCATCAGGTAGGGTCCAATTTATAGTTTCGGTTTCGGTTTCATTTATAATTTTATTATCTTGCTTGGTTACCTTGCTTGGTTGATTGGAAATGTTATATTTATGGTTACAAAATACACATGTTCAAAAATGACTGTCTAAATTTTGCCATACCATACCACACCTGGTCCTTTGTTGTTTTTAAATAAGACTTGTTTGTTAATCAAACATGTTATTCCCTTTCTAAGAATGAATATCTAGGCACATGAAACTAAAACAAGATAAATATTGTTGTTATCGGTCATATCGTACTTATTATTACACAAAGGTTAAGGCAGGTTATCGCAAACAATTTTAGACGGTTATATCTTGGATTTTGACTATTTTCTGACCATAAAGACAGGTATATCTTTTAGATCCATTCATTATCTCAAAGAAAAGTAAATACAATGTTAATAAAGTCAATCGGACTTGAAGAGTTTTAGCTAGCAATCAACCCATCAACATACAGGGTGACCGGAAAAAAAGGAGACCATTGAAATAGGCAATATCTCCTAAAATAGACTAGTGACATCAATGAAATTTTGCATACATCAGGACAGTTCTATGGAAATTTGTTCCTGAAAGTGTCAATACAAGCAGTCAACTGGTTCAGGAGCTATGATCATTTACATAACATGCTCCAAATAGGCGCAATTGAGACCAACGCAGAGCTGGATACATTTGGCAAATACCCTTACATATTCCGACCTTGTTATGGCATTACATTTAGCATTTATTGCCACCTTTAGGTCAGCAATTGTCTCAGGATTGTTTTGGTACACATTGTCTTTCAAATTGCCCCACAAAAAGAAATCAGGTGGATTCAAATTTGAGGTGTATGGAGACGAAGCTTATCTGACCTATGGCTTCTGACTCAGTGGTCCCACTCAGTTACAGTATCATCCTAAGGAGGTTTTGGGCAGCCCTTGGTTTTCATATGGGATTTAATTGTGCCATATAGTGGTTTTAGTAACATGGCACTATGCCCAATACCTAAAGTGACTCTTAAGATTTGGTAAATCAGCACTTTGGCAACAGGATGATGAACCACATGTCAGATAACCCTTCATTGCCATTACAGCCTAGACTTGAATCCTGCTGATTTCTTTTTGTATGGATATTTGAAAGACAATCTATACCAAAACAATCCTCAGACTATTGTTGACCTAAAGAAGGCAATCACTGCTATATGTAATGCCATAATAATGCCATAGAGGGCAGAACATGTAAGGGTAGTTTGCCATATGAATCCAACTCTGCGTTGGTCTCAATTGTGCCTATTTAGAGCATGTTATGTAAATGATCATAGCTCCTGAACCAGTTGAATGCTTGTATTGAAACCTTCAGTAACAAATTTCCATATAACTGTTCCAGTGTATGCAAAATTTCATTGATGGCACTTGTCTAGTTTAGGAGAAATTGATTACTTCAATGGTCTCCTTTTTTTCCGGTCACCCTGTACTTTGTCAAAGTTGTTAACCTCATTTTCACCAAAAATGCAATTATTCTTTATTTTGATGTATCAATTAGTTATTGAAAGGAAAACAGAATTACTCGCTCCAATACTTTAGAGAATATTGATAATAGGGAAATTGGTCTGTAGTTATTGAATTTAGTTTCATCCTCCTTTTTAAATATAGGCTTGACCTTTGCTTTTTTTAGTAAGTCTGGAAATGTTGCTGTTGAAAGAGAGAGGTTGCATATATATGTCAGAGGTATAATTAAATTATCCTTGGCTGTTTTTATTGCAATTGGTTTGATTTGATCTTGACCAGGGCTTTTGTCTTCAAGTTCTTGTAAGATTTTGCTCATTTCATCATTTGAGACATCTGATAAAAATATTGACCTATTGAAATTTTTTTAAATTTTTTCTAAATAATACCTGGGCTGTTTTTGAGAGATTGGAATTTTTCTAGCAAGGTTGTTTCCAATATTAGAGAAAAAATTGTTGAAGTTGTTTGCAATTTCTTGGGGATCCTTAAAGTGCTTATCTCCTGATCTAAATGTAGTAGAAAATTTTTTTGGGGAGATTTTTCGCTTAAGGATGCCATTTATTAATGACCATGTGTCCTTCATGCTTCCTTTGATTTTATCAAATTTATTGTCATAATATAGCTTCTCAGCTCAAATCGTTTTATTTAGTTCTTCATTTTTTCAGATGGAATGCAATATTTCGACCAGCGACATATATAAACATAGGTGGCACATTGTCAAAATGGAATAAATTTTTAATCGCAGGATGTTTCATCACTCCAGGTAATTTTAATGTATTAAAGTTGCTATTTCACCATAGAAAAAGTCGTCAAATTGTGGCTGTTCTTTTTTGCAATTTTGCAAACAGTATTGTGTACTACTTCTATTTTATTTTTAGCTTTGTTTGGGTCTCTTGCCATATTTGGAGGATTTACATTCAACCCGGTTGCTGGAAAATGCGCTGTTGGACATCGTCATCTGCTCATCACGACTACATACACTTTTTTGTTTCGATTTGCCCCTATACTACTTCTTCTTGGAATCGTTCTGAAATTGTGTCGTCCCCTTGGACGATTTGAATCCAATCGGCAACAAGGTGTTCTTCCTACGGAACCAATCATTATTGAACCCTCACATAGCTACAATGCGACCACCTTCGAATTCCCTTCTCCAAATTCTCCCACTGTAGTTGCACCCATCGTTTCTGGGCTTGAGCTCCGTGCAACAAAGTCAATGGTGAGCCTCCTCATCGCAGGAATCGTGATTGGGTCCCTTGAAATGATAGTAATTCTTCTGGGTATGGATCTGCTGGTTGAATTGCTTACGTTCCAATATTTATTCACAATGGCATACCCATCCATCATTCCTTTGATGTTGCTGACCCAGAAAAACATGTTTAATGCAATGTTTCGTAGACTCATTGGACGCTGCACATCCGTCTGCACCAAACGACAAGAAAATGCGGGGCGAGCACGCCTCTTCTTGGATCCACATTTTCATCTCGCTTCAAATGACGATGTGGAAAAGTCGTGCTCCATTAACAATCAACTTCCAGAGTTTTTAAAGCAATCGCATATTGTTGATGTTAATGTTTCTACAGTTGAAACTGATCCACCTGCCGACAATCGTGTTATCATCCAGAATCGGAAAGAATCCGAAAATTTTTTGCACCCGCATAGAGCCTCACTGCAAGCAGGAAATCACCGCGCCTTCGAAAATGATGACGTCAGCAGCATTGATTCGCTCCGTGTTATGATTGACGCAGACAAATGGTCTCTATCAGCTTGTTCAACGATAACACTCTCCCGTCCCGATCGCCGACATTCATTGTCACCATTCGCTCCTCGCAAAACATCACAGTTCTCAACGTGTAGTGAACGTAAACAGCGAGCAAAATTAAGCAACGCTTTTTCACATAATTTCGCCTTGGAGATTCGTGGGAAATATAAACCTACATCAGTCTCCCCAATGCCCGAAATTGTGACCGATTCGACACATTTCAGCGCCAGCTTCGATCTTCCCGAAACCCCCACATCTCCATCTGCCCGCGTGTCTGCTGACGTCACTAGATGGATCAGGTCCTCGGGAACGGACGTGAATGGACCTAACACGGAATTCAGAACATGTTTTTCCCTTCAAGAGAACGTATCTGGTGACAATATAAACATATCTACCTCCAATAGCTCATTGAATAAAGCTGAAACTCAAAAAAGTAACACATCTACGCCTAATAAAGCGCCCTTACTGAAGAAGCACACCAGTTCCCATAGTCAATTAAAACACGTAGATTTGCTGCCATCAGTAGAACACTGACAGATGTCACCACCCCCTTCTAAAGTAATTACCGCATCAACTGAATGCTAACTGAAACTAAAAGAGGTCCAAGAAAATTCAGCGCAGCGAGCGTCGCTGGACGATTAATCTAATCAATCTATGCTATTGGATAACTATCTCCCAGGGACTCGCAGAACTCCACACCTTGTCGACATGAGGAAGAAAAGAGCCTCGCGATCTGAAGTTTTGATATTATTGTGTTGGTTAAGTGTGGCGTTCCTAATCTTCTAATGTTGGAACATAGGAATTTCACAAGCACACTAATAGATTGCTTTATGCATGATTTGCTGCAATAATTTAGTGGCGGCCATTTTAAAATTTGCGTCATGAAAAACTACTTCATAATAACAAATACATTTTTGGTATATCTTTCTTCATCAATCCACAAGTAAAATCACCATATTGCCATTTGAAATGAGTTTTTGGTATATTATTCCTTTCTTAAAATGAATTCAGTTTCTTTCATAAATGTTTTTATTGTCTATGGTGTCATTTTGCACAGATTGTTCCTTGGAAATATTTTCATTAATGAAGATCAAAATGCCTACAAGAACTAAGATATATATTTTAATTCTAATTACTATGATATATTCATACCATAATTAGAGTTAGGAGGTAGGGTGACAATTGATACGTGTTAATAGACGATAACAAATAATGAACTGATTTATTAAAGGCCCTTAGCTACATAAATAGAATTATTAAAACTGAATTTTAGAGCTCGTGACGCATATGTTTTAATGAGTGATAATTCACACCATCGCAAATGCATTCATCGCTTTTGTAGAAAAATAAGGAAAATTGGTGGATTAGAATAAGCAAGAAATTGAACTCATCCATGCCTGAAAGTGGTTCAGAGAAAAAAGCATTTTCAAATTTTAGTTCTTAAAGAGACCAATTGTAAATAGTAATATTTAAAACATATTTATATTTTCTTTTCAACCTATAGTTTTGGAAGTTTAATATATTTAGAAAAGACTGACTTTTAAACTCATAAAAAATAGTAAATGTGTGATAAAAACATATACTCAAACTTTATATGGGGCCTTTAAATATCCATTTGTCACGCAGCTATCATGCAGCTATCAGTAGGTATAATGCAGCTATAAACATGTCCATCGGATGAAATATTTGTGTTAGAATTCAATGCAATGATGTTCACATGTTTAAGTGTATCAAGATTTAAAGGCCTGGGTATAATATTTAAAGTCATCTTTCAGAAAAACTATGTCTAGCACAAGTGGACCTCTGACTTCCCAAAACCCTTGCACTTATGTGCTATATACAGTGAAACCTGTACACCTCTCTAATCCGAACACCTCTCTAATCTGAATACCTCTCTAATCCGAACACCTCTCTTACGTTTTATTTAACATTGAAATGTGAACACCTGCTTAGCCTAACAATTTTGACCAGTCCAAGAGGCGTTCGGATTAGACAGGTTTTATTACTGAGTACATACAATTGTTGTCAATTATATCAATATAACACAACATACTTCGAAAAAATTTTTTTTCGTTTTATTGCTTATACAAATGCATCGGCTCCAAATGTATTTATTCACCTGGTACTACAGTTTAAGTTATCAGCAATACAGTAGAGCCACGCATCATGGAAATAGTAAAAGAAGCAAGAATATGAAAATATAGGAATTAAATATCCTCCATGTTGCATATATGTGTTTGAGTTTTAGTCGAGATCTGGAGATGTTAGTACATCCAAAGGGCAATCAGATAAAGGGCGTAGACGGCATATGTAAGTCCAGTGTGACACAAAACTGTCATCCCTCTGCTTGTAGTTTGTGATCGTGTTGTCATGGAATGATTGGAATCTAGAAATAAAAACTGTCGTTTATGTTTAAAAATTATTGATATTTTGTTTATGTTTTTGTTCATTGAATAAAACGTTTGGATTTTTAAACCAAGAAAATTGCAATCAATATTTCAGGTCGAAATCCTAAATGTAATTTTGATTCCTTGGATCACGAAAAGTTTGTTTCATAAAGACCACCCACATCCACCCAAGGCAAAACATACATAATAGGGAGTTTAAGCTTGCAATGTTTTTCACAACCTAAACCTGAACGGAAAATATTAAAGCGATGCATTTGAATGGGCGATTGGTCAAATGTATAGGTTGGCGTTTCGATTTTATACGCCAGCTTTGACTCCCTATTTATGTGTTAAAACGGATACTGAAACGATGGACAGCTAACATGGGCAAGGTAGCTGTGCGGCGAGAAAACCAGATCGTCTTGATAACTGACGAACTATAATGCTGATGATCAGACGGAAGGGAATTCGAAATACTGAATACTGGCGTGAATCCGTCATTCCTGCAACATGTCCCCACAAATTGGTGATCCTATATAAATTTTCTCCCTGAATGCCCAACACTTGAAACATTTCTTTCTTTCTTATCTGTGTCCAAAATAAGTTTTGCCCGAAGTTTCAGTTTTGAAGGATTCACGATGCCTTTGAGTAAAAGTGATAAGAAAGTGGATCACTTTTGGGACACCCGACTGCGATTGAAAGGGCGATTTTTTGAAGACTGTTTCAAGAAGAAAGAATGAGTGGAACATAATTGAGAAGGGAATCTCGGACAATGTGTGGAGCTATATAACGGTAACTACTTAAAACTTGAAATCAAAAAATTCACTGCATTCACTGCAGGATACGGTATACGATAGTATAGGATACGATATGTCATTGGCGCAGATATCGTTGGGGGGGGGGGGTTCGATCACACCCATCGCACCCCGTCTGGCTACGCATATGCATGATAAGCGGTTCTTAAACATGTTCTTCAAGTTGGATTATTAAATCACAATTTTTTTTTTCACAACCTTTATTTTACTAAACAGGACGTTTCGGATCCTGTCTGGGTCCTTTTTCAGCTGTATAAAAACTGAACTGAAGCGCATTGATGATTTTTTGTGATGATTGTGATTGTGATGAAGCGATGTTTTTACATACTGTAGTCAATTCGAGAATCCTAGTCGTGTGCATCACAATGCACACGAAGATGACATTAAATTATATATGATGAGCCGGATGTAAGAAACGAAAGGCACACTTACTTTGCTCGATTGGCAAGTGGAAACTTCTTCAAGCCTCATTTTACAATTTGTATAAATACAGATGTCCACGTTGATGGTGTAAATTGTGTATGTAACTTTGTTATGCAGACATGCAACTCGTGTTAAATACGGACTATCCTCAAGATTTGTGACAAGAGAATCCCAAATGTTCCCAATATCCCAATATGAACTTACCCTGCGCGCAGAGTTATGAACTACTGAAGACGAAGCTCTCTTTTAAGAAGTGAAGTCGAACAAATACAAAGGGTATTTATGAACTCAGCTACATGTAAATGATCGCTGCCCTACTCCGACTTTACTATTTAGTAAACCTTTTCAAATTTCCCAAGACGTCAGCCAATTTTAGTGCATCAATGACGTCGGGGTGGTTTTCAGTTTATTTGACTCAGAGATAAAATCGAAGGTTCATCGATATCAAACAAATTTTGTCCGCCATTTTGGATGATACTAACGCCAGTTAGTTTCATCCTGCTTTGTAGCTAGCAGTGATATAAAAAAGGACCAGGTATAGTTTGGCAAGTTCTTTTCGACAGGCATATCTTTTACCATGAGTATACTTTCTCAATTTAGATATGACATTTCTCATAAACACAACTATCTTTCAAGTAAATTCTCAATGGGAATACAAATATTAATCGAGAATTTTGAAAAAATATGAATAGGGACCCCATATCAACATTTTTTCAAAATTACTATTTACTCAAAAGAGGATCTTTTTCTGATTTTTATTGCAAGATTATTCAACAAGGGGTCTAAATCTTCTTCAAATGTAGAATGGTATTGAAAGTCTAATTTTGAAGATACGAATTTGCTATGAACAAAATGATGTCGAAAACAATGGAAAGCATGAGTGAGGTTCTATAATCAATAATCTTTCAGAGATTTGGATTTATATTTTTTATCAAGGGGACTTCACTTGAAAGAAAACATAAATATTTCAATAAAAACCGATGTATTTGTGGCCAGAAAGTACTAGTGGTGAAAGATATGACTGTCCAGAATCACTTGCCATACTATATCTGTCCTATGCGATATTTTCCTCTATATTAGGTTGATGGGGGCGGACATTATGACGGTCATTATAAAACTCCCTTTTACAGTGTATTTAGGCTAACATCACTGATAATGCAAATGTTTGGTGATTGAATTATGATGATCATGTAAAGACTCATAGAGCTGACTTAATAACTTAGATTTAGAAGCAAATTATAACGTACATTGTCCAATAAAATTGTAAGGTTCACCTTCTGTGCCAGACAACAACCAAGGCCATGGTGTTTCCACGGGGCTTCCTGGAAAGATGCAGTTAAAATGGTAATATACGACTGTATTTCCAACGATTTTATGACGGAAGCATCAATTTTATATAATAGTACATACAAGTGTATCTGCTACCCCAACTTTGTACAACATGCAGAATATGTAACGATAAATTCTAGTCCTATGATGGCCTATGATAAATTGAATCTCAAGAGGACAGATATTATCCAATTTTCGGAATAATTTTGATAAATCGAAAGAGTTACAAATCCATGCAAAATTATCCCGATCAAATACAAAAGTAACAATAAATAACATACCATCTGAACATGATTTCTGTATATGTGAATATAAGTAAAAACATAAAGGCCAATCTATAAATCGCTGTATTCCCCAACACATGGGCAGACACTTCGTCGAGACCTTGTGCTTCACACAGCATTTGAACATTGCCATGGCTGAAAAATGAAAGGTCATCATAATGACGTGTACGACACTAACCACGTCTTAAAGCTAGCCGTACGTATCAATCGGACATTAGAAAGTTTAAGTTTTTCACAACGTAACCGTGAACGAAAGTAAATGTTTCAATGGAATGTGTGAATCGCATACAGTTTTATATGCGATTCCACAAGCGCTTTCAGTCAACTGTAGATACCCGTTCAGCTTCAGAGTTTCGAGTTTAGAACGGGAAATTTCAAATTTCACGTTGATGTCAACGGGAATCATTATACTTATGTCTATTGCCTGGTAATTTTGATTTCGATACACAGTAGATTTTTTCTGAAGAAAATGATGTATGGCATGGATTTCGACCTTATATACAAGCTTAAACTCTCTATTGTCCGTTTTGTCCGCTTTTGTTTGCCGAACAATGTTCTACGTTGTGCTGTTTTTCCGACGACGTCTTGTTTTGTCCGATGATGTCCGGACTTACAGCGCGGGGCATTGTATAGAATACGCTCCCTTTCATGACTGGTCGTGCCCAGGTCCCAGGGTTATTACAGAACGTCGAATAAATTTACCACCATCCTAGATTGAACTCTAGTTAGTATCATCCTGATGTACAGACTATAGTGCTTTAATAATTCTAATCGAACCAATAATGATAGCCCATTCGATATATTATTGCGCAATATAATTATATTATATAATATATTGCGCTACGCCCACAATTGTTTAAAGGATTGGTATCGATATGGTGAACTGAATTCAACAATGTTTTTCTCTTAAATCAATTACTGAAAACATTCTGTAAAAACGCGGTCCTTTATGTAATGTCGACTGATTGGCAACAATTTAATGCGAAAATTATTTATATATATTTTATATAACTGTTTTTGTCAACATTTTTGTTTTTTAATACAATCTTTCCAAACCTTGTTGCATTTGGAACAAAATACATATACAACATTTTCTTAAACCTCTCAATATATAAAGGAAATTTGGGTTGATTTAATTAAGAAAAAGTATTAAAAAAATTAAAACAAAAAATCAAGATTCGCCTTTTATTTCATGAACAAGATACTTTTTTAAATCAACCAAACTTGCCTTTGTAAAATTACATTATTGAGAGACCTAAACACGAACGTGTTTATGTCATTTTGTTCCAATGAGGTTCGGATAGATGTTTCATTTCATTCCGGACATATGATACCAAGAACAAGAAGCGTCTGCTGTGTTTCTAAAACAATTTGGAGAAAAGCATTTATATATTTTTCGAATTATATTGTTACCATTCAAAAGACGATCATTTAATTGACGATGTGTAAAATTTTCAGAATTTTTTGATGACTGGTTTAAGAGAAACGTATGTTCAAAAAGTTCACCATATCGATACCAATCCTTTTAAGATATAGCAATTTTCTTGACAAAATGAGATATCTAATGTTACATGATGTCAATATCCAAGTTCAGGCCTCCTAGACTTCCACCAACGCGAACATTAGTTCTGACCTCGCGAACTACATGTACGTTCCTTGCACTCGAATCACGATTCTCACATCGCGAACGCGAAATCTTTAGTCGCGCACCTCAAAACAATTTGTACATAGTGCATCTGGGTATTTGGGAATTTTTTAGTTTTTCGTAATAATGCGAATAACATTACTTTTTTCGATCAGGTGTGTGGTTCGCGAGTACGGATCTCTGTGCGCAAGTGGCACCCCCCCCCCCGGCTGAAAGCTGGCTACGCCCATGGAGTGAATATATAGCCGCACATCCCGTCATACGCCCACCATAGAGCAAATATGACTGAAGCTTTAGACTCGTTGGTTCATGTTATCCATACCGAATAATTCTGCATAACGATTGGTTGCATTATCATTATTATGAGATTCTGATATAACATTGCCATGTTTGATACAGAAGATTGTTTACCTTGTTTTTGTATGCAGCATTTTATGGAAATATTTACTTTAAACGCTGTTTCATTGGAATTTCGAAGATCCATCATCACTAGCTTTATGAATACTGCGCTTGGCTTGGGATTATCAAGCAATATAATCCGGCTGGTATCATATATACCATTCCCTTGGATGGGAGAATATCTTCTTTTTCCGTTGGGGTCCTGGATTATTAGGATTTTCACTGTTTTCACATTGCCTTGTATAGTTATTTGGTCTATTAGGGGATTTACTAGATGAGAGACGTCTATCTGTATATAAGGTTTGGCATCTGAGGAGACATCTCGAGATACTTCCCAATACGAGTCTTTTGATCCAAGTAATGATCCACATTGGTCTATAGTTTTTCCTTTATAAACACATGTCAGCCTGAAATCCTGAATATATTGTCTGGTGCTAAGTATGTCTACTCCACAGACATATTTCAAATCCAAAGAGGACTGTGAAAGAGATTTGTTCCGTTGTTCTTTCATATTCAGCCCATGTTGAGTCGGATGTGAGTTGTCGTTGCTTTTGTCACTATCTGATCTGACACTTGATAGCATTATGTAAACCATAGCTGCAAACATACAATTGCATGATAGTAATACACAAACGATAGCTGCAAACATACAATTGCGTGATAGTAATACACAAACCATAGCTGCAAACATACAATTGCGTGATAGTTATACACAAACCATAGCTGCAAACATGCAATTGCGTGATAGTAATACACAAACCATAGCTGCAAACATACAATTGAGTGATAGTAATACACAAACCATAGCTGCAAACATACAATTGCGTGATAGTAATACACAAACCATAGCTGCAAACATACAATTGCGTGATAGTAATACACAAACCATAGCTGCAAACATACAATTGCGTGATAGTAATACACAAACGATAGCTGCAAACATACAATTGCGTGATAGTAATACACAAACCATAGCTGCAAACATGCAATTGCGTGATAGTAATACACAAACCATATAGCTACAAATGCATAATTATTTGACAGTAATACATAATTTGAGTTCTAGAAGCAACTTCCTATCCAGTGATTTATTTTTTGTACGGTCGTAACTTGCAATCTTTGAAAAGAATATTAAAGCACATGATAAAATGAATTGTGGATGATTTAATCCATCCATGTCTGTATCCTACACTTTGAATTTGGGCCATTACACTCGTTAAAAGTCTGGAAACAAGACATACATGGTTTAAATCATGGTTTATAATTCATTAAGCGCCGGGCTAAAATCCTTTACTAAAGATCAATATCCAATTTATAATTTTTGGCCAACATTTGTTTTTAACATTTTTGACCCAACTGGAAGAAAAAAACGTTAAAACTTGTACATCTTGTGATGGCGGAATATCACAATTAGTGGAGGAATTCGAAGTTCATGAAGTTGTTGATAATCCCGGAGAAATCCCAATTGAACGGGACTTCCAATATTTCGGCTTTCGTTGGTTCGGTGGAGTGAAGGCTAGATAGAAATCTACCTGAGTATATCCTGCGAATTTCCATGCTTTCGTGTTCGGCCCAATTATGCACGTGGCTTATCCAATATACAATTATACATGCAGACAGTCTCCTTGGATTAATAACTCCTGGTACACCTGTTGTTTCTAGACATTTTGTTTTCCAAATACAAAAATGCCAATAGATAGCTTTAACATTCACACATATATTTTGCTTTTGTTGCATCAGATATCCTTGTGTAGACTATTGAAATCTATTAACAACATTATTTATTGGCTAATGGTGCAACTTTGAAAGAACGATCACTTAACAATGACAGTTATAGCCGACATTTCAAAATAAAGACACAGGCACATTAATCTTCATTAATAGAATGGACATTCACTATTGGTAATATATATGGAATATTTTGCGTTAAACATTTAATTCTGTTTTAAACAATTTAGGTTTCACTAAAATAAATTCAAATCTCATTCCTGAATCAAAATCCATTGTTTTTATCCTATGGTTCATCGAACTACACTAGTGTTATTTTGTTTCAATGTCAACCCTAAAATGCGCTCAAAATTGAGGCCAACCAAAAGTATCATAAGTTTTGTTCAAAACTATGAAGGAGAAGAAAATTCATATTTCTTCAAGAGAAACAAGATACTGCGAAGCCAAGAAAAATATGGAAAGTGGATGAAAAAGTAACACATTGTGTGAGAATAGTGCACACGGAGGCATCGCCAGGCAGTAAAGGGAGGGTCGGAGAAAAATGATATCGAAGACACAAATACAAGTACATACATCACGTTAACGTGTCACTTGGTGATACCAGGAAATATGAGCCTATGATATGGTCAGCAATATCTGTGTTTCAATATCTGAAATCTGTTGAAATAGATAGATGGCGGAAAAGCGGACATCTTTTAGTTTTTGTCCCTTGGCACATAATGGTTCATAATTAATCCGAATAATATTGGGCCATTTAATAGAGGAGTTAAATTGTCCATTAATAAAAAAAATAGTGGCCTAGAAACCGTGCCTGTATCATTTGTCAAAAACACTCCCCACTATGGCTGATTTGGGCGTTCCAGTCGAGTAAATCTGGAACTGTATCACCCGGAGAAAGATAAATCTGCATTATGTTCCATTCAAAAAGTTAGATGAGGTATTTTGATGTTTTAGTTTAAAGTCTGGGCCTTAGGCACAAGCGACCTCTTTGATTAACTGTACAATTGAGATAGAAAAATATATTTTATTTGTTCTGTTATAAGTTTCATGCTCGTTTCATGACGCCTTTTCCTTATATCCATGCTCCGTCTCTGTGGTGGGTTGCATACGACAAAATCTAAGGCCCGGGAATGTATAATGTAGTTCATAATTAACTTAAAGAGAGAATCAGATCTAGCGAGCAGCCGAACAAAAATAAAATACTTTATTTCAGGAATACTAAAGATTTTTACGAAAATGTATTATCTTTCTATAAGCATGGTTACCATTCTTATTATTTGGGAGAATTTAAACATTTTCACCCATTTTTGCACTTCGAATCCATTATAACTTCACCAATTTATAACATATCGTGAATCTTTTGGGAGATATTGTATCTGAGATGGTAAGGAATAGATTGGTAGGTCAGTTGTACATGTTGCTTGTAATTTTGTCACCCCCAATAGATCTGATTCTGCCTTTAAGATAAACAACACATACAACGCATTACACTATGCGACATTTAAATATTGTTTATATATCTTAATCCTGGACCTAAAACTGTACTAATGAAATTTTGTCAATTTCTGGCCGAAGCTGGACAATTTTTTTCACGTAGATTACATGCATGCTCCTTAAGCATATTAGTTAAAATAGTTTTTTGTACTACAGCCCAACGGAAGAAAAATTAATTTAAATTGAAAAGATATTAGCTGACCATTATTGAGTTTACTATTCAAATGAGACTATAACGGTTTACGCTAAAAGCTTTTATTATACCAAATCCCTCAATAGGGCTACCCGTGTGTCTAAAAATGCTAATTGTACAGGATGTTTGTCACTTTATAGGCGGGTTAAGTGACAAGTGAAATGTCCCCTTTGGTATGGAAGTTCCTTAGGGCCTTAGAACAAACTTTTTACAAGGACAGCTTTAGCCTCGTTAAAGTTATAATGACAAAAGTAGGTCAGTAGTAGGAAATCAGGAACCAAAATATTGTTTATAAAATTTTTCACATGCCTACTTTACTGTGATAAATGGGCTAGATTGGTTTGTTCCCTGAACGGCATTGGTTGCGATACAAGGATCGTGGGTGATAATATGAATGTACTGTAGCTGAAGGTCAAAAAGTCAAGGTTGCATTGGTGTATTTAAACACTCGGACGTAGCTTCATTTTCCCGAAACTCGTTAAAACAGGGTGGTCCAAAAAATGTTCTTCATGAAAACATATTATATTATATACCAGTGGATAGGGAATTTACTTATCTTTAATTTGGAATATCATAACTTTAAAATTATGATGTCTGACAATCAGCGTCCATAATATTAATGACGTCATTTTCGTTTCAAAACGGGGTTTCCAAAACTTCCAAAAACCAAGTTTTTTGTCAACTTGATTTACATAAACAGACGCTTAATATGCCACCATTTTGATCAATTTTAGCCCTAAATTTTGGCTTAAACTGGCCAATAGCATCATTGACATGCTGTTGAGACAATGAATTCCACTTCTCAACAATTCTGTCCTTAACACCCCAGTCACATTTGTCGCACGGCGGCCGCAAGTTGACCGCAGATCAATTAAATCGGTGAATTTCTGCGGCGAGCGTTGAAAAACTACGCTCGCCTTGCGGCCTCCGTACGGCGTATGCAGATTTTTACAGGCCGCAGGGAAGGCGTAGAAATTATAGCTCGGAGTTATAATTTTTGTTCATTTCTGAGGTCGCCGTAGAAATCAACTGGCTCAACAAGATTGAATCATTATTTGTCAATGTTTCACGATCACTTTTCATTTGATGCCTAGCACTATGATTAACATTTATAAATTGTCCCGATGTGAATGAAAAAAGTATTATTTATCAACAGAAATTTAAAATTCACCGTGCGGCTGCCGTGGGAAATGTGACTGCAAAAGTATGAGAGCGCAGAAATTCCACGACCAGCGTAGAACTGTTACTGGCCGCAGAAATGATAGACCGCAAGGTCGCCGTAGGAAATGTGACTGGGGTGTAAGGGACTGATTTCAAGCAAAGACTGCAAGATTTTTGGTTGCAACACAACCATCATTTTAAGCTTTTCAGTGTTGCACCGTTTCCGATCACTTACTTCACAGTTACTGTTAAATGTTGAATCCTAACCCAATTATCATTTTCTGCTAACTAAAGACCAGCTGATGATTTTAAAGCCTTGCGATAGGATTGTGTCAGTATTAGAAAATATACGATATCATATAATACAATATAACATAATATAATGTACTTGGGTCAGTCAAAAAGTTCTGTTTATTTATCTCTAACTTTGTCATTTTGAGGATTTACTTCTTGATATTTGGTACATCTATAGAACATATATTTGTGCAACAATTGCCTTAATATTGTATCTCACATATGATTGGTTATTAAATTATGGTTGCTATGGTAACAGAATTGCGGGGTATACGGTTCAGCTAAAAAACGTCATATTTGTAATGTCACATTAATTTCATTTGGCATCAATTGGCAACATCATTGAGCAAGATAGGCACATTTCACTGGATGAGATTAGTTCCATTCTGAATATTTCTCATGGCTCATGTCATACGATCATCACTAAAGTATTGAAAAAGCGTTACGTAGCCTCAAAATGGGTTCCAAGATTCCTCACTCAAGAAGGGCCATATGTCAGAAGAGACGGCGAGGGTTTAAGCCACACTTCCACATGGACAATGCTCATCCCCATACAAGTAATGTTACCAAGACTGCCCTAGAAGACCTCCAATGGAGCAGGATTCCACAAGCACCATACTCCCCAGACACATCTCCATGTGACTTTTACCTCTTCAGCAATCTAAAGAGGGGTCTTCGGGGGATCCGGTTTGATTCCGATGAGGCTCTGCGGGCAGCAGTGCGCAAACGTTTAAATGAATTGTCAGCTGGCGGTTTCAAAGGGATCTTCAGAGACTGGGTAGAAAGGCACCGAAAGGTCATTGCTGCAAGAGGCAATTTTGAAGGCTAAATAACTAAATTAAACTTAGATATGACATCAGGGACTTAGTTAGAAAGGAGTTTTTAAATATTGAGACAGTTTAAAGTATATTTCATGTTATATAACAGTGTATGAAAATCAATTAAATTGGGTTGAACCGAGTACATCGCCCTTCTGTTACCATAGCAACCATAATTCAGTACCCAATGGTAGTTGGGATACAATAACTAGTCAATATTTGCACGAATGTATGTTCTATATGTGTACCAAATATCAAGAAATAATTCCTCAAAATGACAAAGTTAGAGATAAATAAACAGAACTTTTTGACTGACCCAAGTATATCATAGATTAAGTATAATATAATCCTTTGTAATAAATCCTGGAAAACAGAAACGCTTCTTGCATTCTTCATGATATTACGATTAATCTAACTCGGATCGGGAAGCAGATGATATCGACGTGATTTTCGACATTGCTTCACTTGTTCATGTTCAAGTTGTTCACCCGATTACACACATCTTCAAAAGTTCCGAAAGTTTCTAAAACAAATGGACGTGATTTACGGAGATATATTCTGGGCAAGGCACTGCTTATTTGCAGATGGTTGAAGCACCGACTCAATTAGAATCGCAATGAATCACAAAATCCAACAAAAACTACATTTTGAAATCACAAACTGATATCACATATTTTTATCATTGATTGAGACGCAAAACTTTGCACATGACCTTTGACGATAAATTCATTCATAAAATTACATCCTAAATGATCATTGTAATTTCACAAATGAATCTTGCTGTATTCGGTCAGTAGGACAGACTACGCTAGATATATAATATGGGTGCTGACAGTAACTTGACAACATTGCAATGCATATTACTTTCTCAAATAACATGAAAACACTCACTTTTATGATAATGACAACGTTATTGTGTGTAGCTATTACTTAATTGACAGAGAAGAAGAGGCGATGAGTGTAACACCCCTACAGAAAATGGGAGGTGGAAGCTTCATAACTTGATATCATTTTAAGGTTTGCATCTGATCAGATAACAGGGAACATCGGTGTAGGAACTGATCAGCACACACATTTTGGCCAGGTATTTCACTATACACATTTACATTTTTGTAGTTTGTATAAATTTTGATTCGATATATCAAGTGTGTATATAGTTATTAAGTGTATAAAGTCATAAAATTATTCGAAGTAAACTTTTAGGTTAGTTTTATTAAAGGGTATATTCCATGCTCAATTACATTCAAGAATATCAACAAAGCATACATATGATACTATATACACATTAATATATTGAGTTAAAAAAATACATTTTATATTTAAAATATAATTTTTTATTTATTTTATATTTATTTTATTATATATAAGTATAAGCAAATTATTATTTTCTATATCATATTATACAGTATTTAATTTAATCAATCTTTTTTGATTCCTTTATAGGGAAATATATAATCGTATGCATCTATCTATTACATTAATTGTACGTCATCATATATATTGTGACATTGGGAAATCATACAATTAGTATCCAATACTATGCATTGCATATGAAAGTAGTGAACACGAAAAGGTTCAAAAGAGATTGAGGAATACACTCATTATATTGATACTGCAAGGTTAAGTCTAAAACATTTCTGAAACGGGGTTTAACTTTCGAAAATATCTTGTGAAAAATCTTGGTTTCAAAAAATAATTCGACAAACTCTGAGAAAATCGGAGCTTTTAAACAACAACCGTGGGAATTTTCATAGTTCGAAAAATAGGGCTGAATAATATATAATCGTACTATTTAAGTAGATTATAGCTTTAAGTGTTTAAACTTTTTTTGTCTTGCCATTTCTTTTTCTCATTCCTTACACAAGTATATCATTTCAATCACATATTAATGAAAGATGTCTTTGTTGAGAACTTGAGAGCAAATTAATCTAGGATCAATTAGAGACATACAAGTTTAGATATTTATCGTTACCATTCTAATTGAAGATTAATTTTGTTTATATTATCTTTGAATCATACTACTGTTTCTTGAACAAAAGACTGCAGTAGCCATCGTCTACAAGTAGAGACTTTCATTTAAACATCTTAAACATCTTAAAAGTAATTTCAGTTAATAACATCAACATTTTTGGCTGGAATCATGTAAACGAGACTAAAAACATTAAAAATTGCCACCCAAAATTTACCCAGAATGTCCGAATATTAAGCATAACAAGAAATATCCCTAAAAATTCAAATGAATCCATGAAATTGCTTGGCTTTAAGCTTGTAGATAAGATTTCAATAAGTGACTTCATAGGCAAGATTTTAGGAAAGAAAATGCAAAAATGGGTGACAATTAAAAAGTAATTAATAAATTTTGGCCTTTGCCTTCTGTTATTTACAAAAAATATTTCATAGCACTACTGGTAACAGTAACATGGGTTTTAAAATGCACGTACTCGTGATATCAGAAATTATTCATAAAGCCACTAAATACTCAAAAGACGCATTTCCTTCGACAAAAATGGCGGCCATTTTGAAAATAGACGAATTGTTGAACCTGGAGTCATATGGGCTTACTTGTATTGATAATTAGCAAAAGCAGCCTTAACTAAAATCATATCAACAGAGGTATGGCTTGAAACAACTAGACAATACTTCATAGACAGGATTTAAGGTTAGAAAAAAGCAGATTAGAATTATTGCCAATTTCTTTTCACAGAATTACATCATAAAACTACTGACAGACAGACAAAATCATTTCATAAAACCACTTTTTACAGTGACATGGGTTTTTTATTTTCTATTGAAAGAACTACTAAATGGTACAAAAGTGAATTTCCGCGACTAAAATGGTTCCCAATTAGAAAATTGGCTAGCTCTTGAAACGAGGGAGTCCTGTATTGACATTGAAAAAAATAACTTAAAATGGGAATGCTATCGATAGAGGTTTTTTCAAAAGTGCCACTATTGTTGACAGACAGACTGATGGACAGACAGACGAACAAGTGGTGGATTGTGAGTTTAAAAAGCCAAGACAAATATCAAAAATATAGCGATCACACTTATAAACACACTTTCTGAACTCTGAACACCTTATTCAGAATGGAAGATACTTTCCAAGCAGATTCACAACTTTTAGAAATTGACCATTTTCTATAATGTACGTTTGAAGAAAGAGCGCCTTGAAAGAAATATTCATCAATATATTGGCTTCTTTTGATCGTGTATCACATGATATCCTCCTGTATAAATGTAAATCGTATGGGATTCATGGCTAAATATAACAAATTCCTACTTAAATGACATCATTTTTGTTAACATGGGTAGTGAATCTTAAAATTTCCCTTATTTAAATCCCTTTAATTTGTAAACTCTGGTGTTCCACAATGGTCAATATTAGGCCCTGTATTATTTATATTATGTATTTAATTATGAAACCCATGGCAATCTAGATGACTAATGCTGCTTTAGACTCTTAAGGTGCAATCTATATTAATGTTGCAGTAAAGTTTAGAATGGAAAATGTCGAACCAACTACATAGAAAACCAGAAGAACGTTTTAAACTAACACAGTTGCGTCCAATAAGCATCCCGGCTATATTTTTGGCCTATAAAAGCAACATCTATGGTAAGGTAACAAGAAGTTTCCAAAACTCAACAACACGATTGGATCTTGTCACTAAGGGACAATATTTAATGTTTTTACGATGTACCATTTTAATTATGCCAATAGTGTCTGTAATACTTTCTCCAACTACCTCCCGCATAAGCTCGATTAGATATGTTATTATAAAGCTGTATACTCTACTGCTCAGGCGGCATACAGGGTAGAACCATTGATATCCTTAACGTTTCTCCAATGGCTCTTGAAACAAGAAGAAAGGGTCATCAATAGCTTTAACTTCAAAATCACTCGTGGTCCGAACACTTTGTAAAGTTCATAAAATCAAATACACGAAGCTTGGTTCAAAAGTTTTAATCGTGCAGAGGATAATATTATAGAAACAAAATTCAGCGATCTGGTATGGTAGGACGTAAATAATTTGTTATGTTTATATAAAATGTATTTATTTTCAGATGTTCATTATTTTCACTGCGACCGGATGTGAGCGTTGCTATCGATTTTGCCTCTTACATCATTGAACATATTATTCAAGCAGATCATTTTGAAAATTAAACGAAGTAAATGTTTTAATTCACGTATAACTTTTATTTCCTAATTTTGTATTTCTTATTCAGTTGCCATGGTAACAGGAGGAATGCCGATATTGTTAACTTTACTGCTGAGTCTTGGCAACGATCCATCAGCCAAATTGAAGTCAAAGACAATCCAGCTTAGCGAGAACGCCCACGATTCACCGACTAATTTCGAAACATCGTTAGTAGCGCAAACTGATGCCAAAGGGGAAAGAACACAAATGGATCCTACCCTGTTTCTCATCATGGATAACTACAAAAAATGGTATCGGACAAAAGAGCGAGTCGAAGCTTACTTCAACCGTTTTGTAGGGCTAGAAAGAAACAATCTTAATTTTAACTTCCAAGTGCCCAGCAAAAAAGACCGAACATTTACACATTGCTTTGAAGTATGTAATTTCTGCAGAAAAGAAATGCCTAGTTATATACATGCACTTTGCGAGCAAGAATGTCGCAACCCTAGAGACATAGTGAAAGAAAATTACTATCTCTGCGCTGATCGGCTTCCATCTGTAATACCTTAGAAATGACAGAACATGTGTTTTACCGCCGAATTCTCGGATAAAGCTAATTCATCCATCAAGATTCCATTTTCAAACTTCAATATCTTGGGAAGTTTTAAGATGTTTCGAAAGCAACGGTGACTTAAAGGGGTTATATTGATAGGGACGAGTTGAGAGTAAGTTTCAAAAAATTGTCGCTGCTTTTTGCACTCATAATTCCATGCCATGCCAATTCTCTAAAAAGTCCAGCAGTTCTGAGTGTTTCACAAATTGCTTTCAACATTTTACCTCTCTATCCCTTATAATTCCTCTAAAGTATCAGTATGCTGAAACTGTTCAATATATCAAACATTCTGATACTATATAACGAATCTACAATGAAGCGTGCAATGCTTACACGATTCTCAGCAAGACTTTTATAACTATAGCAGTAATAATTATATAATTAATAAAATTGCTAGTTGTTTTCTATGGTGAAAATGACAGAACATAGCTAGAGCACCTGTTAACCTAACAATAATATCTTGAATTATCAGAAAGATAATTATACCATTTGTAGTAATCCGTTCTTTTCTCGGAATCGTGACTTGCATGTTTCATGATTTTAAGATTCAACTTATTAATTATCATGCATTAAGTTATGATAAATAATGTCATCTCATTTTCTTTACAGTTCTGAGATGGCGTGGTATTTTAAATGTGATTGAATATAAATAAAAAAAAAACTTAGGGGTGATATCACATTTTGATTCGCAAGGTTTTGGTTGCTCCAACTGTTAGAACACCTGAAAGACGAATATGATTATTTCACCCGTGTTTATAAATTACGCTTTCCAATGGTTTGCCTTATTACTAGACTTAGTGTACGTTTACATCTAATGACAGTTGCGACTCCAGTGTGTACGACACTTAGTGCACATCTGGTTCTGATGACAATGTAACGATTCTAGTAAGATGCCCATTATTACAGAGGAGAATTTTGAAAATAAATAATTGCCTCTCCGATTCTAGCTTTAAATCGCACAACTTGTCTGCTTATTGTTTCTGGATATTTTAAAAGATGATTTTTTATTTAAACATCATACTAGCAAAGTAATGTATCAGAAATGATGTAGAAAGTACAATGAGGGTATGGATTACCTGTTTCTAATAATCAGTTGGTCAAAAAAGTTACTCAAATTGTAATCAGTGGCGGATACAGGGGGGTGCGCGCGGGACGCGCACTCCCCCTAAAATTCGGCATAGATATTAGATAGACTAATATCAAAGAAAAATGTATTCAAGCAGAGACATTTGAAAATGAAAAAACTGATAACATGTCAACAAACTTTGGAACTTTGAAGGTGTAAATTCAAAAACTGCTTCAATATTAAAATGCCTCTGATGCAAAATAATGCACTGCTTGGAAACGACATTGGTTTTCAATTAGAAAGCCCATGGAAACGTTGATCTTTGAAATCGCACAGTCTAATTTTCTGATGAAATATAATTGTTTTATTTCTCGGACGCTATAGATGACCAATTTCACTTTGGTAAAACAATTAAATTCACATTTCAATAGCTTTTTAATCAAAATTGGTGTCATGATTAAATTGTGTTACGTCTTTTTGAATCATAAAAATGGACACTTGTAACGTCGTCTGATATGTCACACGTTATCATTTGTATGTTTGGGATGTTCAATTTAATTAAGATTTCAGTTAAAACGATTTCAACCGAAGGTTGATGAAAATAATTTTACCAAAAACAATAATAGAATAGAATGTTGGCGTTATCTAAGAAAAATAAAACTTTTAATTCATTGCAGATCCAGTTTTTCAGTCCATTTGCAATAAACGTTTCAAGAACTTATCTTGATCAATACGCATTCTGCGTACACGTTCCTCCGACTTGTCTAGATAGTACATGTACCACCAGTTATGTAAGCTTATTATCCGCAATTTTTTGGTACGGTACAATGATTTAAAAATATTAAAAAATGATCAGATCGCAGCAAATGGCATTCAAATTCTCGAAATTCCCGGGGACCTCGTGTTTGTCGGTCTCCAGCCTCCTTTGTTCATCCATCGACCTCGAATTCAAAAATCAAGGCGCACCCCCTAACCTGAAATCCTGGATCCGCCCCTGGTAATCATCATACCAAGTTAAATATGTTTCAAACAATTAATCATTCTGAGACTCATCACACCTTTCTGTTCCATATGATGTATGCTACCTACAACTAGCTTTATGCTCATGGCTTTCTGGAAAGAAATTGATAGAAGACCATGATTTCTCCATGATGTGGTTGATTGTTCATCAAAAGTTACTTAAAATCATCATACTTAGTTAAATATGCTTCGAGCCAAAGCCATAGAGCAAACAGAATTGACATTTCGAACCATTTACTGATCAACAAAATCCTTGTATTACTCGTCAACTTTAATTATAGAAATGCTTCCACTTTTCTGATTGTTCTGTTTTGTCAGTCTTTATGAGTCTGCCACGAGCCTTGAACATTTGCTACCATTGTAACGTGTAATCATTTCTTTTATGAGTTTAAGGTAAAAACTGTACTTTGGTATGTGCTGCAGGAAACCCCTTTCTTCATTGCGATCATAGAGAAATTTCGCTCATAAATGAAAGCAAAATTTAATCTGAGGTTTCGCCAAAAGATGAACTTAGGTTTGATCGATCAATTCTAATGTTCCTTCCACCAAGAATGATTAAGTTTTTATTAATTATTTATCATCCAATTTTTCGTTAATAAGGTGGATTGGGTTGAAATATGACTTCATACCTAGTATTACCATGTTTCCCTACCGATAAATATAAGTCGAAGTACTCACTTATAAACAACGTTTTATAAGCGATGGCTCCTTATAAATGGATAGAGCTGCGCACCAAATGGTGACGTAGTACACACACTTTTATAAGTTATAAGCAAATGGCCTTTATGTTTTGAGATGGTGAGGATTTTGTATCTATCCCCATGATGACATGATGATATCCCCATGTCACACGCAAGTCAATCGTGTATATCCCCAATCAATACACCCACTGGCGGATCCAGGGGGCGTCCCTCACCCCCTTGCGTGGGTCCGGGAAAAATTAAAGAAGGGCCTCAATTACTGATCCTCTTTGGGCATTACTTGGCCTTATTGGGCCTTTTTAGACCAAACTATAAAAATGGGCCTTAAATTTTCAAATATTTTTATGATTTGAAATGCCCCCCCCCCACCCCCTCCTTGTTAGCTTGTGGATCCACCAGTGACACCCTTGCTGAAATCCCCATCATCTCAATTAAGCTTGATTGATTAGGTCTCAACTTGTAGTATATTGATAGTAAGTAATACTATGGATTCAAAGTAGTAAGAATGTTTCTAAATACTTTTTGTTGACTCAATCACAAAAACAACTTGGCTACAATAGTAATTAGCTTTCGATATAAGTTTTCAGTCAAACTTACTTGCTGTTGCAACTATTGAATGACTTTAACACCACGAACTACATACTTGCCGAATAGTTGTGATGAAATGTCCCTATAGTACAGGTTTGCGTGTACGTATTCCAAATAACTTATATCGAAAGCTCTCTAATAATATTTCTTCCATACATATATATAAATTGGTTGATGAAATAGAGTTTGAATATGGATTTAGTTCTAACGTGAGATGATATTAGCAGAGGGAGGGGGAGAAACAATAATTGATCCAATACACCAGATTATATGTTCAAGTTTTGAATTATTATTGGTTGTCAGTCTTCATAGTGTCAGATTTCAAAAGAGGTTTGACGTTGATGTTTGGTACATAGTTTTATAGTTTAGAATTTTTCTGTGAAATCGTACCACGATGATATGAGTGGGGCATTGATATCGTGAGTTCCGGCTAGGATGAAGAAATCAGAATATGATTACAATTTAGAAATTAATTCTGCCATTGCATGGATATACACAAATCAATTCTCTCGATTAGGAAACGAACATTTTTCTTCAATATACAGGCCCGTAGCCAGGGGGGGGGGGTTGGCAGGGTTCGGACGACCCCCCCCCCCCCCCCCTGGCCAAAAATTCTTTCAAAATCATGCAGTTTTTCACCATTTTGACCACTTTTCAAGTGATTTTAGTCATATTTGGGCCAAAATTGTCTAATGTGAACCCCCCTGGACATTTTTGAAAACTGCCCCCCCCCCCTTGGTAAATCCTGGCTACGGGCCTGATATACTTTCCTGTTTTTAGAAACCTCCCCCTTCCATCCATTTTGTACGATCACCGGGCGTGTGTATGGGGCATACTGTAAATGATTGATTCTCTACTTCCCTAATGCGTGTCAGGGGTCAGCATTTGGAACAGTCGTAATGGTCGCAAGTCACTGTTCATCAAAAAGTAGATAGACGATAGTTTTTTTGGAAAGTTAAGTTACGATCGTACCAAATTGAATAGAATTGCGATATATGTATGTTATAAGTGTGTCGATTTCTGTTAAAGTATGAAAGAAACAAATATAAAACCGACTGATTCTATTAATATATTGAAAATAATGTAGTTTATTTTTGATGTTATCGGTTACACTTGTTGTGGCGAAACTCTTAAAACTGGTTTCGAAAACGTTTTTGGTTTGGTAACAAAATGGAGTAGCCTCAAAGAAAGAAGGAACGATTTTTCTTTCCCATGATTTCAGAGTGCAGATGTTAAGGTGCAGTCTATTTTTAAAGTTAAAGCGTGTGTAAACGCTTATAAATATTTTCTTAAACATGTGATGCTGACCCACGTTTGTGTCCAAAACGGTGATGAAGATTCTGTCATCGTCTCGTGAAATCATGGGGAAAAAATCACACCTTCGAGGCTGCTTCATTTTGTTCCATTTTGCTACCGAAACGGATCCGTTTTCGTACAGATTGAATAGATGAAGAGTTCCCCCACAGTAGCGAGTTTATAATGGAACAAAATAACTCAACAATACAAGTAATCAATAAGATATAATTATTATTTCTGTATGAATACAAACATTCATAAATAGTGAACATACTGAACAACTACATGTAACAAGATGCATCCGGCTGAACCCACACGTATCCCAACAAACTAATTCCTGATGCAACAATCTTACACCTTTGGCATGGAAAGATCAAACATGGTGTTTATTGATTGGACGTTCATCTGCTGCACAACCCCCGAAAACGAGTACTTAATATTGAAATGACTCGCACCTAGGGTATATTTCGGTATGTACACAAACAATTATGAGTCAAGCATGTAAATGTTAGTAAAAATATTTGGTGCAAATCCCCAAATTATTCCATTAATTAACATTATAAACATATCGTTAATGTGGTATCGTAGCCATTCTATTTTAATTATAAGTTACTTCATAGTGGGGCTATGTGCGACATTTCATGACAACAGAGAACTTCAAAAATGACTGTGTATGACGACCCGGCAAAGTTTAGAGATACCATACGTGACACTACACATAATATAGCAACGGTTCTAAAAGTACTGTGCAAAACACCGCCCAGCATTGCCTGGGTCACACTTGCTCCGATTGAGTATTTTGGTCAAAACTGTATTTTGAACTCAATCGGCCGGGCGCCGGCCGATGAATCGGAGCAAAAATGTGACCCGGGCATAAATACCATGTTTTATAATACACCCTAAATCATTCCCATGGTTTTTATTTGATTCTACCCGACTGTTCTACTTTTTCAAGTGTGTATAACTAAATGAACGATGAAAAGGTAATTACTGTAGTCTTGATCCTAATGCCTAGGTGACATAGCCGCCGGGCGCCGGCCGATGAGTAGTCATCGGCCGATTTCTAAATCGACCGGGCGCCGGTGACTTTTCACCGATGTCTTGATCTAATCGTGAGTATGGTCACATTAGTATAGGCATCGTACGGCGCCCGCAATCAATTGAATCTGAAAGACATCGCACGGGTATCGCAAGGCTATCTGCCGATGGCCGTACGGCACCCGCCAGGACATCGGTCGATCTACAGGCCTCTAGATTTATACTAAATTCTAGTATGACCCAGAACATGGACCATGCCCAGAATGACTGTTCCACATGGCGTGAATGCAAGATTTGAAAACGAAATACTTCGATAGACAGGACTTCCAGGATAATAATGTTTTCATGCAATAAAAATCACAAAAAGAAGGTCCTCTTTTGAGTAAATAGGTTTAATATTTAGTAAAAATGCTGACATGGGGTCCCTATTCATAATATTTCAAATTGTTTGATTGATATTTTTACTATCATGGGTACTTCAATTGAAAGAAAACATATTGTTTTAATAAAAACACTGTATTTACTATTTATGCCCAGAAAGTTCTCATGTTGAAAGATATGACCGTCTAAAATCACTTGCCATACTGCACGTGGTATTTTCATCAAAGTGCACCCTGACCTTAATTCATTTTTAGATCTTTCATATAAACAAATACTATGTCTAACTGTCCATCCGATGCTATTAGCAAAATTCCATGTTTCTGCATCTTTCTTTTGTCTGTTCTCGTTAAGAGAATTTGTTTGGTCATAAAAATATGGCCTCTCTTCAAAGAACTTGGCAATTTTTTCTTCTATTTCAAGTGGAGTACCCTCTTCCCTCGACACATCTAAATCTTCATCATCCATCAGCTCACTAGCATTGTTATTTTCTTTTTCCACCTGTCTTCCCAAGGCCTTCCTCATATATGGCCCATTGGCCTTATCTCCATTATCCTTAGTCTTTGGCATATTAACTGTGATTGAGACAGTGAACTTTCGTATTAAAATTGTGACCCTTGAAAATACTGTACTCACAAAAACATTCAGAAGATTTTTAAAATAAATGATTTGTAATGGTATATGCATGAGTGAATATACGCATAAAATGTATCACTCTATTCAATGTGTATGACAGACATACACGATTAATGTCAATATAAGAACGACTAGATCAACCTACCCACCCACACAGCCATTCAAATGTGTGTCATTGTTTTACAGTAAGCCTAATCGTTCCATTTATGTTTTATAAAAAATCTCTGACAGTGAGTAGTAATTATAATTCCTTACCTCATTATTTCTAAAACCTTTATATCACTTTATAAGTAATCATTATTAAGATTTATCAACAAATCAGCACGCAAAATCCCAAGATGACCGTGTGATGCCACCGGGCGCCGTAAGATAATCGTACGATGACCGGACGGGACACGGCCGGGTAGGTACCGATGAATTTGGTTGAGAAAAAATCGCCAAGACATCGGCAACTTTTATCTCCGCGATAAAACTCTGCCGGCGCCCGTACGATGTCTAAAAATCGGCCGATGAGTGGCGATCATCGCCCGGCGCCCGTACGATGCCCGGGCTCGCCGGCCGATTTTGAACAAAATACTCATCGGCCGGGCGCCGTAGTAAAAATCGGAGCCTATGTGACCAAGGCATTAACAACCCAAAAATATTTTAACTTGTTTCTTCAATTTGGACATTGTTGTACTGCTTACTAGGTTCAACCTTTGATATTTTCAGAGACAGAGTTTGTTTCAAGGTCTATTGAAATATTTTGGGCTAATTAAGAACTGCCTTTTTCATGCCACGTTTATCATCTCAACCTTTAGTCGTGCTATTCTAGTCATCCAATATTATTTTCCTGGAAAGGCATTTAATATCTTTATTGATCAAAATGGCCTTTATATTGTTACGCATGTCGACTTCATGATTAATTCTTGATGATTAAACAACTAAAACAATAGTATCTTTTCAATTTAAATATAACACCAGATAGCCACATACTCCTTTGCCAGTTTGATTTTTTATCAATGAATCCTTTATCTTGGTTATCCAAGAGCCACTTGAATATACTATTCCTCTTCTTAAAAGTATAGTTCACTTTAAAGTTAAGATATTTTCTGTCAACAATTTCCTTTTTTCATAATATTATTGTACATTTATTTATTTATATTTATCTTACTAATTCACAATTGCAAGATTGCACCTTCACAGTTCTTCAGTTTGAATTTCTAAAGGAATCAGACCATGAGGTTTAAAATGGTTATCCTAACTTGGAGTGTATGTATGATTAAGCATTACCAAATAATATCACCAATTTTCAAACACACTGGCACATGTGGCAGCGTTTCAATTTTATGATCGGTGATTTCCCAATAATTCTGGTTTAACTACGATTTTCCTTGAATCATATACTGCTATTTTTGAAGTTCGGGAAGTAGTCTCTATCTATGTAATGGAAAGGATTTAAAGCAAAAATTGCACCGAGGTCATGAAATGGCATGAACAATGCACAAATACATTATTTTAGGTTGATTCACTGTTTATTGCATACCATAGCAATTTATAAATTGTACTTTTGTTGCATAGTGTTGCAAAAACAGCAGTAGCTTTGCTTATTTGTTCAATAAAACAAATCAATGGTGGCAACGAACACGAGTCACGAGATGGGACGAATTGTTATATGGACCGTCATTCTGTGTTCCAAGTACAAGAACGTGGTGGGTGCAATTGGCCGAGGGGAAAGGGATATTACTCGCTAAATCTCAGAAAAACAAATCTCGTTTTGTCCTAATAAATATGTGTCATAAACAGCCCGATCATACTCCGCATAATTTAGTATTTTACATTTATAATACTTCATCCATAAAATGATCGATCCCTTCTATACAAAAGAAAAAAACATTATACAGAAATCTAAAGATCAATACTTCCTAACAGAAATTATATTTGATTAACCCTGTCCATTATTCTTGTAACGTAAATAAAATCAAACATTGGACGACTTTGTAATTTAAATATTAGACGCTATCTCAGTTTATCCCACTTTAAACCAGAGGGCTGACTATTCAACATATATCAGAATGGGAATAGGTGTCTTTTTAGCGGGGTGCCTGATCATCGGTAAGTTCATCAATTTCGTTTTATTTGGAAAATGTGTTGTCAGCTTCGCTTTTTAAAATTGCTTCCAGAAAATTTATCAAATATGATATGATTATATTTTTTCATTGCACTACAAAACAGTTTCTGACTCAACTTTAACAGCATTTCGCTTGATGAATAGCTTTTTTATATGTTTAACATGTATATAATGTTGTCATAATTTGAACTTTTATTTTACATTTACTGTACATATGAGTTGTATCTCCATTTTATTATGGGGAATAAAGATATACAATACAATACAATACAATACAATACAATACAATACAATACAATACAATACAATACAATCTGTTTTCATAATTTTGATTAGAAATTGGAAATGTTTACTGTTCTATACCTCATGCTTTTCCCTAAGACTAATGATTCATTGCATGTAATACCAAGGGTTGTGGTAGGTTCAGAATGGGCGTGACAAGGCAACAACAAAGATCGAAATCAGATTTTTGTCATTTATCTCCCAATATGTTATCATTTTATGCATATTGCTTGTTCAATGAAATCACTAGTATATGCTTCATAATCATCAATACACATCATACACTGTACACACATATTTATGATATTCAAAAACATTCATGTTTGTATTTCAACATTCATCGAACGACCATAATCTTGTGTATTTTCTACACCGCTTTGTATACAAATCTGTTCATGATATACAGGGTGGTCCAAAAAAAGTGAACCCTTGCAGCAAGCTGTATCTCAGATATCACTTGCATTAATAGGCTGAAAGTTTTTGTGGGTACCATAAAAGTCACTTAGTATTAAGTCTTGCAGAAGTTACATGGCATCGACAGATCCCTGATTATATGCTCAATTAATGCTCCATGGTTCTGGATAACTGCAACGCGAATGTTGAAGCTCTTCATTGCTCGTTCAAGTATATCTAGGGGTGTTTTGTAATTCTAAAACATTTTTCTTTATTTTAAGGAAAAAACTGTTGTACACCCCCAATGCAATATGATCCACATGGAATCCACTTGCATATGTGTAGCAAGTAGCTATAGATTCCACATAAAATTCACACTATTTCCATCTGAATTTGATCCACATGGATCCACATTATTGTCACACATTTTAACTTGAATATTTCGCAAGGATTCCACGCGAATAAACATGGAAAAACTTTCCCAATTCCACGTGAATTAACGTGCCTAAAATCCATGTGGATTACATCTGGAATTCCTGTGGGTCCAGGTAGATTCTCGCTGTTAGGTTCCATGTGGTTGTGGATCGGTTGTGTATCTAATGTTATTTGAGCAGAACCATCCAGAACCATGGAGCATGGATTGAGCTCATCACCCATTTATCACTATCAGGCATGTATGTCTGTTGATGCCATGTAACTTCTGCAAGACTTAAGACTGCAGTGTCCCTTATGGTACCAACAAAAACTTTAGACCTTCCCCAAAAACATGTGAGAGTATTAGCCCATGAATGCAAGTAATAACTGAGATATAGCTTGTTGCAAGGGTTCCTTTTTTGGACCACCCTGAATATCATTGAACCATCCGTTGAACAACCATAATCTTGTGTTTTGTCAACTCCGCTTTGTCGGATTGTGTCATGTTATTTTTCTTGAAATAAAAGGTGAGGTGATATGTTGAATGAATGGAAATTAAGGGACTAAAACACATACATCATAACGCAAACTATAATGTTGATTGAATACATATAATGATACCTTACAATTGCAGTGCCCATAGTTACGGCGCAGCAGTCCAGTGGATGTGATAAAGCTCTCTTTCAACAAGAGCTAGGGGAATTTTTGAATCGAACGAATGGAACAGACCATGGGGCCGCTCACGTTTTCCTCGAGAGTGAGGGTGCGGCGTTTCGTCGAATGCTAAAAGACAACCCAAACAGCAATTCATTAACAACGTTGCTAGGCCAAATGTGTCAGTAAGTATACTTATAAAGTCTGTTTCACCTTACCTGATTTCCCATGTGGAACCGTGTTCTATGTGGTAAAGTATAGGAAACGGTTTTGCATTGTTTGTGGTTATTTAGAATCGTTAGAAAAGCTAGTTTAAATGGTCCTGTTTATGACCACATGTATTTTATATTGAAGGCGTGAAGAATATTGCATCTACACAATTCCGCCCGGGTCCGTTCGACCCCTCCCCCCTCCCCCTGGCCAAGGTTTACTCCAAAATCATGCACCAGTTTCACCATTCTTAAGCACTTTTCAAGTGATTCTGGCCCTAAATTGTCAAACATGAACTCCAATTGAATTTTTAAACCCACCTCTCCCCTTGGCAAAATCCGTGGGCTCAGTAAAACTTGTTTCACAAAAGAAATGAATATTTTACAACAAGCCCCTAAAAACCGCCCACACATTGCCCAAAAACTGTTACATACAGCATATCTAGTAATTAATAACAACCTTTCAGCGTTTTGAACAAGACTGCTGAGGCTGCAAAATCAATTGTTATGAGCCAAACGACGGGCTGTGTGCACAGAGATGTCTTCAGAGCTGACAACACAATCTTCTCCAAGTTTGCTACAGCGTACAAGCACATATGTAACAAATCAGAAGCAGCTTCTCCGACCATTTTAAATAGTAAGTTCAATCCAAGGAGGATTGGCAGCCATTATTCAAACTCGATACTCCATTGCCTGCAGTGGAACAATTTAGTAAAAATATTTCTATAATCACCCTTGGTATACGCAGCTAACGAAAATTGACCGGTACGGGTCAAAAGCTGGACCGGTTCGGGTTAACGGTTTTATTTGAATTTAAAATAGCCATAACTTGCTCAATATTGACTTCCTCGTGTCTAATTTGAAATATATGATGCCTCCCGATGCTTTTAAGTACCCCAATTTTTTACAGATTTTTAAACGGACCAAAACTCTCTAAATGCGCATTTATGCTCTTTTCTCTCGAGAACGACTGTCTCATTTTCACGATAACTTTTATTTAGTACTTCTAACATATACGATCTATTTTTCCCCATCAAGGTATGATGTGAATGACATGCTATTTACATCTTGTGAGTTTGAATGACGCGCGTTTGATTTTATAAAAAATGCCAAACTTTGTGACAAAGAATTTCCTCCTGCTTGCAGCGAGAAGACGGACCGGTTCGGGGCAATCTGCTTGCAGCGAGAAGACGGACCGGTTCGGGGCAATAGCTGATGAAATTCTTTGTCACAAAGTTTGGCATTTTTTATAAAATCAAATGCGCGTCATTGAAACTCACAAGATGTAAATAGCATGTCACTTACATCATACCTTGATGGGGAAAATAGATCTTATAAGTTAGAAGTACTAAATAAAAGTTATCGTGAAAATGAGACAGTCGTTCTCGAGAGAAAAGAGCATAAATGCGCATTTAGAGAGTTTTGGTCCGTTTAAAAATCTGTAAAAAATTGGGGTACTTAAAAGCATCGGGAGGCATCATATATTTCAAATTAGACACGAGGAAGTCAATATTGAGCAAGTTATGGCTATTTTAAATTCAAATAAAACCGTTAACCCGTACCGGTCCAGCTTTTGACCCGTACCGTTCAACTTTCGTTAGCTGCGTATACCAAGGGTGATAATGTTCTCTTTGGACCGAGTATTTCTTTAAAATATGGTCATTACTAATATTTTGGTACTATTCAAGCTTCCTTAGCAGTTCTACTCTTCAAAAAAAGTATCGAGTTTGAATAACGGCTTCCAATCATCCTTGGTTCAACCCCCCCCCCCCCCCACTCCCAGGGACGCAACTCGATGATTAAAATGTCAGAATGTCGTTATTTTCTATTATTATACTATTGTTTAACTTTTTATTATATATCGATCACTTTTTTACGACTCCAGGACTGACGCTAGCTTTGTTAAAGAATATCGATGTTGCATTCTGGCCGCCAATCCTCCTTGTTGAATTTGAATTTTGTAATCACGACATCTCCATATATGGCAGAATATCGAGTTGGAACCCTGGGAGCCAATCCTCCTGCATTCATAATCCATGTCAAACCTGTTTCCAATGAATTTTGACATTTCAAACATCCTGGAAACACACATATTGAAGAGTACTACCAATATCATTTATGATATAGCAGAAATGATAGTAATAAATAAACTTAATATATGATAGAAGCCTCCGATTACTATTCCCATGTCTAGTGAATTTCTACATTGATTAAGAATGCGATCGACGACTTCACGGTGCGTATATTCAAAAGATTCTAAACCGTTTGATTTTCTACATTCTGATACTCATCACGGTTTTTTGTTGTTTTTTAAATAGAAAGGAACTAGAAGAAGGACATAGTTTCTCAGGATGGGCTTTCTGTGGCGTTCATCACATCTCAATTTTTTTATTTTCTTTATAATTACAGTCTTGTCCAAAGTTAACACGTCCTGCCTCACGGGATCTCAAATGACTGCCATTGACAAATGTTCGGCTGACTTGGATGCTCAGCAAAATCGAACAGGGCGACCAGATCCAGATGACCCAAGCGTCAACAGAACACTTCTTGAACTTGAAGGCAACAAAACATGTCGGTACGCATAAGTCCAATAAAAATATACATATAGTAATTGTTATCATATGTTATAAAAGTACGTAAATCTCCCATCATATTATCAAGACCAGCACCACACTTGGCCATGGCTCAATATGTATGTCTCTTACTTTTTAATATTATCATCAAATCAGCATTAATTATTCGTCCAAACGCATCTGTGCATTACAGATTTCTTATGAGCTCGACTTCTTGTGTCAAAGACAAGTTTAAATCCATACGCACGTGTAACAGCGAAACTAAGAAATTCCTCAGTATGAAACGGATGCTGCTTAATAAAGTACCATTCAGCGATGGTTTCCAGGAAAGAGTTCAAAAATTCACTGCTGATAGAGAAAAGGTACGTAAAAGGAACCACTTTACTTAATAATATACGTGTATATTTCTTTAACCTCTTAACTACCGAGAGAGACAAAAGAACCAGTTGCAGAACAGCAAAATGGTTAAAATTGTTATTTTCCAAATAGGTCACATGGTGTTTTCTCCATGTGACTCAACGTCGGGCCCAACGTTCACCATCTTAACCAACCTGGACCCAGACAAAAAAAATAAAATGACACAAGCAGAGACACAGATTTGCCTATTATAATTTCATTTTTAATCGCTCTTTGATTTCAGATTGACTTCAATAACAAAGAGAACAGAAAGAAACGTGCTTCCATATATTTCAAAAGCTATGGGCATCTTACGTTCAGAGATCCATGCTCAGGTAAACGCAAGAATCAAACGGTGAAGTTAGCAGTAGGGGAACACACCTTCTTGAAAGATAACAACACTGAAATCAAAATCACAGTCGCGGAGTTGAGTAGCGGTGGCCCTGTCTACATCACAAACGTAAGTATGGAATTTTTCAGAATAGTGCAATAGAAAATATTTTTGACTATTTATGAATCAATTATAATGACACGAAATTCTCAATAAAAGACTGGGGTATTGCCAATATAAGAATTATGTACGTCTTTAAGAGTGAATCATAACCAACTCAGTCTATTTCTTCTGTACAATCTGGAAATGGTGAACCAAGATTTTATTCCGAGGCACTGGCAGATACAGAAACTAACAAGGGGGGGGGGCAACTTTCGAGTCAGCCAATAGTTGTGGGCCCCTAAAACCAAAAATTGGGCCCAAATTTTGAAAAATGAAGGCCATTTTTGATAATTTGGCTTAAAAAGGCCTAATTGGCCAATTTGAAAAAGGTTTGGGCCCTAAAATTAAAAAAGTTTTCTGGACCCACAAGAGGGGGGCGGCCCCCATCCCCCCACTGGATCCGCCAATGCAAGGTAATAATCTTGCATGTCGTGTGGCAGCCATATGAATGAACGGTTAAAATCATGTTACGAAACACCATACAGTCAGTTTGAAATATGCTTATAGGTACAATTAACAATGACTGGACGGGATGGGTCAACCATTGTTGATAAACAGACGGATTGTACTACAACCGCTGATCTGGCGGCGTCTCTTACTTCCAGTAATCCGAGTACGCCTGCTGTTACAACTGTTGGTGACGAGGGAAGTAAGTCTGTGGTTTTAATTGTCATCTTGGAAGTTATTTATCGCCTCTGAAGTTTTTATACTTTGAAATCAGAAGTTGAAATTCAAACCCAAATACATCAAGTTTCCGTCATAAGTCTTGGGATAAGATGCACGTCGTTTCGCGTGTTCCATTTGTAGATGATTTTTTGTTTTTCTTACAAAGGGCCAATGATATCAATGTGTTTGTGCTGTTGGTTTTGCAATGAATTGCCATCAACGAATAAGCAAGATAAAGTAGTTTCTTAGAGTATTCAATGTTGCATGCTGAGGCCATATTTGTTTATTCGGCTCCCGTCGAAACGCAGTGAAGACCCATTCTGATATATCAGAGTCTCTCTTTATCTTGTTTATCTGATTCTTATTTGTTACTACAGTATGATCAATTACAGGTTCGGACGAAACCGACGTTCGGGCTCCCAAACCAAAGATCAATGTTATTCGCAGCAAGAAACGCGGAGTTCATATCTTATTGCAAAAGGCAGAGTACGAAAACAGCAGCGGGGTGAAGACCAGATTCTGTATGATTGGAGCTCGAATCCCTGCGAAACTTTTTGAAAATGCTATGTCAGGATTGGCCGTCTCTGGAGTCCCGGATGACAACGTTGTTGACACCTCTAATGGTAGGACATTTCCCGCAGGTCGTTTTGATCAATGTTAACGAGTCAGTCAGTATCACAAAAAGTTCACTATCATCCTCCAAACGCAGGGCTACAGACATCATTCACTCAGATCTCTATTCCTACTTTTAAACAGAATGGATGATGTCTATTATGGAACCGGAAGATGGTAAACTAAGTGATATTTTATGGTTCATGCGAAAGTAAAGTAAACTTTGTCACTCTATATATTAATGGTTTGATTGGTTTCAACATACAGAATGTGTAATTTAGGCTTAACAATTATTACCGTAGGAAAATGTTTTTTTTGCAGTTGGCAGTACACGCCGAAAACGTGCAACATCATGTGCTTCTGATGACGTGGTGTGTAATTACGATTCCGCCTATGCTACGGTTGAATCGGTGAGTACTTCAATTAACATCATCATCCTTTACTGAGCCACTTGGTATCTTGTATAGTGCCCCATCTATTTTCATACAAACAGAATGGCTTGGGAATTGGGGCACAGACTCGCGTCGGTGCAAAACTAGTTTTGTATTGACTTTATTCCAAAAAGACTTGACTTGAGCCATGGTAGTGGGTGGAGTGTATTATATTTTATGTATTCTAGATATACGATATTGAGTCACCATTCAAGTTGATATGCATACCCTTTTCAAAAGTTTGTTTCGCTTTTAATTAGAATCGAGCTTCATTTAAAAACCTCTGGGGAATAGTGGTAGGGCTTAACGTAACGTCTTTATAACCAGTGGGGACCAGTGACTGGACAAGTGAATAACGAACTGTCTCCCGAAGCACTCTTAAACAAGTCTCTTATACTCTTATCCAAGACAATAATTCTTCATTCTAGTCTTACCGTTATTATTGGTATTGGTATTATGAGATGCTTTTTGTTTTTTTAGATCACGACGGCAAACAGTGAATTTAATGAGGAAGATGCGGCGGTCGAATCGGAAGATCAGGAGGTTACAGATGCGCAAGGAGGGGCTGGTGGTGAAAGTGCCTCAGCTGTTTTTGTCCCAACAACAATATTGCTTGTTGGTGCAATTCTGTTAACAATGTTCTAAGAAGAAACCAAAGATGCGATCATCCCCAAATATCATTGACATTTTTTGTCTCATTTTTAATACTCGGTTCCTCAAAGGCAACGTATTTGTAGAAGTCAATGCCTTAAATTGGAGTTCGACCAGTGGTCAGGGCTATGAAATAAGTATGAAATTGTTTCCTACTTAACCACTGATCAATCAACAGACCCAACAAAATTGTAGTATACCATTTATCCGACTATGAACTGGCATTTTTGAAGAACAACTTTATAGACTTGGATATCATTTTTATCAATTCATACAAAAACATCCCCTCTAAAAATGTAGCAATCGCACTTTGAGGAGTGTTATTAAACAAACAGGAGAACATTCTATTAAATTGCGAGCCAGGGTCGCCAAACTTGGAATGAGGATTATATATGTTGTTAATGTCATGAGGAATTTTGTTACAAGTATATTTAAAATAGCTTTCATATTTTTGTATTAGACTATATTTCAATTTGGTATATTCCAATGCATAATTGTTTAAATATGGAATATTGCCCATCAATCCTGACAAGTCTGTGAAAAATGTTCATTTATTTATTTTTTATTACTAACAGTCGTTGCTGTAGTTGCATTAATCTTAATCATTGTTGAGTTGCATGTAGTGACGAAGCATCCTGATTTATTTGCTCTTCCACACAAAGGGTAGTCCAGTTATGTAATCAAATTCTGTTTTATATGATAGATAAATATTTCTTCAAATATGTTGTGTGTGATGTTTTTCATTTGGTACAAAACAATCATTTAAGTACTTCATTTCTTTTCGTTTTACATGTAGGACCACAATACAAAGATACACTAAGACACCGATATGGAGAAATGGCAAATTGTTTGTCTTCTTTCGAAACGGATTCTGTCGACCTATCGTTTTCGAACATCATTCTCCGTCACACATTTCGTGAATCGCCTTTTCTGGTCGCATATTCTTCGGAGTGGCTGCCGCCATCTCCTGACATCCTGACAACACAAGCCAGGCTCGCAGTCTAAGCTATCAAGACACTGGTCGCCTACAAAATACATAAAATATATACTGTTGTTCAAATATAAATGACAATTATATTTCGTAGCCTTCTAAAGGTGGTCTGTATGAACTGTAGACTCAAAAATATATAGTACCAATTTTTAAGCAAATCTCAATATTTCTATCCTCGACACACGTACAAATTATGAGAAAAACATGAGAAAAGCCATAGTTTTCCGGATGATTAAAGTGTCTATTCTGTTCATTACCCTATAGGAGGTCCACCCAAATATTCCAGACAGACCATAGTTTATTTCATTTTTATCAATGTATGTGATACTACCTTTGAATTTTAAAGATGTCTCTCTAATCTAGGGACGACAATATGATATGCTATGATGGTTACCTTCACCACGCAAATGAATCTTTTTAATATTGAACGAATCTATCTCGCAGCGAGTGATGACTTCTTTAGACCTTACGAGGCCTCTCACGTCAACCACGGAACAAATGTAGTCTTGTGGGCATTCTTCATCAGAACGACAGTGATCAACTTCCTTCTCTCGTATACACATGCCAGGGGTTTCTGGATTTGTTCCTATAAAAACAAAAATTCGCAACTCATATTTACAAAGTTCGTAGCCATACTTGAAATGTGTTTTGTATTGTTGGAAATTTTTAGCACGGGTTGCATGAATATTTGACATTATTAGAGTCGATCGTTTTAAAAAGTATGTTTTGGCCCTAAAGCTCAATGGAGACCAATGGGCATGGTGGGACCTCCATAGACGCCATGTTCATTGATATATAGTTAACTCCTGGAACTCCATGCAGCTTTTCCACGTGGGAATCGATGGGGGTAAGGCCCGTAGGAGCAAATTTCGACGGAGTCCCACCAAGTCCCAGTTTTTCGAATGAGCATCTTGTTCTATAATCTACTATCATTACACGGTACAAATGCTACCTTACATACTAATGTCTACAACTGAATGATTACGTGGAATGACTGAGAATAAATGGAACGTAACTGGAATTCAAAGACCGAAATTCTGTTTCATCCGAGATGAAAACGAGATATCGGATATGACAAAAGAAACAATTACAAGACACATCCATGCATATTAATATCTGCATTACGTTAGAGTTGTTAATATCTAGCAACTCTCTTATGATATATCGTATGCAAGGGAATGATCAACGCAAATATATGTAAAATACACGTACTTTGAATACAAATACACACACTTTATACATAAGTGTTCCCCGAAACTTAAAGCACTGTTGAAAACTCATATCAGAAGAGGTTATTTTCTGAAAACCACTTGGAACAAAAAACGTCTAAGAACATAGTTTCATATGAGTACTTCTAAGAGACAGATTGATAGGACCATAACAATCCCCCACATATTATGCCACGCTTGCAGATAAGTGGGAAAATACAGCAGTTATGTATCGATCCATATTTGAAACAAAATCAAGCAAGTTCCGTGATCCATTGCCCATATTCTTTGATGATATGAGACGAGTGGGATTTGAAACTGTCAGATTAAATATAAGTCCTTAATAAACGGGTTGAGATGAGAATATGTTTATCACTAATAAAGCAATATAAATGTAATTGGATTGACTAAAGTACTACTCTGGTTTGAGCAAGAATTATACGCTATTAGAGGCCTCATTTGTCTTTTAATCCATACTCAAATCGTAATGGTATGCCATGGTAGTTTATTCAGAGATTAACATGGTGTATGTGATTAGCTTCTTTTGATTTCAATTTTCAAAAATTAACAGACCAATAGTATAGTTTCCATATAGCTTTTGAAATCTCGCTAAATCTCGTTTTTCGTGAGATTTTAAGAGACTTGCATATTAGACCTCTAATGACTTACATTACCTTCTTTTAAATGGTATATTTGAATTCAGTGGAATGTTTTCTCCTAAAATAGCTTTGATTTACACAGTTATGTAATTTGAATAATTTTCTATGACAATTTAAAAAAAATTGGGCCAAATGTCCATAGATGCAATGCTAAAATTCTTTAAAACCGTGGATTATTTGTATGTCAATCAACATTAACATGTTTAATCACAACATGTTCATAAACAGGGTCATAATGTGGTATATCATTCAAGTTTTATACAGATTCAACAAACACACTTTGATAAATCATGAAATTAAGCCACTTTTCCAAGATTTTAGCATGTAAGTGAATGGAGCTCTAGCCAGAGTTAAAAGCTGAATAAAAGATGGCAGCACGAGATTTCATTGATTTTTCTGCTATTTAGAAACTATCCTATTAGAGTTCATTGATCCCCCTTTTTTATTTATCCCGAAAAATATCATGATTTAAAAAAATATGAAAATGATTATATGGTATAATCAAGTAAGTTATTTGTAATGTAGTAATTAGTATATTGTATCTGTCAGCAGTTTGCCTAAGTGTTTGCTTTCAAACAATGTATAATAAATTTCATTTCTTCGGGAATTATTCCTCTTTAATTTTTCTCATTGCCCTTGAATTTAATAATTCTTTACTTTGCAGTCTCCGTCTGTCGCTGAGTAAATCAGCGTGGATTATCTTGTGCATAACCAATGATACAGGTCCTGTTAATTTGCGCAATTTTCAATTTTGTAAATGAATTAAGACAAAAAACGTCAAATGAATATGTAAAATGGGCATGCACCGATTGTATCAAACCACCTTGGAAGTAGCTGGATGAAAAAAACATATAAATAATGGACTCTTACTTATCCTATTCCCAAATTGTTCTGCACATATCAATCCATCGCAACACTGCCCGCTATTGTAGCAAACGTTCCCCGTGGAAGAGCACTGAAAAATTATAAATACATATGAACAGGTGATTCAATATTTAGTTAGAAGAATTGATTACTTCTCTCATCAATCAGGGAATTTAGCTGATAACTAGGCTTGCTGTGGGAAAATGTGTTGGTATTAGCCAAGGTCGAAGTGGATTATTGCAATGAAGTCTATACTAAATTTATGGTATCATCAACCATTGATATTGATTTTCATTTCTTGATTGGGCCAATTATTTTATGTCTATCCAGGCCCAACGTCTATGAATCACCGATGTTGCTTACAATATTTCAACCCTTATTCGTCGGTTCCAGTCTTTTTGCATTGTTATAACTTATTTTATAACGTTGAAATGAAACCATGCTAATAAAAAAAACATACCCATAAAACATTGTCATTGTATAAATTGAAGTAAAATATGAACAGTTGAAGCAGTCATAACAATGCATTGACATGAAAAAATGTCACCACCTCGTTTCTTACAATATTGTCAGTTCAATCTGAAGTCAGATTTGAATTTCTGAGAACTTGTAGATGATTTTGAAAAAATACATTGGTCAAGTTGAAAAATACATTTTTGTACTTTTTTTTGACCTTGAGAAGGTCATTGAAGGTCAAATCTAAAATCTAAAATTAGATTTGAACTTCTGAGAACTTGTAGATGATTTACAAAAAAATTGGTCAATTTGAAGCACTGAGTTGAAAAATACCCTTTTGACCTTGAGAATATCATTCAAAATGAAGTCAATCTAAACTCAGACCTGAACTTAATACAAGGATTACTTCTAATTACACCAAGGGAATAAATATATCAAAAATTATTCATGAGTATTAATGGTCGACCCACATTAATGAATCAAGATTTTTGACATCGAAACAATACTGCTGGGAAAGTAAGGGTACCGATGCATAAAACCAGTTTGATCAATCATGATCGATGGTTCTTGAGAAAACCAAATCGCAATGTGTCTAGGCTACATTACACTACATGGAAATTATGCTGGATGGTGGATACAGTTAACAATCCAAAACAGGAAGAACCAAAAGAACCTTGCTACTGAAGAAATACACAATTGAATTTGAATATGTAGTGCCAAGCACTATTCAACTATTTGATTGTTAGCATCATGGACTTCTTGAAAGTCCATGTTAACATGAGTATGTTTCTTTCGTTCGCAGATCGCAAAACTTTTAGGACAACTTGATATTTTCTTATAATTGCATGTGTCAGAACCTCTCTCTAAGAACGTATAGGACAGGGTTGTTTTAGAGAAATGGATATTTCTTGCTATTGGGTTGTGAAAAGTAAAACCATCAAACCGTGTTCTTTTTACAAATAGTCTGCAAATTAGCATAAATAATAATCAAAAGACTCCATGGTGAATCAGAAATACAAACCCGGAATGTCACGTTTCCCTACAACTTGGAAAAGCATTGTACAATTTCAAAGTTAATCAAAATAGTTTCATAAAATATTACCTTATAATATGTGTTCCTGAGGGGATTCCATTTTGTTTCATCTCCAGCTATGACTTGAATCGTAATAGAAATTACTACGCCAAATATGACTAGTTTTGCATCTAAAAACAAAAGGCATATTAATTATTATTAATTGAGTGGGAGTGACTAAATCGTTTTTTTATTGCTCTGTTGCAGATGAGTACTTGGCAAAATACAAGGTAACTTGAGATGTGATAAACATTTTTTAATCAAATGATATCTCATATTATTCCCTTCGAGATAATGGGCTCCCATGACATTGCCATAATTCCATGTTTCACTGAAGTTCGGTAAAAATAACTCCTTAGGCAGGATGAAGTGTTTTGGAAACGACATTTATAAAACCCACACTGTGGTTACGTCCATTTATTAGAATTTGTTATTTATTTGTTCGTAGACCAAGAATCAATCGGCATTTACAAAATTGGTATTGATCCAAGACGTCGTGACGACAATTTCGACCTTCTTCAAAAAACCAAGAGATTACGTTATTTTGAAATTGAATTCACGGATGGTTTATTTTCCAAATCCTATTGGAATTAAAAACAAAATTTTATCAGAAATACAAAATGCATATCGCTCGGCTTGTATTTTAGAACTCTATCGAATTTGATTAATTCTTAATCAAGCTGATTAAACCTAAGTGGTGTCTTATTGGGTTATTTTGGCTCATTGTCTATTTAATGTGCAGCAGCAATCAAGTCAAATACATTGAGAGTGGAATCAGACGCAAATAAATTTGAGATTTGTCCTTTCTATTGGCATGTGATAGCATGGGGTTTCAATATTAAGAGTTGAAAGCCCATGGTGATAGATACATCTTAGCCTGCCTACCAACGTGACTACATAAGTTACATACATCTACTTTGCTGAACGAGATCCCCATCGCGTAACAACATGGTTACACGATGTTACAATGACGAAAATCCGTCTCGTTATACAAGCCGTTTTATAGATATATAGATCTTCTTTGAATCGACAATTATACAAGTATAACAAATACACGATTATCAAGCAAAATACGTAACTACAAAAATAGTAACAATTTTGTATTTTAGTTTTGAAAACTTTTATTTTTGGATAGACAGTGATTTTGAGTTTCCACCCGGCATATATATTTGGGGTCACACTTCAAAGATGAGAGAGCAGAACACTCCGAGATATAGAAACGTTTGCTTTTTGTTGAAGTATAGAGCTCTATCTAGATCTCTATACTTGCCTGCTCATTTAAACAGAGTGATATCCAATCAAACGTTATTGTGTTTTCAACTGTATCTCTCGACGAATTCATAGCGAAAATAGAAATTAAGTAATAAATTAATAAGTAATCTTGTCACATGTCACTTATGCCTCAGTTACATTTGATCTACGGCAACCGTATGGCGGCCGTGGCTTCCCAAAATCGAGAGAAATACGCAGCATAAAATATAGGGATAAAGGCTCTGTCACATTTGCTCAATGGCGGGCAAACGACGGCCGTAGTTTCACGAAATCGATATTTAAATCCCTTATTTTATGCTGCATATTTCTCTCGATATTTGGAAGTCTACGACCGCCGTACGCTCGCCGATTTTCTATATCGATTTTGTGAAGCTATGGGCGCCGTGTATGGCCGTCGTCAGAGCAAATGTGACCGAGGTTTTACGCTGATATTACACTAGGGGACAATATCAGGAATTCCTCAATGAATCGCGCTTTCCAAACTAGAAGTTGATTCGTGACCAATACTATCAGATATCACAGATGATGTAACATTTATATCAAGCATGTTTTGTTGTTTGAGTTACCCCTGAAAAATTATCTTCTCAATTTTTCCAACGACGAACCACGCGATATAACGATTTGAACTGCAAGTGACCAGCCATGCATATCGTCCCATGAGTATAGCCCTACCATCAATAAGAATGTACATCAATCGCTGTCTCGTCAGCTATAATTCCAACCGTCGTCAGGACCAAAATGAAATCTCTAATCTCATTTCGCTCCGTGATTTGCTTTCAAATCAGGTATTAAAGTGTTCTTCTGCACAGGACACTCCCAGGAGGCAATTGTGATTTACACGCTTGGTGTCTAACTTACATTTTGATCAGAACAAATGTCCATTTGGCAAAGTCTTTCAGGAATTAATACAGGGTAACACAAACGTCTTATATCAAAATAACTTTCTCAATTATATTTTTGTGCGTGTAATAGTAGCACTGACTTGCATATTTAGTTAATATTGACAAATACAGATTTCTGTAATCCGGGATGATGTTGATTGAGAGCATACCTCGATGGAAAAGATCTGATGGAAAGCGTGATTTCTGTAAGTCCCGACGTGGATGCAATAAAGCATATTCTAGCTACAAGCCCCTGTGATCCCCTCCCTCTACTTGACTGCACACCTTCTTGATATGAGTAGTGGGTGGGGGGCACAAGGGCTTGTAGCTAGACTTTACACGAATTGATCATTAAAGGTTATGCAAGAAAATTGAAGGAGGACCCATTATAATTTTTCCATAATAAGGTTGCATCTCTATGTCACAGTGACATTTCATCTTAATTATTCAATCATTCATCTTATTATATTCATATTAATTATTGAATAAATCATTAACATCCTTATTTCAAGGAAGAGGTGCAAATGAATGATACGGAAACTAACCAGGCATTTTGCCAAAAATTAGAATGTTGAATTTTGAGAAAACAGTGACGAAATCCATGGAAAATTTTAAACGCTTGCTCTGTGGAGAGCAGTTGGAATTTATCCAAAAATTAAAAAAAATCTCCACAGTTATTGTCATATTGTCGTTATTGTAGACTATCACGTCTGAATTATGTTTATATTCATATGGGAAAACCAACCAAATCCCATTGCTGTCTCAATCTTCATCAATACTAGTAATCTGCACAACCGTATACAAAGTGTATCGGGGGATAGGTGGATAGTCAGTCTGGATATGGATATCATTACCGAATCAAAACTAGAAATTGGAAATTGAATAAGTTCAATTTCAGACTCCAGATGTCAGATTTGTTTTTAGTTTATAGATAGCAAAATAGACAAAGATAAATCGAAAGACATTTATATAGATAGACATTTAGATAGACTTATCACTATTTTTGACTTTCTACGTGGATATCATTAAATTGATGTTTTCGTAATTTTCAAAATGGTGTAGAATTTTAAGTGGAAGTTGGTATTTCAATTCTGATTTCAGATTTGGAATCCTGGGACTTTGTAGATGATTTTTAAAAAAAAAATCGGTCAAATTGAAGCAAGTTGAAAAATGACATATATTTTACCATTTTTTGACGTCAACTATCTCAAAAAAGGTAAGTGTAATCAAGAAACAGATGTCGAATTGTGTTTTCCTTGGCTACATTTAAAAAAAAAGATTAAGAAAAATATTGAAAATTGACAAAGATAACTGAGAAAATTTTGAAAATATAGGATTTGACCTAGATCAAAATTTGACCCAACTTCCCACCAACTAGATGATGTACCTTAATTAACCATGTGGTTGTCTAAAATTGAATACTTTATGGTTGTAAAGAAAACTTGCTTAGTAAAATGATAATTATAAGAAAGAAAGAAAGAAAGAAAGAAAGAAAGAAAAAAGAGGCAAAACAATAGACTCAAGATTATCATCTGGAGTCTAATAAGAAGGAAAACGGGGCGTGGGTGGGTAAAATCGCTCGGGGCAGGCCATCACTTAAATATATTAAACAAGAATATACTATTTTATATAATATTCTAATATCAACGAACCAGACAACAATAATTAGGCTATAAGAAATGGATATTCTATACGGAGTAGTTACTGGAAATAGAAATAACTGTCTGTGTAACCCAAGTTTACAGCTGGGGCACTTATCAATTTTCAATTAATTAAAACCCCGCACATTTCCGGCGAAAAATATATTAGTGTCTCTCAACGAAGGTTATCCTATAGTTGGTACTAGACTGTTATCCACCTTGCCAATACTTCTTGCGACTAATGTGCCAAATTATATAACAGGTGTGAAAACTGACGTTGGAACTCTTGAGATTAAGAAAAAGCAATTTCTTTCCAGACATGCTTTCGCGCCTTATCATTTAAATTGTTATGCAATTTCAAAAATATATATTTGTCGATTTTCATCAAATAGGCTGGCAAATCAATTTCAGTCGCAGATAAATGTGTAAATATATAGTATATGCAAACACAGAAATCCCAATTTCAGATAATTGCATTTTTGACAGATTTTGGACAATCTAACATGAAAGCATGTACCTCGACGGAAAGCGTAACTGAATCTCATTGTAGTACAGGGTGGTCCAAAAAGATGGGACACTCGTATTTCGAAAATAGATATTGATTTTCTTCATGAAACCATGTCATATTATATACCAGTGGATAGGGAATTTACTCATCTTTAATTTGGTATATCATAAGTTCAAATTTATTATAATGTCTGTCAACCAGCGTCCATAATATAAATGACGTCATTTTCATTTCGAAACGGTTTTTCCAAAACTAGCAAAAATCGAGTTTTATTGTCAACTTTATTTATATAAACAGATGTTCAATATGTCCATCATTTTGATCAATTGTAGCCCTCAATTCTGGCCTAAATTGGTCAATAGCATCATTGATATGCTGTTGAGACAATGAATTTTACCTCTTAAGGGACTGAATAGATCTTAAGGATTTATGGTATACCAATTCTGCCAGTTCTCCCCATACGTGGGAGTTGCAGACGTTGGGCAATCGGGTGATCTGGGCGAGGCAGTGATTAAGGAGAGATGAATCTAGGCACATCCCTTTAAACATTAGACACTCTTGTGAGATCTATTGCTTGGAGCCCTATCGTGTTAGAAAATGTAATGATTCGAAAATGAGCTCATATCAGGATGGTCCAAAAACAACATAATTGGATCATCCGATGTCAATGTCTGCGACTATCGCGTATTTGAAGAACTAACAGAATTGGTTTTCCATGAACCCCTTACATCTACTCAGTTCCTTATGGACAAAATTATTGAGAAGTTGAATTCACTGTCTCAACAGCATGTGAATGATGCATTTGACCAGTTTATATCAAAATTGAGGGCTATAATTGATCAAAATGGTGGACATATTGAGCGTCTGTATATGTAAATCAAGTTGACAAAAAACTTGGTTTTGCAAGTTTCGGAAAACCTGTTTTGAAACGAAAATGACGTCATTTATAGTATGGACGCTGGTTGACAGACATTATGATAAATTTGAACTGATGATATACCAAATTAAAGATAAGTAAATTCCCTATCCACTGGTATATAATATGACATGTTTTCCTCAAGAAAATCAATATTTATTTTTGAAATACGAGTGTCCCATTTTTTGGACCACCCTGTAGATGTATAGCACTATTTTTCTCCATGAACATTCTTTTTAACCATCCATAATTCTGATATGGTTGTTGCCCTTTACCTTTAGATGTAAATTGACCCCCAATTTTAGATTTAACTGTGGATCAGTTTTTCATTTTAGAAATTGTTGAAAATACATTGAGAGTAGATTAAATAAATAAAAATGAGGAATACGAAAATAAAATTGAGAAAACATACAATTGAATATCTTATTTGTTACTGATTGGAGTTTCTGTCTTCTAGTTCAAAGAATGGAGAAGTCTTGCAATAAGATTTATGATAGCCAGTTGGACTATCGAGTGCGCACTTGTGTTTAATGTATGTATTTGTTCATACCGATGATTCCCAGAGCAAATCATCTATACATCGTGTCTAATCAAGAATACAGTATAGAACATGTTTCAATCCATTTGATACCAGTGACAGGGTTAGGTCGATTGACGATCGATACAAAAAGACTATTTCGACCAAATACAATATGTTTTAATCAACGCTGGAATTGTTGATTTTGTTTAATTACTTGATTTCCCATTTGATGTTTCCACTTACACTTGCTTATTCTGGCAAACATGTCAGATATTGTAACTTGCTTTTTATGCATGGGGATGTATTGGCTAATTCTTGAAATACGACCGGACTGTTTCCCAGACCCAAAGCAGATTCAAATAGTGAAATATCATGGGCCTAGCTATAAGGTAGGCAAAGCCAGGAAACACCATCGGTTCGAATCTTAATGATCCGAATCCCATTGGTTCCGAATCCCGTGGTCCGAATCTCATTTTTCCGAATTCCGATGGTCCCAATGGTATAGGCAGTCTATTCTGGAAAGCTTGTTCAATAATTTCTAAGACACGTTAGGGGGTATAACTTTTGTGAAACAAGGGGAATGGTCAGTATTTGAAATTAGTAGTATTTCATACATATTACAATTGGTAAAATGTCAGAGAGATGTTATGAACTCCGGAATCAAATGGTCAATGTTTTTTTTGATCATAGATTAGAACTGTTTCTGAAGTAGTTCAAAATGAAATTATCAGTTACAATAATGCATTCACAAAATATTGCAGACAAATCATCTCCCCAGCTTTGCTCCACCAATTTGAGATATCAAAAATAAGTTGCACCCAAATGAAAACACCCGATTGAAGAAGGGTATATTAAACCCAATTGTGAAAAAATGCACCCACTCGAGAAAAATACAACACAATTCATTATCTCACCGATTTTGATACAAGGCCGTTTAAACATAGTACCTGGTGCCTCGTTCTGGAGAGCGAATATTTCCTACACTTCGTTTTTAGTATCCCTTCAAGAAATAAAACAAATATTCCATTCTATTTTCTGGAATACCTTTATCACTTGCAAAATTAATATTCCCTTGTTTTCTGGTTATCGGGAAATACTAGTATTTCTTGGGAGAGAACCCCACCCCCGATAGAACGAAATAATTATATCTAATCTCTCTGGCCAGTATCAATTTACTCGTTTCCTTAGCCTGTGGCTTAGGGATTTTTAATTGGGGTTGTTTTCATGGTAGTTATCTTCGTTCATAATGACATAATCAGTGCGTGTAGTGCAACACTGAAATTTGACAATTCGTACCATTATCAATATGATTACATAGTCTTTAGGACTGTTGATGACGCAAAAATATAATTATAGACTTAGATATAGACCTATCATGATGTAACATTTACTCGACGGAAACATCAAAACGACAGAAATCGAGATAATTATTGCCGTCGACACATGTAATAGACCCCTACATCGTGTACCTGTACATTCTTATTTGATATGTTAATTATAATGTCTCGAGTTTTTTAATTCTTTAGTGCAAACTTACCCATATCTATATACTTGTTTCGTGTCCTGCTCTTTGGAATTCCAACCTCCAATGGATTGAGACGGTGCTTCCGATTTCTTATTAACTGCTGTATTTCTAAGATTTAACGATTTTTATCCAAGTTTCCATCCAATTACACCCCAATACTATTGATGACGTCTCATGAGGGTACTGCATAGATTTTCGCTGTTTCATTAACTAAAATAATTTAATTGAGTTGTATTGCGCAAGCAGTGAAACAGTTAACCCAAACGTCCCTTCGGTACTATCATATGATATAGCCAATTTCTAGATCAATTTTGACATGCAGTTTGGGGGTATGCCTTATGATTTACAAGCATTTCATTCGGCACTGTTTTATACACGATGGTCTAATTCAATGTAATTACTAACTCGGGCCATTTGTCATCACCATATTATGAAACAAAATCTCTACGCAGTTGGCTACTTTCCATGTCGTGTATGTACTACCTTTATTATGACATCATGGCTCCACAAGAAGTACTATAAATACCTCGATCAATGGTGCGGTGTACCTGACTGCCTGCACAAGGGCCTAGCATTGAGGATAATTTTGACAAGCTAACGAAGTCAAAATTTTAAAGGGTGTGACTTTTACATCTTATCGGTACATTTTCAATCCATCTTACTTTGACTTAACATCACGATAAACCATGACATCTCATTGCATCAGAGTTATTGCTTCTCAGCTTTGGTGAAACAGAAAGATGCTATGAGAGAGTATCAAAATAATTATTTTATATCAAATAACCAACAGAAATGAATTTCAATTTTCAATCTTTAGCTTTTTGTCATTCTCGAAGAAAACAGCATACTTATATAAAAACAAAATTGACAAAAAAATCTCATGCTACCAACAAAAAATAACATTCACAAAAATTGTGTGGTTAGTGATCATGTACTTTAGATTAGTAACGAACAGAAATGTCATAAATTTCAACTTTCAGCCCTTGAGTTTTTGTCATTCACGAAGAAAGCAGCATCCTTTTGTAAAACAAAAATTGACAAAAAATCTATCCTAGCAAAAAGTAACACTCACAAAATTGTCTGGTTGGTGATCACTAAACAACAAATTAATTTTCTTGGCCCTAACAAGCCCACATTTATTCAAGATCCAAGTTATTTTAAGCGATTATCAATGCAAGATATGTAACTCAGTGATGATGTTAAACAACAGGATACTCATCATATCAAACGTCATCTTTAGTGTTATTTCCAGGGGTGGGTTAATTTTGTTTATAAGGTATCAAAAATCGATGATATTAATCCATTACTTTATATTCATCTACATTGACATCGCCATTGTTCTTTGATCAATGAGTTTTATTTATCAGGATCGTTACAAATCGTCTCCAATATTTTTCTTGCAGGTTTAAATGGATTTTTGTTTAAGCAATTGTCTAAATGATTAACACGAGTAAATAATAGTCTCAGAAATAATTCTATTAATTCAACGTATGTAATCAGTCTATCTTGTTACATAAACGATGCCATTTTAGACTGTGCATTTTCTGTATCTCATCAATTCATAAATCAATAAATTGACTGAGTCATAGTGATCATATTTGTGGCACCCCCTGAATGTGTAGGTGGAACTGGAAACAAATACCGCGACATGTGCTGATTTAAGTAAGCGTTCCTGGTTGGGTAATAGGGATCGAACAGCTGTCGTTTCCTCCTACATGTCCTAATACAATGGTTATTGTTGGATTGTGTAAGTCTGGCTTGGGTGTAGATTCTCTTTTTATTTTATTTACTTTTTTTGTTTCAGATAGAAATATGTTAAAGCAGTTACAATATAGTTATATACTAAAGTTACAATGCTATTTTTGTTTACACTTTCAGTAACAGGAAAATGTGTACCGTTGACATTTTAAAAGGAAAGATTTAATTCCATTAGTCTAATTTAAATTCAATAATTTTTGTCACTATGGAGGGACTCAAAAAGGTGATAGAAAACCGATCCCTTTCGGTTACAAAATACACTGGCTCTGGGGGATAATTTTGAACGATTTTTCTTTCCCTCGATTTCAAGAAATGTAGACAAAGATGCCAGAATCATCAAAACAGTTCTTCACTTTTGTGAGAACAAGAACAGACGGGTTCAAAAATGCAGAATACTCTTAACTTTTAATTGTACCAAACATCTTAATACCAAAACGCATCAGTTTTCGTATCGGGCACATCCACTTCTTCCATAGTGCTTGTGGACTTTTGAGAACTCGACTGTTCCCTAAATCATTTCAGGGCCCCCATTTCAAGTTGCGACTGGACACATTATTTTGCTTGAAACTGATATTCAAATTGTTTTTTAAATGTTTGATGCCTAATTATTAAGGGGAAGGGGATTACATTTGTACGTTTTGGAAGTTGTTTGGGTTTGTCGAGCTTTGTTTCTTCCTGCTTGATTTTGCTTTTCTAATATTCCTTTTTCTTTTGTTTTCCCATTTTGGTATTTTTCTTGCATATTTATTTGCAAGGTTGAATAGATGGGGTATGAATACGGTCTTTTGTAGGTGTTGTATGCCATCTATTTTACTCTAGTAGTGTGTATGCGATTATGAATTGCATCTTGACAAAAAAGCTCCAAAATTAGGTACCTGTGAAACACCTCAAAATTACTTCGTTACAGATATCCACGGGATGCTAGAGTATCCGCGTATATTGAGTATGACCGGTTCTAAGCTTACGAGTGTGACCGTATTTCTGTTCCTATAAACAGACGAGGTGAGTACTTGCTTTTTATGAACACTTTCGAACGTTTTCTTTTTATCCTACTTGGTCAATGAATGATACTTGGTATAATTATAATGCCAGGCATATCACAAGGGGCCTTAATCAAGAGAAAACGTATTAATATTAGATTGAAGCCGTAAAATCCTAGTTTCCAGCATCTTTGATCAGTTTTTGTGTAACACAACGCAACTCCGAAGAGGATGACACATCTTATGTATAATATATAGCTAGATCTACGAATTAGTCATGAATATTTCAAATAATTTAGCCTGCTCTGTCCAAATATGATACATCTTTGAATTTTTGAGAATACGAATGTCACTGGTGCCCCATTATTGGAGAATACGATTGTGAAACAATCAGTGGGCCGCGTTACACTCGTTTCCATGACATTTCACAAGCGTATCCTCTGGGAAAAGATAAATCCTTCTCTTGCTCACTCTACGGGGGATCATATAAACTGAGATTTGGAGATCTTGTTCAGGTTAGCCATAAAAAGGTTTGGGATTTGTTTTTTTTCTACTGTGATATTAATGATTTGGCTCTAAGGCGAGAAATCTGTACTTTCTGATTGATATTCCATTATGAACAGTTACATTGCTAAAATAGCTCATGTTTAACATTTTTTTGTTACATTACTATTAAATACAGCATAAACTATATTCAATAAACACAATTTCAAAAAGGATAATATAGAAGTTAACCTTTATTTTCCATTTTTAAGCAGCTGTGCCTCTCATGACTTTCCAAAACAGGTCATATTCGTAGCCTAAGAACCGGTCATACTCAATATACGCGGATACTCTAGTTACCCGTGGATATCGATAGTTACACCACTATAGCTAAGGCAGACTAAAGCTATATGAGTTACTGGGGCGCCTCCGTATTGCCATTGCCACTTGGCATTCATTTGGTATCATATTGTCCCATTGTTGTGATAAAAAACGCAACTCAAAGAAATCACTATATCTTGAAAAATATTGGTTCAATTATGTTCATTTTTCAGGAAAGAAAGAAAATACTGCGTATGTATATCTCTTGTAGATGGTTAGTTGTAAAACATGATACCTTGGACACCTGCTCAAAAGACAGTTGTACTAGGAAAATACGAAAAATGCAGCCAGGGGTGACTGCAACCCAGAAAAAAGCAAAATAACTTCCTAACCATAGTATTTTGGCTCTTCAAATTTGGCACAAATCATCTTTATTAAATGTATTGTAAATCTAAAGAGTGAAATCGAAATCACTGCAGGGACTTTACCGTCATGGTCGAAATGCTTTCAAATCGCAGTCAAACGCCATGGTTCAGGCAGATTTAAGAAGGCATTTTGACCATGACTGTAAAGTCCCTATAGTGATTTTGATGAAACTCCACAAATTCACCACATATTGAACAAGGATAATTTGTTCCAAATCTGAAGTGCCAAAACACAATGGTTAAAAAGTTATTTGGTATCATTGCTGTGGCAGTCACTTCTGACTGAAAAAATAATACAATTGGATTAGTATTTTCTAAGATATAGCGATTTCTTTGGGTTGCGTTTTTTTAACACCCTGTATATCATGTGGTATAAAATTGTTGCAAAACTATGTACAGGGTGACCGGAAAAAAAGGAGACCATTGAAATAGGCAATATCTCCTAAAATAGACTAGTGACATCAATGAAATTTTGCATACACAGGAACAGTTATATGGAAATTTGTTACTGAATGTTTCTATACAAGCATTCAACTGGTTCAGGAGCTATGATCATTTACATAACATGCTCCAAATAGGCACAATTGAGACCAACGCAGAGTTGGATTCATATGGCAAACTACCCTTACATGTTCTGCCCTCTATGGCATTATTATGGCATTACATATAGCAGTGATTGCCTTCTTTAGGTCAACAATAGTCTGAGGATTGTTTTGGTATAGATTGTCTTTCAAATATCCATACAAAAAGAAATCAGCAGGATTCAAGTCTAGGCTGTAATGGCAATGAAGGGTTATCTGACATGTGGTTCATCATCCTGTTGCCAAAGTGCTGATTTACCAAATCTTAAGAGTCACTTTAGGTATTGGGCATAGTGCCATGTTACTAAAACCACTATATGGCACAATTAAATCCCATATGAAAACCAAGGGCTGCCCAAAACCTCCTTAGGATGATACTGTAACTGAGTGGGACCACTGAGTCAGAAGCCATAGGTCAGATAAGCTTCGTCTCCATACACCTCAAATTTTTTGTGGGGCAATTTGAAAGACAATGTGTACCAAAACAATCCTGAGACAATTGCTGACCTAAAGGTGGCAATAAATGCTAAATGTAATGCCATAACAAGGTCGGAATATGTAAGGGTATTTGCCAAATGTATCCAGCTCTGCGTTGGTCTCAATTGCGCCTATTTGGAGCATGTTATGTAAATGATCATAGCTCCTGAACCAGTTGACTGCTTGTATTGACACTTTCAGGAACAAGTTTCCATAGAACTGTCCTGATGTATGCAAAATTTCATTGATGTCACTAGTCTATTTTAGGAGATATTGCCTATTTCAATGGTCTCCTTTTTTTCCGGTCACTCTGTATTAATTGTTGCGTTGCTACCATGCAGCAGTATGTCTAATGCATGTTGTGTTGTAATATTGAGATGCAATGTGGTATTGCATGTAGCATCAGAACGATGTGTTACAATATTGTATCAGTGTAATATGTTCCGACTTGGTATTACATGTATAGTGTGTTCCAACGTGGTATTGCGTGTAGCATCACAACGATTGTTTGTAATATGGTATCAGTGTTATATGTTCCAACTTGGTATTACATGTATAGTGTGTTCCAACGTGGTATTGCGTGTAGCATCACAACGATTGTTTGTAATATGGTATCAGTGTTATATGTTCCAACTTGGTATTGCATGTATAGTGTGTTCCAACGTGGTATTGCGTGTAGCATCACAACGATTGTTTGTAATATGGTATCAGTGTAATGTGTTCTAATGTGGTATTGCATGTAGCATCACAACGATTGTTTGTAATATGGTATCAGTGTGATGTGTTCTAATGTGGTATTGCATGTAGCATCAGAACGATGTGTTACAATATTGTATCAGCGTGATATCTTCAAACTTGGAATTTCATGTACAGTGTCTTCCAAAGTGGTATTGCGTGTAGCATCACAACGATTGTTTGTAATATGGTATCAGTGTAATGTGTTCCAACTTGGTATTACACGTAAGTGTGTTCCAACGTGGTATTGCGTGTAGCATCACAACGATTGTTTGTAATATGGTATCAGTGTAATGTGTTCTAATGTGGTATTGCATGTATAGTGTGTTTCGACGTGGTATTGCGTGTAGCATCACGACGATTGTTTGTAATATGGTATCAGTGTAATGTGTTCTAATGTGGTATTGCATGTAGCATCACAACGATTGTTTGTAATATGGTATCAGTGTAATATGTTCTTATGTGGTATTGCATGTAGCATCAGAACGATGTGTTACAATATTGTATCAGCGTGATATGTTTCAACTTGGTATTGCATGTATAGTGTTTTCCGACGTGGTATTGCGTGTAGCATCACAACGATTGTTTGTAATATGGTATCAGCGTAATGTGTTCCAACGTGGTATTCAATGCATGTAGCAACAGAACAATGTGTTGCAATGTTTCAACTTGGTATTGCATGTATAATGTTTTCCGACGTGGTATTGCGTGTAGCATCACAACGATTGTTTGTAATATTGTATCAATGTAATGTGTTCTAATGTGATATTGCGTGTAGCATCAGAACGATGTATTGATATCAGTGTATGTGTTCCAACGTGGTATAGTATTGCGTGTAGCATCAGAACGACGAGTTGCAATATGGCCCATCAGTGTAATGTGTTTTTGGTCTTGCTTGTATCATCACGGGCACCCCAGCCCCCCCCCCCCCCCCCGAATCAAAATCTTGTGAAAACGGCCGTCGTACAGCCGCCCGTAGAGCAAATGTGACAGAGGCTTTACGCTTATCTTGTTCCAACAATCCTCTTCATAGTTTTGGGAACGAGATATGGCCGTAACCAAGGGGTCGCTGTGAATTTCGGCGCGCGGACCCGGTGTTAAAGAAATTATCGTCCCCTGGGGATAATGGTCCCCTTTCCTTACGGCCCTTACTGGCCCTGACTGTGTATAAATAATAAGGGAAATAATTGAAATTAGGTCACCATATAAATCAATAGAGAGTAGGACCAAAAGTTGATAGGGACCATATACCCTTTTACACCGGCCTCTATTAAGTTATGCCTTTTTTCAATTTGCCTCAAAATGTGAAAATTTGGCCTCAAGTTATTTTTGACACTTTCCCTTTTATTCAGATTTGCATATTCGCCGGAATATTAAAATGTTCGCACTGCAGCAATGCCATATCAGAGATAAACAATATGTAAAAACAGTATTTAAGACTGATACATGTACATGTATGTTACTTTGTACACTGTATACCGAAATTAATTGTATTCCTCTCAAATGCCACGGTCGATTTCCTATGTCTATGTCAATAATCTGCAAAAGGCTAATAAGCCCATAATCTATAAAGCAGATATATAAGTGATAGAATTTGAATGGAATAGAATTTAAAACCTTAACATTTAAAAATAGATCCAGTATGGTTTACAACTCATTTTAAAATTGAAAGGAACCTTCCTGGTTGGCCCCTGTACCCCCCTAGGAAGTCCCTTTATGTTGGAATACCCTGGGGTTACCTTCTTCTAAGGCCACTGTATTGCAAGTATTGGCTAGAGACTCGAGTAACCCTGGGGCGACTGTCAGGCCAGTACCGCGTTTTCATTTGGAGTTTGCTAGCAAGGACTAAATTTCCCGCAATGATATTGTTAAATCCACTTTCGAGTGATTTGTCTCGGGATTTGACCCAGGTCTTGACAGCTGATTTAATACAATTTTTGTAGAAAAACTGAATTTTGACCTAAAAAGGTAAATTATGACTGAGTGAACCCCGGGGCCTGAAACCTGGCCGCTTTAGGGATTCCCTGCCCGGGATTCCCTGTCATGGTTCTTTGTAGATAAGACATTACGCTTATTTACTACCCATGGTCAATTGTTTTCTATTTTACAAGTTGTATTGGACCAGTGGTCAAGATTAGGATTTGTTGGAGGAAGAGTTTCTCTAGCGTGGGTTTTCCAAATTTGCCGGGAAATGTTTTGGTCACATGACCTTCACCTTTGGACCTATTTTCTCTTTTATACATTAGCTTTAAGAATATAGTACTCATGTAAATCCCTAAATGTTACGAATATAGTGGTATTCTCGGAAACGTTCAATTAAATCCAATGAGCTGGTGATTTAATTATCACTTACTCTCCACCTCGACCTCCTTTTGTAATGATTTCCATCGCGCGTAGTAATATATTCCAATATCAACAATTTCAGATCTACTTTCAATATGGTGTCCGATAAACGTTCTGTTCCAAATTTCAACTAAAATGTTGTTAGAAACAGCATAATGTCGCTGTTTTTACAAATATTAGTCTTGGAAATATAAATTTCAACCTACAATCATTGAGCAGGGCAACATAGAAGGTAGCGATCTCGCTACATGAGTGAGTATTTTACTTCCCAAAATAGAAATTCAGGGAAAGAAAACAGTTTTTTGAAAAAAATTGAATTTTTATTTTTGAACACAATTTTAGAGTGAAGATGGGAAATTTGAATATATAAATAAAATATTATGCCAAACTACAAATACCATTTATTGATTCGCTTAAGTAACTGATCTCAGGACTGATCTCTTTTGCTCTCATGTCTACAAATTATGAGACAAATTCTCTTGGCTCTTCAAGCTAGATCTAGGCTAGATTCTAGTTTCAATTAGTAGATCTAGTTCTGAAAAAGATTCATTAGTCTATCCCCAATCTTGAGTTCTAAACTACATAAGACTGTGCACAATAAATCACATTTTAGCGTTTGTATTTGCTGCAAATAACATAACCCTTTGCTCGTTTCTATTTTTCAGAGTAGTGGAAGTAGTAAGGGCATATCTTAAATGTTTTGTATCAGTTCTGCCAGTCCTATACATATTTTTAGTACTGTAACTCATAATATTTCAAGAATACTCTAGATTTTATAAATATTTTATTTTATCTAACATATATCCTTGATCTTATTGATTGAAAATTACACTGGTAAAAAGCAGGTTCTAAATCTCTTTATATCGATGTGTATACTTTCTTTTCTTTTCCAGGTGTAACACTCAAGATGAAGGAGTTTGAATGTATGAAGTGCAATACACTCTATGCGACAAAGGTGCTATTGGGGCATCATGTGCGTATCAGGCATTCAGAAGCCATGCCATATAATTGCCAATATCCAAAGTGCAAAAGGGTAAGTATTAGGTACCTTCTAATGCTCTCGTTGGAGTTTAAATATTACGGGAAACGTATCTCCTTTTTAAGCTCAGAACTTATTGAAATAATATGTTTCGTGTAGCTGTTTTTAACACTGCCATAGGTGAAGAGAGAGAAAGAAGCAGCAAAATCTGTGTCTTCCTTGCTTACAATATTATAAGGACATTCATTTTTACAACCAAAATTTGATTTTCAGTAAATCTCAATTATCATAATAAATTGGTAACCAAGATGACCATTTGGCCTGAACCAGAAATACTTACATTGATTAAAATGGCTTTGTTTTTACTAGCATAAACCTACTTAGAATTTTACACTTATTTGAACTGGGTCAAAAATTAAATTTTTTGTGGAACTGATATAATGAAATCTCAGACCACATCTCCCCTATGTTTGTTCAACCAAGTATTGTTCATTAAATTTACATCTCCTCAATGTGCAGTGTTTTTTTTTCCTCTACCATAATTAGTTTGAAATATTGACATATTTATAATTGACCCAGTTTCTTCGATACCGTCTGTTGTATATCAGAAATAATAAGCATGTATTCAGAGTGAATTCATTATAGATTATTTTCACAATAATTTAATGTTATTTACGTGTACCTGATATAGATTTGTCCTGTCTTTCAGACCTTCAGTCAAATCAGTCAGTTGCAGAAACATTGGAGGTACCACCGTGGTGAACAGCCCTATGGGTGCACAGTATGTGATAAACACTTCTACCACTGGGCACACCTTGCCCAACACAAACGCAAACATAAAGGAGAAGGACTTTTTATATGTCAGATATGTCTCGCCAGATTTATAGAGCAACCTGACTTGACTTTACATCGGATAAAAGTTCATAATCAATTGAGGCCTCCAAAAACTAGACAACCTCTTGTTCTCAGTATAAAGCAAAGTGGAGGTGAGACGTTAAAAATGAAGTTTGTAGTGAAGCCTAAGAAATCCTCTGAAGAACTGGATAAAGACAATCAGAGTGAAGGCAAATCTGAATGTAAAGATCCCATAGTAAATGGTCTTGATACCCATAGCAATAGTAGTGCAACATCAGAGACATTGAAAGAGGATTTAGAGGACAGTGGAACAATAGATGTTACGGGCAATCATAACAAAGAAGTGACTAAAAATCCCTTACATAAAAATGTCCCTTCAGATGTTAAACATCAGCCACCAGAAGTTCCTCCCAAGCCATCCCCTAATAAGTTTTTAAAGCACAAACTAATGAGTAGAGGTGCTAGTTATTGTCCACGTAAGAATCACCAAATAGAAATACGAACTGCAAAATCTCCAATTATTCCCCCTTCTCCTATTACGAAGCCTAAAAGTCCCTTCAAAAAGGCTAAAATTACAAAGACTAAAAAGGGGCCGACTGGATCTGGTTTTGCTAGCAGGCGTAACATGCTCCCAAATAAAACTGTAACACCTCCAAACCCTTCTAAATCAGTGCCTACACTGCCCAGTGATGTTGCTGAAGAGAGTTTGTTAGACCTATTTATAATGGATGAACTGGAAAGTGAACAGCTACCAAGAGGGAATGGAGTGTTGCCCCATAGTCATCCAGCTCCTCTTATCCCAGCTATGAAGGATACCCCAAAGCCTGGGACTTCCAAGTCTGGTCCAAAACTACCAATGTTTAAGACACCTATAACGCTTAGACAGAGTGCAATAGAACAGAACTATAAAGATGACAAAAATGAGGACAAACCATTACCAACCCTTGAAAGAATAACAGACATTAAAGGTAGTGTATTCATGTGAACTGGTACTGTTTTTGGCTCACACAGTGAGCCTATGGGATTGACCAGGCATCCGTCCGTTGGTCCGTCCGTCCGTCCGTCCATCAACATTGGCCGCACAAATTAAAACTGCTATTCGGATTGAGTCATATCCACATTCATTTTATGTATATCCATAATGCCTATTTGACCTATCATCGCCATTTCCCAAGTTCGCCCGGTTTCCGAGAAATTGCGGATTTTGACGTCAAAAAGTCAAATTTTCTGTAAATACTAGACACTTTGTTGAAGTAGAACTTTCAAATAACTTTTAGTAGTTGGTGTATATGCAACGTATGTCCTCTGAAGATTTCAAAGCTCTTGGAATTACGGTTTTTGGTGTTTACTCTATAAAATTTGAAAAAAAGTAGGACTTAGTCATTTTCAGGAAGCTTTCTCATGTATAAAGTCAATGGCAGGTTTTGTGATTGACAAGATTCTTAAAGTTTGCCTTATACTTGATCATTTCCTGCAATAAATTACATCATTAATAGATTTAAGCATTCCCTACATATTTCTCAACATATGTCAGCATCAAATTTTTACCGTTTTTGAGATATTTGACGTAAAAAAACAGTAAAAATAAGTTATTTTTCAACTTGCTTCAATTTGACCAAATTTTTTTTTGAAAATCATCTACAAGTTGCCAGGAGTTCAAATCTGACATTAGTTTTAGGATTTGACCTTTACTTGACCTTCAGTGACCTTCGAAAGGTCAAAAAAGTTGATTTTTCAAATTGATTTTTGGATGTAAATTTTGGTCAGGTTAATCACAAAAGACCTTACTGAGCTCTGAATAAGTAAAATTTTCAAGGTCAAAGGTCATCAAACTAGGTCACACAACTATGCTATCTAAGTTTCTCAAAGTTTGAGACTACAAATCCAAATCAATATCTTTGTTTGAAAGTCCGGATATAAATTCCTCTGAAGGTTCCAAACTGTGTGAGCATAGGACCGTGGGTCCTTCATTTAAGTTAGGTATGGTAATAATTTCATGCCTAATTGCATTCTCCTTTTTTCAATGAAACCACTATTCTGTTCCTATTCGCTTCTTTTTCGCTCCTTGTGAAATTCAAGGTAACTACTCAAATGCTTAAATTAACTTGGTCAGCAAATCGTAGCATTGGCAAATTCAACTGATGACTGATGGTTTAACCTACTCTTTTAAGGCAAACTCATTTAAATTTGAATAGTACTTGCCACTATTCCATTCATATTTAAATGAATGGGCTATAACACATTGTTTTCAACCAACAGCTAGTGTTGTCACGATGTGCCATAATCGTACATCGATGCATCGGCAATTTTCAGTAGTAAACATCGATGCACATCGAGAAAAAGTCCGAGAAAATTGCACTGAAATACCGAACGCTAATGCACTAAAATACCGAACAGAACAAATTAATAAGAGTACGCTGGTACATCCGGGAACTTCTAGTAACGATGAAATGAAAGTAAAGTAAATTTTTTAAGATTAATGGTTCATTTCGACTAGCTAAAAAAGTTTTAATGCGAAAGAATATCAGAAAACATTGGAAAATGAAATAAGACATGAGAAAGGTAAGCGATTTGCGTCAAAATAAGATAAGAAAGGGTGATTTTTAGCAAATTAAATTTTTTTTAAATGCATCGATGTTTTGTTTCAGACATCGATGCATCGCCAGAATCAGCTTTGGCGATGATATCGCGATGTATCGATTAATCGCGACAACACTACTGACAGCCTGTGGTTGAATTCACAAATAATAGTTTGAACTTCCAGTAAAATGTGATATTTTAATAACATCTTTTTTTACAATTTCTGCTATTTATATTTTAGCTTGGAATTCTCCAAATGATTAATCTTTGAAAAAGATGGGACCATAATGATTTAGGAAAAATATTTTGGGGGACTTTGCTAGTCCATGTAGTTTCTAGATTTAATTATTTATTTACAATTATGGAAAAATGCATCGTAAGCTTAAGACTAAAACTTGCTAAGAATGTGCATAAAAACAATACAGTACAGTGTAAATTGATGATATAAATCATGATAAAGAGTTCAATAATTTGCTCAACTGATGGGCACAGCATATCAGTGCTGGGAGATCACTTATTATTAGCATTATTGAGTACAAAAATCATAATTGCCATCATTTTGTGGTATAAACCTTGTAGTTAAATGGAATATGTTATCACATATGCTGGCAACATTTCTGTTCATATGGAGTACTTGTAGACTGCTTTTTTTAAACAATTATTTTTACTAATTAAATTTTTGGAAAAGGCCTGTTAAATCAGGTCTCCCTGTGATTTAGATAAAAAGCACTACTCAGAAACAAGAAATTAGAATTACAGATGTACTGTATTATATAAGATGTATTATGTATTATATATATAATTTATATTACCATTTTTAACTTTCAGTATTTTTAATTTTCATTCAAAACATAAGCTAAAGCCATGTGGTTTCTTTTGTTGAATGCTCAGAAAAATAAGAAAAGAAACATTGACCTACCTCTTACTAATAGAGTAGAAAAAAAGTTGAAGTATATAATATCTGAAATGCTGTTTTCTTTTACTCATCACTTCCTACGTGTCAGTTGGACATTATTCCTATATCTTGAAAGTTCTCATCAGTCCTCATTTGTTGTTTTTTGTTTCCATTATTCATTTATTTTATTCATAGAATTTTTAAGACTTCAAATGAAATAAATAGTTGACACTTGTAGACTATATGGCTTTGATCTGTAGCATTATATTCCACAACTACATCGATTTCTTGGCCAAATGAAACTCCAAAGATGAGCTTTTATCCATATGACCTAAACTATTTTATTTGGTACAGATTCTACCAGAGCTTATCTATGCATGTTTTGTCAAAAATTAAAATATTGTTAATTTGATTTATTTTCGTATTTTCAGGTGATATGAAGAGAAATAGTCCTGGAAGTGATGATTCTGCACGAACATGGGAATCTGTGACTGTAATAGATACTTCAACAGATGCTGACAAATCAGCTGCTCCTCGCATAAAAATCAGATTTGGAAAATCTAACCACCCCCCTCCTCCTAGATTATCGCCAATCGACACAAAATTATCACCAGTTAAACATCCGCCTGTTAAAATGCCACCTATCAGACTAAATCTTGGAAAACTCCTCAAGTCAAAAAGCATCTCATTGAAAAAGACAATAGAAGGTGATATATCTAATGCTCCAAAATATGAAGCAGTGAAACTTGATCCTGATACAACTCCAAGCAAAACAACAGATGCCACAATCACATCTGATGGTGAAGGGAAGCTTGATGCGCTTAGTGAAACACCAGTTAAGCCAGCTACTTTACCTAATGATTTTTCATCCACTCCAAAATCACCCAATGATGTACCTGCACTGTCTGGTCCAAAAACAAGTACCCCAATAGCCAAAACTGACACAGAACACTCTGGATCAGTTATAAAAAGCTTGCTCCAACAGAAAATCAAAGATAGCTCTGAGACAGAACTTAGTATCAGCGCCATACATAAAGAGGATAACCATGAGAGTAAGGTTAGTGAACCGATTCCCAAAGGAAGAAGGGCACTTAGAACTCGTGGTAAAAAAATCAACTATAATGAAACTGCCATGTTTCATGAACATGAGAAAGAGCAGGAGAAGAATGAAAAGAAAGAAGAATCAAATGAAAATAAAAATAAATCTATTGAGAAGAAAGATGATTCATTAGAAGAGAAGAAAGCTAAACGGGAAAGTACACCAGTGCCAAGTGTGACAGAGAAACAGAGTAGCAATATACCAACTAAAAAGGTTCCGATTGTTAAACTTGATGACCTATCTAAAACTATGGACATCAAATTGAAGTCAGTGTGTAGTGTTGAAGTCAACAAAATGCACTTACAAAAGCCAGATATAACTAAAGAAAAAGAAAATGTCTCTATCAGTGCAAATAAAGAGCTTAGTGGTGAAGTTGAATCCAAAGATTTAGTTATAAGTGATGCTTTTACCAAGATCACAAAAGGCCGAGCAAAAAAGGGGAAATTTAGGTCAATTAACAGCATAGATTCTACCCCTTTAGCCCCAGAAACAACAGCAGCCTCTGCTGTGACGGTTGAACCTAAACCAACAACAGTACCTTCAACAGCAAGTGAACCTGGCCTCAGTGCTTCTCTTGTGCTTGATGAAAACACTGGAGAGTTCATTGCAAAATCAGATGCTAAGCCAACTCCTGTAATAGGAAAGAAAAAGGCAGCAAAGGGTAAAGGAAAGAGAAAGGGGGCAGTAGTAAGGGCAAAACCTGCTCCGTATGTTGAAGAAGTTAAACCCCCAGTTGTTGAAGAGCCCTTTGTTAATGAAACCCCTATCATCCCAGTCACTCGCAATAGTATTCTCCCCCTTCGTGGTGCTAACAATTCCAATGCTCTCTCTGGCTCAGGGGTGGCATCTACCACTACATCCTCAGCTAATAGACTGATTCCACCTAAAAAGCGGAAATATGCACAGTTGCAGATTGATCAATCCCCACCAAAACCACCCCCAAAACCACCTGTGATTGAAATGTCCCCTGATCCCCATAAACCAGAGCCCCCAGCCCCAGCTATGCCATCTTCGGACATACCAACCCTTAAGGATCTTAAAGATGCTACCACTACAGAACACATACAATTCAAGCAACACCCAGTCTATGGAGCTCCTCTGGAAAGTGCGATGCCAGGGCTAAATAGTGAACAACAAGCCATGAAACCTCATGATGAGTGCAATATTTCCAAACTTGACTCTCTCAGCAAATCTGTTGATGATCCAAATAAGGCTATACATCAAACAGACGATCAGTTATCCCAATCCAGACTGGATTACAGAAATCAGAGTAATTTCCCCATAGCTGAAGAGATGAATGATATTTATGGCAGACAGAGTGTACAGTCCATGACTAATTTAATGAACCTAGGACTAAATATAATTCAACATCCCATACAGGACTTCCACAATAAAACAATAGGTGGAGTAAATCAAAATTTGATGCAGAGCCTAGCAGCGTATGAGTTCTTGATGAGACAGCAAGATGTCAGTAGGATGCACCCTAATGCCTTGAAGGCAGCTATGGAACATAGGTTTAGGCTAGAAGCTGAACTTGCAGCAGTCAAAGGTCCCATGGACATCAGAGAGCTTATGAAATCTCAGGTTGATCATCAATTTGATGTAAGACAGGAGTCTAGAAGTGCATCAAATCTTAGCATTCCATCAAGTCAAGCACAACAGCCCTCTAACCAGGAACTTCAGAATCTTCAGTTCAGCAAGCTCAATGAGACAGTCCAGCAGACAATACAGAATCAATTATATGGTAATGCTCATCCACGTAAACGAACAGCTGAATCAAGTCATTACTCTGATCAAAGAATGCATTATATGGAGCAGTATCGAATGACCCAACCATGGTCGGCATATGACCAAACATCTCAAGACATTGGTGAGTTAAAATCAGCATTTGAGCGTCGACAGAGTCTAGGACTTAATGACCGTGAAGCAAATAAAGATGAATTTCAGAATCTTTTTGAAGATGTAAGAGCAGAATTGAAGAAATTCCCAGATGCACCTTCATCTCCAATGCCACCAGCCTCAAAAGCATCACCAGATGGTTATCTAAATAAACCTGTCAGTAGTTCTAGTACATCCTCCCATTCAGTCGAATCCCTCTTGAATACCACATCTACACAGTCCGCAGTGACATTAATGAATGCCAATGCTCATGCAGAACCAACTGTCTCCCATGTGGAAACCCTGACCCCTACGCAGCCAAACGTAAACCTAAATAAAATAGATACGTTAACCCCATCTCAATCTGTCATGAATATTATAGACAAATTCACCCCTTCACAACAAGCCATGAGTAAATTGGATACATCAACTCCTTCGCAGCCAGCAGTGATGGATACATTAATATCAACCCAGTCAAACACACATGTAAATGAATCATTAACTTCCACACAATCAGCTGTGAATTTGATCGAACCGTTACCTCCAAAACAATCAGCTACACATAATGTAGAGACAGTCACTTCTGTACAACCAGTCGAAAAGCCAGTGGACACAATTACATCTTCACAATCAGTCATGAACTTTATTGATCCTCTTGATGATCACCCTCAACAATCAGGTAATCTAATGGATACATTAAGCCCCACCTTGAGTCCCTCACACCATCCCTTGAACCTCATGGAATCTTTAACCTCAATCCAGGCAAATGATACACTTCTCGATAGTTTAACCCAGCCAGCTGTTTCTCTATTAAACAGTAAAGACACAGATGAACTGGAGAACTCTTTGAACTTCACATTGGATGGTAACAGTATTGGTGGTTTAGTTAAGGAGACTACACCACCACCAACTTGCATTGAGACCACTAGTCAAGAATCAAGTATTAGCACTCCTGTTTTGACTGAAACATCTGTAGCACCAAGTGCCTCGGTTATAGATCCTGTGCCAGCAATTGATCAGCCTAGAGAACCTAAGCCCAGTGGTAGGTGGTCACCAAAGATTTCTGCCACTTGTGATCTCCCTGCGACTGCAGAGCCCATTGTTGATATGGATACTCCACCTATAAGGCCTGAGGAGCCAAAGCCAAAGGCCAGTGGTAGGTGGTCGCCACAGATCTCTAACCCTGATGCTACACCAGCAATGATAATACCTGCGGAGCCTGAGGAACCTCGACGAAGTGGTAGATGGTCACCACAAATAGCCAGACATAAACCAGAGTCTAGCAGCCCTCCTCAACAGGAATCTCTTACATCTCCTCCCATTACAGGCTCGTTGGAGTCACTCAAAATGCTAGGATTATTTACAGGAGTCGATTTCAATCCTCTGAAATCACCCACAAGAAAACCTGCCAAAGAGCCTCACAATGCTACAGAGAAGCCCAAATTTACAAACACTGGGTTAGACATGGATCTTGGTTTCAGTGCTGATGAAGAAGATGTAAAGCCCAGCATAAACACCCCACTCTCCATCAATATTCCAAAAAGGTCTGACTTGTTACATAAACCAAAAACCAAAAGTCCAAAAAGTGAAACAAAATCTCCTGGAAGTGGAGGATTTCAGACTCAATATGAAATGTTTGTACATACGCTTGGACTGTCTGGGAAACCACCTCCTAAAGACTATTCCTCAGATGAATCTGATTATAAGCCTGATCCTGATAGCTCCAGAGGTAGAAGGAGGAGACCAGGTAGACCAAGAAAAAACAAAAAAGCTGCTGGTGTCATAAAACATCAAGCAGAAAAATCTCGAACTAATTCCGTTGAGAAGCCCTGTCCAAAGAGCTTCAAAAGGAGTCAAAGTGAAATTATCCCTGGGGCTAAGAGAAACCATAGTGAAGTTAAAAATAAGCCATGTCCAAAACGATTCAAGAAAAATTTCAGTCGACACAATTCTGTTTCTGTGGAAAGACCAATCAGAAAAGGGAGTTATAATAGTCGTCATGGATATGGTAGCGATGACTCTGCTGTCCTTGGTGATTCTGAGAGTATTAGTAGTAGTGATACTGAGGTTTCAAAAACTAGTCACGCCAGTAGTCGACCAAATAAGGATTATGGCTTGCGAAAAAAGAATCGTCATGTATTACAGAAACTGTATAATGATGGGGCTGATGTAGAAAATGACACTAGAAAACCATCAGAGCCCACATTCACCTATGAAATTCCAGAAAACTTTGATATGTACAAACATTCAACAGTTAGTCGTAAAATCATAGACCTTCGGAATAAAGTTTATAGATTATTCTACACAGCATTTCCCTTTCTTGAGTATCCATACAATTTCTATAAGAACACAGATGATGTGGAGTATATGATGGATAAAATTGTACAGACAGTATTAAAAGGAGAAAAACAGAACAGCAAACTGCCCCGCCCAAAGCCATTTAAAAGTAAAGCAAAGGGCAAACGGAAGAAAGGACCAATGAAACCCTTTGTTATCCTCTGTGACAAACCTGATAAATGCCTCAAAAATCTCCGACAGAAGATTGTTCGGTTTCTGCAAGCGATTCTTCCAGACCTTAATGTGGATTCTAATCTCAAAGGACCAAAGGTTGACCATCTACTGGAAGAAGTCATAAGCAACAATGACTGATTTAAAGTCTGATTTGGTGTTCAGAAATGTATTTTAGTTATTTATTACATTGTTTAAAAGTTCTCACTGGCTAGTTGCAAAATTATCATAAGATATGAAAATACAGTAGTTCTTCAATCGATATTTGCTTGAAATATAATAATTTATTTGAAATTGTAATGATTTTGACCTTTGAGATCAAAATTAAAGTTTTTATTAGCATTCTATATTCTACACTCACACATTTTTTACCTCTATATAGAAATTGTACTTAACAGCATTGTTGTAATTTCCCTTTAGCCTTACGTCATACGACAATATTTTAGACAGTACAAAGACATGTTTTCATCAGATAATTTTGTAACTAGCATGCTAGCCTGTGATTGTGTAAATTATATTTTTGCTTCGTCTTATATATCATATTCCAAGAAGAGTTCAGTGCTTCTATGTTTAGCCCTTACCTGTCTACTTCTGTCAAAAACATAAGTTACATTTTCAAATTGCTTTCATTTGACAAATTGAGCAGGAAAAAATGTGAATGTCAACACCTAAATGCTAGGTGCCAGTAGTTAGTGGTTTCTTTACCAGGTGGTTTACTCGATCAAATAACATTGCAGATATCCCCATATAATTCAGAGGACCAATTTTCATCTAATCTTTTAGAGAGTTGTAACTTATAGGTAGCTTAAATTATTATGATAGCACTTTGACTGAATTTAGTATATTTAATCATGAAAATACTTGTACTGGCATCTAGTCTATTCTGTAGGTATAACTGTCTCATAGTACCAGGTGTTACAATGCCACACCACAGCACAATTTCCTTTCATAAAATAACTGGATATATTTTCAAGCGATTAAAGTTTGATATAATATGTAACTTTAGCTACTTTTTTATCAAATATCAATGTAATCAAAATGGTTAAGATGGTTAATCATTATCTTTACAAAATTCATTTTAGTAAAAGAAAAAACAATTACATTCTGTTTTTTCTGAGTTTGATTTATAAATTGCACCATTTAGGCTTAAATATTAGCTTAATAATGTGTCCAGTTATTTTGATATTAAGTCTCTCAAAAATACACACACACTCATGATGAGTATATAATATATATAAAGATTGTTCAATAAAAGATTGAATTATGCATGTAATTTCATGGGACAGTAGGCTATTGGCTGAAAGAGTAATGAAATGTCATTATGACAGCTTATAATTAATTTATTGTCTTAAAAGCCTTGTTGAACCTTAGAATAGTCATATGAAAAAAATTAATTTGGGTTTGATACAAAGCTCTTTTTATTTGAATATCCAAACTTGTAAAAATGTTCTCCTAAGCAACAGAAGTTTCAAAAGCTTGCTGGCTAGTGTGCCTTATATTTTTATGTCACCACCAAAAAGTGGTGACATATTGTTATGGTCTCCGTTTTTTTGCGACGGCGGTTGGTGGTTGGCGTCTGGCGTCCGGCGTCCGGCGTCTGGCGTCTGTAACAATTTCTTACAACTTCCTATAACTTAACAAATACTGTTTAGACTGACTTCAATTTTTTTCTAAATCATCTACATCTTCTCAGAAGTTCAAATCTGACTTTAGATTTGACATTTGACCTTCAATGACCTTCTCAAGGTCAAAAAGGTCTTTTTTCAACTTGCTTCACATTGACTAAATTTTTTTTCAAAATCATCTACATGTTCTCAGAAATTCAAATCTGACTTTAGATTTGACATTTGACCTTCAAATCTGACTTTAGATTTGACATTTGACCTTCAATGACCTTCTCAAGGTCAAAAAGGTCTTTTTTCAACTTGCTTCACATTGACTAAATTTTTTTTCAAAATCTTCTACATGTTCTCAGAAATTCAAATCTGACTTTAGATTTGACATTTGACCTTCAAATTTGACTTTAGATTTGACATTTGACCTTCAATGACCTTCTCAAGGTCAAAAAAGGTCAAAAAGGTCTGTTTTCAACTTGCTTCAAATTGGCAAAATTTTTTTTTCAAAATCATCTACGTGTTCTCAGAAATTCAAATCTGACTTAAGATTTGACATTTGACCTTCAATGACCTTCTCAAGGTCAAAAAGGTCTTTTTTCAACTTGCTTCACATTGACTAAATTTTTTTTCAAAATCATCTACATGTTCTCAGAAATTCAAATCTGACTTTAGATTTGACATTTGACCTTCAATGACCTTCTCAAGGTTAAAAAAGGTCAAAAAGGTCTGTTTTCAACTTGCTTCAAATTGACTACATTTTTTTTTCAAAATCATCTACGTGTTCTCAGAAATTCAAATCTGACTTAAGATTTGACATTTGACCTTCAATGACCTTCTCAAGGTCAAAAAAGGTCTGTTTTCAACTTGCTTCAAATTGACTAAAAAAAATTTCAAAATCATCTACGTGTTCTCAGAAATTCAAATCTGACTTTAGATTTGACTTAAGATTTGACATTTGACTTTCAATGACCTTCTCAAAGTCAAAAAAGGTCAAAAAGGTCTTTTGTCAACTTGCTTCAAATTGACTAATTTTTTTTTTCAAAATCATCTACATGTTCTCAGAAATTCAAATCTGACTTTAGATTTGACATTTGACCTTCAATGACCTTCTCAATGTCAAAAAAGGTCAAAAAGGTATTTTTTCATCTTGCTTCAAATTGACTAATTTTTTTTTTCAAAATCATCTACGTGTTCTCAGAAATTCAAATCTGACTTTAGATTTGACTTAAGATTTGACATTTGACCTTCAATGACCTTCTCAAAGTCAAAAAAGGTCAAAAAGGTATTTTTTCAACTTGCTTCAAATTGACTAAATTTTTTTTCAAAATCATCTACATGTTTCTAGAAATTCAAATCTGACTTTAGATTTGACATTTGACCTTCAATGACCTTCTCAATGTCAAAAAAGGTCAAAAAGGTCTTTTTTCAACTTGCTTTAAATTGACTAATTTTTTTTTTCAAAATCATCTACATGTTCTCAGAAATTCAAATCTGACTTTAGATTTGACATTTGACCTTTAATGACCTTCTCAAGGTCAAAAAAGGTCAAAAAGGTCTGTTTTCAACTTGCTTCAAATTGACCAATTTTTTTTTTCAAAATCATCTACATCTTTTCAGAAGTTCAAATTTGACTTTACAAGTTCTCAGAAGTTCAAATCTGACTTTAGATTTGACCTTTGACCTTCAATGACCTTCTCAAGGTCAAAAAAGTCTTTTTTCAACTTGCTTCAAATTGACTAATTTTTTTTCAAAATCATCTACATGTTCTCAGAAGTTCTTCTTAAGGTCAAAAGGTATTTTCCAACTTGCTTTAAATTGACCAAATTGTTTTAGGTGGTGACATTTTGTCATGTTAATGCCTTGTTTGAATTATTACTTTGATATAGTCCAAAACATTTTGTTGATACCAGTTAAAAAGAAAGGATTTTAAAAATCTTTTGATGTTTGAAGATGATGGTGACAAAAAGGCATAAAGCATCTTTAAAAGGAAAAGAGGGGATAGAGAAGAATTTCAAAAATTGTCACAATTTTGCAATATTTTCTTTGCTCTCGTCATTAAATCATGTAATTTTCAACAAAATTGAATATTTCTAGATTTATTTAAGAATAATCCTTTGAATCTTAGTGTATCCGGCAAAAAAAGATGAATTTGGATATTTCGTCGTCCGACTTCTTTATTGAATCAGGGTTCTTAATTTTTTTAGAAAATAAATGAGGATAGTGTGGAAAACATTGGCATGCTTTTTGAAAATTTTGCTTCAAACATTTTTAACTCTCTATCTCTTCAATTCCATTAAGGACAGTGTTTGGACTTTGAATAATGAAAACTCTTCTTGTACGCATTTTTCTCAGAAAACTTAAACTTTTTAAACAATAACTTTTTTTGATTTCGATTTACGCTTTAAGACAAACATCTGTAAAAGAATCTTGCTTTTTGGAGAGCTAGTTTTTATAGTGTAAGGCTATGTTTTTGTACAATGACTAATATTTTTGTATGACTAGTCTTGGTTTCAAACTTACAGAAGTGGCAAAAACTTGGTCACAAATATTTCATTATTTTTTATTTTTATACGATGAGTAAGCATGCATTAACTCTTATGTACTAAAATGCATTAGTTTACAAATCTTGTTCTAAAATTACAAGGCATCATGAACAGTGCAATGAATTTATTACAAACATCACACACATATGCTACTGTTGACTGAGGGAGTTAACTTGTCAGATTTAGGGGTTTAAACATTCCTCCTTTCTTTATTTTCCATATCTCATTTAAAAATACAAATTTTAGTATCCCACTGAACAAAGTTTGGAAGGGATATAGAGAAGCTGTCTGTCCATCTTTTAATTCGTCTGACCAGGTAATAACTCCGATTGACAGATTTGGTTCAAATTTTTGGCTTTATGTGCATAAATGGATTATTTAATATGGCCGCTCAATTCAAAATGGCTGCCATTTTTTGTAAAGGGTAATCTTTGATTTGATAAGTCAAATACTAGTTTATGTTTTGGATTCTTTTATTCGCCTTGGGGACATAGGACCTTTACTCATAAAAAAAGTTTTCCATTATAGCTACTGAATTCAAAATGATGCCATTCTTCAAGGAAAAGGTAAATTTTTATGCTTTTTAAATGCTAGTTATCAGATCTGGTCTAAATTTTGATGGCTAATCTCTTATGAGAATAGGACCTCTGCTTGAGAAGGAATATCCAATATGGCTGCTCAATTCAAAAAGTACCAGTTGATTTGAATAGGATTTTATTGATGCTTTATGGGTGTCAAAAAGGAAACTTCAAGATGGCTGCTCAATTCAAATGAGTTATTTGATAAATATATTTGTTCAATGGGTTTTGCTTCTCCGGGGAGTTGCTGTTTTGCTAGTCTTGATAAAATCAACATTTTTACTATTTGAATAGACCAACAGGAAAAGCACATATTCATGCAAATACCAAAAACTGACCAGCTATCTCCCTAATAGAAATATTATGCTTAAACAATCTGAATTCTTTGTCATTGGTGGCAAGGTTGGATGAATAACATGGCTGTATATGTGGATGAAAGTATAGGGCTCATCAGCAATACAATATTTTAGTGTAATAAAAAATCAATGCATTCTTAAATTGAAATTAAGAAAAATTGTCAAAATCATTTTTAGATTTGTGATTTGTGCAAAGTCATAACAGGATACATGATGTGTGTTCATTACTTAGTGTACCCTGCTTCAAGTTTAGGGGCAGATCATTTGATCTTTGAGACCTTACTTTTTCAGAAAAACATTTTGGAACTCAATATTGATGGAATAGGTCTTGCATTAAAGAAACTGTTCATAACAAATATTTATTTGTTTTATCAAGTTGTTGAGATAAACGTATTTTTGGGCGTTGTTCAAAATATATTCCACTCAAGTGTGAAAAAGTTTAGAAGTAACAATTTAAAGTTTGAAACTAACAGAAAAGGCTAGAACTAACAATAAAAAGGTTAGAACTAACAACAAAAAGATACCTTAGATCTAATGGTCTTTTCCTAAGGCAATTTGTTATTGCATGAATTGAATGTGTCCTAATTTCATATAATGTATCATAATTTATTGTATGAACTTCATTTTAGTACAACTAACTTGAGCTTCTATAAATCATTGTTGTTAGCATGTGTATTGTTCATGTATTCCATGGACTAGAGATATACTTATATAATGTGACAAAACACAGTAAATTATCACCTTGTGTGTCAAAGAATGTTACAAATCAGGGGAAAGTGTTTTATTTGTTAGAAATCATGTACAAAGTGTAGTTTTTTATTGTTGAATTGTACATATGTATCTACTATGGTCGTAATTGTAAAATATGTACATATAAATTGCACTATTTATTATTGTGTGTGCCGAGATTAAATGTGTAAAAATAAAAGCTGTACTTCTTTTTACACTATGCATCTATAGAGAGCTATCTATAATAAAGAATATTTAAATGATACCTAAAAACATTCAGTTTTATGTGAATTGAACCACTGAGAATAGATGGCTTGAAACATCCAACTATTTGTCACCTGGAGAATAAATGTCTCATAATATTTTCTCCTAAAATCTGAAAACAAGATGTTGAAAAAACATAAAGTTCACAAGTCAATAATCTAAAACAGATGTACATTTTTATCAATATTCTTATAGTGTATTGGTACTGTTGAGATGTTGCATCTTGAAACCCACTTTGCCTTCTATATTTGCTCACTCTGTCTAATCATAGAACAGTTTAATCATAGGTTCTCTGAAATGCAAATTCATGGTTTTTATTTTGTCCAAGTGTCAGTATCAGGGCCGTGACTCAATCCCATTCTCTGTATCCAACTGTTAAAATGATTTAAGCACAAGTACCTATTCTTTATCTTTAGAATATTGCACTCATTTAATTGTATATGCTAATCTTTGGACTCATTTTAAATGCATACACTATCAAATTGGATGCATTATTTCCAGGTAAGATTCTTGTGCTTATATCATTTACCAGTACACATATCAGCCACTTTGGTGAATATATGGTGCATCATTGGAACATGATTTCATGTCACAAATCTATACCTCATTGATTTATGTAAAGAATGCCCTCAGATCAATTAACTGGTTATGTAATTCCTCAAATCCCTCAGAATTCTCACAAAAGGTAAACTGCGATCTTGCAATGTCTCTGGGGGTCAGGTAAATTACCCTACCATTGAGAATTGGCTAGACTTGAGTAAAATTGCCCTACTCTATGTAACAATGAATCAGTCCATTTTATACCTAGTTACAATTCATTTGCATAATTCAGTTGCTAATCATTTAATGCCTAGCACCATAAGGATTTCAACATACCAATATTAGTTCCAGAACAGAGCATTTATTTCGTGATCATTTACTCGTATTTCGTGATATCAGCACTTCTGCCACCAGGTGGCGTATTCTGCTTCCGGCTAATGCTTTTGTGAAAAGAAAACGAATTTTTCGTTTTATTTACGCCTTTATCGTCATAATAAGTCAATCAAATATATATGTCTCAGTTTAAAAGCAACCTTGGAATGTTGTAGGATCTTTTGGACCAGAATTATGGGGATTTCGCGAGTTATCCAGGTCACAAACGTGGCTCCAAGTTGTACACGAGATCAACTGAAAACTTTGTTTGGATACATTGGAAAATTAGATGCCGTGATTCTTTATCCAGAAGGGTAAGCTTCTTATTCTAACCTGGTGCTGTTAATATTACTATGGTTTTCAAATACATCTATTTGGCAAACAAATCTTGCCCATCAATGCATTGCCAGAATCACTTTTGGCGATATAGATTCTACATCACGATGTACTGATTAAAATCGCAACAACACAAGGGCGAAGGTAGTCTATATCCAATAGACTGAATTTCCTGAGAATTCAGTCTATTGATCATTATGTTCCTCCTGTGGGAAAAAACAGGAAATTTCCTGCAAACTTCACTTCCCAAAAATAAGCATTATAACAATTCAATAAGTAGTAAGGTACAATTAAATGCTATAAAAAGTAACACAGCATATTGTCAAATGGAAATAAAGCTAGGGGAAGTAACAAACATGCAAATTAATTTACCCAGTCGGCTTATCCCGTGCCATGACTATAGTCCTGTAACCAGCGCATTCTTTTGCCTGTACGATTACAACTTGGGAGAATTATCTACGCCCCTTACACTGAAGATACCTACTTCAATAGATTCCTGGGTATTTTAGCATTCTTTTCGTGTAGTTGAATCCACAATTGTTTGAGTATATCGGCAGAATGGGAACATTTTTCTTTTTCATCGAGAGATATTCCGTCACTTTCCAAGATGGCGGTTGGATTTAAAAGGGGATTCCCCGTTTGACTGACCCGGAAGTGGCCCGGATAACCAATAAATGGAAGAATTTGATGGTTGAAATAAGTTAAATATTACACGCAAATATTGCGATCAAAAACGAAAATTTCTTTTTTCTGCCGATAAACCCAGACAATCAAGACGAAAAGAATGCTAAAATACCAAGGAATCTATTGAAATAGGTATCTTAAGTGTAAGAAGCGTAGAAAATTCTCCCATGTTGTAATCGTACAGGCAAAAGAATAAGACGTTCGCAGGACGGTACGGGATAACAGTCGGCCATTTTGAATGGCACTTCCTATGTAAACAAATAATTTTCAATCCCAAATTTTAACATATGTGGGCTATAGTCTGAATATTTTCATTCCAAATTTCAAAAAAATTGTCTAAGGGCGAAGGGTTGAAAAGTTGATGCTTGGGATAATGTCGACTTGAGAAATGGGGTAACTTTGACACTTACTTATTAGAAGATAGAATTCTGTTTTCCGTCATGTTTGATTTCTGGAAGAATTAAAATCTCGCGAGATCTTGGTGAGAAAAAAACATGGACTCCCCCTAGATCTGAAATTAGATCAATAAACAACAAGGTGTCAAAACCTCAAATTGGTATCAATGTTATACCCCTTCGCCCTAACTTTGAGTCTGAAAAATAAGAGCATATTCATATATATATGATACTCATCATGTGTCTTTTTTACCAGTATATGATAGGTCCCTTGGTACCTTAGGTTACATTGTGAAACTCCACCAAACACAATAGTGAATGTAGCAATGTACCGATGTAAATTGAAGATCGATTCGTGGCAAATGGAGTTCTTCAAATTTGTTGGTTACTTGAGTGGTGACTGATATATTCATGACATCAAGGCAGATTAATATCATTTCATTAAAGCAAACATGCAATCTTTCTGAAATAATTTTGAAGTCTACAGTAAGTCTGTGATCTAGGTCACTATTCTACCTGAATTCGTCCTAATCATATAAACATATTAATGATATATAGTGTATACTACTCGAACTACTACCACTGGATCTATGTTTATATTGTCTGCCTATTGATTTATTCATACATATCTGAAATGATGCATTGAAATAGGACCAGCCTTTAAATTAAAAGGTAAACAAAACATGTGAAAAACTAAAATTGAAACATCACAAAGTTTTGGTCAAGTGGCGGTGTTTTCGCACTCGCCGATGAAAAATTACACTCGCCACAGTGTTGCCACTGTTGATAAATTACATGTATACTCACAGTTTTCTTCTGAATAAAAGTCCTTAAACAAAGTAATATGTTTATGAAAGTGCTTAAAATTGAATTTTTCTATTTATATTCAAAAATGACGAATTTCATGTTTTTCATGTTAGACAATGTGGCAAGGCACTTCAATTTTACACTCGACTCTAAATATTTACATCCGCCTGGGGCTACTGTCGAGTGGATATGACCCACAGTGGAGAATATTGTCTTCATTGCTGCGTTTGGCTAAATTTCATAATGTAACATAAAGAAAGGGCCTATCATATACTGGTAAGAAGACACGTGTTGAATATCATATAAATTTCTTATTTGACACCACTGGATCTATGTTATTCTAAATTGTACACTGACACTATTGGCATTGCATCTCAGCGCATAATTATTCAATTATGTTGATATTCTTGGTGAGTATCAGCATGCTAACCATGATAGTATGATAGGCATTTGTTTGTACAATCTATTGTTTTCATTTCAGTGATCGATCTGGTTCTACAAAAGTTTGCTACATAAAGTTTGAGGATTCCAGCCATGCAGGAGTTGCCCTACATCTAACCAACACAGTATTTATTGACAGGGCCCTTATTGTTGTGCCAGTGTCTGATGGTCAGTATTCATTTGTTCAAGCGATGATTTTAGATATATCACATTTTGGTTGAAAATGCATTTTCTATTTTTTGTAAGAAATACTAAAAATCATTTTTAACTATCTAAGATTATATTTTATTTTTAAAATACATTATACTTCTGTTTCTGCCTTAAAATTGCCTGAATTACAGACTAATATAATTAACAATATAGTTTAGAGCCACAGGAAAAGGGATTTTTTTTCAATATTAATTTTTTTGTTTATCTTAAAAAGCACAAAGAGACCTTTCAAATGAGCCATGTGTTAACCATTTTTCCTTGCATATATAGACCAAAAAGTCAGATTTGAATTTAGCACACTTTCCTCTTAATCTTGGGCACATTTTTGGCTTTGCAGCACAATTTTAATTTTTGAGAGAGGACCAGTTTTCCCATGGCCAGGCTCATGTAATTCATGTTACTGTTTATTATAATTACAGGCAAAATCCCAAGTGAAACGGAAGCTATGCAGGTAGCAGCGCCTGCTAATGCTGTTGCTGGGCGCCTTCCCTCGACATCTGATTGGCCCACTAATGTTGTCAACCAGGTATGTGTTTGTCAGATATCAAGGTCTATATCAAGATCTTGGTCAACCTTAGTAGTGTGGGGTTCTTATAAATAAGGTTACTAGTTCAGTAAAGTTCTAAGCTTTATTACACCTAAGCTATAGTACAATATCCGGAGAGCTCCAAGTTGAATGTTCCATCTCACAAACTGAGACTTTGGGCCTGAGTCTCAAAATGGGGACTTGGACCTGATTTTGAAGTGGGACTTAGGGCCTGAGTTGGGGCCTAAATCCTTCACACTTGCAAGATCCCTGTTATGTTGAACTTTGGATTATAACTCCAGAAATACAGAACCTATTCTAAATCAAAAATTTCCTATTGTTTTTAGCTTAGTTCATAATCAGATTTTGATACATGGCTACAGTTGAGAAATGTATAATTCTGTATTTAAGCATTCATTGTGATGTTAGTTTGGTAAATTATCTATACATTTATTATGTATGAAAGGAAATGCCATGAATTCCATTAAATTTTGAAATACAAATATTGCTTTTGTCTTCAGGTTGCAGGCACAGGGTCTAGTCAGATTATAATGACAGTTGACCCGCGACTAAAGCAACTCAACTTGCCTGCCTACCCCTCACTCCCAATCACAACAGACCCAGCCAAGATAGAGGAGATAAGGTGTACCATATATGTTGGCAATCTCGGACCAACCGTAAGAACATTCTCTATAAATGGAATAAACACTTAGGTTCTTTGATATGATTTGTGGTGCAGATTATAGAGTTTCATGACTTTTGCTAAAAGATCAAAAAATAGGAAGTGATGCACGTCTTTTGCAATGGCCCCCATGGCAAAATAAAATCCATGTCTATATGTTTGCCATGAATCATATTTTTGAGGTTTTTTGTAATAATTCTAATAAACCAGAAAAACAACTATTTCACATTACTGAAAATGCTAGAATTGATGTTTTGATCAAATGTATTTATATATTCAGGGATATCATGAGAATTTGCAATAGTAATATTAACATGGAGGCGGTTGCAAAATTTATTGAAACAACATGATATTTAAAAAAACCAACCTGATCGAATTAAGTTCTGCTAATGAAACCTCTGATATGATTCTTCATTCCAGGTAACATCAGAGCAGCTTTTGAGCTTCTTCACACAAGTTGGAGAGGTGAAATATGTGAGAATGGCTGGAGATGAGAATCTACCTACAAGATTTGCATATGTGGAATTCTCAGAGCAGCCCAGTGTGGCTACTGCACTTACATATAATGGTGTTATGTTCCAAAGCAGACCCCTACAGTAAGTACAAAGGAGTGCAATGCAAGTACATGCCCAGTATTCCTTAATCCATTGTGGTAATTATAGCATGCCTCTACTGTACGTACAAAGGAGTGCTATGCAAGTACATGCCCAGTATTCCTTAATCCATTGTGGTAATTATAGCATGCCTCTACTGTACGTACAAAGGAGTGCAATGCAAGTACATGCCCAGTATTCCTTAATCCATTGTGGTAATTATAGCATGCCTCTACTGTACGTACAAAGGAGTGCAATGCAAGTACATACCCAGCATTCCTTAATCCATTGTGGTAATCATAGCATGCCCCTACTGTACGTACAAAGGAGTGCAATGCAAGTACATACCCAGCATTCCTTAATCCATTGTGGTAACCATAGCAGGCCCCTACTGTAGGTACAAAGGAGTGCAATGCAAGTACATACCCAGCATTCCTTAATCCATTGTGGTAATCATAGCAGGCCCCTACTGTAGGTACAAAGGAGTGCAATGCAAGTACATACCCAGCCTTAAAAATGAGTCACTAGACTTGAATCAATAGAATACATTTACTCTCTTTGTAATGTGCTTCTAAATGCTATTTTTATTGCTAAATCTCTAGTAACTATACACTTTACACTATTTAGCGATTCAAATTGATTTAAGCGATTTAGTTTTTTATATTATATTACAATGTCCTGATAAACAATTCCATAAATACATGTCTAACAATTATAATGTATGTTTCCAGGGTGTCCCATTCAATGTCTGCCATTTCAAAGCCCTCTAGCAACAATGCTAGTTCAGCTAAGGAGATCGAAGATGCTCTTAAGAAAGTGAAAGATGCCCACTCTCTTATCGCAGCCGCTATTGATCCTAGTAAGTTCATTTGTCACATGTATGTCACAGGGATGGTGTCCAAATGTAAACACTTGTAGAAGAAAGAAGTTAATTTTGTTAACTTCAATATTGCAAATAAATCAAATTAAGAGAGAAAAAGTGGCTACTTGTGTTAAGACAAGTTACTAATTTCACCAGAAGCCACCTTAATTATTTGACTGCTCTGTAATGTGTTGAGAATGATATGCAATCTGAGTTGTTATGTTGTACACTGTTAACAAAGTGTGCCAGTCTGCCCATTTACCACAAACCTTCATTTAGGCAAGCAACGAGACCTGCTAGGTAAATATATAGCTTTCACAAGGCCATAGAAATAATCATAAAATGATGCTTTTGAAAGGTTATACACTCTCAGGCTTCTCACCGATAAATTTTTTGAAACCTCAACAATTCCATCCTATCATTTCATCACAAAATTCTGCAGCTTTGCCATTCCCACATAATGTATGTACAGGAATTCCTCAATTTTCCTCAAATTACTGATGACTGTCTGCAAATTGATATAATTATGTTATTTAAGGACATAACAAAGCTAGAGGAAGATTAATTTCACCCATGTGCTTCATACATTTTTGTCAATGAAGGCTTTGGTGGGTTCTGTTCATTGCAATAGACTATGGTATCCTTAAATTAGACTTTATATTAGGGGGGGGGGTGCATCCAATGTGGTGAGAAACCTGAGTTTGTATGTGTTATTTAAGTCAAAATTCAGTTTATTATCATGAAGAATGGAAAGTAAACATGCAAAACAGTCAAAATAAGTGTACCACATTTAATAATACCTTATGTTATATGGCCTTTGTGTCTTGCAATGTACTGAATATTTTGGTTATACTAAAAGTCTTATTTTTATTTCCATGTCATCTCATAATTATCATAAATTGAGCTTCCTTGATTTTATTCAAACTAATTTTTGTCACCACCAATTGTTATCATCTCATTATATTGTTCTAATCACCAATTTTTGTGACTGGCAGTTGGTGGTCAGCTTCAATATTCAGAATTCATAACAATTGTCACACTTTTGTTTCCATTGTCAGGTGGTGCCATTTTGTCCTGAAATGCCTTGTTTTATTTAACTTGTATTTGGATTTGAAAGATAGTGTAATGTTAGCATGCATCAGTATGGTACTAGCACATTCTGCTTGAGTTACGAATTTACTCTTTATGAGTGTGTAACTTTACTTTGCTTTGTTGTCAGCATGCAGGAAAATTCCAGTTGGAATTGGAGACGAGTTTTAAAACATCAGCATGTTGTTTTGTACAGGCAATGTACATGTGTATCAATTTAGCCAAATAAGTAGAAAGTGCAATTTTTCTATCGAAATATTATCGTCTTAATTTTCAAATGATCAAATTAATCATTGGTCAACTCGGAAAAACTCAAAATATTTGTATTTTTCAGATTTTTCAAGAAGTCGCAGATCCCGATCTCGATCTCGTAGGTCCAGATCGAGAGGCCGAAGGTCAAGATCAAGAAAGAGGTCAAGATCAAGGAAGAGATCGCGTTCAAGAAGGCGCTCAAGGTATAGTATGCATTGTCTGTGTTTTAAGTGTAGTTCAAAGAATGAAAACACATCTTTCACAAGTCATCTACTTAATATACTACTGATATATCACAGTCAGCATTCTTCAATTTTTTGTGGCAGCGTTTTGTGTTCGGCGTCTGAAACAAATTGCAGGTGGTGAAAGTGCCTTATATGCCAGCATTAGATTTAGGTCTTCTTAAATGTTTACATTATTAGGTCCAGAAAACGTTCAAGAAGTGCTTCAAGAAGAAAAAGGTCAAGGTCACCAAGACGCAGAAGGTCCAGGTCTCCAAAGAGACGATCCAGGAGCAGATCAAGGTACTCTAATCTTTTATAATCTCTTTCTCATCTGTTGTGTGTTGACGATATTTTGAAGGCAAAAATGTGAGATACAGCACTAAGAACTATTACACTTGCTTCCTATCATGGCATAGACGCCCTGTATTAAATGGTAAATATTTTATTTTAAAGGGAGAGGCGAAGGCGCAGGTCACCATCACCTAGGCGCAGAGGTTCAAGGTCACGTTCAAGGGAAAGGCGCAGATCAAGGTAGTTGCTTTCACCTAACTCTTGACAGATTGATTCAACAATTGATAAATGTCCTACAAATATTTATTGCAACTAGTAACACAATGTTTATCCTGGAAATCATTTGGCTTTTTAAGAGAATTACAGCTTTAAATGTATATTTTTGTAATGTTTTGTAATTTTTCAGAGAGCGCAGAAAGAAACGCAGTAGAACTCCACGTCGTAGTAGAACTCCAGTTAAGAAGAAAGTAAGTCGCTCACGATCAAAGTCACCTCCACCCAAGAAGTGGATGAGTAGATCCCGCTCTGGATCCAGATCGGCTTCACCCCCAAAACTGAAACATGTAGACTCCCCTAAGGCTATATCCAAATCAAGGTCAAGGACTCCTCCCCCTCGTAAGAGGTCAAGGTAACCAATACAAAAAATATTATTTGGATTAAGTTTTATTTGAATTTTTGAATTGAAAAATTAATTATTGGAAATTGCAATTTTAGCATGGAAATAGTTTATATAATTTCTCAAAACAGGTCAATTTGGTAAAAACTAAATAGCATGTTGCCTTCTGCTTTTGAAACCCCATGTCTTCACTGGTCAGTATCAAGGGAAGGTAACAGCCGTAACCTTCGCATTAAAGATGGTGGATGGTAGGTTTCGGTTTCAATATATTTAGTTTTCATTGAATTGAATTATGTTATAGTTGATGTAATGCTTTGATATTTGAACTATGTCAGGCATAAATGACATGCAAACTCTGGAGTATGATCATTTGTTTATATACCATGCGTAGGCACCACATTCAATAATATATTCCACAGCTAAGGGAAGGTAACTGGGATTTTGGTTTTACAAATGATAAGATAACTGATACGCGGTAATGCGATAACCTTATGAGAGTTTATAATGGAGAGCTAAGATGTCCATTTACCCCGTATTGAAAACTTACATGACCTTTACCGCATCATACATTTCCAGTTACTTTCCCTAAGCGCTGAGAGATATCATTGAACTGAGGCGCCCATGCACAATATATGAACAAATTATCATACTCTATAAATATTGTGTAAATTCCTGTACTAATTTTTACTTTACCACTAATGTTATTAAGTTAACAAAGGCATACATTTGTATTTATATCAATATCAAGGAAATATAAATAAATTGAAATTGAAAAAAAATCATACTCTGGAGTTCCCATGTCATATGAGCCTGATTTGGTTCAAATATCAAAGCATAACGTCAACTATGAAGTAGTTTTAATTCGATGAAAATTAAAAATATCGAAATCCACAATTACCGTCCACCATCTTAGATGCGAAGGTTACAGTCGTTACCTTCGCTTGATACTAACCAGTGGTTCTGTGATGAGCATTCTGATAGGAAAGATACTGTAAAGGTAGTTATTAAAGTAACCTGACATAAGTAAACAGTTAACTCTTACCTAGGAGAAAAAATATATATTTGGTAGAAAATATTGAAGCAATTGTTGCGTGCATATAAAGACAAGTCAAACATAGATTTTATCACATATTCAAATATGCAAGGTGTATCTCAGCCAATCAGAGAACTCCAGTGCATTAATTCAAGGTTCTGCGCATGTCAAAGTCGTGAACTTTCTGGTTTCTTTTTAAATTTCTCAACTTTTACACGACTATTACAAGAAAATGATGATCTCTCATCAAATTAAAAATAAGGTAAAACTTTAGATCGATATCCAACAGTCTCTAGTGGAAATATTGAAGGTAATCGGCAATAATGACAAAGTGGGCGTGCCAGAAATAAATTGGTCTTCAATTACTGGCAATATTGTCTAAGCAAACTTAACCGTATTCTCTCCAATAACAATACTTAGATTGGCAAACTGAAAAAAACAACAAATAAAAAATCTGCCAAGTTTCAGGTGCTTATTATGATGGTCTGAATGATGTATTTTCAATTTTCTAAATGCCCTGGGTGCTAATTACAGAGAATACGGTATATTGTCAACTGAGTAGAGACAATATGTTTCTGTGCCGTTATTGGTAAAAAGAGTTACATCAACAGTCAACACTACACAATCATGCATTATGGTTTCATAAAGAACTGGACACATGCCATTTTTAAAGGAGTGATAGTATATTTGAATAGCAATAAAAAACCCTGATTCACTCTACTGGATTTAATTTGTCAATGTATTCATCTTTTGAAATTGCAATTAAAGAATGATACGGATTCTTTATTCCTTTAATATAGACTTGTATCTTATTTAAGATTTCAAGTACGATTAAACTGTTTTTACTGGATGAAATGTGGCAGAAACTGAGTGAAAAATACTTAAATCATTTGATTATATAAAGCATGTTTATCATGCTATTATACTATCCATAAATAATTTTCCAATGAAATAATGTAAACGTTTTTTCTTTTCATTATTTTTGTAAAGAATGCATATTTGGTCAGGGTACTTCAAATTTTGAAAATGTTATGGCGACAACAATTTGGTCTAGTCTAAACATGATCTCTCATCATCGTGGTCCTCTTTAACAATTCTCTCATTATCTTAGATTATTAGACTGATACTAATTAATGACTCAATTCCAGAACTCCAGTAAAAAGAAGGCGCAAGTCAAAGTCACTCAGTAGATCACCTAGAAGGCGTTCACCAGTAAAATCTCGAAGACGTTCTAGATCCAGGTCTAGGAGCAGGTCCCCAAGAAGGTAATTCAGCCAAATCATTAACATAGTAAAAATAGCAGTGCTTTTTTTGGACGTGATCTTCAAATATTTAAATCTTTCACTTTTGTTCTTAGTTTGATAATGTTTTTTTTTCCTTTTGTCAAAAGTGTACTTTATGAAATACAGCATTCCCTCCAAAACATTTTTATGTGAATAACATTCAATATTTTTTCAGGGCTAGAAAAGAAAAGCGAAGAGACAGAAGTCGCGACAGGACTGAGAAAAAGAAAAAGCATCGCAACAGGAGCCACAGTAGAAGTAGAAGCAGGTCTAAAGAACGTAGCTCCAAGAAACAAGCCAGTGTTAAGCGTGATTATGATGAGGAGGAAAAGGGCTTTGACAGTGGAGATGAAGCTATAATTGTTAAAGAGAAGAGCACTGATAAGGTCAGCCCTGACAATCTGCAAACTATGGACATGGATATGGACAGTGATTAAATACAGTGAATATACAGAATAGTTGGAGTTGTTGGAGTTTGTGATTGGACAATGCACTCAGATATGGACTTTACATGTATGTCAAAATTTTTGAATTTTGAAATGAAAATGGATTGTATTTAACGCTTTAAGACCTGCAAGTAATAACTCATTTTCTTACATTAGCTTGGAATTGAGTATATATGATCATACAGGGTGGATCATAAAAAATTTCAGTTGTCATGTTATTTTCCTGTAGATATTGAATAGAAAAACTGTACCAGACCAAGATTAACAGGCTGTGGACCAGCTCTTATTTGGCACCCGGCCTGTTGTCATGAATTATTGTTGGACTTTTCTATGTCATGTAGAAAGGCTTGCATTAATAGTTATAATTAGACTTTCCTGCAGTAAACACCTATACAGTGAGATCTGTGTATAATGATTAATTGTGAGAGAAAAATGTTTGTTGTATTTGTTATCTTTGAGCCTAACATGAAATTCTCTGAAGCCTGAATAATAATATGAAGCTAATAGGTTTTAGTTCAGCAACTGCTAGTTCGTAATTAAAGTGCATTTTTCAGTGTAAAACCGTATCATGAATATTGGTGTAAATGTAAAATATTATTAAATGAAATATATTGTCCTCTAAATGTTTTTATATAACACTATTGGTTGAAATTTGGTGGCATGAGGCAAAGAAAACTATGTTTCTGGTTACAAACCCATATTGTTTAGGCTAGTATAACTGATGCAGTGATTTACCTTAATAAATGCAAAGAGTGGCTGTCATTTTAACCTAATTTCATTCAAAATTCATTCAAAAAGACTCTGATGTTTTGGTATTAAAAGGACTCCAATAGCAAGATAAGGTATGTTAAGCATCATAAAAGAATATTAAGCTGTATTATTTTTCAAATAATTCAACCTATCAACAGTATTTAAAGAGAAAAACTTTCTAGGAGTCTTTTTGTGTGATTTTTATGTCACCACCAGAAGTGGTGACAGCACATATTGTTACAGTCTCCAACTTTTTTTGTGGACAGTGTTCAGCCAGTAGTGTCTGGCGTTCGGTGGCTGGCATCCGTAACAAATGACAGGTGGTGACATTTTGCGTGTTGATGCCTTGTCTGCCTTGTCATGCTTTTTATCGTACCTTACAAAAGGTACGATATTGTAGTTAGCTTGACTGGCGGCGTCTCACTTTTCAGCTTGTCTACAGGTTTCCAGCCAAACGATTTGAGGGATTCATCTGAAATTTTCAGGGATGTTTCTACATATCAACGTCAAGAACTGATTAGTTTTTGGGCATTCTGGGTAAATCTTAAGGTGGCCATTTTGGATTTTCCGTCCTAAAATCTTCACTTTCAAGACTTGTCTACAGGTTTCCAGCCAAACCATTTGAGGGATTCATCTGAAATTTTCAGGGATGTTTCTACATATCAACGTCAAGAACTGATTGGTTTTTGGGCATTCTGGGTAAATTTTAAGGTGGCCATTTTGGATTTTCCGTCCTAAAATCTTCACTTTCAAGACTTGTCTACAGGTTTCCAGCCAAACCGTTCAAATTTTTACATATGTTACACAGTGATAAGTTCTAGAGCTGATTAACTTTTCTGCGGCCATCTTGCTTTCTTGGTCAACAAGACCACAATGCTGTGTTTTAGGTACGATATTGTTCACGTCTGTGCCTTGTTATTACATTACTAGCAATATGTTAATCCTTATATGGCAGATTTCAGCTTTACTTCCAGGACACAAAATTCAATTAATCATTATAATGATGTACTGAACAAAGCCTATAATTGGCAAATCAAGTAAAAAATATTCAAGAAGTGAAATTCAAAAGTTCTACCCTTGGCAACAAGGTGATCAGAATTAATGTTATCTTGGCCTAAATGGTTCAGTATATTTTTAAGTTAAATGAGCGCTGCATAACCATAATAATGACATTTTACTCACATGCCATTTATCAGTGCTTTAGCTACAGAAGCCATTACTTTACTTGCCTAGGGATGGCATTAACTCTTGTCTCTATTTTACACATGTATTTCAACTGGTTGTTGATTTATAAAGGACAAATCTATGCTAAATATCCTCGCAATCACAACTTTGATGTTAAATTCTTTTCTTGTAATTAACAGCTGACATCTATCGTATACAGTGTTACCTAATAGGAAATAACTAATGGCTGGGAAAGATTCACGGAGTAGAGTAAAACAATTAGTTATCAGAAAAACCACTAGACTTGGAATTTGGCCTCATAAAGTTCAACGAATAACTTGGGTTGTGATATTTTGTTTTTCTGTGACATACCTATATATACAATGGATGTGGTATGTCACCTCACGGCTGCATGGTGCATCTAATAATCTAGATAGAAAAATTGATGCCTCTATCTTAACCAGTAAATTCAACATAACACATTTAAACAGTAAATCTGCAATGGTCACCACTTCACCAGCTCTTGTAAATAAGACACCTAGGAAGAGAAAATCTGAGCAAAGGACGAAATTGATATTATTTTGGACTACTGTTTATAATAGTTCGGATGTACATCTTGATAAGAATGTATTTGCTATGTGTCCTGAAGTAAAGTGTCAACTCACAGAGGATAGGAGTCTCTTTGAAGAGAGTGCTGCAGTTATGGTTCACACCAAAGACATTGGCCAGTTTCATCTTCCACTGCCCCCTTACAAACCCCCACACCATATTTGGGTGTTTTACAACAACGAGGCCCCATATTATGCTGGAAGGGAAGTCCCAGCATCCTTTTATAATGGATTATTCAATTGGACGCTTACTTATAGGTCTGATTCTGATATATATCACCCCTATGGGTACACCAGGAAGGCTCTTCAGCATGAACTTCCCATGTTGAATGTTACAAAGAATTATGCAGAAGGGCGTGATGGGACCGTTCTGTGGGTGTGTAGCCACTGTAACACAGCTGGACGCAGGGAGATGTACTATAACGAGCTCCGTTTCCATGTCCCAATTGATGTTTATGGATATTGTGGGGACTTTAATTGCCCAAGAGGAAGGTTCTGTGACCAACTCTTTAAAACAAAATACAAGTTTTACCTAGCGTTTGAAAATTCTTTATGCTCAGAGTATGTGACAGAAAAAACTTGGAAAGTTTTATCAAGGTGGGATATGATACCAATAGTACTTGGCCAGGCCAATTACACCGACATATTACCCAAAAATTCATTCATAGACGTTCAAAATTTTTCATCACCAAAAGCATTAGGAAATTATATTCTTCAGGTCAATGCTTCTGATGAATTGTACAACTCATATTTTGAATGGAAGAAAACTGAAAAGGTTATTGATGAGATAAATCCAGTTCATGAACTTCCTTGGTGTGAACTATGTAGGAAACTTCATCAAGAGCCAATAGAATACAAAGTATATGATAACTTTGCTGCTTGGTGGAATATAACTGGTGATTGTATTGACCCTAATATTTACTACAGGGGTCACACCAGGGATGGAATGGAAAGATTATTCAAGCTGCCTGAACAATACACTCCTAGCCATGTGTTTAATTTTACCATTGATGGTTTAATGTCTAAAGAATTGAAAGAACAACAAATGCACCAATTAAATAGCAAATGAATAAAATCAAATTATGAGCCAATCTTATTTGATACACTAGGGAGTTTAAGCTACGCGTTTTTAATTGAACTTGTAAATGAACGTGTAATATTATGAACCTCGGCTATTGCTGTCCCATTCTCTGTCTCCGACAGACTGAATAATTGTAAATCCTGGTACTATCATTTGAGGCATGACTAATATGAAAATGTTAAATCGTTGCTTCGAATATTGGCCTGGCAAATATATATTTTTATACCCCTGTTAATATTTCTCATTCAAAAACTTTCGAACTATAGTAAAGGTGATTCTTGCATCTCCATCAAATATACATACTTTTTAGCCCACTCTGTGCACCAAATTACATTATTATATACCCAATATGTAACACTAATCCTGATTGGTCAATACCTAGTCACGTGTTCCGAAATAGATTTACTATTTCCCTCGGAAAGTTATATTCCCTCAAATGTGACGTCAGCGGGAATATACATTTGAACTATTGCCCGCTGACGTCACAATTGCAAGTTCTATTACCCTTGGAAACGTCTGCGCATCATCACTGTGCAGACGAAAAACAGAAAAATGGTGGATGAGCACAAACACAAATCAACTTCGTTCACCATGACAGACGTGAACGATACAATATAAGCAACGTGTATAAAGTTCCCTAAGCTCAATACGTCTGTGTAATTTCAAGTGTTATGATAATCTATTCCGCGTGTTAAACGCGATTGAATTTGTCAAGTGAGAGTCTCAGAGGCAAAAATTTCTGTTGAGCATCTGATGACGTCACAGCTTATAATGCTAACAATGGACCCGGGGAGGGGGCTTTCTAAGCCGTTTTGGCCTTCGCAGAGGAAACGGGACAAGAGTCAGTATAGGGTATATAATAAAACAAATAGTGACTGCCTAATTTCGAGCAATTGTGTAAATGATTTCCCCTTGGGAATATCCTCTACAATGTACTATTCCCTCAGCCTGCGGCTTCGGGAATAGTACATTGTAGAGGATATTCCCTCGGGGAAATAATTTACACTATTGCCCTCAATGGCAGTCACTATTTGTATAATGTATAACATAGCAATTTTATAATTTTATCTATAAATTCGCAATGATCTTTTACTGTTGTATTACTATTTGACTTTTTAAGTAATGAGCATCAATGAGTGTGACCCTCTTGACCGACCTTACCTGATGCACAATAGTACTGTAGTCAATTTCAAACATTTGAAATCGGTTACATCCTACAAATACAATATCGCTTCGCAGTACTATAGTAATATATTTTAGAATTGGCATCATGTTTTTAGCATCTAACCATATTGGTTGGGTCTTGTTCCCATAGTAACCCACCTTTCTTGTTAGCATATTTGTTAACATTACAATATAACAATACGATCTTAGATTGGCTTTATATCATATGTGTTGCATTTATCATTTATTATAGACAGACTGGGAATATTAAACCAAAGCTACCACTTGATGAAAATTGACTTATCATCTAGAAAGTTTATTCAAAAACCATTTAAATGTCATTCTGAACCTAAGATATAGGTGACACTTACACGTGTTTATCTCCCGGGGTTTATCCCAAGATGATATAATATAAGAATTATTTCGTCGACAATCAACATGCTTTTGATTACTTAATAGGCTTTTTAATTAAACAATCCCCAAGTATTATCCTATGGTTGGTGACATTTCGCCAATTATCACCACTATTAAAATATTTTTGATAAATATACTTTATTATTACACGAACCCATATGTGTCAAATAACATGGATAATGACAATATTTTCCTTGCAAATGTGCTAAATGACTGCTTAACCCTTTGCCTCCCACATTGTTTTTAGCAAGGTATTGCCCATAACCGCATTGTTTTAGCAATTTCAGAGAAAAAGGTAAAAAAATTGATAGAAAAACTAAATATTGAATATCTAAATAAGTTTTCGTCTAATTAATGTGAAATTTTCAGGAAAACATAATTAGGTGTTACTTTACTGATTTACATGTACTGGCGTTACGTGGCATAGGTTTTGCTATTATGACATCATCACAATGGTTTGGAACAGAATATAAACAGAATAATAGATGTCTGAGTTCTGATTATCTACTTCTACATTATAATTTCATGGTAAAATAAAAGCACGAATTGAAACTTTAAAGGTTTGTTTTGACTACACAGATATTTATTATTTTTTATACAGAATAAAAGTAATGCAAACATCATGATAGCGAAATAGTATTGCTACACTAACAAACAGAGTGATGCAACTACTTACCGCTTACTGAATTTTAGAGCAAAAAGTCTGAAATTCTAAAATATTGAATATCTTAAAAAGTTGTAGTCAGTGTAAAATGTACAGGAAATCATAACTTTGTGTTACTTGTTTTAATGTGGTGCCTCGCCAGGGTTTAACTTGACAGGTTATAATATTGTATAACAATAAGTGAAAATAGCACTGGAACTATATGAATTTTGCCCAAGACAAGAAAGTGTGCACTAGAATATTGTAAAAAATCAAATTAGTGTTCAGAATTTAAGCCTTTTACAGTGTCTGTCAAAAATTGTTTACAACTTCCATAACCTCAACAAGCATGTTTTCAACTAACTTAAATTGTTAGCCTAACAAATAAAAATATGTTATAACTAATACATTTCTAGCAACCTAACATAGCAACATTACCATAGCAACAAGTGCACTACTTCTTACATTTTATAACCATTTTCAATTTGGTTCTGATTGACAAAATATTTACAATTTACTACTTCCATTACCTTACACAAGCATTTTTTGACTAACTTCAATTATTAGCCTAACACATAAACATATGTTATAACTAATGCATTTCTAGCAACATACCATAGCAACATTACCATAGCAACAAGTACACTACTTACATTTTATAACCATTTTCAATTTGGTTCTGATTGACAAAATCTTTACAACTAGCACCTTCCATTACCTTACACAAGCTCTTTTTAGACTAACTTCAATTGTTTGCCTAACACATTAGTATATTTTATAACTAAATACATTTCTAGAAACATACCATAGCAACATTACCATAGCAACAAGTGCACTTCTTACACTTTACAACTATTTTCAACTTGGTTCTGATTGACACAATCTTTTTTCAATATACAGTAAAATATGCAAACAAGGAATGCTCTTGGGATTGGTCCAAACTGTCCCTTGTAGACAGGTTTCTCCATAGAGGGTAGAATAGAAGTCAATGTATTTGGACTTGGTTATTTCAAAAACTATTCTTTGAAGACTTTCAAAAACTATTCCTTGTAGACAGGTGTTCTCTTCAGAGAGATGTTCCATCAGACAGGCCTTTATTGTACATAATGGTTATTGTTCAACAGCATCACGGCGTGCATATATCTGCTGTGTATGATAAAGTCTGAAACAACCAAGGGCACAAAGTCCAACACCACAGTCAGAGCACCAGGTTGTGACACGTGTCTTCGAATATGGCTGAGCCTGGTTTCTAGGAGATGAAGCGCATACAATACAGCTTTTACGGGCTCCGCCAGGAATTTTTGCTGGGAAGTGCCGCTCTACCAGACGTGGTGCCTGAGGTTGGACTGGAAGTCTACCACGCCGTCGCTGTTGCCGATAGTCTCCCACCAGCCCCGTCAAGACGGCCTTGTGATACTTGACACGAGTCAATGGCCTTTGCCCGTGTGCAGTGACACTTTGTTCATAAATAATGTATGAATTCACTGAAAACAAATTTTAAGACAAAGTTTATGTCATGGGATTTCTTGAAAGCCCATGTTTATATTAAGCTATTCCAGATTAGACCTAGGAATAGAAATGTATTTTGTTCACAAGGAAAACAAAACAATCAGTTGTACAAAATCGTTTTCATTACAGTTTCAATGGCCAAATATGCTTGTAAACTAAAATATAAAAATAACCACATTTAGTAAATGTTTCAACAAGTAAATAAATAGCAAATAATGCTTACTTTATTTTTACAAATGCTTATAATATGTTGTTGAAAATAATGTTTTTAGTTGAAATCTAATGAAGAAAATTGTTCTTATATTTTCCTTGGATTTAAAAATACATACATAGTGTTTTCAGAATCATGTTGATGAGCATCTTCTTCCACAACTTCCGGCTCCTTATTTCTGGGTCATACGGTCTAACACGCTGGTCTGCCAGATCAACCCCTCCCATCTTCTTGTTATATACATGAATTACATAGGGCTTGTTACTTTCGACCCCCCTTGCATTGGCCACAATCTGTATCCTGTAAAAGAGTGAGAGCTGATTATGCCAATGAATGCTGTATCACATACAAGCTGTATAATAATATTCAGTGAAACCTGTTTCATTGTAACATTGGTTTTCACAATTGGTAACTATGAACATATATACTTGAATCATATTCCTACTTACTCAGGACTACACAGTGTAGACATTATCGACACCTGTCTCTTTGATCCGTACTTCGCAAGCATTACATTGCCTTTTTGATATGTCACCAGTTGGCCTTCCCCCACTACTAACTCCCTAAAGTTATTCGGTAATCCAATCCTGGAGGCCCTTGTCATGCATGTCACGTGAGTACCTTCTTCGTCCAGGAATTCACATATTTGCATGCTGCCAAATGCCTGGTCCAGGATGACATGGTGGCCTTTGTTTAGTAAAGGAGCTACCAATTCGGTGACTATTTGATAGCCAAACCCATTGGGATGGTACGCAGGCTGACCACGTTGTCTTCTCCCTATGAAGAATAAAATATTGATTTTACACTTCTAAATAAAGTACAGAACATAAACAACATCCTAAAAATCTTCTTTTAAATTAAAAACAGGGTGCTTTTTATGAGTAATAGGAACTATTATACTATAACATAATTCATCTGTTTACCTGAAAATGGTTGACAATTTAAATCTCTACAACATATGAAAGTGATCTCCCTAAGATTGAATCAAGTGGGCACCCACTTGAGATTTTGAAAATAGGCTTGCAACGAAACCCATCTACACCCAATAAACATAAACAACATCCTAATTAACCCAATCTACAACACTGTAAAATTAAATAGTACCATGGGTACTGGGTTCAAATGGTGTTAGTCAGCAAAGAGAAAAGTGAATGGTCGATAAAATGGTAGACAATTAAAAAAAGCAGATATAAATTTTGGACTGTTCTTTTCCAAAATTATCCCATAAACTACTCTTTACAGTGACATGCGTTTCTACAATGCAAGACACCTGAAATCAGTTTTAAAGCTACCGAATTGACAAAAAGTGAATTTTCCACAAAAGCTGTTTTGAAAAAAGACAAGCTTTTGACTTAAATTAAAGAGGAACCAAAATAATTTAAAATAGGAATCTTATTGACTCAGGTTCCAAAACATGCTTCTATGTTATGGAGTGAGTCTGGCATGTTCCAGCAAAACATGCTTCTATTGTTGACTGACTGAGAGACAAATGGACAAATCAATGTCAACTGAAATGGCTGAAAATAAAAAAATGGTTATAATTTTTTGTGGATTTTTTGTAACAAAATTATTTCATAGAACTACTCTTTACAGTGACATGGCATTTTACAATGCAGGACACCTGAAATTATTTATAAAGCTACCAAATGATCCAGAGGTGAATTTTGAGAGACGAAAATGGCGGCCATTTTGAAAATAGGCGAGCCTTTGAACCATGAATTATAGGGAGGTTCTCTGTATTGATGTTGAACAAAAATAACTTAAAACAGGAATCCTATCAACACAGGTTTTAAAGCAAATGGTCCAAAAGTGAATATCCCAGATGCGAGTAGAAATAATCTTGATTTACGTCATTAAAAATTCAAAATTCAGTCAAATTCTGATGTCATATTTGGAATCTACATGTAAAATTACATTTAGAAATGAGGTTTTGAAAAGAGTTAATCAACTCTGAAAATTTAATTTTCTTTGAAAATGTGACTTCTAGGTCGGGGAGATTCCTCATAGACCCCATGTTGTAAAACCACAAAAAGTGAAATATTTTTCTTGTGATGGGCAGATAATATTTTCTTTTACTGGACATATTTTAATTTGTATATCAGATACACAGGGGTAATATGAAAAGTGAACCACTAAAACTGATGCATATTCAAGTTTAATTTTGTAATACCCTGCCATGTTAATTCCCCCGAATCAGCCACCTGGTGGCGAAACTGGTAACTACCTACTCGCATCTGAGTAATTTCACGAGACAAAAATGGCGGCCATTTTGAAAATAAAATAAAATAACTCAAAACAGGAATCCTATTGACAAAGTTTAAAAATGGACCAGTTGTTGACAGACGGACGAACAGACAGATGGAGTGATTGCAATAGCTCACCAAGTGAACTAACAATTAAAATATTATCATCTTACCAGCATACATTTTTGTTGCGGCTGTGTAGCCAGTCTCTCCTTCACATAAGCTGTGGTATTTGGCGCCCCATTTTCTTGCCTTTTTCGGCATGTATTGAATCGAATGATCACGCCCTTTGTGGCCTGAAACATAAAAATGTATAGATTTCAATACATGTAATAATTTACATTCATTTCTACTAATATATCTCGGCATTTAATTGCCATATTTTAACATAAGTCATAAATACATGTAGCATTTGCTGGCCTGGAATCGTATTTGAGAGTAACAGAATAATAAGCGAATATATCAAAAGAGATTATATCAGAGATAACTTGTCATGTATGTCATAAGAAAAGGTACATTATAATAATTTGTTATTTTGCCATGTCAGACTTGTTGTATCAGAATAATGTGATATCTTTTGGAGCATAAAAATATGATTATATGGTTATATGAATTTCTTTCGTATGGATAATTATAAAAAATAAATTCATGTCTTGGCTATTCAGTGTTCAATTTCATTTTGATTGGTGAGTCAATAAGTTCAAATATGGCTTATGCAAAAAAGGTATTCATCAACAGTACTGTAATATAGTAGATAAAAAAATGACCTACCAACAAGACTCTCATCGACAACTATCTCTCTTCGTAGAAGATAGTTTTTCCTCCAGTTATAGTTGAACAGGGCTAAAATCGGTGCGATTTTGAAACTAGGGTCAAACCCAGGTTGGCCCCGAGGAATGAACCTCTCATTGGAGTTGGCATGCAGGTACCTGTATATTGCCTGCCATCTAAAATTAAATTTGATATGCAACTTATTATTATACATTTCATCTTTTTGTTGACAAGAAATTATGATTATTTAGTGAAGAATATGCTTGATGTACCGGTACTTAATGATAAAAATTAATAACTTTCTAAAAGTACTTCAATTAGATCATGAGCTTTCAATTAGAATGATTAGATTAAATCAAAAATGCTGTGTTGTCCACGACAATTATACACACTTGGAAGAATGATAAAAAAAGCCTAGCAAGTAATTTAGTTTATTTCAAAACCTGTTTTGTGTCATTAACTAATGTACAATTTCATGTATTCTCAAATTTAATTGAGGCAATACAATACAATACACTATAATAGGTTTGCATATGTTTCAATTTTAGTATAGGTCCAGGTTACATAATACTATACCTGTTCCGAGGCATGACCTTGCCAAAGGCTGGAGTATAGGTCAGCCAATTCTCCTCACTTTCCTCCCAAAACATTGACAGCTCAGGCTTTTTAACAACCCCCATATTGAGAAGCAAACCAAGGAATGCCTGCATTTCTGCTTGAGTGACATCCTCAAATTCATTGGCCCCACTCTCATTAGCATATCTGGAATAACAGATTATATTGATATTGTTAGCATCAGATATGGATTTCATCTTGTGATCATAACATAAACAAATGACATTTTACTTTGTAGGGTCTTGATTCCCTTGTAATTTTTGTAATTAACTTGTAATTTTATTCTATTTATGCAATAAAAAACACACCAAAAATGCCTAGTGTGGGTTTTGCAATTGTCCAAGAAACCTCATACACTGTAAACATGCATACATGTATATTGTTTATTTTAGCTTTCACAATGACCATACATGTTCACATCGAGTTGACAATATGTAGGCTCAATTATATGTATGGTGACCTCAGGGGCCACAAAAGTTGATGTATGTGTGGTATTTTCTAATTAGCTAAAAGTGAATCACCGACACTTGGTATTCTTGTTTGGAAAGAAATGAACTCAACTACATGTACTTGTACAGATCTGCAAGTTTGTACTTCATGTCCATGTATATATTGAAAATCATGTAGACTAGCATGTAAACGTACATGTACATGTAGCTAATGTTAGGGTGTGTATAGCCATACCTATTGGTCTCTTGCACAAGTATCTCAAAAAGAGACCGGTTGTCAGCTCCTTGATGCTGAGGAATACCCCTACACTGTGCTATGAAATAGTCCACCGGAGGGCTATTTACTGGGGGTGGATTAACTGGTCCACACCTGTCATTGTCAAATACATGTTCATTCATATTAAAGTTGTTTGGTAAAATTGCAGTCCATTCTTCATCATCATCCTCCTCCTCCTCTGAACTTTCCTGCTCTGACATGTCATTGTCACTATTTTCATCCATTTCAAAACAATAAGCTTATACAGCAATGCACTAGATTTGGAGATATATGTGTAATTACTGTAATACTAACTATGTTTGTTGCATATTCGACCTGTTCCTGAACAGTTCGTTACCTGTACTAGTTATGATCTCTCATATAATAATCCATATTAGAGTGTTATTAGAGTGTTATAACACATTAAGTACATACTAAACTAGGCTAGATACGTCAAAGTCCTGGATAAAAACACCAATATTTCAGTCACAATCTGAAAGCTACAGCCACTGTCCGTTTTGCGTATAGATTGAGGCCTATCTATCTTCTGTAATTACAGTCTATGACAGTTGGTTTCAAAGTTGTGTAGCCGATTACTTTGATTTTAGCCTTGCGAAGCGATTTCTCAAGAAAGAAACATATTGTCAGACGACATTTTTGTTTGTTTTTTTCTGTTGTTGATCCGCCCGATTACGCAGTCTAGTTTCAGCTTCCGGGTTTGCAAATATGCTGATTCTTACGGTTGTAGATTAGAAATTTCATCTTTTACATTAGCGAAAAGTGAAAACAATATTTGTTTGTTATACCTATATTAATGTTTAGACCATGCACTTTGATAGTCTATGTTAAGGATATAGTCTACAATGTCTTCCGGGTTTGAAGTTTGGCGGACTTTTTCTAGGGACCTGTCAACATTTTTTCGTTTCCAAATGACAATGGCGAAATAACGCCAGGGAAGTGGATAATAATGAACAATAGAATTACAGAAACATATATGCTTGCCTTCCCGTGATTCAGACTGACTATACTTGGCCTAACTATTGGAATAACGTTTCTTGAACTAATGACGTATTTTCTCAGATATCACGTGATGAAAACAAGCCGCCATTTTTAAAAGGCTTGAACCAAATATTTTGATTCCGTGACTTTTTACAATATTTCACCCATAAAGAAGGGTAGTTCAGGCCGGTTTACAGTCCCTGTGGATGTAAGTGAATGATTTGAATTTGCTTTGACATAAATTCTTACGGTTCTATTAGTCTGATTTAAGTTTTTTTAAAGATTATTTGCATTTCATGATTTCACGTGTCAAAACGACATAAATGTCGTTGTGGGAGGCAGCGGTAAAACGACATAAATGTCGTTATGACGTTAAAAGGGTTAATATATTCATATTCTGCCACGAATATGTTTTAAAGGTGCAACAATTATTGCAGAAGAATTATTCAACGATCGTGGACCAGTGTCAAAATATATTTGGATATTTCATCAAGACTTACATCTATTTTTATTATCTACAAAGAATCCCCCTAGATAACATTATTTCATCTGATATTCCTCTTAAAACATGGTGGATCATTAAAATATAAAAGTGGATTTCCCCTTTTTGAAGCTTTGAAAAAATAGGTATGTCAAAGAATATGTTAAGCCAAATGTTGCCTTGATAGCTCAGAAAAAGTTAAAATTTTCATATTTTCTCTCTACATGCCTTGTTACCCCTCTAATTACCAATTTAACCTATTTAGGGGTGGGGTCTTAAAGTAGTTTAACAGTGATACTTAGAACCAGACACGTCAATCACTTCTGCATAAACACTGACGGACATGGGTAAAACGGGGAGGAACGCACCCCTCCTCCCCCTTCAAAAATCTATTCAATTTTGGTCTTATAATTGATTTGGGGTGGGAGTGGGGGTTTAGGATACGCGTCCATATAGCCATAGTTTTGTAGTATTTCAAATTTTTCAACTGGGGAATTAAATTCTATTGAATAAAACTAAATTGAAAATAAAACTGATAAAAGTGTTACTGAAAAGAAAAAGAAAACATGACAACTTTATTGCTTTCTTGAAGACTTACTTCTGGATTTGACAACCATAATATTTACATTATTATAGTCGACAGATTGTCAATTGTTTCAGTTTGAAATTTAGATAACGCGTGCTTCTATTTGTCACATAAAAACCTTGATTTTCGCAAATTGTATATTTCATAGCAAGGATTCAAAGCTGAACCAAACAAGGTAAAGGCAATTATGATATGTATAATAACTTATAACATTAGTTAAATACTGTAAAGCCATGAATTGAAATGAAGTGTAAACTGTTAAAAGCAGTTATTTAAAAAAACATGCTAATTTTTCCATGACAATTCTGATTTTATTGTCTGAAATGAAGAACTTCTAAGACTTTTTATGATTATTTGCCAATCTTACATCCTTTTCCTTTTTAAATTGTTTATTTCCCTTTTCAATTCTTTACAATACAAAGTATCAGGAAATAACATTCAGTAATTTTACAAAAATATGAAAATGAAAAAATTAGTTAACAGTAAGTTTCTTATTTCTAGTAGTACGATGGGGAATCATTCAACGATGAATGGTGCATACACATTCGAATTTGCTTACTCGTGTATTTTTGCAATAAGCACGCGCTGATTCTACTAAGTTTTTGATTTGTTTTAAAAAATAAAATCTGCATTCATGAAGGTTAATCCTGGAAAAAACACAGGTTCCTATTAATTTATTCAGTGTTACGTGTGTAGACCGAAGGCCGGGCGAATAAAGTGATTGAAATGTCGCCTTGTGTAGTGTCCCCTCCATAAGTTTTTGCAACCGAAAGTTTCCATAGGCTAGAGTATAAACGTCTGTCAATGATTGAAGCTTAATTCTGTCCTTTAAGTAAAGTATTCCCTCTATGTCCCATCGCCTGTCCCTTTGTCCCACCCTCCAAGATAAAAGAAACCTATTTATTAATAATCTAATTCCTTCATGTGACGGTGCCCTTGTAGATGAATATTTATCAGCTAGCCTTAATGATTTACTTAGGCACATGGGGGCAGGACCAAATCAAAAACTTTGAGAGATTAATTTACGAATTTTTAAAGGAAATGTACCTTTAGTGATTTTACCTTAAATATTTTTAATGCAACTATCATGTATTTTAGTCTCTTTGGATGCACAATAAATATTAGTAGTACCCCTGTTGCATAAAAGCGTTTTACACAAATAGAAAAATAAATAAAAATATCAATGATTCACCTAATTTTTTAAATTTATTTATTGCCTATTATATTGTAGGAAACATGGAAAAACTACTGATCCTTGCATTTTGTGTGGTAGCAGCTTCATTGGCCGCTCCTACTGAGCACGCTAAACACGAATATGAAACGGGCAGTCAAGGATACGGTGGAAGTCATAAATATGGTGGCAGAACAGGAAATCCTGGCGTTGGCATTGGTCTCGGTCATAGAAAAGAAGATGAAACTGACAGAGAACATCCCGGCAAACACTACGGTGTTGGTCTTGGTCTTGGATACAAAGGTGACAAAACATATGGTAGGGAGGATGAACAGGGAAATAGAGGTCGAGGATACGGTAAGGACAACAAAGACAAAACCGAAGATGGAGAATATGAAAGAGAGTATGAACGAGGATACGGTAAGGACAACAAAGACAAAACCGAAGATGGAGAATATGAAAGAGAGTATGAACGAGGATACAGTAAGGACAACAAAGATAAAACCGAAGATGGAGAATATGAAGGAGAGTATGAACGAGGATACAGTAAGGACAACAAAGATAAAACCGAAGATGGAGAATATGAAAGAGAGTATGAACGGGGAAATAGAGGTCGAGGATACGGTAAGGACAACAAAGACAAAACCGAAGATGGAGAATATGAAGGAGAGTATGAACGAGGATACAGTAAGGACAACAAAGATAAAACCGAAGATGGAGAATATGAAAGAGAGTATGAACGGGGAAATAGAGGTCGAGGATACGGTAAGGACAACAAAGACAAAACCGAAGATGGAGAATATGAAGGAGAGTATGAACGAGGATACAGTAAGGACAACAAAGATAAAACCGAAGATGGAGAATATGAAGGAGAGTATGAACGAGGATACAGTAAGGACAACAAAGATAAAACCGAAGATGGAGAATATGAAGGAGAGTATGAACGAGGATACAGTAAGGACAACAAAGATAAAACCGAAGATGGAGAATATGAAAGAGAGTACGAACAGGGAAATAGAGGTCGAGGATACAGTAAGGACAACAAAGATAAAACCGAAGATGGAGAATATGAAAGAGAGTATGAACAGGGAAATAGAGGTCGAGGATACGGTAGGGACAACAAAGACAAAACCGAAGATGGAGAATATGAAGGAGAGTATGAACGAGGATACGGTAAGGACAACAAAGACAAAACCGAAGATGGAGAATATGAAAGAGAGTATGAACAGGAAAATAGAGGTCGAGGATATGGTAGGGACAACAAAGACAAAACCGAAGATGGAGAATATGAAGGAGAGTATGAACGGGGTAATAGAGGTCGAGGATACGGTAAGGACAACAAAGACAAACCCGAAGTCGGAGAATATGAAAGAGAGTACGAACAGGGAAATAGAGGTCGAGCATACGATAAGGACAACAAAGACAAACCCGAAGTTGGAGAATATGAAAGAGAGTACGAACAGGGAAATAGAGGTCGAGCATACGGTAAGGACAACAAAGACAAAACTGAAGATGGAGAATATGAAAGAGAGTACGAACAGGGAAATAGAGGTCGAGGATACGGTAAGGACAACAAAGACAAACCCGAAGTTGGAGAATATGAAAGAGAGTACGAACAGGGAAATAGAGGACGAGGATACGGTAAGGACAACAAAGACAAACCCGAAGTTGGAGAATATGAAAGAGAATACGAACAGGGAAATAGAGGTCGAGGATACGGTAAGGACAACAAAGACAAACCCGAAGTTGCAGAATATGAAAGAGAGTACGAACAGGGAAATAGAGGTCGAGCATACGATAAGGACAACAAACACAAAAATGGTGGACACACTGGAAATCGATACTAAATAATACGGTGAGTCAGTTACTAGATATGGTACATGGTTAAAGGTCATGAAATTACGAATGCACACCATTGAAACTCCCAAAAATAGGTCAGGACGAATTACATGTTATGTAAATCTTCTTCAATTCTACAAAATATTTCTGCCTGAGTTATTGAATTATCCATAGAATTATTCCTTTTTTATTTCAGACCAATGTAGAGTTGCTCGGGATGTCAGCTAAATATAATGGAAACAAAATATGGTCAACATAATGGACTTGGGAAAAAGTAGTCTGCAACTTTTGAATATAATTTGTGTTCAATTGTGCTCATGAACAAAATAAAATTTACAGAAACTAAAATCTAATTCCATTTGTCTTTAAATGTACGAGTTAAAACATATGTTGAAGAAACAGAATTAGTTTTCTGCTTACAAATGATACGTTATGCTTTTTTATATTTCAAATATAAACAATAATATAATTAAAATAGGGATTGCATATGATATTAGACTTCTTCCGATTAAAGAATATATAACATATCTCAGTCCATGTGAAAACTACAAGACAGAATATGTTTGTCAGACTGAATTAAGTCATCCCCTTTTAATATGCTCTATATTAAAATTCTAATAGAGGCTAGAGAATGGGGGAGGGGTGACTTACTCCCCATGGACAGTTGGTTGCACTTAAGATCTCATAAATACATTCATAACTTGATACTGATTTGAACTTATTTTCAACCTAATTATGCCAACAGATTGGTTTATTTTGAATCAATTCTCTCTTCACTAACTTCTTGTTGAAAACAATACTCCCTTCCTTTCTAAGTGGGTGCATTAACTTATATTGTTATAGGGTCCACCTTTTCTACGGACGGTGGTTGCTGGTGTACTGCGTTCTGGGTCTGAAACAAAATAATATAAATTATAAATTATGATTTACTATTACACAATGTGTTAGACGGTGAACACCGCCTCTAATACGTTGGATTGTTGTATGGACTTGCATTGGGGCCAACACGATCCTCAGAGACCCAGAGGGTGCATGAATGCACCTAACAATGTGTAAGATAACTTTGCCATAATAAAGTTAACTTTTATATTTGTCAACTTCTATTTGCACTTGTCATTTACTCCACACGACTGTATAGCTATGCCAGCTATGGATCAGATGATCTCCGCTTTCGCTTCCACACGGACAAATCAGCATAAGGGCAGTCTTGCATCCAAAAACTATTACGCTCAGTTTGAAACAAAGTTTGCTTAGTATAGGCCAGTTATATAATGTCTCTGTATAGGCTTAGTATATTTGTAGGGGTCACACTAATTTTATTTGTTTCAAACTTTGATAAAAAGCACTAGCGAGCACTAGCCTAGCCTATTTTTATTCCAATGCTAAATGAGAATTTCAAACTGTCGTGTTCACCCGAGCGTGTTCACAAATCGTGGCACGCCAGTGAGATGACCCGGGACGAGATAGGCATCACTTGGTCCCGGGACTTGGTCATGATTTGATGATCTAGTTTTCAGTTTTCAGTCATCATATGTGAATAAATCTATGTTTTTATTTTACTTTGCTTAACTTGAGTCCACTCTGATTTTGACAAGAGCGTCGCAATAGGCCCACTGTCTATTTTAGAAGATGAAAAAATCATTGAAGACTGTAACATGTTACTCACACACTTGCTCAAATATGACACAAAGTTTGATTTGCTTTAATATTGAACTAAGAAAAAAATAACTCACATGAAAAGAAGTTCAGAGATCATTAGACAATAGACATGCATGCATAAACAAAGTGCATGTTTTAAATTACTGTTGATTAAGGGTGACGCATATCGTTTAGCAAATCGAACGCTCGTTTCTGGTGTTGCTCACCGTTTAGTATAAAAGGCCCGATCCCGGAATAATACTCAAGGGTTCACAGGCTCGAGGTCGTTGTGTCAACACCTCTAACTGTTATATAGCATAAGTATATTATAGATCGTCACACATTTATAAAAGGGTGATTTTTATTTTGACAAATCAATTCCACATTTATGGGTGAAGTTTCAGGATCTTCTATTTGTGTATAATAAGGAAAAATTGATATCTAAATTTCCCCATAACGTAATAGCACATAGCTTGGCATATGAAATATCCTACAAATGAAACATATCGAGATTTTGACGTCATTTGCTAATTAACATAATGTGACGTCACGCATGCATCATTGCAGAATTCTAATGGGATGTCCATATAGGACAAAATTGAATATCAAATAATTAAATAAATGTTAAATTGATCCATTAGCTCAGGGTTAGAAATGGTGAAGATACTAACAAAGGTCAACTGTGCAAAAAATTGACGATCAACTATGAAAATATTTTCTTCCCCCAGAAAAAACAGTTTTTTGGCAAAAATTCCTATACTTTACATGTAACCGATCTGAAAAAAGTGCAAAAATGGCGAAATTGGCGTTATACAAATGTAATTTTTGCCTTTAATATTCTTTTAAATCGTTAGCTCAGGGTTGGAAATGTCAGAACAAGACTAATACGTTTATATTAACATATTTTATTTACACCACATTTAATAACTTTTCTTCCTGACAAGTTACAAGTAAGGTCGTTTTTGAAATACGACGCCGTTTTCCAACAATAAATAGCTAAAACGTCACACATTTAACATGTTTAACTATAACGTACTTTATTCATAATACAACTTATTTAACACTGTAAGTTGCAACGATGTTCTTTTCATTTTCTCTACTGGAGGAGTTGATTAATTTAAATTTATTTATTTTCCAGTTTATAATTAAAGCTATGGCTTTCTAGCCTTCCTAGCATACATGGGGCACTGGGCCAGTCATAAGACTGCCCCATACGCTAGAACGATGCGCAAATCATGAAAAATGGCCCATGCTTAAGTGAAAGATAAATAGTGTATAAGAGAGGTATGAATTGATTAATTTTACAATTCACCATAGCTCTCGGAAACAATATAATTTATATTTCAGTTATACTTGGGCTTTTGTTTTTTCCATCTGCGCGTCTTCCTAGCGTATGGTGCAGTCATTGATTTCCTTGTTCGTACACGTAGCGCTTCTACGGATGGTTTATGTTTTTGGGTTTTCCTATGATAGAGTGATTTGATATCATCATTGGACTTTTCTACACCCTGCCCTGTAAAGATTTTAAGGCTACCATACCTTTTAATAACACGAGGCGTATGGTACACCAAACAGTGGATGTACTCTATCGTAACCTTCTAGTTTAGATTGGAGGCCTAAGAATTCCTTTGCCCAACTTCGCGCATTCACGAAAAAATTGACAACCTGTTCCTCCGCTGGATAACGATTACTGATCACATTAAAGTACAGATTCCCGAATTTTTTCCAAAGCGATATTATGTGGACTTTTTCACTGATCTTTATATCGGATTGCTCGAGTTTCGTTGGCAATGTTCGAAGTAGTACTTTAACCTAATTGCCTGTCAGGCTTGTCCAGTCGAGGGCTGTCTTCTGGTCTCCTTTAGATTCTGATTTTGAGGTTTTAGGCCAAATATTGAAAGAGACCCCGCATGATTGTATTACTGTAACAAGATTTTTCGTAGTATCACCGATCAAATTTGTGCTCTTTCCACGACCTTCGAGAATACGTACACCTTTTCATCCACGCTGAGGACATCCATTATGAGATTGCGAAGCAAAATATCGATTACTGTAAAACGGGTAATTTTGACACCGGGAAATTTTAGCGATTTTTCAATTTTAGGGGGTTTTAGCGCGGGAAATTTTAGCGAAATGAAGATTAATCTTTAAAAAATAAAATTAGCGAAATGCATTAGAAATTTATCATTTATGGCAGAAGAATGAATAACGGACATGACAGAGGAATTATCAAAATGTAAGACTTCTGACGCACATGGTATTGGTCCAAACTACTGTAATCTCATCTGACTAATCACAAAATCACGGTAGCATTTAAAATCATTGATTTTTCGGTCCAAACTAATCTCGTCTGACTCATCACAAAATGTAGCATTTAAATCGTTGATTTTTCGTCTTCACGGTTAAGATATACGTCCAACGCCATGAAACATGTACCGGTAATTTCACGTTTATTGTCCCAGTTTTGCATTTCTGTCCTATGGGTATGCCCCTAATGCCTGGGTCACATTTGCTCCGATCCATCGCGCCCGGTTTATTTTAACCCCGGTTTATTTTAGCGAATTGAATTTTTAGCGAAACCATAGCGATCGCTAACAATCGCTAACAATTACCCCTCGCTAACAATACCCGTTTTACAGTACTCTAAGCAGTAAGTGAAGTTCGCACATCATTACTCTCTCAATAGGGATCAAAAGAAGGGGTTCAGCTATGCTTCCCATTGCCCTTTTCATCAGAGTAGGATAATAATTTAATTTTACTGGGCCTAAGATCCGCTTTGTTTTGAAAATAAGACAGGAAATCTACTCGCACTCCTCTTGTTTTCATGATCTGGTTTACACTGTAAACAAGATTTGGCGCGACTTATAAAACCTCGCGCGGACGTTTTAGTACTCGATTACTGTAACGCTATTGGATCAGCGGAATCACGTGACAATAACAATAGGTTTAAAAGCACGTGGTAAAATGACGCTAAAATCTCGATATGACAAAGCAGTTCTAATACAAGGATTTATATTGGCTGTTGTATATATTCTTTGAACGCAATCACTCTATGGATAATGTTTTCAAAATCATTATTAACGGATTACTTTATCTCAAAGACAATTTCAATAAACTGGATTTTACAGAACTCCCCTTATTTCTTAAAAATGGACTGATCCAGGAGCCGCCATATTGTTTTTTATACGGGAAGCTTATCGGAACCCTTTAAACAGAGACATATAAAACATGTTATATGTCTTTATATGTCTTTATATGTCTCTCATTTAAAAGATGGCGATACTTTAAAAAAATGAATGTATCATGTAATACAAATAACTCTGCCATCTTTCAATGGCATTGATAAAAACTTGAAAAAGCTTGAAAATATCGAAAATATATTTTGATAATTTATTGTAAGCTTTGATGTGGTCCGTTTGAGCTGTTGTTGGTGTCAAATGAAAGATAAGATTCTTATCAATACATTGGATATACTATGAAATTCAAATGAAAGTCTTTATTTTGCCCAAAAACGTTGAAAATAAGCGAAGTGGGCCTTTAGATTTAAACCCTGCGCTGACACCCGGGGATTTCTGGAATTTGCGCATATAAGTCATCGCTTAGAAATCAGACACTCAGATTTATATGAGCTAATTCAAATTGTGTAATTCAAATCACGTTATTCTATCCCTATGACAGTTTGGTTTAAATACGTCTACATAAAACTGCGACGGGTTACATTTATTTGCGCGGATATGTTCTCGACAAAATAATACCCCGTATTTATAAAATTGCATATGTCACGTGATAACAGTGCATCGATTAAATATAGACTATCGTTTATCCAAAGCATTCAGCTAAGCCTCGGTAGCGCAGTAGGCAGCGCGTCAGTCTCATAATCACCAGCTCACTGAGCGATCTGAAGGTCGTGAGTTCGATCCTCACTCGGGGCAAGCATTTTTTATTTTTTACACAATTAGTATTTTTTTAATAACAAATTTAATAACAAAAAAGAGTGTTATATTTCAGTTTTTGTTTTTTTTCTTAATTTACACAAATGGTTAATATACCTGGTATGTGTAGTAGCGCTATTTTTCTAAGTAGTACGCCACCACTGTAACAAGAGTTGAGCGAAGCAAAAAACGAGCGTTTGGGGGGTGGGTTGGGGTTGTTCTCCCTCAGGAAAATTTTGAAATTTGTTTGTATTTGGAGCGAATTTGCAACCATCTAGTATGCCTGTGCGTACCTAGCGTACCGGGCGCTACGCCTATGGCTTAAAATATTTGCACATAGGATCTTTGATCTAAAGATGGCTATGTGCAGATATGGTAAAGTATGGCCAAGTGAGATGTTTTGATGTAGAGCTCTTATTCAATTTGTGTAAATGAGTAAAAATTTAACTATTCAAAATGGTATTTGGTTACAGCAGTAGAGAATTCACAATTAAAATTAAAAACAGATTAAAGCTAATAAAATGCATGGTATCTCACAGAAAAGTAATTGAGGTAAAAATGGAAGCACTGTACAAACAAGCAACAAGTAGATAGTTATACATTCTACGATTATTTTATTTAAAATCAACCACCTGTACAGTGTACACCTGTACATCAAGAATAATTGATATAAAAATATAAAAAAATTTACACAATAAAAACACAAAAGGGGGTACAATTAGATTATAAAAATACTGAATGTAACTTGCTGAATGTTCACAAATTGTCCATATAAAAAATAAAAAGGAAGAAAATAAACAAAATAAAACATGGCCATGACATTTGAAAAACTATAGAGAAACTGAGATGATGTCTTTAATAACTACAATGTTTTCGTGAAACAAAAAATATTATTCTGTTATACAGAGACCCTACTTCCATTGGTATTTTGGTCTCCAGCTGTGAGAAATGCTTCTAGCAGCTAGGGACCAAAACTCTGTTAGGGACTCTTTACAATAAAGCAATGTACCGACAGAAAGGCAATTTTGTTTTGCTTTAAATGGAAGAAGAAAAATGGTGCAGTATGAGACACACAATCCTTAATTTTAAAACATCTGGTAGGTCAAAAACTCAATTTTACGCTAGTACTGCGTAAGATTGTAATAATACTTTGTATTGACAACTTGACCCTTGCAAAAAGTTTCATTGAAAATATGTTCTTTTAGTGATTTCGTATCTTATAGGTTATATTCTAATAGAAAATATTTTGCAATAATGTGTGAAAAGAATTAAAGCTCAAGACCCAGTGATTGTGGCTGATTCATTGATTTCATTCCACTCATTAACCTTGGAGGAGTCCAGGGCTTAAATCCTTAAACAACAAATATAATGAAAGTAAATGTTAAAGACATTGATATAATACAAATACACTTTTTGAAATTAAAAAAAAAGTTTCACATATCACATTTTCACACTGAGTAAGACTAGGATATAAATCCAAGTGGTTTAAACTTTATACAGGGCCTTTAAAAATTTCCAGTTGATTTATAGGATCGCAGAACAATCATGTTATCATTTCATAAGTTTCATCGTTTATACACATTTCAAGGCTCTCATCTGAGACTACGGAAAAAAATGTAGTAAACTAAGAAAGAAGGCTAGGAATAAACAAAGTATTGCAATGACCTGAGGGTGTCTCTGAGGAATGAACAATGCCATGTGTAGTGTATAGTGGCCTTAGAAGGTAAGCCATGTGTAGGCCAGATACACACATGGAGAAAGAAAAGATCCTCTACCGGCAGAGCTAACAAAGCTTAAGCGGATTTTGATCATTTAGATTTAAGATGAATGAAATGTTACACATTGGTAATGTCCCGTAGTCTAACGCCTTAGTGAGAGCCCTGCATCACACATAAAAAGTACACATAATGGTACAAGGAACTAAGAAAAGTAAATAGCCTCAGAACAATCACTTCTCTTAATCTTATCATGTATTACTAAGTAATTATATTAATTAAGTTTTAAACATAATAATCACACTAATTTTACTATTATAATCATGATATAAAATTGTACATGTATATTTACTTTCAAATAATACTTTCTTCAAATTGATGAACCAGTGAACTTTGGACAGAACCTCATTGAAAAAGTAAGAATATTTCCTTGGCATAGTACATCGTAACCCCAGTCGGTTGCTTTTGGAAATTCACTTTTTATGAAGAAGAGTTTGAACATGTTTCTTTAGTACAAGGGTAACAAAACCTTTTTTTGAAATCCAAAAGGAATGAGCAGCTTTGAACTGTCCAAACTCCTCTTAAATTTCTTCCTAAAAGCAAAAGTGAGTATCAACCTGTTGCCAGTACTGCAGATATTGTGAGAAATCAGAGTTTATCTACAAGGCATTAACATGACAAAATGTCACCACCTAAAACAATTTGGTCAATTTAAAGCAAGTTGGAAAATACCTTTTGACCTTAAGAATGTTTTTGAAGATTTGAGCTTCTGGGATCTTGTAGATGATTTTGAAAAAAGAAATTGTTCAATCTGAAGCAAGTTAAAACTAGTTGCACACAAATCTTAAGTCAGATTTGAACTTCTTAGAACATGTAGATGATTTTGAAAAAAAAATTCGTCAATTTGAAGCAAGTTGAAAAAATACCTCTTTGACTTTTTTTGACATTGAGAAGGTCATTGAAGGTCAAATGTCAAATGTAAAGTCAGATTTGAACTTCTGAGAACATGTAGATGATTTTGAAAAAAAATTAAGTAAATTTGAAGCAAGTTGAAAAAAGACCTTTTTGACCTTGAAAAGGTCATTGAAGGTCAAATGTCAAATCTAAAGTCAGATTTGAACTTCTGAGAACATGTAGATGATTTTGAAAAAAAATTAGCCAATTTGAAGCAAGTTGAAAAAAGACCTTTTTGACCTTGAGAAGGTCATTGAAGGTCAAAGGTCAAATCTAAAGTCAGATTTGAATTTCTGAGAAAATGTAGATGATTTTGAAAAAAAAAATTAGTCAATTTGAAGCAAGTTGAAAAAAGACCTTTTTGACCTTTTTTGACCTTCAGAAGGTCATTGAAGGTCAAATGTCAAATCTAAAGTCAAATCTAAAGTCATATTTGAATTTCTGAGAACATGTAGATGATTTTGAAAAAAAAATTTAGTCAATTTGAAGCAAGTTGAAAACAGACCTTTTTGACCTTTTTTGACCTTGAGAAGGTCATTAAAGGTCAAATGTCAAATCGAAAAGGCAGATTTGAATTTCTGAGAACATGTAGATGATTTTGAAAAAAAAATTAGTCAATTTGAAGCAAGTTGAAAAAAGACCTTTTTGACCTTTTTTGACCTTGAGAAGGTCATTGAAGGTCAAATGTCAAATCCAAAGTCAAATCTAAAGTGATATTTGAATTTCTGAGAACATGTAGATGATTTTGAAAAAAAAATTTAGTCAATTTGAAGCAAGATGAAAAAATACCTTTTTGACCTTTTTTGACATTGAGAAGGTCATTGAAGGTCAAATGTCAAATCTAAAGTCAGATTTGAATTTCTGAGAACATGTAGATGATTTCGAAAAAAAGATTTAGTCAATTTGAAGCAAGTTGAAAAAAGACCTTTTTGACCTTTTTTTACTTTGAGAAGGTCATTGAAGGTCAAATGTCAAATCTTAAGTCAAATCTAAAGTCAGATTTGAATTTCTGAGAACACGTAGATGATTTTGAAAAATTTTTTTAGTCAATTTGAAGCAAGTTGAAAACAGACCTTTTTGACCTTTTTTGACCTTGAGAAGGTCATTGAAGGTCAAATGTCAAATCTTAAGTCAGATTTGAATTTCTGAGAACACGTAGATGATTTTGAAAAAATTTTTTAGTCAATTTGAAGCAAGTTGAAAACAGACCTTTTTGACCTTTTTGACCTTGAGAAGGTCATTGAAGGTCAAATGTCAAATCTTAAGTCAGATTTGAAGGTCAAATGTCAAATCTAAAGTCAAATCTAAAGTCAGATTTGAATTTCTGAGAACATGTAGATGATTTTGAAAAAAATTGAAGTCAGTCTAAACAGTATTTGTTAAGTTATAGGAAGTTGTAAGACCTTTTTGACCTTTTTTGACCTTGAGAAGGTCATTAAAGGTCAAATGTCAAATCGAAAAGGCAGATTTGAATTTCTGAGAACATGTAGATGATTTTGAAAAAAAAATTAGTCAATGTGAAGCAAGTTGAAAAAAGACCTTTTTGACCTTGAGAAGGTCATTGAAGGTCAAATGTCAAATCTAAAGTCAGATTTGAACTTCTGAGAACATGTAGATGATTTAGAAAAAAATTGAAGTCAGTCTAAACAGTATTTGTTAAGTAACCTCCAACCGCCGGACGCCGTCGCAAAAAAACGGAGACCATAACAATATGTCACCACTTTTGGTGGTGACATAATAAATCATTCTACAATTTCTGTAGTTAAAACTAGCACACAATACTCCATGGAACATGTATGATAATAATGCACCTTAATATAAATAAGTTAATACTTGATACAAATATTTGTGAACAAATTATAGAGCTATTCATATTTGATCGACGTCTGTTATCCTGTAATCATTGTTTAACTAACCTAAATATTGCTATAATAAAAGTTTAACAGCTAATCAGCAGTTGTCAAAATCATGGGCATTCAAAGCCCATGTCAAAATCAAGTAAAAATAATACATATACATATATGTACATTTATATAGTCACGTGTAATTTACAATGAAAGAAGGAAACACTGCATAAATAGGTAAATAAATAACTTTGGATGTACGAAAGAGAGTACATGGCACTTAAATGTGGTTTATTTTACTGACTTATCCTTAGCTCATCAATGCCAGCAATCACACTGGTATCTGTTGGACTTACTATTACATAACCATCCCAAGCTAAAATTTTAGTTTTAGTCAGATCTATGCTCAATGTCTTGTCAAATCCTTTACTGTTTTTATCTACTGGGTTAAGACAGTCCTCTGGTACTTTAACATGGAAGTTAAGAGTGCCAGCATCATCTAGAATGCTGAACTGATAACAGTGCCCATTATTGGGTAGCAATAATTGATCATCAAATTTGGTCTTTTCTCCAGGCATATTTTCCAAAGATATTTTCATATATCCTTTCCTCCCCAGAAAGCACCTTATTCCAGGTATTCCTTTGGTTTTATATCTGAGATATGGTGCACGGATGTATATCTCTAGTCCGTGTTCTCCTTTAGGGTCAGGTTTTGGATCCATGAACTGTATATGGCCATTTATGACAACTGGGGAAGTTGTAGTTGCAATATGTTGATTGATGCTAACTAGCATGAAATCATTGTATCCGAGCACAACAGCTTCCTCCCCAATATGCAATGGTTCAGTGTTTTTCTCTCCTGTCATAACCTTCCATTGCTTTGGTTTGAAGACTTCTTTGTTCAAAAATGTTGGGTTAATTACATGTAACTTATCACCCCTATGTTGGTTAATCTGCAACAGGTGATTTTGAGCAAGATCGAAGTATAACTTATTTTTGGGGAACTTGTACTGAGTGTACAACGTATCTGCCAACTGTACAAGGTGTGACTCATGAGACCAGAGAGTTAAAGAAGCACCGGTCATATCAGTGAGCCACTTCAGCTGAGGTATAGAGTACTTTATACAGCAAGCAGCAACAGCTATTGTCACAGGCTGTTTACGTTTCTTCAATATCCACTTATCAATAGTGTGGTACATTTCTATAACATGTGCCCAACTGTATTGTCTTTCTTTGCCTTCTAAGCTCACTGTCCATCCAAGTGAAATGGTACTTTTCGGGAACATCTCACTGCATAGCTTTAAGAACCTCTCAGCATCTACAGGGTTTGATTTACTATTTGGCCCTTTTAGGATGTCAGCATTTAGCCATATTGGCATTCGCAACTGAAATTCGTAATTTAACAGTATAGAAATTCATACTATATCTAGGATTCAACAATTGTTAAAACACATCGCAAGGTATAACAAAAATTAATTTAGTGACAAGACAAATGTCATATATCAATTTAAGCCACAAGGAAACTGGAACTTTTCAATTATATACATTTTTAATCTTGAAAATGATAATGTGTAAAATACTATTTCAAATTATAACTTACTTTTGGTGCAACTTTTTTGAGATTCTGTAATGTCAGCTCAACTGCTTCAATGGACTTGAAATCCAATTTCAAACCCTTTGTGGAGGTCTTCCCAATGTCCAACCATTCAGCAAATGTGATATCACTATCCTTGTCAGGAGGGTGAGCCATTATGGGCACAAGTTGTTGTTGGTCTGTGTCCTGACCTCTGAGTAATATATCAGCTTCCATCATCATTACATCACCTGCAAAGGAGCAGTCAGTTTGAAAATCTATATCATAATTCATAATGTATAAGGGAATATAAATTAATGTTTGCTAAAAGAAGAAATAAGTAAGACACACCGTGATAAACATCACACTTTAATTTAAAGAGCATAATAGCCACCATGCTATTTACCTAGCATGCAAAAAACCTAATCAGATGTTTGTATAAGTATCCTCTTAAGATTTTCGAAGTTTCAAATTGAATGGATTGGGGATTTAACTGTAATCTTGATGGCAAGATTTATGTGGCACACAAAACATATCTGGTTTCACAATGAGTTGAGCTCTTATAAAACATAATCTATTATGATTTGTGACAGATATTATATCTTTGTTGTATGAAATCAAAATCTGAAAAACTGTTTTCTCGTTATCATCCAAACATCATGTTATTCAGTTAATGAATTTTGAAATGGATGAAATGATACATTCATACTTTGGATAAAAACATAAAAAATCAGTTTTCAATTTGAAAATATAAATAAAACATTTTAATAAACAGATAAGGAATATTAATTTCTCATATTTTGAGTTTTTATCTTTTTTATCTTTAGTGTTACAAATAGTTGCAGCACATGGAACTTGACCATTCATATCAACAGCTTAATTTTGTCTTATAGTCGAGCTCCAAGACTTTGTGACCCCTCCCCCTCTACTAGACTAAACACCTTCTCCCGCAGGGAGGTGTTTGGGGGAGGTCATAAGGGCTTGTAGCTAGACTAGATGTCTTACTTTTAACAGCATCATCTAGTTTGCTCTTTGAATTTACAGCATGAGCCCATGTGATTTTACTCCCATCTCCTTCAGCTTGCAAGAAATGTTCTAGGATATCAACATCTGGTCTACTCTTTGGGATAGGTATGGCTCCACCAAATGCATGTGGCACATACTTAGACCCTCTTAAAAACGATGGCAGGAGACCTGAAAAATTGAAATAGCAAAATTCAAATGTGATGAGAAACAAACCAAATATATTTTGTTATAGATGAGGCCAAGGTATGATAATATGTTTACTATGCAGAGAGAGTCAGCAAAAAATAAAGATGATGGTATTCTACAGTTCTATGATATGTTTTGATTTTACACATTTTGGTAAAGCATTTAGGTAAATATATTACTTATTTTCAAAAATCTAAGGCTTATTAATGCATTCGATATAAGTGCATGCGCAATACCTACACCATGGGCTTTCAAGAGTTGCCTGAATTTGAGCAATCTACATAACTGATTCAGTTCAGTTTTGTATCTGATTCGGTTCATTTTCACGCATGCGCAAAATGAAAGGTGTTTCTCATGATACCTTTCGATTGAAGCATTCTTCCATCATAGTTTAGTCATCATCAGCAATGCTGTGAACAAAACTATTTTAGGATAATTTAAGATCATCGTAACATATACATTCATGATCATGATTCAGGGTAATTACTTTAAAACTACCATTACTCCATACACTTTTGTACCAGATCTAAAATCAATATTGGTCATTTTGGATGTTGAATATTTAAGTATGATGATGGGCTGCAGCGGCAAATGTGGATCAATTAAATGTATGGGCGCAACATACAGTATGTAAATGAAATATCTTTGCTTTGCTTTATACTTGAGTGGCAGAAGGGCCCAAACCGGAGACATACGATAAAACATAGTTTTATATGTTTCTGCCTAAACTGAGAATATAATTCTCAGTAGATTCTATTGTGTTTTTCCCTATAACATCTATTGTGTATGTACAGTACAATATAAGATCAACCAATCAAATTTGAGATGTGCACTGTGCAGAAAATATGGGAAGAGAACCGGATCAAAGAACTGAATCAGTTGTAGATTGGAGGCTGAACTTTACTCGAGTCTCCAGCCAATTCTTGGCTAGAAGTAATTTCATCTGGAACACATGGCAATAGTCGAAAACTGGACGAAATGTCTGACATTAGTGACTGGCTGTAAATTCTAAGTTAGCGATCCAGAAGATGTGAACTAATACATTGATCACTTCATTTGTGTTTTGGAATTTTTGGTGAGGTACATCAAAACTCGCAATTTAAATTGTGATGTGGAAAAATGGCTAAGATTTGATTTCAAATTTTATGATTACGGCATGGCCCATTATACATGCAGGATTTTATCTTTGGATGAAGACCACTACAGTAAAATTTTAAATGTTTGTGAGTACTTTGAATTTAGAAAATAAGCAATCAATTGACCAAATTAGAACAGTTTATGTAAAAATAGAAACATTTATATTTATCCCAACTTTTGTATATTTCAGATAGTAATGTATAATGTGCAGCAAAGCTGTGGCCTTCTGTAATTTAGGAAGTTTCAGCCATGTTAATTTTTCCGAAAATAACATGGCAGAGAAGTATCAAAATATAAGAGGACACAGATATGATAGCCAAACTACAAAACAAACTAAAATATACAAAAGTTGGGATAAATATAAATGTTTCTATTTTTACATAAACTGTTTCAATTTGGTCAATTGATTGCTTATTTTCTAAATTCAAAGTACTCACAAACATTTAAAATTTTGGCCGCGCCTGGAGAGCCTTAAAATTTAAGGCTCTCTAGCCAAAATGCTAAAGAGCCTTAAATTTTAAGGTTCTTTAGCATTTGGGCTAAAGAGCCTTAAATTTTAAGGCTCTATAGCATTTTGATAGCCAATTCTGCTAGAGAGCCTTAAAGGAATTCCGGGCGACAGAAATTACGAAATATTGCTTCTGGGACGACTTTGACATATTCTATACCCAACCTATTTTGTAATTTAACAATCAGCACAAATATACTAATACCATATTAGCAGATATCAGACAAATTCAAAAAGAATTTTTTTTTGATCGATAAAATCACTGATTATTAAACCGGAAGTGACTTCTATGAGGTCCGCGAAGATGAAGAAGATAACATATAAAGATTTCAGTCATTTCAACTAACTTTGCCGTCGATTTGAATGGTTTTAAATGATCTTCTAATGCTTACTATGACTTCTATTAGAACTGTTTTGACTTCCCCACTTCATAAAAAAACATTATCACTTTTTGCTCGACTCATAAATTTACTTCCGGTCTACCGAGAGAAATGAAAGAACCTTTTCAATCCCCAGTCTAAATTTGGCTTTTTAAGGTTCAAACATCGATTTTGAAAAGTAAATGTTTGTTTGTTTGATGTTCATGCATATATCGAAAATATATGTCTCTGGTTCACCAGAGAAGGTGTAAGACCAGGCAATCACGTATATAGCCAGTAAAATGTTATTTTTACCGTATTTTTACCATTTTATCCACTATAAATCGCAACGTCCGTTTAGTAAAGATTTTGATGTATAGACATTTATTGATGGATTGGAGGCTAGGATAAAAATGTTGTTGTTGTGTTGCATAAGCCGCTGTTTCCTCGACAGTTCACCTCTTGTACTGTAAATTTTCTTTGTGCTGTCTCATGTGTTTAAATTCTGAGGAAGATGCAAAAATATCTCGTCACGTAAAAAAATTCTAAAATAAGCATTGAAATCAAATGGGCAATAGATTTGGAAGTGTATTCTGTGATGTCCCTGCATTCACGATAAACTGCGTCAAGATGTGCTGATCTAGAAGAAACAAGATCCTTTTTCATCCCCAGGTCTTCATCATACTTTTTGCCATCTTAAAATGGGATTCCCAGTATTCTCGTGACTATAGCAAAGCCGATACAAGTGATTAATTTCATTAAACATTGATGATTGAGCAAGCCCAAGAATTCTAGAAAAAATTGTGTACATAATTTCCGGACATCAGAGAACCGGGCGGAGAACAAACTTCCGGCTTGTTATTCAAAATAAAAAAGGCCCATCGGGGAATCGAACCAACGCCGCAGAAGTGGAAAGCGAGCACCCTAACCACTATACCAGAGTGTTTTTCCATGATGCAGCCAATTTTTTTGCAACTCTATAGTGATATACATGTGTGAAATTTTTAAGTGGCATTCTGGGTTGAAAAACTTTCGAGAGTGTTGTTTTATTGTTTAGATGACGAAAACTTCAATAAAAAACAATATAAACACGGATTATAAACACAAAGGCTCTCTAGCCAAAACACTATGTTCACAGCTAAATAGCCTTAAATTTTAAGGCTCTTTAGCATTTTGGCTAAAGAGCCTTAAATTTTAAGGTACTCCAGACACTTCGTAAAATTTTACTGTAAACAGTGGCCTTAGAAGAAGGCAAGTTGAACTTATTACTAGCACTTCATTCATGGACACCCAAACCACAAACAGTCCAAGATATTCTCATTCATGTATAAATATGAACATGTTTTTCCATTTACAGCAACTTGATCTTTAGATTCATCAATTTTTAAGTTATTGACAAGTTTACAACAACTTTGAACTTGAAAGTGACAAGTTTGAAGTTATACATTAGTTTAGCAAGTACTTACCACCATTTAACTGATAATACGTAATGAACACGATTATTGTTAGAATAGCATGGCAAACTAGATGTCGTTTGAACATCACAGGTCCCCCTATGAACGTCTTAGCGGCATGTTTGTAGAAATGGTTCACTGGAATCATTTTGATTTGTTTGAGGAATTTCCAAGTCTCGTTTCTATCACGTGACTAAAGTGAGGATTCCAATCATTATCAATAATTCTTTCAATGTAACACGCTTTTACTGTTTAAATCCAGGAAAATATTTTATATGTCACAAAGGATGCTTCTCTGTGACTCCTTAAACAGTTTGAGATCAGGAAAGACAAAATACAAGCAAGGATTAATGTAGGTCAGACGTGATCTCTACGAGAACTAACATGGCGATCGTCGAATACAGAAAACCGGGAAATTGAAATATTTTGAAGAATTTCAAGTAACTGTGAGTAAAAAAATATTTTCCTGAATAAACACTGTGTAAACATCGTTAATATACTCTTATTTAGCATATTTTTAAAGCCATTCTTAATGTAATTTAAACACATTCAGAGCTTCATTTTCTTTTCTTTATTTTTCAACACAGGAAATAGAATTCGTATTAGAAAGAAAAAGAAGTCAATAGAGCAAGCCTCGACTCAATAAGCAAAGAAAAGTAAAGTCTGGTTTTACTGGCCGGGTATTACTCAATTCGAGAGCCATGTTAGATTTTGAAACTTATGGCTCTCCCACGGAGCAATTGAAAGCTGAATAATAGTGACCTTTATGAATTAATGTGATCAGCGGCTTACTTTTGTTCTCTATCTGTGTCCTACATCAGTATCATCCATCCTTGCAAGTATTCGAGCGCTGAAGTGCATTGTACTTCTTTTTTTATCAAGACTTGTAATTGTCAGTCAAGTGAATGTTTTTTCAACAAACAGTCTCACAGATGATGTGAGACCATCCCCGATGTCATTGATATATAGCAGGAACATCGAAGTACCTGAAGCACAGTGCCCTGCGAGACTCCAGATGTAACTTTTACTGGTTTACATGTTTCCCCATTTACAACTTCTTTCTGTGTTCTGTTTGTTAGTCATTCTGTAATCCAGGTGGTCTTGGTCTGTCCCTGATACTATAAATATCCAACTTTACAAGCAACTTGTGATGGACTACAGTACCAAAAGCTTTACTAACATAGAGTATTAGGACATCAGAATGACATAAAAAAATCCAGTTATCTTACTAGATCTCCTACAGTGAGGACCTGCTGGGATTCACAGGAGTGCTTATCTCTGAAGCCATGTTGGTAATACTTTAGGATATCGTTCTTGTCAATGTTGTTCATGATTTGATGGAAGATAATGTGTTCCATAATCTTACAGGGTATAGATGTGAGAGATACAGGTATATAGTTGACAGCACTAGTTGGATTACCCTTCTTGAAGATGGCTGTGACGTTGGCCAGAGTTCAGTCTTTTGGAACAACTGACCAAGATGACTTAAAATTTATTTTGAGAAGGGGCACTAACTTCCGCAGTGGCTTCTTTGAGTATCCATGTTAGGATTTCATCAGGTCCTGAAACTTTCTTTCCTCGGCTAATTTTTGAAGTCTAGCTATGCATTATTATTATTTCAGGAAGACTTTTGAAGCAGAAATTTTGAGGACCCGTTCAAAGAATCAACAATGGATTTTACTGTGGATAACATTGAGCATGTAAGTAATCTTTAGGTTTAGCCAATGTGTTATGCAGGGCAGTGCAACAATTGCATTTTGCATTAATGAAATGTGAAATATTTAGGAAAGTGAATTTAACAATATACATGTACTTGGTCGTGTTTTGAATTAATCTAATTTTTTGTTTGTACTACTTATATATTCATATTTCAGGCTTTACAGTCATTCTACTCGGAAGCAACTGTTCAGAAAGAGGCTAATAGGTGGCTCACTGAGGCCCAAGTGTCTAGTCAAGCATGGACTTTCTCCTGGCAGTTATTGTCACCAGAGAAGGTAGGTTTAAACTACATAAAAATATGAATATCCATCAAAGTTTTATGCAAGTTGAAAGGAGGTATTATGCAAGTCAATCTAGTGAATTCTGCGATGGAAAAGGCCAATTCCTCGCGAATTTCTGCAAGGAAACAAATATGAAAAAATATTGTGAAAGTCATTCGTTCAGTAATACAAGTCCTGTTAACATCAAGCAATTAAAACAACAGAAAAGCAAATTGGGATATATTTTGGGCTCTTTGGGTTAAATCCTACATGAAAGAGCTGCTGTTTCAACCATAGGATTACAACAGTGTCAATTATGCAGCAGAAACTGATTTAAATTTAAGATTATCCAAAATCCAAAATAAACTCTGTCTGCATTCTAGAGAAATGAAATCTAGGAGTGTGTTTTGCACTGATCCTGTTATACTGTATATGCAATTTATTTATACATATCTTTCTAAATCAATACTGAGTATCTGTCACATTTTAGCCAGCAGAGGTCCAGTTCTTTGGTGCAAGCAGCCTGCATATTAAAGTTTCTAAATTTTGGTAATTCATTTTTAACTATTAACTTTATACAGTACATATATTTTTTGTAAATATTTAATTGATAGATTGAAAATTTTGCTTTCTCTATTATTTTTCTGTCAATTTCCTTATTCTAATTAATTTTTTATGTAAACATTTTGGTAGTTTTAATACTCTAGTTAGTTATGCATGTAAATCTAAAAAGTTTAGAAATAATTAAATTCAGTATTATTTTGTTAGAACTGAAATACTTTGATCATAATATGAATGAATGAAATATTACATATAATATTGTAGGCATGAACTGCCTACTGGGGAGGTTGCTCCATTGAGAAATCAGCTGTTTGAGAGAATTGTTCAGTTTGCCAAGGGGCCAAGAATGGTGTTAACAAGGCTCTGTGTGACTGTAAGTATTATATTATACTCTTTTTAAGTTTCATTTTGCTTCTTTAAAACATTGTCGACTAACCCTGTTAAGATAATCATTTGATCTAGCCTTGCTCAGTGAAAATTGAGCTGTCCAATCAGAATGGCTGTGACAGTGTTTTATGCCTTCATTTATCTCATATTCTCCGATTTAAGGCCATAAATGAACTTTTGGGGTCAAGATCTATTTAACATCAAACTTACTAAACCACTTAAACAAGCAATCTTTACCAGTTTACGCAAGTGCATATTTTTCTTAATTTCTTTTTAGCTGTCTGCTTTTGCTATGAACACAATACCTGAAGTATGGCCTGAAGCTATTCATGGTATGATCACAACATTTCAGCAGGCACAACTGCCAGGCTTACAGGTAGAGATAGAAGAGAAATAATTGTGTCTTGGTTTACATATCACTACACCTTTTTTATAATCCTTTTATTTCATCTTGCATGATTTACTACTGTATAATTAAGAATTCAAACATGACTGTATTCATGCCTTCTATAAACTGTAAACAAAGTCAACATTTCACTGGGGGTATATTTGCGATCAATACCCCTGGTAATATGTGGAATGTGTGAATGTGTGAATACAGTCATGTTCGAATAAGTGATATATCACCTAAATTCTTGCCATTATATATGTTCACTTGTCAACAATCAAAGTTCATGTTTTGATATAGAGAAACCTTTTGCCTGTCCAACCCTAGAAGATAAAGGATGATTACACATGAAACATTACAGTTATTAAGCCATAGTTATCTTTATCTCATAGTCTGAAGACCTCTGTAGAGTGTTGTTGGAGTTGCTTACTGTATTACCAGAGGAGTTCTCTGTTGCTCATATTCCACATGACAGAAAACCTCTAGTCAGACACGAGCTACAAAAAGGCCTAAGTCAAGGTAGGTGTATTATATAATATAGGTCACCCTAAGTCATACATATCAAAGCAGACTCACTGAAGCCATCATATTTACTTTCAAGGTTTAGTTTTATTTCGTTCAACCTCTAAATGTTAAGCGATATATGGTTCATGAATCTACAAAGTTCGCACAGATGTTGGATATCAAATGATTTTTAGAGACATCTTTTTGTTGAATTAATTTCATATATTTTCTTTTTTCAAACCCATTCAAAAATATATTATTGGATATTGTTAACCCATTTCCAGAAAATATCTGTACTTTTGGGACACCCTGTAACATAACAAATATCACCATGACAATTGGATACTTCCAGTTTTGCAGCTACTTCAGAGTCTATTGTCTCCTAACTCCCCACCTCAGATCCACACACAGGCTCTAAAGTGTTTTGGGAGCTGGGTGGAGTTTGGAGTCCCTTTAGTGGATAGTCAAGTCCTCATACAGCAAGTGTTCCTGGCTGCACAGCATGAGCCTTTGTTTGAGACAGCTATAGATACACTGTGTACCATTTTCAGTCACCATAGCGCATATAAGTAAGTACAGAAAGAAAAATTATTGCCTATTGGAAAGTTATAAAGTGTATTCATGTACATACATGAATAAGAAATGTAATATGTAACTATCTTTTTGAAGTGAACTAAATTGGATTACTTTCTATTTTTATACTGATCTGTTCCAGTTATACTGACTGTTTAAATCATATATTGTTCTATTTTAGGTATCCTAGTTGTATAAAAAGTATGCTGACCAATGTTGTACAGCTGAAGCCTCTGTTAGACAAAAGTATACAGGAATCTGATTTGGTGAGTACATGAATGAGAATGTGAGTACATACTCGTTTATTCGTGAGGGATATCTCCCACACTGAGATAATAATTCTGTATAAAACTGTCATATTTTATATGATGAATTTCTGGGATTATATGGAAGATAGATATCACATTTCAATGAATCCCATTTCACCACATTACTTAAGCATTGGATTCATTTTACGAGTAAACTTGCATGTTTTTTCCCTATTTATATATATACTATTAATAAAGTCGATAAATAAAGTAAAAATGTCAGTTCTAACATATTCTCTCAATTCTATGCTATCGTAAAAGTAACATGTATTTATTAATAATGAAGGTAGCATAATTGAATTTCTTTTTGGGGAACATACCTGTAAAATTGTTAAAATTAAAATGGCTTTTGTTCGGAGAAGGCAATTCTTGATTTTTGTGTATTAATACTGTATTTCCTATTGTTAACAGTGGTTAATAAGCCCAAGGTGGGCTGGGTAAACTTGTAATTAAATTGTAAGACTGATCACTATAAATAAATAAATAAACTAAACTGAACTATAACAAGACTTTTCAATGTTATTCAGGGCAACACACAGATGTTATGTAGATTAGTGTCGACTGTAGGAGAGAATCATCCCAAAGTTCTCATATCTGACCAAACTGATCCCCAGCATTGTAATAATGTTAGACTGCTTATTTCAATGATTCTGGTAATAGTCTCTTTAAATAATATTTGGTGAATACTGTATATGTATGAAAAAGTCATAGTGTAGGCTAACAATGTAAGACTTAAGTTTTAAAATGTTACAGGGGTAGTTTAGGGGAATGAGGTAAAGATCTGAGAATGATTAGTGAAAAATGTTTTCAAGTAAAATTCAAATGAATGCCAAATGAACATTTTGAAACTTCTTTAACAATTCATTTAAACTAAACCACAGTTAACTTTGGTTTGTCACAACTCCCATTATTTGGACACCATCCTTTAAGAGTTTCTACACATTAAAATGCAGTAAAGTGTATTTTCTATTTCATTTACTTTTAGCAATGTACGGGACTTCCTGGTCATTTCCCTGTTGATGAGTCTTGTAGTGACATCACATTTACCTTCTGGTATATCCTACAAGTAAGTTATACTATGTTAGTATGGTTTATCATTAGGATAGTCCAAGATGAAATTTGTATCATCACAATTTATTCATGTACATTGTGTGTTTATCAAGTAAATGTAATTTTTTCCACGTAAATTATAAAACAAGAGAATTTAATGCATGTTAAAAATGATTCCTAAACTGTTTTATTATTATCCCATCAAGCGAAGTTCGGAGGGATATAGGGAACGCCTCCGTCCGTCCGTCTGTCTGTCCGTCCGGGCAATAACTCAAATACCGTTGGCCCGATTTTGTTCATATTTTGTACACATATACCCTATGGAGGTAGAAGTTCTGCTCGAAAGCAGATTTTCAAAATGGCCGCTCATTTAAAAATGGCAGCCATTTCAGTGCCGATTTTACAATAATTTAGGTGCAATATGTAAACTGTATTTGCAATATGTTTTAAATGTAAAAAAATTATGTAGGACATTAATAAAGCTAGAAATGTAGATATTAAAAAAGCACATGGCAGCCATCTTAAAAAATGGCAGCCTTTACTTGTTATTTTACGATTTTTGCTGTAACTCTAAGTAGTGGAGCGATTTTGTTCATATTTGGTATGTGAATACTATGGCATTGGCACACTGTCTAATGACACTTTTGGTAGAAGGCAGCCATTTTGAAAAATGGTGGACATTTTGAAAAATGGCCGCCATTTTAACTTATTTTACTATAACTCGAAAAGTAGTAGAGCGATTTTGTTCATATTTGGTATGTGAATATTATAAGCATGGCACACTGTCTAATGACACTTTTGGTAGAATGTGGCTATTTTTAAAAGTGGCAGCCATCTTGAAAAATGGCGGCCTTTACTTGTTATTTTACGATTTTTGCTGTAACTCTAAGTACTGGAGCGATTTTGTTCATATTTGGTATGTGAATACTATAAGCATGGCACGCTGTCTAATGACACTTTTGGTAGAAGGCGGCCATTTTTCAAAATGGCCACCATTTTAATGCATTTTACTATAACTCGAAAAGTAGTAGAGCAATTTTGTTCATATTTGGTATGTGAATATAATAAGCATGGCACACTGTCTAATGACACTTTTGGTAGAATGTGGCTATTTTTAAAAATGGCCGCCATTTTTGCTATATACTTTGTTTGTAAAAATGCCAGCCATGGCTGTTCGATGGGATTCGCTACGCTTTGGCGTTGCCGTTGTTCTGGTTTGGATTTAACGTGTAAGATATTCCTTTTTGGCCAAAACAACTTTTTGGAAATTTGAATGCTTATTATGTCACCACAAGAAGTGTTGATGTTGTTAAAGTCTCCAACTTTTTTGTGGATGGTGATCGGCATTTGACGTCTGTAATACGGTGTCTGCATTAAATCACGGTGTCTGAATAACAAATGGCAGGTGATGACATTGTTCATGTTAATGCCTTGAATTACTCCTTGTCATGCTTATTTGTTTTGATATAATTGATTTCTTATTCTTAGAAATCCACATAAATATATCAATGTATCAATTTATTTTTAAGTGTTATATGTAATTGTACTCTATTTTCAGGATGACATTTTAAGTTGTGAAAGTGCAAATCGTGTTCAACTGGTGCGGACATTTCAACTGGTGTATATATCTTTAGTGGAGGTTCTCTTAAGAAAGGTTCAATACCCTGATGATAAGGAGTACACATCTTGGAACAAAGGTACACATTTAGGAGATTTTGATATTTTCAAAATGGAATTCATATCGTTCAGGGTGGTCATTATACCAAATTGTCTACAGGTGGTTCATCCATCAGCATCAAGATCCCCTCTTTTACCATCATTTACAGGGTGTTCAAGAAATAAAGATGATAACGTCATAACTTTTTTATTTGTTCATGAATTTCAATGAAATTTCCAGGGATTGTAGTTTTAACATATTTTAACCTACTGTTGGAGTTTCAGCTTCGAGCAATTTGATCTAAAAATAATTGTTTGGCTTTATCTATCTTGTTTATTTAAATGAATATATTACTTGGGATATGATAAATATTGCTGTACCTATATTTACTGTACCTCAAAATTACATTGTCATTAACATAAACCTCGAACAGCATCAATTTATTTACATCTTAAGTGCTAAAAGACATCATTCAGATTGGTAACATGTGGAAGGCGCAATTTACCATTGATCATAGAACAATCAAGTGAGTGTCATCTCTTCAAAATGATCCATAGAAGTTGAGGGCATCTGAATTTTGGGGTATCCCCCTCTTATATTCTACCTTGAAGTGGTGATTGATCAATGCAAGATTGAAAGGATCATGAATTGTTAGAGTGATAATTCTAATAATTAAAGATAGATGGACTTGAAACCTAGGTAACTTCATTAAAATAAAATAATCATTTAATATTTTTAGAGGAAAAAGAACAGCTGCGATGTTATAGACAGGACATTGCTGATACTTTAGTGAGTAGTATATTAGATATGATTAGATGTTGTCATGAGGAATTTTGTAACGGTTTCTATTGGTAAAATGATCATTTCTAATTTTTTAATTTTATCTTGTTTTCATTCATTTTTCTTCACTGTTTATCTCATCAATGATTAGTTTATTCCTTTGAAATGAGAGTTATCATCCATGGATGTTATTTCTTTATAGATGTACACATATGCTCTGCTGCAACCACCAAACTCATTGTTGGGGTTCTTAAAAGACCATATAGTGAATCTCGTAAACAGATCAAAGGCTGAACAGGTCAGATGGCAGGTAAGAGCAGCATGTTGGTTTATGTATAGATGGTGCTACTGTAGAATATTTTGGATAGATGGGACATGAGGAAATGTGATCTTTTTAAGAAAACTTCAAAATAGTGTGTATAATTATGAGATTCATTCACGATATCATTGTTTTATTATAGCAGAATTTGGAGGCTGTTTTATTCACAATATCATTATGTTGTATTATTGCAGGATTTGGAAGCAGTTTTATTTATGATCTCATCTTGCTCAGACTCAGCCGAGATGACTGAGGCCATCTACTTACCAACCATCTTTAGTCAACTTGTTAGCATCCCCTTTACACACATCAGTCTCATCTCAACAGCATTAAACTTGATAGGTAAGGGGAAATCTATCAGCCCTTTCAGGATTTCATTCTGTGTTTTCATTTACTATTTACACAATATTCTAACTTTGAACTATGATTTTGAATTTTAATATTGATGTGTAAATATTTACATTTAATTTTGAAAAATATTACCCATTTCATTAATGGAGATCATTTACATTTTATCTTCTAATCCATTTGTAGGTTCTTATGCAGAATGGATCAATTTCAATCCAGAAGTTCTTTCAAGTGCAATTCCATTAGTATTACAAGGAATAGGTAAATATAACAATGTGTATGTTGAGAATACTCTGTGGACAAATGCAGACTTCATCAGTTGATCAGTTTTTAAGCCACCCCCAAGATGTGGTACGATATTTGCGTAGATTGCTCATTTGGGGGCCAGATTGTTTCAGTTTGTCCAGGTGCATTTTTGTTCTCAGTTTTTACAATATTATTGGATAGTACTGTTATTGACAAAGTTAAGAAAACTTACGCTCCATAAGATATTTTTTCCTAGGATAAATCAATACTTTGTTGTTGCAATAATTATTTAAACATTAATATTTTCCCTGTTTCATTGTTTTCGTTATTTCCAGGAAACCAAGAATCTTCCAGTTGTGCTACTATGGCATTAAAAGATCTAACTCGAGAAAACCAGTCACATTTATTGCCATTCGCCAAAGATATCTTACATACCTGTGAAACAGTTCTTGCATCAAATACATTAAAGGTGAGGCTTTTATCATATAGGGGTTTCATTAGCAGCAGGCAACAGGCAATTTTCACCAGTTGTTTTCACAAAAAATGCGCCTGTTGTTTTAAGGGACTTTTCAATTTGTGGATTCACCCTGTAATGTAAATTATGATTAGCTGGTCCTCCACTTACTTGATACTGAGTCCTGTTGGATTCTAATGTATTTCTAACGAAGGTGGTGTAAAATGCCTTCTTTTACTGTTTTGTTAAAATGCTTCATAACATAGCAATTTAACCTTACTGTGTAACAAGTAAAACTTATGTTTTCTTTTATAGCCCAGGGATGCTGTGCGTCTCATGGTGTCCGTTGGTTACACTGTCTCCATCCTCCCTGTCTCAGACATGATGTCCTACCTCAACACCTTACTGGCACCACATATACAGTCATTGAAGTTACTCATTGAGCAACAGGTATGGTTCAGGCCATGTTGAATTAGTGTATTTGTATATTGTTTTTACCTGTACATTCATTTTGGATTAGTTTTTAACCTTATTCTTGTTAGGTAAGGTATTTTTCAAAATGGGGAAAGGAAGTGACATTTTTTCATTCCACCCAATTCAACCACTTTCTCATGGATGTTTTAGTTTGCAATTCCTGCCATATCAAACTGATGTATACATGTACGTCATCCATTAATTTTACACCCAGAGAAATATTGCTTATGGTATATTGTTCAGGAATTCCCAAGACACACAGACAAGTAACCTCATACAAAGAAAGCTTCTATTGTACATATACATGAATTTTTTAATATCATGACTGCACTAGAAAGGAATTAGAAGCCATAGATGGTGTTTGTAAAATATACTGAAAATTGAAAATTGTATTGAAAATATTTTTTGACAATTTTTCCAAATCTTACTTTGAACTCCACTCTATCTTTTGTTGTTCCTCCTATATATTTTGTTTCACCATTTAATCTTTTGTCTTTGTTATACACTTGTAGCCAAGCGTTGCAGGAAAGAATGCAATTCTAATGAAGTTAGGCCTGTTGTCATGGTTATTCACATCTCTCAATACAGACAGGGAAACTGATGGATCGCCCCCACCTGAATGGAGCAACCAACAGCAACAACCTGTATGTACAACCATTTTAAGACCTTTACTTCAAAAGTGGCATTTAGCCTACTTGAGACATAAATCTTGCAAATTGACTATGAGTTTTATGGAGGTATAAAATGGTCCATTGACCATCTGATCACCAATTTGTTAAAATAATTCCATCTTGGAAACAACCTTTTTTTATTATATGAAAGTCTGAATAATGGTCAATAAACAAATGATCACCGTGATTTTATGTCCATAACACCTTAATTGACTATAATGTTTTAAGAAAACCATATCCATGAGCCGTAGTAGGTATTAATAAACTCTTGATCTATATGGTCTTGTTTGCATCGTTCATCCAAACATGCTTCTTTAATACACAGACTTCTTGCTGCAAGTGATAAACTTCCCCAAGTTTTAATGAACAGTGTAATTGGGTCTTTGAAGTTTTTCCTACAACCACAGCATACATCTGGAATGAGTCCTCTAGTATAACCACTCTCACACATTAATCCTGAAACAATGAATAACTATTAGTATAACAATATACAATTTGGTATGTCACATTATTAGCTCACGTGGTGAGCTTTTGCAATCACTCACTTGTCCATCTGTCTGTCCGTCCATCCGTCTGTCTGTCCGTCTGTCCGTCAACAATAGTGGCACGTTTTAAAACCTCTGTCGATAGGATTCCTGTTTTAAGTTATTTCTGTTCAACATCAATACAGAAAACCCCCCTATGACTCCTGGTTCAAAAGCTCGCCTATTTTCAAAATGGCCGTCACTTTTGTCTCGCGAAATTCACTTTTAGCCAATTTCCTAGCTAACCTCTGTCGATAGGATTCCTGTTTTAAGTTATTTCTGTTCAACATCAATACAGAAAACCCCCCTATGACTCCTGGTTCAAAAGCTCGCCTATTTTCAAAATGGCCGTCACTTTTGTCTCGCGAAATTCACTTTTGGCCCATTTCCTAGCTTTACAAATAATTTCAGGTGTCCTACATTGTAAAAATCCATGTCAATGTAAAGATTAGATATATGAAATAATTTTGTTACAAAAAATCAGCGGAAAATTGTATCCATTTTTTTATTTTCAGCCATTTTAGTTAACATTGATTTGTCTATCTGACTCGCGAAATCCACTTTCTGTCAATAACAGTGGCAGAAGTTATTTCTGTTCAACATGAATTCAGAAAACTCCCCTATGACTCCTGGTTCAAAAGCTCGTCTATTTTCAAAATGGCCGCCATTTTTGTCTCGCTAAATTCACTTTTGACGTATTTCCTAGCTTTACAAATAATTTCAAGTGTCCTACATTGTAGAAATCCATTGCAAAGTAAAGAGTAGATGTATGAAATAATTTTGTTACGAAAAATCAGCGAAAAATTATATCCATTTATTTATTTTCTGCCATTTTAGTTAACATTGATTTGTCCATCTGTCTCGCAAAATTCACTTTTGGACCATTTACCTTAGACCCTCTGTCGATAGGATTCCCATTTTAAGTTATTTTTGTTCAACATCAATACAAAAAACTCTCTTATGACTCTTGGTTCAAAAGCTCGGCTATTTTCAAAATGGCCGTCACCTTTGTCTCGCGAAATTCACTTCTGACCCATTTCCTAGCTTTACAAATAATTTCAGGTGTCCTACATTGTAAAATCCATGTCAATGTAAAGGGTAGTTGTATGAAATAATTTTGTTACAAAAAATCAGCGAAAAATTGTATCCATTTTTTTATTTTCAGCCATTTTAGTTAACATTGATTTATCTATCTGACTCGCGAAATCCACTTTCTGTGGCACGTTTTAAAACCTCTGTCGATAGGATTCCTGTTTTAAGTTATTTCTGTTCATCATCAATTCAGAAAACTCCCCTATGACTCCTGGTTCAAAAGCTCGCCTATTTTCAAAATGGCCGCCATTTTTGTCTCGCGAAATTCACTTTTGACCCATTTCCTAGCTTTACAAATAATTTAAAGTGTCCTACATTGTAAAAATCCATGTCAATGTAAAGAGTAGATGTATGAAATAATTTTGTTACAAAAAATCAGCGAAAAATTATATCCATTTATTTATTTTCAGCCATTTTAGATAACATTGATTTGTCCATCTGTCTCGCAAAATCCACTTTTGGACCATTTACCTTAAACCCTCTGTCGATAGGATTCCCGGTTTAAGTTAATTTTGTTCAACATCAATACAAAAAACTCTCCTATGACTCTTGGTTCAAAAGCTTGCCTATTTTCAAAATGGTTGCCATTCTTGTTTCGCGAAATTCACTTTTTGCCTATTTCCTAGCTTTACAAATAATTTCAGCTATCCTTCATTGTAAAAAGCCATGTCACTGTAAAAGGTAGTTGTATGAAATAATTTTGTTACAAAAAATCGGCAAAATATTATATCCGTTTTTTTTTTTTTTTTCAGCCATTTTAGTTAACATTGATTTGTCCATCTGTCTTGCGAAATCCTCTTTTGGACAATTTGCTTAAAACCTCTCTCGATAGGAGTCCAGTTTCAAGTTATTTTTGTTCAACATCAATACAAAAAACTCCCCTATGACTCCTGGTTCAAAAGCTTGCCTGATTTCAAAATGGTCGCCATTTTTGTCTCGCGAAATTCAATTTTGGCCCATTTGCTAGCTTTACAAATAATTTCAGGTGTCTTGCATTGCAAAAAGCCATGTCACTGTAAAGAGTAGTTGTATGAAATAATTTTGTTACAAATTATTGGCAAAAAATTATATCCGTTTTTTTTTCAGCCATTTTAATTGACTGAGAGACAGATGGCTTGAAATAATTTTGTAACAAAAAATCAGCAAAAAATTATACCATGTGAGCCCAGTACCCACGGTACTAATTTTATCTATATGTATGAAATTATGAATGGAACAATAAAACTACAAACCTCAGGCTGCCAGTATGCTATATGCAAATGTTGCAAAAATAAAATATCTTGTCGGGAGTTCATATCTAGGTCAATGTCAAAATCTAAGCCAAATCTATTTTGGTAAGTTTGTCCTTAAAGTTCATTATTGCGATGAATTTATTTTTAAGCATTCTCTACAAATTGCTCACTATATGTCAGCATTAAATCTTTACTGCTTTTGAGATATTTGACGTCAAAAAATGGTTAAAATAGGTCATTTTTGAAAAAGCATCTACAAAGTCACAAGAGTTAAAATCTGACCTTAGATTTGAGCTTCAAAAGGTCAAAAAGTTGATTTTTCAAATTGATTATTTAGATTCAAAAGTCAGCTTATTCATAGAAGGCCTATTGAAGTTTGAAAATGTTAAGGTCATCAAGTTTGTTATCTAAGCTTCTCAAAGTTTTAAACTACAAATCAATATTTTTGGTTGAAATTTTATATACAGACAGCTATTAGTATTCTATTAGTGATAGCCTTTTACCATTTACACATTTTTCCAAGATTTTGAGATATTGAAGGTTAAAAATGGTTAAAAAATATTTATTCTGATTCTAACAGTTTGCTGTCAGGGAGCCTAATAAGTACAATTAAATAATAATTTAATTAGCCTAATTAAAGGGATATGTTTCATAACTTATTTAGAAACATCCCTTAATTAGCTTAATTAGGCTAATCATCTATTGATTCTTATTAAATTAAGGTGGGGCATACGTCCTAAAGATATTTTATTGTTTGGCTTACCTTAATATGTTCAATTATTATCTATTTTACCCTAAATTTCTTGGTTCAAGGGTGGGTTGTGGGTTGTTTTCAGTAGTCATACTTCTTTGAAGTTCAGTGGAATAATGAAAGTCCCAGTTACCTTGTGACCTTGACATCAGTCATGTGATCTTTGTCCAGGGGATGGATCATTCTTACTTCATTTTTTCTATACTTTCATATGTACTACTCCCCTCAACAAACTGTTTATAATTTCATAAATCCAATTATTGCATAATTATTATATATTTTTAAAGATCATTTACAAAGTCTCAGGAGTTGGTTGACCTTCAGTAACCTTTGAAAAATTGATTTTTCAAATTGATCAGTTTTTTTTAACATTATCTGCAATTTGCCAGGAGTTTTAATATGACCTTATATTTAAGATTTAACCTTTGACTGATCTTCATCTTGTCAAATGCACCTATGGGGACCTCTGTAATATTGCTTGCAATCTTAATTTCTTGCAAATTTTTATTTGTGAAAATACCTCCGCTTGTTGATGCACATGATTCCAGCTCTGGCTCTAGTGTATCTTCTTCACACTTGTATCCTGTTTTGAAAAACCTGTGTGTCCTTTGGTATCGCCTGCTTCTCTGTTTGATCATTTCTCTTCTCTCCTTATCCAATTGTTCCATTGAACAATCACTCAACGACTTTGCAAATGGACTACATTTTAGGTAGACTACCCAGACTGGTAGAAGGAGATAGGGAAATGAGATCTCGGGTCCTGGATGTGCAGCATAGTGTATGGGAGCTCTTTTGACTTTAAATTGATCGCACGCTATCATCTGGGCCACCTGTTTCATGCTTTTTCCATTTAAATCAGTTATAAACCAGTCGTGTAGTGGAGGATTCGATATCACTTCTGTCCTTTCATAATGCATATGCATTTTTCCTGTCTTTTGAAAGCCATAGAAAACAATCTTCTGAGTCCAATTGCTCACTGGAACACATTCATATGTGACAATACGAGCTAAGTGATGTTCATTCTGGCATGTTTTATACAGGTATCTTTGTTGATGAAGCTCAAAACTGTAACATATTCTGCCCTCTTTGCATTTCTCTGTGACATATGCTACATATTTATCAACTCCGTCATATGCATATTGTCCAGTGTATTTCTTGATGCATGTGTTAGTTGGTATGCTATCACAAAAGTTTTCATCACCAAAGACTTCATAAGGTGTAGCATGGGTAATATTTAATGATCGAATGTCATAGAAATGAGGGCATTTAAATGTTTCTTTCATCCCAGGTCTGTAATACTGATTTGGGCCAGATACAGTCACACATTGTCGCAACTCCTTCTTCATTATCCTCTTTGGTATTTCCTGCTGACAGTCCATTATGACAGTTGTTTTATAGTTTTCAATATTAAACTCTGTTTGTCTTCTTATTTTAAAAGAGCAAAGGTTTTTTCTCTGATGTTTTGTACATATTGAAGCAGGGAGATACTGCTCTGGTTGGCTTGGTACGTGAATAACTGCAAATGTCACATTTTCAATACTCTCTGTTTCAGTCATTTTCGGACGAAGCGTTTTACAGACAATATGTCCATTTATATATTCGTATATTTTTCCTTTAATGTTAAAAATGTACCAATAAGGTCGCTCAATTGTGCCCCAGCTCTGATTTCTGTGGACCAATAGCAGCTGAGTAGCATTGTCAATCTTCCAATCAAAGTCTGGGGTCTTCATTGGTGCACACGATATACTTAAATCATACTTATGCAAGCATATGGTACTACTATAATAAAAATGTTTGAAGCAGTCCTCAGCATAAAATATAGTCCTGTTAATGAAATCTTGATGTAATATGTATATTGGTCCACTGCCAGGACCATATTGAAAGCCTCCATCTCTTGCCAGGTAGTCAGGAAACCCTAATTTTCTGCAGATGTATCGGAACGTTTGTATTTTCTTTTCATTTAATGCTTCACGGGTGTTCTTTTCAAACATTAATTTTCCTGACAATGTCCCCCATGTTCCATTCATATTCACCTCGACTCTGCCTTTAAAGAAGAAAATGAAGTATAGAATAAATTACAGTGGAACACCTCTAGAAGTGGAACACCTCTCTAAGTGGAACACTTTTCAGAGTCCTAAGACCCACTGACTTAATGTTTAATGAACCTCTATAAGTGGAACACCTCCCAATTGGAACACTTTTAGAGGTACCAAAGGTGTTCCACTTAGACAGGTTTTACTGAAATTATTAAAGTAATTTAGGTTACTAAATAATAAAGCATATATTTTCTTGTATTTCTGGGAATACCTGTTTCATATGATATATGTATGTGAAAGACTTGTGAGGTCTTCCTCAAAAATAAAACAAAATTACATGTTATTATTGGCCTCATACCTTCTCTGTTAGACGCACCATCAACTAATCTTATTTCATCTGGTTCTTTCATATGAGTTAACAGAAATCCTTGAGTCCTGCCAGCCAGTATGGTCAGAAATTCCAGCAAGATGATAAAGCACAATCTTTCCATCCTATTGATTCAAAGCATCTACAGTTTGAACTTAATTGCCATTACATTGAGCACTTGGTTACTGTCACGATTTCATATTTCATGAAGTGATATTTATTTGATGCTGTGGTATTTATATAAATTACAGCTTGTGGTTTTACAGCTCACGAAGTGACATTTGTAAATTAGTAGTGTTGGAATATCATGACTCAATAAAGTATGCTTGGAATAATTTATTTCATTTTATGCAAAATGAATTTATTTTGAAAAACTGGAAAATGAATTTAATTTCAAATAACAAAGCGATGTGCATTTTTCTTAAAACATATTTCTTACATAACCAAAATGTAAAAATTTGTTTTTTTAGATTCTAGTTATCTTACAAGATCTGTTCCCTGTTCTCCAATCGCTCATGGTGAAGTGGAGTGTCGATGTAGGAGCCATTTTAGTTAACATTGATTTGTCCATCTGTCTCGCGAAATCCTCTTTTGGACAATTTGCTTAAAACCTCTGTCGATAGGAGTCCAGTTTCAAGTTATTTTTGTTCAACATCAATACAAAAAACTCCCCTATGACTCCTGGTTCAAAAGCTTGCCTGATTTCAAAATGGTCGCCATTTTTGTCTCGCGAAATTCAATTTTGGCCCATTTGCTAGCTTTACAAATAATTTCAGGTGTCATGCATTGCAAAAAGCCATGTCACTGTAAAGAGTAGTTGTATGAAATAATTTTGTTACAAATTATTGGCAAAAAATTATATCCGTTTTTTTTTCAGCCATTTTAATTGACTGAGAGACAGATGGCTTGAAATAATTTTGTAACAAAAAATCAGCAAAAAATTATACCATGTGAGCCCAGTACCCACGGTACTAATTTTATCTATATGTATGAAATTATGAATGGAACAATAAAACTACAAACCTCAGGCTGCCAGTATGCTATATGCAAATGTTGCAAAAATAAAATATCTTGTCGGGAGTTCATATCTAGGTCAATGTCAAAATCTAAGCCAAATCTATTTTGGTAAGTTTGTCCTTAAAGTTCATTATTGCGATGAATTTATTTTTAAGCATTCTCTACAAATTGCTCACTATATGTCAGCATTAAATCTTTACTGCTTTTGAGATATTTGACGTCAAAAAATGGTAAAAATAGGTCATTTTTGAAAAAGCATCTACAAAGTCACAAGAGTTAAAATCTGACCTTAGATTTGAGCTTCAAAAGGTCAAAAAGTTGATTTTTCAAATTGATTATTTAGATTCAAAAGTCAGCTTATTCATAGAAGGCCTATTGAAGTTTGAAAATGTTAAGGTCATCAAGTTTGTTATCTAAGCTTCTCAAAGTTTTAAACTACAAATCAATATTTTTGGTTGAAATTTTATATACAGACAGCTATTAGTATTCTATTAGTGATAGCCTTTTACCATTTACACATTTTTCCAAGATTTTGAGATATTGAAGGTTAAAAATGGTTAAAAAATATTTATTCTGATTCTAACAGTTTGCTGTCAGGGAGCCTAATAAGTACAATTAAATAATAATTTAATTGGCCTAATTAAAGGGATATGTTTCATAACTTATTTAGAAACATCCCTTAATTAGCTTAATTAGGCTAATCATCTATTGATTCTTATTAAATTAAGGTGGGGCATACGTCCTAAAGATATTTTATTGTTTGGCTTACCTTAATATGTTCAATTATTATCTATTTTACCCTAAATTTCTTGGTTCAAGGGTGGGTTGTGGGTTGTTTTCAGTAGTCATACTTCTTTGAAGTTCAGTGGAATAATGAAAGTCCCAGTTACCTTGTGACCTTGACATCAGTCATGTGATCTTTGTCCAGGGGATGGATCATTCTTACTTCATTTTTTCTATACTTTCATATGTACTACTCCCCTCAACAAACTGTTTATAATTTCATAAATCCAATTATTGCAGAATTATTATATATTTTTAAAGATCATTTACAAAGTCTCAGGAGTTGGTTGACCTTCAGTAACCTTTGAAAAATTGATTTTTCAAATTGATCAGTTTTTTTTAACATTATCTGCAATTTGCCAGGAGTTTTAATATGACCTTATATTTAAGATTTAACCTTTGACTGATCATCATCTTGTCAAATGCACCTATGGGGACCTCTGTAATATTGCTTGCAATCTTAATTTCTTGCAAATTTTTATTTGTGAAAATACCTCCGCTTGTTGATGCACATGATTCCAGCTCTGGCTCTAGTGTATCTTCTTCACACTTGTATCCTGTTTTGAAAAACCTGTGTGTCCTTTGGTATCGCCTGCTTCTCTGTTTGATCATTTCTCTTCTCTCCTTATCCAATTGTTCCATCGAACAATCACTCAACGACTTTGCAAATGGACTACATTTTAGGTAGACTCCCCAGACTGGTAGAAGGAGATAGGGAAATGAGATCTCGGGTCCTGGATGTGCAGCATAGTGTATGGGAGCTCTTTTGACTTTAAATTGATCGCACGCTATCATCTGGGCCACCTGTTTCATGCTTTTTCCATTTAAATCAGTTATAAACCAGTCGTGTAGTGGAGGATTCGATATCACTTCTGTCCTTTCATAATGCATATGTATTTTTCCTGTCTTTTGAAAGCCATAGAAAACAATCTTCTGAGTCCAATTGCTCACTGGAACACATTCATATGTGACAATACGAGCTAAGTGATCTTCATTCTCGCATGTTTTATACAGGTATCTTTGTTGATGAAGCTCAAAACTGTAACATATTCTGCCCTCTTTGCATTTCTCTGTGACATATGCTACATATTTATCAACTCCGTCATATGCATATTGTCCAGTGTATTTCTTGATGCATGTGTTAGTTGGTATGCTATCACAAAAGTTTTCATCACCAAAGACTTCATAAGGTGTAGCATGGGTAATATTTAATGATCGAATGTCATAGAAATGAGGGCATTTAAATGTTTCTTTCATCCCAGGTCTGTAATACTGTTTTGGGCCAGATACAGTCACACATTGTCGCAACTCTTTCTTCATTATCCTCTTTGGTATTTCCTGCTGACAGTCCATTATGACAGTTGTTTTATAGTTTTCAATATTAAACTCTGTTTGTCTTCTTATTTTGAAAGAGCAAAGGTTTTTTCTTGGATGTTTTGTACATATGGAAGCAGGGAGATACTGCTCTGGTTGGCTTGGTACGTGAATAACTGCAAATGTCACATTTTCAATACTCTCTGTTTCAGTCATTTTCGGACGAAGCGTTTTACAGACAATATGTCTGTTTATATATTCGTATATTTTTCCTTTAATGTTAAAAATGTACCAATAAGGTCGCTCAATTGTGCCCCAGCTCTGATTTCTGTGGACCAATAGCAGCTGAGTAGCATTGTCAATCTTCCAATCAAAGTCTGGGGTCTTCATTGGTGCACACGATATACTTAAATCATACTTATGCAAGCATATGGTACTACTATAATAAAAACGTTTGAAGCAGTCCTCAGCATAAAATTTAGTCCTGTTAATGAAATCTTGACGTAATATGTATATTGGTCCACTGCCAGGACCATATTTAAAGCCTCCATCTCTTGCCAGGTAGTCAGGAAACCCTAATCTTCTGCAGATGTATCGGAACGTTTGTATTTTCTTTTCATTTAATGCTTCACGGGTGTTCTTTTTTGGAAAATATAATGGCTCAAATATTAATTTTCCTGACAATGTCCCCCATGTTCCATTCATATTCACCTCGACTCTGCCTTTAAAGAAGAAAATGAAGTAAAGAATAAATTACAGTGGGACACCTCTAGAAGTGGAACACCTCTCTAAGTGGAACACTTTTCAGAGTCCTAAGACCCACTGACTTAATGTTTAATGAACCTCTATAAGTGGAACACCTCCCAATTGGAACACTTTTAGAGGTACCAAAGGTGTTCCACTTAGACAGGTTTTACTGAAATTATTAAAGTAATTTAGGTTACTAAATAATAAAGCATACATTTTCTTGTATTTCTGGGAATACCTGTGTCATATGATATATGTATGTGAAAGACTTGTGAGGTCTTCCTCAAAAATAAAACAAAATTATATGTTATTATTGGCCTCATACCTTCTCTGTTAGACGCACCATCAACTAATCTTATTTCATCTGGTTCTTTCATATGAGTTAACAGAAATCCTTGAGTCCTGCCAGCCAGTATGGTCAGAAATTCCAGCAAGATAATAAAGCACAATCTTTCCATCCTATTGATTCAAAGCATCTACAGTTTGAACTTAATTGCCATTACATTGAGCACTTGGTTACTGTCACTATTTCATATTTCATGAAGTGATATTTATTTGATGCTGTGGTATTTATATAAATTACAGCTTGTGGTTTTACAGCTCACGAAGTGACATTTGTAAATAAGTAGTGTTGGAATATCATGACTCAATAAAGCAAGCTTGGAATAATTTATTTCATTTTATGCAAAAAGAATTGATTTCGAAAAACTGGAAAATGAATTTAATTTCAAATAACAAAGCAATGTGCATTTTTCTTAAAATATATTTCTTACATAACCAAAATGTAAAAAATTCTTTTTTTTAGATTCTAGTTATTTTACAAGATCTGTTCCCCGTTCTCCAATCACTCATGGTGAAGTGGAGTCTCGATGTAGGAGTTGTCGAGGTATTACATATTCAATTTTAATTTTATACCAAAGCGAATATTTTCTTCATTTTCTTTTTTGTAGTATGAATACGTTTTTGTACACTTTTTTATTTGAGATACATAAGCAATTTACTTTTATGTTTCAGTGTGTTTGTGAAATCTTAAAACGTGCAATAAGGACTTTGATGGATGCATTTGCACCATTGTCACTACAAACCTGCCAGTTGATTGCTCATATATACCAGTCCACCCCTCATATAGCCCTCTTGGATCTAGCCAAACAGGTAAGATATTTGCCTCATATTGCTCTTTTAGACCCCAACAAAGATGTAAGACACATACTGGGTATATACCAGCCCACCCCTCATATAGCCCTCTTGGATCTTGCCAAACAGGTAAGACATTTCCCTCATATTGCTCGCTTAGACCCCACCAAAGATGTAAGACACATACTGGGTATATACCAGTCCACCCCTCATATAGCCCTCTTGGATCTTGCCAAACAGGTAAGACATTTCCTTCATATTGCTCTCTAATAGACCTCAACAAAGATGTAAGACACATACTGGGTATATACCAGTCCACCCCTCATATCTTAGACCTCCCCAAGCAGGTAAGATATTTGCCTCATATTCCTCGCTTAGACCCCAACAAAGATGTAAGACACATACTGGGTATATACCAGCCCACCCCTCATATAGCCCTCTTGGATCTTGCCAAACAGGTAAGACATTTCCCTCATATTGCTCTCTAATAGACCTCAACAAAGATGTAAGACACATACTGGGTATATACCAGTCCACCCCTCATATCTTAGACCTCCCCAAGCAGGTAAGATATTTGCCTCATATTCCTCGCTTAGACCCCAACAAAGATGTAAGACACATACTGGGTATATACCAGTCCACCCCTCATATAGCCCTCTTGGATCTTGCCAAACAGGTAAGACATTTCCCTCATATTGCTCTCTAATAGACCTCAACAAAGATGTAAGACACATACTGGGTATATACCAGTCCACCCCTCATATCTTAGACCTCCCCAAGCAGGTAAGATATTTGCCTCATATTCCTCGCTTAGACCCCAACAAAGATGTAAGACACATACTGGGTATATACCAGTCCACCCCTCATATAGCCCTCTTAGACCTCGCTAAACAGGTAAAGATATTTGCCTCATATTCCTCGCTAAGACCCCACCAAAGATGTAAGACACATACTGGGTATATACCAGTCCACCCCTCATATAGCCCTCTTGGATCTTGCCAAACAGGTAAGACATTTCCCTCATATTGCTCGCTTAGACCCCAACAAAGATGTAAGACACATACTGGGTATATACCAGTCCACCCCTCATATCTTAGACCTCCCCAAGCAGGTAAGATATTTGCCTCATATTGCTCGCTAAGACCCCAACAAAGATGTAAGACACATACTGGGTATATACCAGCCCACCCCTCATATAGCCCTCTTGGATCTTGCCAAACAGGTAAGACATTTCCCTCATATTGCTCTCTAATAGACCTCAACAAAGATGTAAGACACATACTGGGTATATACCAGTCCACCCCTCATATCTTAGACCTCCCCAAGCAGGTAAGATATTTGCCTCATATTGCTCGCTTAGACCCCAACAAAGATGTAAGACACATACTGGGTATATACCAGTCCACCCCTCATATAGCCCTCTTGGATCTTGCCAAACAGGTAAGATATTTGCCTCATATTCCTCGCTAAGACCCCACCAAAGATGTAAGACACATACTGGGTATATACCAGTCCACCCCTCATATCTTAGACCTCCCCAAGCAGGTAAGATATTTGCCTCATATTGCTCTTTTAGACCCCAACAAAGATGTAAGACACATACTGGGTATATACCAGCCCACCCCTCATATAGCCCTCTTGGATCTTGCCAAACAGGTAAGACATTTCCCTCATATTGCTCGCTTAGACCCCACCAAAGATGTAAGACACATACTGGGTATATACCAGTCCACCCCTCATATAGCCCTCTTGGATCTTGCCAAACAGGTAAGACATTTCCTTCATATTGCTCTCTAATAGACCTCAACAAAGATGTAAGACACATACTGGGTATATACCAGTCCACCCCTCATATCTTAGACCTCCCCAAGCAGGTAAGATATTTGCCTCATATTCCTCGCTTAGACCCCAACAAAGATGTAAGACACATACTGGGTATATACCAGCCCACCCCTCATATAGCCCTCTTGGATCTTGCCAAACAGGTAAGACATTTCCCTCATATTGCTCTCTAATAGACCTCAACAAAGATGTAAGACACATACTGGGTATATACCAGTCCACCCCTCATATCTTAGACCTCCCCAAGCAGGTAAGATATTTGCCTCATATTCCTCGCTTAGACCCCAACAAAGATGTAAGACACATACTGGGTATATACCAGCCCACCCCTCATATAGCCCTCTTGGATCTTGCCAAACAGGTAAGACATTTCCCTCATATTGCTCTCTAATAGACCTCAACATACTGGGTATATACCAGTCCACCCCTCATATAGCCCTCTTGGATCTTGCCAAACAGGTAAGACATTTCCCTCATATTGCTCGCTTAGACCTCAACAAAGATGTAAGACACATACTGGGTATATACCAGTCCACCCCTCATATCTTAGACCTCCCCAAGCAGGTAAGATATTTGCCTCATATTGCTCGCTTAGACCCCAACAAAGATGTAAGACACTTACTGGGTATATACCAGTCCACCCCTCATATAGCCCTCTTGGATCTTGCCAAACAGGTAAGACATTTCCCTCATATTGCTCGCTTAGACCTCAACAAAGATGTAAGACACATACTGGGTATATACCAGTCCACCCCTCATATCTTAGACCTCCCCAAGCAGGTAAGATATTTGCCTCATATTCCTCGCTTAGACCCCAACAAAGATGTAAGACACATACTGGGTATATACCAGTCCACCCCTCATATAGCCCTCTTGGATCTTGCCAAACAGGTAAGACATTTACCATTGCTCTTTTAGACCTCGACAAAGATGTAAGACACATACTGGGTTATGTACCAGGAGGTTTTGGATATAGGGGAGATATAAATATTTCCCGAGGGATATACCCTATTTATTCCATAATACTACTGTTTTCCCAGGGAAATATGAAGGAATAAAAATCGTATTGAATCGTATTACATGGAAAAATCGTATTGTCCCCGGGAAAAAAATCGTATTGGAGCGTATTACATGAAAAAATCGTATTGTCCCCGGGCAAAAAATCGTATTGGAACGTATTAACCTATTTTTGGTTTTCCTGTTATTTAAAACCTTAGCTAATTGATAAAAGCATTTTCAAAATGTAACATTTTAGAGGAATGTATTATGAAATAAATAGATTATTTCTGGTCGGGATTGAATATGGGTTTTATTCCGAGGGACAATATGATATTGACCGAAGGGTAATATGATATTGACCGAGCGAGTGCAGCGACCGAGACTGGACATATTCAATCCCTCCCAGTAAATAACCTATATATCTAAAACAGATCATACATAACTGGTGTATCTCACACTTGAGTGGGTTTGGACTTTGGGGTTCCACCTTTTTCAAAATTGACAAGATAGGCCTATACTGTAAAAGCACAATTTTATTTAACATTTTCGTAATATTCCTTTAGTTCAATACTATGAAATTGTAACATTTAAACTTTTTAACAAATGTTAAATGCTAAAACTATAAAACATTTTAAAACTTTTGAAAAATTCCCAGGAGCGGGATGGATATATTATATCTGCTCGCATTTGACCTGGAGCGGGACATATACAATATATCTGCCGCTCCTTAGATATGATATATATTCCCGGATGATATCTACCCCAAACTCACTCAAGTATGAGATACGCTAGTTTATGCCTCATATAGTCCTCAGACCTCACCAAACAAGAAATATTGAGATTATTTTTGCAAGCCTCTTTCTTGTCATTAAGTTAGATAACATACACTGATGTATTACATTGTGTTCACTTTCAGCTTATCATTCTGTTTGATAACATACACTAATGTATTACATTGTGTTTACTTTCAGCTTATCATTCTGTTTGGAAGTAGTGAATTCTTCAGAATGACAGGTGTCAGTTTATTTAACTCACTCTGTACAAAGACTCTAGCTACTTTACAACTGGGTAAGAAAATTGATTTAATAAAATGCATTTTTAAAAATTGGAATAAATGAATAACAATAATTATGAGGAAGAGCATTTGTTTAGTATTTACCCTCTAAATCTCATATCTTAATTCAGCAATTTTAGCAATAACTAATTTATATACCCCTTCTATACTTTTCATATAATTTGGTTATTGGTTAAAAAAAAGTTTAAAGCTCAGAACTATTTCTGGTTTTGTACCTGTACATAAGCTAGTCTGTAAATTACCATACATGTACATTGTAAGAGGCTTACTCCAAAGCAAAAGGCATGCATTCTTTCAGGTCTTCATGATAGAACAGATCTGGTTGAGGGCTTCATGAACATGTTACACCAGGTGAGCAAAGATGAACACTCTACCACTTACATTATAGTTTCCACAGAATCTCAAATACATTTTCACTTTTGATCTACAGAACTGTTAATAAGTGATATTTAGAGGTTACAAATTGTATGTAAATATTACTTTGAAAATTTCAGGAGTTCTTGTTTATTGTTTCTTTCACAGAAGAAAGGGATTATTAAAAGAATACGTAAAGCACTGGTGTAGACTGTTTTTAAGATAGCAAAAGTTATGTGTTATATTTTAATTATTAAACAACTGGAAGTACCAAATAATCACTCATGACCTGCCATCTATCTTTTTTAACATGGGAGTCAATGGGAGGAAAAATCAGACTGAAAAAAGTGTTTTGATTGGAAGGTGTTTGGATTTGCCAGATGTTTGGTCGTACAGGTTTCACTGTATATATTGTCATATCTGTTAATTTCTAATTTCATCGTTGTTATTTTTCAGATGATAAAGAAATGCAGTTATTTATTTTTGAATACTGAATGTAATTTAGATTCCCTGTTGCAAGCTGGTAAGTTTGTTTACATATTTTACATTTGTCTTCTCAAAAGAGGCACATTCATTTTTCATTTGATTGATTATTGTTGTGAATAAAAAACATTTGTTTAGTTGTACTCTCAACCAAAATTGTCTTTTTTCAAGCTTTTACATGTATATACTATTGTACATAGCATTCCAAGTTGGTTATTTGAAAAATATATATGTACTCATTTCTATATGTGCCTTGAACATGAGAAATCTTTGTTTTTATGATTTGCATGTATATATTTCTTTTACAGGAATTGCAGGGATGGCCTTAGCTGAAGGTCCAACAGTGAAATCTTCTTGTTTGTTCTTGGTAAGTTTAACATCTTCATACTCTGATTTGAGCATCTCAATAGAATTCCCAACTAATTAGACACTAGACATATACAACTGATTGATGTAATATATTATATTGGTTTTTATGATTTCTTGATTTTAAAAGTCAGAGTTTAGTACAGTACAAATACATGGTTAGGCTGATTCCAGTTTGCATTAATGAATGTGAATTATTTTTTGCCAGAAAGAGCTAAAACTGCTCTATGTAATATCAGTAAATACATTGAATAATTTCTCTCTTTTCAGAGTGAATTCTTAGGAGCAGAGAGTAAAATACCAAATTCTCCCAAAATAGTGCAATCCCATTGTGGCACTCTAGTAGAGACCATACTGAAGGTACATACAATGATGATCAACTTGTTTATTTTGTGTACTGTTTATACTTTCTTGTTTTACTCAAGAATCATTTTGGACATAATATCAGCCCCATGAGAATAAAAGGATGTTCTTTAAATATAGCATATTAATAACAAAAATATTTTTTCTAGTGTTTTTTTTTATTCCCAAAGATGCTTTTTGAATGTGATATTTTAATTTGGCTTTATATCAGTGGCAGTTTACACATATTACAACTAAAATGATTTTATACAATAATCTTTCCAGTGTGTATCTGGTGAATCACCTAGAAGCAACATGGGTCCAATATCAGATGTGCTTCTGGCCTTGAACAAGTTCCACTTTCAGTTATTGTCACAGTGTATGACGACTCTCATACAACAAGATTCAATCAATATAGGTCAAGCCAGCACTGAGAATAAGCAGACATTTGCACGAATGGTGCTCAAGTAAGTATAGTTTGGAAATTCACATTTCCTTGATTGTGTAAATTACCTCATCCAACCATCTCTTCAAATAGGGTCAAGAATCATTCCTCATTCCCCTACTGGGAGTCCCTTTCTTTATTTTGTACCAAGCATTCAGAAACAGTTTCCCTGCCTAGCAGACAGGTTTTTTAATTCTTAACTAAAACTTCAATGTAATGAAAACATGTGTTAATATTATTGAATTACCATATTTTGACATTAAAACAATGTTGATATCCAAATAGAAAAATGCACGCATAAATGTAAAAATGTTCAGTTTTACTGTACCAGAATAAAGTAGTATTATAGAAAATAGACTAGGAATAATATGAGCCCTAGCTAAAAAATTTCAGAAAGTTTGCTCGCAAGATGTAATTTTGCAATTAATACTAAATAAAGGATCATTTGTACTTACAGAGAAAGAGTAAACAAAAGAAAACTGAGAGAGATTGTCAATGAGTTCACACTGGCCTGTAGGGGACTTCTAGGTACTGACTATGCTGCTCAGACTGCTCTTACGATATGAGAGAGAATATTAAACACGCACCAGTGTAAAATGTACACTCCCCACCAAAGGTTTAGCAACTGGAAGTCACCTTTTATACCACATGATAAGAGCCTGTTTATATTGTAACAAATATTCGGCAAATATTTTGACCTTATGCAATTATAAGGAAAAATAAGTTTCAAACAAACAGGCCAGGGTTGCCGAATCTTTGGGTGGGAGTGGATACTAGTCAAGAGTCACCTCTCGCAAATTAGGATAAAAATTTAATAGTAATGTTCCTAACATCCTTCAGCTGATTCGATAATAGCGGGAACTGGAAAGGACCCCCAGATTAGAGAATGAATGGATGGTATCTAAATTGTATGCCATTGTTCTAGTGTTTTTAGTCTATATCAATGTGAACAAAAGTGTAGTTTTGTAATTTTTAGTAATGAAATAAATACACATTCTTTTATTTTAACAATTTATTTATATTTTTCATTTACATTCTTGTATAATACATAGTCATAAACCAATACATTCTTCTTGTAGCATTAACGTCCAAAGTATCATTACAATTTTATACATCACTCCATTATGGTCTGTCTTAAACACAAGGGTCATATTGAAAAATCATTTATTGAAGCCACATTTCAAAGTACTGTAGATTGGGTTAATTTGGCGCTCGCTTTAATTTGGCGAATTTGGCAAAATTGAAAAATTCGCCAATATAAATCTTCGCCAAAATTTAGAATGAATCCCCGGGAATTATCTAGGGTCTTTCGTCCAGTGTATTGAGGTCACTTTCGGTTTAGTTTTTTCCAAAAATATGAAAAAATGTCTCTCATAAATTGGCTCAGAACTGGTCAGTTACTCATTAATACTCAGGGAAAACTAGAGAGGAAAAGCACGGTATAGTAGCAGCATCGATCGAGGTGCAAACTGTAAAGGATGATCTCACAAAAATGTACAAACATGGTGAATATCGCCAGTGGTCCTCAAAAGAAAAAATGAACATATCCAAACATGCTCATTTACATGGTAATTCGCAAACAAAGTTTAACATTGCATTAACATTTTTTTTATCAAATCCGCCAAATTAAATAGCCGCCAATATGCCAAAAATGGCAAATTCGCCAAATTAAGTAGCGCCAAATTAACCCAATCTACAGTATTTATTTGAAAGTAGATTTCATTGATAACATTTTGTAATAAGCATTTTGCAGACCTTTACAAAGTTCATACAAAGTGAGAGAATTTTTATTTACACAGGTTTTCTTGCATCAACTCTGGCTCTCTCACTATTTACATTCCCCCTTCTGTAACACCAACTCCTTCACTGGAATTTGAAAGATTAATTACTTATTGAGAAAAACTAATTACAGTGTAAATTTTAACCTGTACTTTCCAAGTGGGAGTCTCTGTGTACTTAACTTTTTGGAGAGCATGAATCAACGTTTCAAAGCCTGCATTTCCAAAACATACTGAATGATGAAACTGCTTGGAGGTCTATGCATTGAATAGTAAACTGCCCAACATGTTATTTAATTCTATCTATTGTATTTCACTGAAATTTCACACATATAGGGTGTCCAATAGGTACTTATAATGATTCTCTAAAAGTGTGCTCATAGTACACCCTGTATATGCTTTTTCACATAGAAATACATGTACTGCAAACACTCCATATTTACAGCTTTTGATTACATGATTAATATAATATCACTGTTGTGTTGGCACTCTGTTTTGAAACATCCTCATTTATTTATATCATAGTCGGATCATAAACGATCATATCTGCTAGTGTTGTCCCTACAATTAAGATACATTACCATAATCATTGCCAGAAGGATCCTGATGATGTATCGATGTATGAAAGAAGACTCCAATGTTTTTGAAGATAAAATCTTTTAAAATTCACCTTTAAGTCAATGTCATACCCTTTTCAATGTTTTGTAAGACATACATAATCTATTTTGTACATTCAAAATGTTTTAACTACATTGTAGTTTATAATCAAGCATTAAGAAGAATGCCTTCAATGCAATTTTTAAAACCAATGTATGGAATATATGTTTTTTTGTTATATTTTTTTAGTGCAATTTGAAATGCAAATTTAAACATGATTTACATGCTTAATTCATAAAATTGCTTATTAGTGGCACATTTGATCAATGCTTCTATGTGATGTAGTAACTAGTATTGCTTCATTGTACATTGTCTCGTCTTGTCACTTTTGGACCTTAGTTCACATTTACATATCCATTGTTCATAAAATCCTCCATCTTTAATATACTCCATTTTGTAAAGTAATGCATGCTTCTAGCTACCACTAGTTCCTGATGTGCTGAAACATAAACTTCAGTTTACTTCTTAACACTAAGGGAACAAATACGACTTTCTTTGACTTTTGAATCTCCCCCCTATTCCTGGGACCATGCCCCCTATACATTCAGACTTTGTTTTCCTTCATTGTAGTTTGCGCATGCGTAGTAAAAATCTTCAGAAAAATAAAAACAAAATCTAAATTTTGACTTTGTTTATCGTTTTTGGCCCAGGCATTGTGTTAAGTTCATTAAGCACAACTTACAAAAACATCTATTTCAATAAAACAAAACTTCTTCCCAGTCTAACATAAAAAATTACATGTTGTTCATTTTTACGATTTCTCATTATCAGGGGTAAGCAATATTTCATAGTAGTAACCTACTGTCTCATACAGATGGTATCCTAGGCATGCATCATCTTCTTCACCATGTAGCCAGGCATGTTGTATATGAAGAGGCCAATGATAAGGGCCAAGAGGAGGATGACTAGAACCTTGATGATAACCCATTTGTAGTTACGCCACAGGATGTACCTAATGGACTTCAAAGGACTCAGGAACCAAATGAATGAACCATCAGGACGACTGAAAAATAAATAATACTTGATTTTCTTTTAACACAAAGAAGTCCTCTGAAAAATGGTAATGGTATGTGTTAATTAACCAAGGCTTTGTATAAATGAGCTAAAAACCTCATACCCACCTTCCCACCTACTTGGAACATGATACAGTCATTGAAGGGTTAAATTTTAAAGATTATTAAATCTCAAAATAGCTCAAATTATTAACATTTCTACAATTCCGGCTTTATTTTACGACTAGACAGATGACAGATCCATAAATAAAGGCATATGGATGCTTTTTAATGTGTAATGACCCGAAGGCGCCCCAATAACTAACGACCGCGAGCATAGGTCTAACAAGCCAGATAAAGAAATTGAAAGAAAGTGGGCTAAATTCGATGCCCCGAGTTGGAATCGAACCAAGCTGGGATGTAGTAGCAACTTGCTATCAAGGGCCCTTACAAATGCACCTATAATTCATCATAAACTAAGATTTAAACTAAGATCTTTAAAATTGAACCCTTCAAAGACTGTATCATGTCCCACGTACGTGGGTAGGTGGGTATGAGGTAGGAGGTTTTTTATACAAAGCCATTAACCAAGAGCATTTTGATTACATAAATCGCAAAAAGTTTTAGATATCTATTTTATGTTGGTGTATATTTTCTATTGTGGTAATCAATCTAATCACCGCCCCTCCATAAGTTGGGCAACTGGAAGTTAAATGTTTAATGTTATTCATGAATTCGTTCAAACTGCCAGATATAAACTGGAGACTTCTGCTGCCAAATTCTTGGACAGGTGTGCATGAGTATACATACTTTGGTTTCTCAAGTGGCTCTGGCTCATTGCGTCCCAGTCCAGCTGGATGTTTCTCTGCTTCATCAATGGTCAGTAAGTTTAACTCTGCCTCCACTTTCCCCTGAATTAAAGTATATTAAACCCTCAACAATGAACATTAAACAATATACATGTACACCCATAATACCATTTTATTATACTATTTCTTAGCACAACGCATGTGTAGACAAGACTTTACAGACAAGATTTTAGGACGGAAAATCCAAAATGGCTGCCTTGACATTTACCCAAAATGCCCAAAAACTAATCAGATCTAGATTCTCATACTAAGAATCATCCCTGAAAATTTGAAATTGATCTACCAAACGGTTCACCTGAAAACGCGTAGACAAGACTTTACAGACAAGATTTTAGGACGGAAAAATCCAAAATGGCCGACAATAAAAAAGTGATTATGAGTTTTTGCTGAAATCTTTTTTCAAAATTATCACATATAACTACTGTTAACAATAACATAAGCTTTTACAACAAAGTACACCTGAAATTATTTATAAAGCTACTAAAAAGTTAAAGTATGAAAACTGAAAAACACCATTCAATATGATACAAAGTATTATCGTGCGCTAACTTTTCTTAAAACATTCAAAATGGCTGACATGACTGAGCTAACAGGTCCAAAACCTAATCAGATCTAGAATGAAGTGAGCTGAACAAGATGTTAAAGTTTTAAAAGCAACTGTGAAGCCGTTTTTCTTGAAGTTTGCAGACAAGGATTTTAGCATTTGACTTCAAAATGGCCGACAGGAAGTAGGTATCGAATTAATTTTTTTTCATCCACATCTGTATGCACTCATAAGTTATCCCTGAAAATTTGAAGGTGATATCTGTAGCGGTTTTGGAGAAAACTGCCGGACGTACGGACGGACAGACAGACGGACAGACAGACGGACGCGCCTAGGCCGACAATATGGCCCCACACAGCACTTTTCTAAGATATGAAAATGTTTGACAGTCCAGTTTATACTGAGTAGTGGCATTGTTAAGATTCTGTGTATAATCATTTGAAAATATAATCCAAATCCATAAAACATAATCAAACAGGTCAGGATTTATAGATTCTGACAGTCTCCCTACAGCTAGTAGCCCAGAGCAAGTGAGATATGATTTCAAACATCTGCATATGTTCCCTCAACACTCCTTAAACATCAAACAAGTTTTTTGCATGCCTCGGATGCAACATCTTTTGTTATTATATAGATAACCGCCTCATAGGACCTAAATTTTCATATGTTGTGGCCTCAGTATCAGCAGTGGGAGTAGTCCAGCCACATTCATGTGGTGATAGAAACTGTGGGTTACAATGCATCAGAATAACAAATGACTCTACAACTGCAATGTTTCTAAAAAAGATTCAAAGTTTAAAAACAACTGCAATAGCTCTGGGTATACGCCTTCCATTCCTTCAAATCAGATGATTTAGAGTAGTAGTAGAATGCAAAGGTGACATATCAAATCCAGTGATTGCATGAAAAATTGGGAGGGTTAAACTTTGGCCATGGCCAAGTGGTCTTGTAATATTGTGGGCAGGCAGATATTGGAAGGATTTCCCCTGACCATATGCAAACCAAATTGACATTTTCAGTTTTTCAGCACAAGTTGCCACCAGGATAAACCACATAAAAATCAACTGTTAGGCAATGATTGAAGCAGTCTCTGGTATGGAGAAATATCCTTGATGGCACCTAAGACATTGCATTACTTGGTCACTATCATCTTGCCATGTTCTTTTGATGCCTGGAAGGAGGACAGCTCCCTCTTGTTCCCACTACATTTTGGATTGCATTTGGTAAAAGAAAATCCATTCAATAACTAGCTGCGCTTGATATTGCATGCAAGATCACTTGGCCATGACCAAAGTTTAGCCCTCCCCATTTTTCATTCAATCATTCTATGCGATGTCACATCTGCATTTTACTACGACTGTAAATCATCTGATTTGGAGGAATGGAAGGTGTACCCAGAGGTGATGCAAGTGTTCCTAAACCTTATATCTTTATATAATACTTCATTGATTTATCATTTTATATCTCAGTATGAATATATGAACATATGAATATGACAAAATTTCATTTTGAGCTTATTTGAGTTGTTTGTTTGTTTATCTTTATTTCCTTCTCGAAGAAGAGCTTTTTACAAATAATTATACAAGCAGTTATTTACAATAACAATTATTTACAAAACAAATATATTTACATTAGTAATTTGACTATGTTTTACCGCATGTATACTTTGCCACCAAGATGATTATTTGTTCACATACATTTTCATTTAACTGAATGTCAGTATTTGAACCTAGGAGAGTTTCAACTAAAACTTCTTCATCGCCATTTAATAATTGACAAGATGAGCTCACGTCTAATGCATTCGTTATATTATCAAAAAGACGATCTCTTTCAATCATAAGTCCTGAACATTCCAAAAGTACAAAGAAAATTTAGATTTTTAGATATTAGATATTTAGAAATGTCAAATTATGTTTTTATATATTATTAGGGGAAATATGATAACAAGACTTCTGGTATATGAACCACTTTGAGCTCATTTGAGATGCATATGTAACATACATTGCAAATTATTATGTTAAAAATATGGTTTTAGAAAATTCAGATTTTTAAGAAATGTCCAATAATTTTTCTTCATCTTATTTGGGGTATGATAAAACAAGACTATATGCACCATTTTGAGCTCATTTGAGATGCATATATTACATATCTTGAAAATTATTATGCTAAAATATGGTTACCCCTGGACCATCTGAAGCTTAAATGAAAATCTAGAGTTTTAAGAATTATCAATCCATTTTCTACATCTTATTAGGTTTAATATGATAAAACAAGACTAGATGCACCATATTGAGCTCATTTGAGATGGATATATTACATATTTTAAAAATTATTAAGGTACAATAAGGTTACCCCTGGCCATTCAGAAGCGAAAATGAAAATTAAATTTAAAAAAAATTCCAATCTTTTTATACTTCTAATTAGCAATATTATGACAAAACAAGACTAGATGCACCATTTTGAGCTCATTTTAGATGGATATATTACATATTTTATAAATTATTAAGGTACAATATGGTTACCCCTGGCCATTCAGAATCGAAAATGAAAATTTGAATTTTTTTTAATTCCAATCTATTTTTTACATCTTATCGGCAATAATATGACAAAACAAGACTAGAAGTTCCATTCTGAGCTCAAATGAGATGCATACATTGACTATCTTCAAAATTATTGAGGTAAGATAAGGTTACCCCTGAGCTAAATGCACCAAAAAATTGAAATTTCGATAATTTTTTTCTCTGAGAATACATCAGCTACCAAAGCAATATTTTCTATCTGTGATAAACACTTATACTTCTATTACTGTGAATTTTTTTAAGACTATTAGTCATCACATTCTTGAAAAACAGTAATGGACGTCCAATATTTGGCCCTTTAAATAATGAATTTTTCCTGGATAATTGGGTTAAAATGTATTTTCCTCACTAAATACCACTTCTAAAATGAGTTTTACATCACATTCAAGGCTCAAAGCAATCACCAAATGAAGTCATTTAAACAAAATTACTTTAAAACCATTTTTATTTATTTTTTATAATTTACCCAGTCCCACCTGATAGGGGTGGGGGTCAGAGGTAAAAAAATCCATGAAGACCACCCGTAACCACTTGCCCTGAAATCAATTTCCACTCAAATCATATGTTTCTACAAATGTGCCAAGTTTGTTGCTTTCCTGAAAAAGCCGAACAAAAAAGGGGTTATATCTGGACATCTGACCCCGCTAGCATCAACCATTGCAATATTGAAAGTTTTTCAGTAGCTGTAATAGTCTATATAAATATCTTTACTGGTGGTATTGATCTGAAATAAAAAATAAACTGCCTCTGTTCATTTGACACCAAATTGTTTAATCTCCTGATGTAATTGAAGACAGAACTTTGAAAATGTATTTCCTCAGTGAGGTATACAATTTATTCAGTCCACCTCTGGGGTCTCTGCCAGAGCTTGGATGGTGTAGCATCATCATACTAACCGTCAATTCCAGTTCCTGATCATTCCCCTCTGCTTTCGCTGTGAATGGCCACCATCCTTTCACTCGCTTGTGCTTGAACAGTGACATCATTGGTACACTGCCATCTGTCTTCAGCATACTGGTGGAGCATTGCTTGGATGACCTAGCACCCCTTGGGAAACAATTCAGGTCAAGGGTGAAAGCACCTGCAGTCAAAAAGGTCAAGATCAGCCTGAAGGTCAAGTACAGCTTAAAATTCAATATGTAAATCATTTTATTCAACCAACTTAGTGTAGTCTTTCTATGAATCCAAATGCAATTATAATTTTAATTCCATATACAGTTGTACAGTAAAACCTGTTTTTCCCAAATAAACACTTCTCTCATCTGAACATTTCTCAATGTGAATGCTTTTTTCTGGTCTTGTTGAATTTTGGATTTGGCAGGTTTTATTGAAGTTTTTACTGAAATGAATGCATTTCAGGTTTTGATGATTTTCCTGAATATTACACATCTGGGGATAAGACATCTCAACAGGTATACTGCCATTTCATTTACACTTTTGATGCATCTTACCAAGGAAGTCATCAGCGGAGAAATGATCCGCATCCCAAACTTGCAGATTTAACCTCGCTGGAATCTTTGTCTCAGTTTCATCAAGTGAGAAAAATGTTTCCTTCTTTGTAATGACGATCTTCTCTTCCGCAACTAGGTAGTCAAATGGGAATATAAACCTCCAGTTAAAATTCCCCTCTCCTGTCAGAGATCTGTGGATAAGTAAAGAATATGTTTATGTATTTACTCGTATGATGAACTAATATCACATCAATGTTTTTCACTCAAAAGAAGGAAATTTTGCTAAAACTGGTAGCATAATTTTGTTTATGTAACTTAAAAGAGGCAAAAAGAAGAAAATGAAACTAACCAATGATTCATATAATAACCAGAACATTCTGAAAACACATATATCGCTTGATGTACGCATGGCAATCATGACATCATAGTACAAGAACAATAGTAATTCCTATCTTGACAAACTCTGTTGATGTGTCCAAGGTGATCATTTGACGTCATATATTATATCACAGAGCAATAGATTTTTGAAGTAATTGAAAGGATGTTTATATAATTCACCCCAAGGTAATAGAATGAGATTTCATGATACCTGTAGTGTATATCAGTAGACTGCATATCATCTTGGCCTTTCATCCATCCTTTCACATAGATGTCACTCATCTTTTCACCAGTAAAAAATGCATCATCTTCCAAGACAACATCATCTGTGTTCCATATGATACATCTTAACTCATAGCTGAAATATACATATACAGTAAAACCTGCGAACAGGGAATGCTCTCCGGACTGGAGGAAAGTTTCCTTGTTTAGAGGTTTTCCCTATAGAGAGGGGCCGCACTTTCAGCAAACTCAGAATTGCCGAATAAGCATTTTTTGTATATATTTGGGCATTTATTGATTTTACCAATGCCGACTCCATACTTGGTTGCTAGACCTTGTTGTGACATCTTGGAAGATGTATGAAGGTCTCACAACTACCTCCTTTAGGTGAGGGTAAGGAGCATTCTCCCGATGTTGATTTTAGCCGCTGCTGCTGGCGTATGATGATGTCTAGTTGTTGTAATTGTTGATAGATTTGGCTCAACATGACACATGTACTTATCTGTTATCTCCATAAAACAATTGTGTCAATCCCTAGATTATCACAACTGATTTGATGCAATTATGTATGTTGAAAGGAAGAATTAGTGTCATGATAATTAGTAACAAACAGATTAGTATTAGTTTTAAAATATATCAGGGTAATTAACAGTGGGTGGGATGCTACATCTTGAAAACAATTGGCTTATCTTAATCTCAATCATATTAATCCAAGCTTTTTAGAATCAGATATTGGCTTAAGACTTTCACACCTCTGAAAAATAATGGAATATACAGTGTCACCAATATTCCATATTCCTTGTTCACAGGTGAATTTTCATAATTTGCACCAAAATAGTGTTCCTTGTTCCCTGTTCACAGGTTTTCCCTACAGAGAGGGTCCGTTAACATGTAAGTCAATGGAAAAATATTTGGTTCTTTTGAAAAGCATTCCTTGTTCATAGGTTTTCCCTACAGAGAGGTATTCCATCAGACAGGTTTTACTGTACTGTACAACATACTGTTTATGAAGAATAGTACATTGCATCAATGTAATGGATGCAGAATATCCTCATTTGAGCACTTTTGTTCAGTTTGTTCCTTCTTTCTCGCTGTAGATATTCATATATAGATCAGATATCTAGAAATAGGTAATTTGAATCTTTATCGTTACAGCATCAGTTGTCCACAGATTTCATTTTTATATACATACTTATCACTTTGATTAACTACAGTAAACTCTTATCAAACCAAAAATGATTTTCCTGGACACTCAGAGTCTGTAGGAAGGAGACACAATTGCACTAGGCATAGATGAAATGCTCAGATATCAACAGACTATAAAGGGAAATGTGTTTGTATTTGTCTACTCTTGTAGACCTGCAGCAAGTCAATGTAGTTTATAGCTGGAGAACTAAGCAGATGTAATGAGACTGACCCAGAGGTATTCATGAACGACTAAATAAGTTACCTCTTTGGCTTCCTGGGTGCTACATCCACAGGTGGGCCAGGGGCAGGCATATCCATAGGAAACATATCAACCCACATCTCAACTTTACCCTACAATAAACATTTTGCCATTTCAAATCTGTATACTGTTTATAGAACTATACATCAAAACACAAGTTATTGAGCAATTTCTGACCATGGGTGCAAACAGTTCAACTAGTTGAATCATACTTTGGAAACATACTTTGAAACATAATAATAAGTATACATTTACATGAATATTATAAAAAATATATATCTTCAAAATTAGTCACCTGTTCAATACCCAGTTTGTCTGGGTGAAAAAGTGGGCGTGTCTCAACATGTTCAGGTACCAGTTTACAGCCAACCTTGGGTATCTCTTCCCAATGTTTCAGTACAGCGAGTGATAGAGTCTCTTCTACATGGCTCTTGCCCTCTTGAAGCAAACAAAACAATTCAATACAAGTAAGCAAACAATTCAAAAAAATCTTTATACTCTATAGTTGCATAAAAATAATACTAAAAGCAGAGTGGTACAGTCCTATCTTAAGACCTCTTGGCAAATTAATTTTATTTAATTCCTATTATATGTTTTTTATCAGAATATTGTTTATTTCACAGTTACTCAACCAAGTGGTAGTACTATTATCTGTATTTTATTTTTTATCTGTATTTCACCTTGGCCATTAAGGTGAAAAAAAATGACCTTTGACTTAAATATGTAACCACATGAGACAATCTTCAGCAAACAGAGATAAACATGATACAATTACATTGTGCAATTTGAGCTCTTTTGGTAATTTTTCTGAAATTCACAAAATCTTCTGAAATCATACCACAGTCCGTGTCCTCTACATCACTTGGACAAGTGAAGATTCTGTTGGCAACTCGTACTTTATTGTGTTGGAAGTGAGGCCCATCTACTTTTCCATCCTTGCATAGCTTCAGTAGAATCAGTGAGGGCTTCATAGAGTCTCTCCATGCATTGTAACCATGGCTGTAATACATAAGGCTTTAACATATTATCAAGAACCTGGTCTCTCCATGCATTGTAACCATGGCTGTAATACATAAGGCTTTAACATATTATCAAGAACCTGGGAGATTAATATAGTCCATCCAGATATTGTGACCACAGTACTATACCTGCTTTATAAAAATGAAGATAAAAGTGGAACTTTTTGGGTAGATTTTACTTTTAAAACATAAGTTTTTCCCTTCATCTTTTATGGACTACAGTGTATATTCAATGATAAACATTTCTTTCTTAAAAATGGTAGATTGTTCAAACGTAGATTTTCCCATTGTTGCTGACAAATAATAGCTTGATAGTTCACTGTCATAAAAGCAATAGATTGGCGAGTCTGAATACACAAGTTTATTCCAAAAAGTACTTAACAAAATGTTCAATCGCCATACTTGAATGACTGACATATGATTGAAGTGTTCATACTCACGTATCATAGGTACTTGCTATACCACATGTTGCCCTATGCCTGCTGTAGTAACGGCTCTCAAGGTCTATCTTTGTTTCACCAATCAGGTCATCAGTCTTAATCAAGTCCCAGTCATAGATCTGCACTGTCAGTAAAGAGTCCATGGGGAATGTTGCATCAAACTCAAAACATCTGAAGGAAATAATATATAGAGGATTAAGTAAGTGCAGAATCAGACCTGACAAGATCATCTGATGATAATCTTGACAAATTGTTTCAATTTTAGAATATTTTCAGCTCATATGTCTATTTTCTAAAAATCCCAAAGTGTACACATTATTTGAGGAAAACTATAGATTTTTACAATAATGCATTCATTTGTCTATAAATATCATTTGGGAGAATTAATCATTTTTTCCAATTTTGAAAAAACTGTGGATCTTTTGGGAGATATTATATATGAGATGGCAAGGAATATAATGGTAGGTCAACAGTACATGTTGCTTGCAATTTTATCACTACCTATAGATCTAATTCTTCTTTTAAGTGCCACAATGGTTTAAATTCTACAAACATGAATCATTATAGTACTGCACTATATATATGTGCAGTATATGTATCGTTGGTCTTGTGATCTTCAACATGAACTAAAGCATGGAGTCTTAACGACAATGCCAAAAAAAGCTGAGGCTTGGAAAGCCTTCTATTGTCAGAGCTACCATGGATATGATGAATTGGATAAATGTTACATCCTCTTTTCATAGACTCATCAACTTCACTTACTTTCCAAACACTGGGTTCAACTGCTTGGAGATGTAGTTCTCCTTATCACTGTGGCTCTGTCTCCCAAGCCGTATGATGATATAGGGGTCAGCCTTCCCATTCATATCTGCAGGGTGGAGATCATTACATTTCAGAACATAGACCCTCACTTTCACGGAGATAGGGTCGTTATTTGGTAGACCTTGGAACAAGCCATATGAAGGGTCACCACCTGTTATAGTGGTGTCTTCTATATCAGGAGGTAGTGGGATTTTGTAGACCTTTAATGAGCCCTGCAGGGAAATGTAAAGAAATATATGTATAGTATATGTCCAGCATTAACTTGAAATACAATTTTTTCTGTAAGATGTTCTGGGACACACCTACCTTTAAAAATTGAATTAAAATAAAAATATAAAAATGTATTAAAATCCAAACAATGAAGATTCACATACTGTATAGGTATGAACTCTGATTCTAATTATAATGATCATTTCAGATTTCAAAATCAAAGTATTCATTAACATTTGGAAGTGCATGATTATACAAATTCTGGCTGAGTATGCGCTGATTATGGTATAATATAATACATCTCCTGGATAATCTCCTGAAAATGACTCAACCGCTTAACACAGCCAAACCCATAATAATATGTGAGTTCATCAAGCATAGATACATTTGCACATGTTTCAAGCAGTTATGAAACAGTCATGGATGGAATATTTGTGGTATCTTTTGAGGAAATTACTGTAGGACTTTCTAATATACATGTTATTCCCTAAAAATAAGGCATATATCCAAACGCTTAGTATAAACACATCCCTTATACCTTAAATAATCCTACAACTCTACTTTCATCATCTTCAAGGTTCCCTGTCTTCTTTCCCCTGTATAGTTCAAATTGATGTAGCCATTCTCTGAAGCCATTGAACTCTGGTTGGCTCTCCAGATCATTTGAATAGACCTAATAATTAGGAATATCATTTGTGAACAACTTGGAAATCAATATATCAGTTGTATAGATGTGATAATTAAAAAGATATTCAGACAATTATCATTGGTTAATGAAAACACAGAATTAAATATCATTTCTGTACAACTGGTAAATAAAAATAAATAATAAAAAAAGATAATTTGTATTAACCTCGAAATTAGAAAAAATAATTTGTACACCTGCAAATTGAAAGATTATAAAAAGACTTAAAACGGCAGTACCTTTCTGTTGGTACATTGCTTTATTGAAAAGAGTCGCTCGTTTCAGCAGCGTTTTGGTCCCCAGTTGTGAGAAGCCCTTCTCACAGCTGGGGACCAAAATGCCGCTGAAAGTAGGGACTCTGTGTAGCAGAATAATGTACCAACAGAAAGGCATTTTTGTTGTGCTTTGAATGGAACAAAGTTTGAAGAAAAACGGTGCAGTATGAGACTCGCAATCCTTGATTTTCAAACACCTGGTAGGTCAAAAATTTAAATTAACGGTCGAAGTTTGTACCGCGTGAGTATTATCAACCAAATAAATAACAATTTATTTGAAATATTTCAAGACAAGAATTAAAATTGGAAAATATGCTGGTAAAGGTATTGCTTTTAAAATATTTAAATCACATACACAATTTTCCGAGATATTCAAAGGAAATCAATCTATCAAAATATTGTATTGAAAAATAAGCCACACATATTAACAACATCGAACTTTCATTTCATATAAAAAATGTACAAAAACATACATTTAAAAGTAGTTTCTTAATGTGAATGATAAATACAATTGTCCAGCAACCCAAACCTTTACAAATGTATTTTTTCATAATTTGACCTCATACAGTAAGCAAGGCATTAACATTACAATAGGTCACAACCTGGTAAGTTATTTAAAATTGTTACAAATTGTGACAATTTGTTACAACAGATACCAAACACGGAATCCTAAATGCCAGTCATCAAAATGGTGGCTATAACAATGTCATCATCTCTTGGAGGTGACATAAAAATGACATAAATGTAACATGTTCATACTCACATTTTTCATACACAGGGATATGAGCACTGGAAGTTCTATAAAATAGTAACCATCAGAACAGAAGCATCAACAATCAAGACAACGACTATAATAAAGGAATCATTTGGATTCATGCAGTTGACAACAACCAGCTATTTGTGGTACTAATACATGTATATTAAAATCATGTGAAAAAAGGGAAATCATTGATAAAAACACAAACAATGAACTGAGATAAGTGAAGAGTAACATGCATTTATGTATTATACAGTTTTCAATAAACAATATTTTGCAGATTTTAAGACATAACAAAAAAAAAATGTGCAATATTATCCTAAATATCTTACATCTACAATAATAACATGTCTAGAAACACATATAGTCACTAGGCTATTTATATTCATCTATATCTTACTTTCAACTTTGCACAATTTGCGTCAATTTTTTCTTTACGACGCTGGGTCTTTGGTGAAAGTTTTGCTGCGAGGCTTACTGCAACAGCTGCTCCCTTTAGTTTTCCGATTTTGGAGACCTTTAATGGAGTCCCTCCCTCCATCTTTTTCAACTCCTTTTCCATCTTTTTCATTTCCTTGCTACCAGGGTCTGCAATATGAAGGGTGAGATTAAAATGTTTGTAGATATAATCATGTTACATATTTGTTGAAATTAACTAGTCACTTTATCCTAGAATGCTAACTCCTAGCATTTCACTGATTAGCATCTGTGTTTTTTCTAATAACATGTCTTTTGAACATTTACCATTGGAAGTAAAATATGTCTCATTTTAGGATACCAAGTCATTTTGGATGACCTCTAATGTCCCCATTCATTCTTACATTCATAACTTCATAATTTATTATGAAGTTATTTTTTACTATTTTATATATTCACCTCCATCTTCTCCCTGAGTATCCCCATTTGGCATTGTTCCATAAGGTGTCGTCTGCTGGTTACCATTCTTGTTGGTGGCCATTTTGTCTTCATCATCCCCCTCCTGTTCCTTTTTATCTTCTTTATCTCCTGCTTCCTCCTGAATAACAAGATTTACATTACACAATCCAACTGTGGATCAAGATCACAGAATCAAAACCCTAGAACCCTAGTTCAATATATGTACAGGGTGGTCCAAAAAACGACAACCCTGTATTTTCCTTATATCTTTGTCATTTAAAGGAATTACACCCTGTTATTTGGCAAAGTACATCATTCAATTTCCTACCACTCTACCATATTTCATGACCATCAGACTGATAATCGCAATGTTACAGCACTTTGAACAACATGCCCAAGGTGTGCCATAAACGCGCTGTAGTCAAACCTGCACGAGTTGTCGAATGACCTGAATGCATTCCTCAGCAGGTAAGGCCAGAATGACATGATGATCTCCCTTTTTGGTCTGCAATTGTCCTGAGATCATTCTTGTACTACTATCTTAGGCGTATCCCCACAGTAAGAAGACAAGTACGGACATTTTTGATGATGTGTGCATGTTTGTCTATAGTGCAACTAGTAACCACTGGAGCATTCTGCTTAAAGTGCTGTAACATTATGGCTATCAGTATGATGGTCATGGAATATGGTAGACCAGTAGGAAATTGAATGATGTACAATTGTACATATATGCCAAATATCAGGGAGTAATTTACTAGGATGACAAAGATATGTTGAAAATAGGGACAGGGTTGCCATTTTTTTTGATCACCCTGAATTATATGTTAGTTACCTGAGTTACTTTTCACATGGACTACACAGAACAAGTGTTAATCAAATGTAGCACAAAGTGCACTAACCATATTCATTTCTTCCACGGATGCGAAATATTTGCTCCACCAATCCATTGTCTCCTCATCAGGTTCATCATCATCAATAATTGAGCCATGACTTTTACGTCTTTTCTTCATGTTTTCATCCTGCTTCTTTTCTTTGGTCAACTGAAAACAATTGAATAATAACAGTTATAAAGAAAATACTTTTTGTAGTTTGGAGCGAAGGTTATGTCCGCCATTTGTGATAACGGTATCTGACTTTACCGTTGTCAGGCTATTCCGGTGTGATCTAGTTAGAATGATAGTTTTTTTAAGTTGTAGTTTTAAGTTTAATGATAGTACAGTACAAAGCTTTTGAAATTGCTCACTGCTTCAACTTTGATAATATGCTCTCCTTTGGATAAAAGAGGTTGTTTTTCATCCACATTTATTGCGACATCTTGAGCCTTCACAGACAGAGCTGGACTTTTGGATTTAACATCTTTACTACCATCCACATTTCCTTTCTGGTCTGAAATTACAAACAATATATTTTTATACTTATTCACTAGATGTACAATATGATATCCTAATTGGATACAACAAATATAGTTCAAAAGACTAGTCAGCGGAATGTTATTTGTCCACTTAAGAATATAAAAAACATTCCAAAAGACATGATATGTGATTTATTTTAATGACGGTGATAACTTCTTAGATTGTGCTTTTGTGAACAACTGTGAACATACTAGCATAGGTGTTGGAGAAACTTAAAATATATAACTATTTCTGGATAGATTTTGTTCTAAAAACTCCAAGCAGCATTCCACTTTTTACTATTGATATGAATAGTATCAGCACATACCTATTTTTTTGATTGCAGGTATAAGTTTAGAGAGAGCACTCATAGCTTTCTTGGTGGTGGGAATATATCTGTACTTGTGTATGTGTGTTATAACGTGTGTCCCTACTAAGACATAGCGGCCAAAGTTACGACAATCAACAGCACGTATTGTGATTGGAGGACAAAATATCTCATTTTCTGGTAGTTCCTGAAAAATAAATTGAATAAAAATGAGGTCTTGGTTTTGCTTCATCTTAGCAGACTTTTTGGATTACACATTGTTTTATCTAATTGTATGTTGCTATACATGTACAATGTATATGATACTTGTTGAACATCTAGTTGATATTGTTTACAGTGTCTGTTGCTGATATTGTTTGTAGAGCATAGAAAAAATAGTGGCCATAATAGCAAACTATCACTTCAATGATGTGACATTATGTACATACAACTAAACTCACCACATCAAACTAGATAATGGCAACTCCGCGGAGTAGCAAATCCAAACGAACAAAAAAATATCAATTACAGAATTCCAATCAATTATACTCATTACTTTGGTTGAAAATAAAAAAATTAGATTTTAGAATTGTGAATTCCTGCAAAGCAACCATTTTGAATTTTCTGAGGTACAAATCTGAAAAATAATACCATAATTGTGATCTACTCCAAAATTCCTTCAATTTGAGTATAATATAGCCATACTTTGAAGGGATCGAAAAATTATTGCGAAATCGTACATTAGACGGCCATTTTGAATTTTACGAGGCTCGAATCAGAAAAAAGATACAATATTTGCAATCTACTCTTAATTGCCTTTCATTTGAGTATAATAAAGCTATACTTCAGAAAGATCTAAAAATTAGCGAAAATTTCTGTTTTCCTGTCACCCCATACATGGCCCCTGGGGGTCAAGATGAAAAACACGGAATATATGTGAAATAGATAAATGTTGTGAATACACTAGCAAAATTTCAAACAATAATATTAATTACTTTGGTTTAGAATGAAAAATTTATGATTTTTGCGAAAAAGTCCCGTCATTTTTTAAGTGGCGGCCATCTTGAAAATTCTTTTTTTTGCGTAAAACTATTCACCAATATACATCTTTCCACCAAATATGAAGAAAATCTGTCAACTAGTATTTGAGTTATCTTCCGGACAGACGGACGGACGGACTGACTGACTGACAGACTGACGGACTGACGGACAGACGGACGGACAGAGGGCTTCACTATATCCCTAACGAACTTCGTTCGTTGGGATAATAATTTGACATAATGTGCATACAATGTAACTCACCACATCAAATGATTTGACATAATGTACATACAATGGAACTCACCACATCAAATGATTTGACATAATGTGCATACAATGGAACTCACCACATCAAATGATTTGACATAATGTGCATACAATGGAACTCACCACATCAAATGATTTGACATAATGTGCATACAATGGAACTCACCACATCAAATGATTTGACATAATGTGCATACAATGGAACTCACCACATCAAATGATTTGACATAATGTGCATACAATGGAACTCACCACATCAAATGATTTGACATAATCTACATACAATGGAACTCACCACATCAAATGATTTGACATAATCTACATACAATGGAACTCACCACATCAAATGATTTGACATAATCTGCATACAATGTAACTCACCACATCAAATGATTTGACATAATGTACATACAAGGTAACTCACCACATCAAATGATTTGACATAATATACATACAATGTAACTCACCACATCAAATGATTTAACATAATGTACATACAAGGTAACTCACCACATCAAATGATGTGACATAATGTGCATACAATGGAACTCACCACATCAAATGATTTGACATAATGTGCATACAAGGTAACTCACCACATCAAATGATTTGACATAATCTACATACAAGGTAACTCACCACATCAAATGATTTGACATAATGTACATACAATGTAACTCACCACATCAAATGATTTAACATAATGTACATACAAGGTAACTCACCACATCAAATGATGTGACATAATGTGCATACAATGGAACTCACCACATCAAATGATTTGACATAATGTGCATACAATGGAACTCACCACATCAAATGATTTGACATAATGTGCATACAATGGAACTCACCACATCAAATGATTTGACATAATGTGCATACAATGGAACTCACCACATCAAATGATTTGACATAATCTACATACAATGGAACTCACCACATCAAATGATTTGACATAATGTACATACAATGGAACTCACCACATCAAATGATTTGACATAATGTGCATACAATGGAACTCACCACATCAAATGATTTGACATAATCTACATACAATGGAACTCACCACATCAAATGATTTGACATAATGTACATACAATGGAACTCACCACATCAAATGATTTGACATAATGTGCATACAATGGAACTCACCAAATCAAATGATTTGACATAATGTACATACAAGGTAACTCACCACATCAAATGATTTGACATAATGTACACACAATGTAACTCACCACATCAAATGATTTAACATAATGTACATACAAGGTAACTCACCACATCAAATGATGTGACATAATGTGCATACAATGTAACTCACCACATCAACTAATTTGACATAATGTACATACAATGGAACTCACCACATCAAATGATTTGACATAATGTACATACAATGGAACTCACCACATCAAATGATTTGACATAATCTGCATACAATGTAACTCACCACATCAAATGATTTGACATAATGTACATCCAAGGTAACTCACCACATCAAATGATTTGACATAATGTACACACAATGTAACTCACCACATCAAATGATTTGACATAATCGGCATACAATGTAACTCACCACATCAAATGATTTGACATAATGTGCATACAAGGTAACTCACCACATCAAATGATTTGACATAATGTGCATACAATGGAACTCACCACATCAAATGATTTGACATAATCTACATACAATATAACTCACCACATCAAATGATTTGACATAATGTGCATACAATGGAACTCACAACATCAAATGATTTGACATAATGTGCATACAATGGAACTCACCACATCAAATGATTTGACATAATGTGCATACAATGGAACTCACCACATCAAATGATTTGACATAATGTGCATACAATGGAACTCACCACATCAAATGATTTGACATAATCTGCATACAATGTAACTCACCACATCAAATGATTTGACATAATGTACACACAATGTAACTCACCACATCAAATGATTTGACATAATATACATACAATGTAACTCACCACATCAAATGATTTGACAGGTACCAAGAAGTTTGGGTTTTTCTTGTAATTGTCTATAACAGATGACTGGAGCACCTGCCCAGCACATTCTACATCTATCCTTGGTCTGTCAACTGAGGTCAGCTGGATCCTCTTCAAGTCTCTCAATCCCCAGAATAAAACCTTCAAAGTGAAAGAAGAAAGTATATTTAAATGGAATTTGAAGTCCTGCAATATTCAATGGTGATTTTATTTCAACAAATATTCAAATTTATTTGAATAGTTGTGTTAATATTGTGTTAATATTGTTAAAAATCTCGCATGTTATCTTATTACGAGATTTTCTCCTTTATCTTACCAAATGATAATATCGCCTTGACAGTCTCAAAAATGGCCCAAAAATGGTGAAAAACTGCAAGATTTTGAAAGAATTTTTGGCCAGAGAAATCACTCGATCCCCCAAACAACCCCCTGGTTATGGGCCTGATATTGTACTTTCATCAATGAAAACTTTGGAAATGTACCATAGAAGTATAATATTTGTATCATATTTGGCTTCAGATGGGTCTATTTAAATCTTTCCTGCCTGATTTGAGATCCTGGCTACACCCCTCCTTTAGTATTCTTTTGCACTGGAATCACATACAATTACAGAACTCACCTCAATTCTATGTTTACTGAGCACTGGTCTTATACCCTTTGGGACTGGCAACACAGGCCCCTTATCCTCATCCAATTTTGAGTCTGAAGTTGGCATCTCTACAGAGGGAAGGTCTTGTCCTGTACGATCAGACATAGGAGCAAGCTAAAAGAAAATGGAGATGGTTTCATAACAGGTACAATTAATCCTCATATGTCTAACACTAAATTCTACATTACAAATCACTTTTGTCTAGCAGGTTGTAATTACAAGGCTGTTTCATAAACAAGATGATAAAATGAAAATCATTGGAAATTGAACAAAAAAATTACTAAAAACTAAAGTTCTTCCATTGGAAAATTGGAAAAGTAATTCAAATTTTTGGGAACTATTTTTTCAACCCAAGCATTGTCAACTTTTAAAAGTTCTGATTCATTAACAATGTAGCATTTAATGAGACCAATATGTGTGGAATTTAGTGTTAAACCTTTGAGATGACCCCTAACATCTGTGATGCAGAACCCTTCAGTTTAAGAGCAACACTTATTTAACACTGATATTGATCAAGGACACCTTTTCCATTTGGTGCTATTGGTAGGAATTTTGTAGATTTGTAAAAATTAAAAAATGTTTCAATGTTAGACATTGCAATAGGCTGTTCATTCAAGATAAAATCATTTTCATTACAGGGACAACATCTCTCAATGGGTTTCCTTTGTCAACTATTTCCTATGAAAACTATTGGTTTGACTCAATTAAACAGTTACCTTGTAAAGCAAATAAAAAATACATTTGAAACTAATATCTAGTTTCACATCATTTGATAAAACTGCATAATTTTATTCTTTTCCTTTGAATATAATGAATGGATGTTTTGTGAATAAAAACTAATCAAGTAAGCTTTTCTAAATAAAAGTTTCTTGATAAATAAAACTTTGTTGTTAAAAGAAAGAACAATCTACTGGCTCAACCATATTCATACTATTCCAAGATGCAGCAAAATGCAGTTCTGGGTGAAATATATCTTAAGTGATTGCACTATACATGCACTATTAAAGCTGGCAAAGAACAGAATTATGACAGGATTAGAATGGGAATGGGTTTTGGAAGGTGCCTTTGGAATTCACAACTTAAAGTGGGAGTATCGATTGCCGAGTCGTATCCAATGATCCTGGGCCTATCGTAAAATGAAAGCTTTGAATATGTTGTTGCCTTTAAAAATGTATCTATTTTCCATGTATGCTACTAGAATTTGTGCACATACCTTATAACGATCGATAATGGCAAAGGAAAATCCTCTAATTCTTCGTCATAATTTCTCCTTCCACGTCCGCCATTTTTTATTAAACCGGAAGTTTTTCTCTGACGTCCGCGCAATGTTTTTTCACTTTTATTTCAGATTACGCTTCGGATTCAACATTTAATGCTTTCTAATATTAATTAAGTGTTTTCTATCAGAAAGATTTCATAAAAAGACTCACACTATCAGAGATTTTATCGATTCGAGCAGCCAGAAAAATTAGTTTCAATTTCACCCGCTAGGTGTTTCGACGTCGACTTGGAAAGAATTTGAAAAATCTATGAGTGGGACTCCTTGTATGGAATTGTAGATTCTAAACGATTTGCCAGTTCTACTGGTTGATGAATATTGCCATATGCATACATTTTTATAAAATAGGAATAAGGAAGAAGATGTTGGACCAAACTTCACCCCGATAGCTCAGAAAAGGTAAAATTTCTCCATTTTTCTCTCCACAGACCTTAGAGCCGCTTTAAGGAAGTTCTGATTTTAATATATATGTCGCTTGTAGTATGTTATATCCTAAAAAAAGGTATGAAATACATAATACAATAAAGAATCATAACAATTCTAAATAACTACGATATATTTTCATTGAAGATGATAATGTAATGATGATGAATGCTGATGATAAATTCCAAATCCAAAAGTCTGTTCCCAAAGGTAAAATTGGACAGTTTAGACAATAATTCTGTTCAGTGCCTGCCCTACTATACACCTGGAATATGTACAGTAGTAGATGGATGAACTACAAGGCAAAGCCATATATCATGCCTATGAAATAAATAAAAATTAAAGCATGGCAGCCTCATTTGGTGAAATGGAACACAAATTGAGCATTGAACCAAGGTGATGCGATTTATTGTGACATACCCTACCACTACGATGTGTTATAGATATAAGAAAAGGTTTGCAAAATTTTAAGAACACATGCTAACTGTTATCAGTCATACTTTGAAAGAAAATATTGTCACAAATGATGCAAAAAAGTAATGTATAGTAAAATTTAGAAACAGGTTTTAATCAAAAGCATTAAACCATGCAAAACTTTTGTTGTATCTACTGGTGTATCTAGTACCAAATGTGTGAAATAAAGGTAACATTCAAAGTCAGGTAATAGTGACTCAATTGCATCTATGAATTTTAAACAAAATGGCAATGAATGTGACTTGAAAATATGTTGGGAGTATTGGGGGATGGGGGGTATCAAAGCATAAAGCTTTTTATAAATTCTATTTTACACCTGTTAATGACCCCCTGATTGGTCAGTGTTTAACTCAACCCAAAAAATATTTTTCCTTCAATTCTCTTCTAAAAAAGCTAAGGTTCTCAAGATTGAATGTTAGCACACAACAGCACATTTAAGTGAATTGCATATATCAAAAAATTAAAATATCTAAATTATCAGTCACTACAAGCAAGGAGAATTCCTTATAATATGGAAAAAAAGCTTCAACACACAAAATAAAGTTTATTCCACGTTCTTGATGATAAAAAGCCATTTTGAAGCTCATCTAACTACTAACTACTAGCAGGCACTTGTTTCTGCGTGGTTTATTCAACACATATGGCAATAGATATGGGCACCACTTTGTCTTCTAATTCATCAATTTTTGAAATACAATTTAAAACACCATATATATTTTTGGTTGATTAACGAATTGTTGAAGTGATGTGTAGAAATGTATAATAGTATGTAGTGATTATATCATTGAACAGATCTCTGAATGTATAAACCTTTTCAGTTCCAGTTTTTGCATGCCCCATTGACTCATATTTCGATATGAAACCTTTGAACACTTCTCTTGGTTCCATCGATGTTCATTTAAAAATGTATGACTTTTTACAAACTGAGTGAAATATATATGGTGCATGAAAAATGCAAAACCAAATGCTTGCTTTTAAAATCTTTGCTTGCTCAGGGGTTCTCTCCGAAGCATTCAAAGATGAGTAAATAAAAGCAATAAAACTAATACTATACAACAATGCATCTACCCATTTGCTTTTGAATATGAGTTTTCGAGCATAGGGAGGAGTTACTAGCTTGCTCTGTACTTCCTTATCGTCAAAGGGATACTAATAAAGCATACAATATATCGCGATTAGAAGCAGCAGCGCCATGGCAACAATATAATTGTGTTCACTAACTGTGTATAAACCTTCTTTATGTGAGACATGTGTCGGTTGATTGGTTGGTCAGTCGATCGGTCGGTCGGTCAGTGGGTGGGTGGATTAGTCAGTTCCTCCCTCCTTCCTAATGTCTGTTGTTTGTTTTTCAGTTTGATTGTTTGTTCGTCTTTTATTGAGATTGTGCTGTAGTATTACTCCTATAATATTTTTTTTATGAAACTTAAGTTCTCACATTTGAAGGTTTCTACTCAGTTAAAATGTAAACTCGAGATGCATACATATTTTTCTATAAATCGTAAAGACAGTACATATGTATCAGACTATACTGACTTGTACTCAAGTATATAAACAACTACACTGAGGAGTCAAGATATAAATTATTGTTGCATTACATATGTGAACGTGTGATCTAGCATCCATTAATAATAGCATTAACAGGGATTTAGCTTACATATATTTAACACAAAATTCATTCAATTTTTCGAGAAATTACAATATCAATGAAATTATAATCTAGCCGCTATAATACATCCAATGAGAACATTACAATATCTCATTATTCATCCCAGTAGGTTAATCCAGTACAGGTTTTAGAAATGATATTTACAACACATATATAAATTGAATCATTCAAGCATACTACATTTAATGTTTTGAAATTTTCTTTGTTTTCGATAAAGGTTAACTTCAAGTTATGAAAATGTATGATGGCAAGAATTTTACAAGAGAATTTAGGTTTTAAGAAAACTGATTTAAATAAAGTTTCTGCAATTCGATTGGTTGATATCTAATGTTTTGAGAATGAAGTTGCATAATACCAGGAACATTGGGATTTATTTTGGCAAATTCTCAGTCTATTAACGATGATGCAGACATGGGTGTATAGCTTGTAAGAATGCTGGGGTATGTTTATGGTACAATCGTAACTTACAATTCCTAGAAAACAAATATTTTCTGTTAAATGAACAAAGACCCGCAATACAGTTGTAAGTTACGAGATGTCCCAAAACAGATCCCTTGTTCATAGTAATAACAATATCAATTACATTACATTTTCAAACAGGAATGCCATTCCAGGGGAGGTTAAGGACCATGCAGGTCAATATAGCAATGTAGGTCCACAAATATAATCAATAATATCTGGGGAGGGGGTAAAAGTCCATTTTGTTGCATACATCAATTTTTTACTTTTAATTTGACAGAAATCAATAAATGTTTGGTTACACTTTTTGGGGAGGGAAGGGGTGAATCTAAAATGTAATTACATTTTGGTACAAACCAACATATTAACTTGGTAACTTACAATACATATATAGGGTGACCCCATCAAAAATGCAACTCTAATTTTTGATTGACTTTCCCATTTTATGGTAGAATCTTCCCACTATAATTGTGATTTCAAAATGAGAGGCTTGTATATTTTTGGATCACCCTGTATAATACTGGAGTTTATAATAACTATTAAGGATGAGTACCAGCTGAAAGTCTTAATTGGTCTACAAGTTTATTTAATAGGAGTTAGCAATACTACTTACCTGTAAGAGTTCAAATGCTGCTAATAATTCCCCTGCTTTTTCTGAACCCCTAAAACATAAACCAAATATATAAAATATTACTTGTAGCGTAAGAGGGATATTTAAAATTCAGCAAATCAATGAATATCTATTTTGGATTCAAAATTGGTTGGTTTTATAGTTGTCTATGAGTATAAGAAGAATTATACACATGTCTCACATATTTCAAAATATTCTTGTAATTACTTCATGTATATGTTAATATGATTCTTATCAATTTTTACATATACGTATAGGTACATATTTTTGTGAAATACCATAAATGAACTGAATAGGGAGTGAGTTAAAAATAGAACTCTTTTGGTGCACCCTGTATATGGGGACATGAATGGAATTTATGCATTAAAAATCTTACCACCTGGTAAGTCATTGCAAACATTTACAAAAGTGTAACAATTTGTTACAAACACTAAAAACTGACTGCTGACAACTGAACACCAATCTCAAAAATTGCCTTTTGTTATTTTCAAAATGCCAAGTGGGGGGGGATTCTTGAAGGAATAACAAGCAAAAGTTGAAATAATACCTGTATATGTCCCACCACTCCAGTGAAGGTGGAAATGTTGGCTTATTGTACTTTTCATGGCTCATCTTCACACTTGGTTTGGCCAGAGCTCTGCCAATGAACTCACTTTTGCCCTGTATAAAAACGTTGAAAATGAACACATCACTTCTGCACAATATAAATCAGTGGCAAGGGTTGTTTCATGTCTTCCTGATCCGTCAAAATGGATGTACATGCAATATTCAATATCAAACGGACTTTGTCTAAGCTTAATGGTAACACTTTTAGACACATACATAAAGTCTTATCTATATGAAATCATTAATTAATTTGAAAAATATCTTTCTTGCCCAAATGATGAATGAACAACTTTTTTGTCCTTGTACCTTATGTTTTGGACTTACCTTATCTCGATAGAACAATCCCCTTTTAACAGGATATCCTCTAATTAATAATTGTTCAATTTACTCACCACTCTATCTTGATCAAATATCTCTATAACAATCATGGGAGGATCCTCCTTTATTTCAGTCATCAGGCCATAGTGGACCACCTCATTGAATATCAGCATCTCATCCCAGGTTGGACTTAATGTCTCATCTATCACCTAGAGCAGAAAATTATACATAATTCCCATAATGTACTCATATGTTGCACATTCTGCATACTTTGATAAAGATCATGAACTCAAAACACAAAAAAAAACTTTGGAGTTTTTTTAGCTTTATTAATCCATATGTCTAACAGATTGGAATGTCAACTAGAATTTTGATTTTGTCCTTGAGGCATTGTCCTCAAAGAATATGACCTAACATCATACCTGTTTTCTATCATTTTAATACAATATACAGGGTATCCATAAAGTCTCCTTACAATTATAATATAGTCTGTGTCAAGTGTAAAGAGACTTTATGGACACCCTGTACTGTCAAGTATATTGTTAGCACATTGTTTAATAGTACTTGATAAGTAATGAGACATCAATAAAGACAGTTTAACATACGAGATGTACCTGTATACTTGACAATGTGATATACCTGTGTATTTGGCAATGTGATATACCTGTGTGTTTGGCAATGCTACATACCTGTGTACAGAAACTCTGATCTCCAAACACTACCCTGGCAAATGGATCAGAAAGACCCGAGGCATCGGAGCCAATCAAGTTCCTAGCCTGGTACATGTGGCACCTTAACTGGAATGATTGCTTTTCTGCAAAAAGAAAGAATATTTCACAACTTTGAAGTTGCAAGCGAGGGGAAGTGGGTTCGATCCCCACTGGGGTGGACTGACTTTTTCACATCAACCCTTAGCACAGGATTTCATTCTGTGTTTTCTTTAACTAATACAGTATGAGGGCTAGTTTGACAAATGAAAATATCAACTTGACCATAAGAAAATTGTATCATTTCTGAACACATTGAATTGGCATTTCTATCCCTTTTTTGATAAATGTTGAATTCTTTCATATGATGTACCTTCATATTTGAGGAGAGTGGGTGGTTTGCTACATATTCATACAATGTACCTTCATATTTGAGCAGATTGGGTGGTTTGCTACATATTCATACAATGTACCTTCATATTTGAGCAGAGTGGGTGGTTTGCTACATATTCATACAATGTACCTTCATATTTGAGCAGAGTGGGTGGTTTGCTACATATTCATACAATGTACCTTCATATTTGAGGAGAGTGGGTGGTTTGCTACATATTCATACAATGTACCTTCATATTTGAGCAGAGTGGGTGGTTTGCTACATATTCATACAATGTATCTTCATATTTGAGCAGAGTGGGTGGTTTGCTACATATTCATACAATGTACCTTCATATTTGAGCAGAGTGGGTGGTTTGCTACAAATTCATACAATGTACCTTCATATTTGAGCAGAGTGGGTGGTTTGCTACATATTCATACAATGTACCTTCATATTTGAGCAGAGTGGGTGGTTTGCTACATATTCATACAATGTACCTTTATATTTGAGCAGAGTGGGTGGTTTGCTACATATTCATACAATGTATCTTCATATTTGAGCAGAGTGGGTGGTTTGCTACATATTCATACAATGTACCTTCATATTTGAGCAGAGTGGGTGGTTTGCTACATATTCATACAATGTACCTTCATATTTGAGCAGAGTGGGTGGTGTGCTACATATTCATACAATGTACCTTCATATTTGAGCAGAGTGGGTGGTTTGCTACATATTCATACAATGTACCTTCATATTTGAGCAGAGTGGGTGGTTTGCTACATATTCATACAATGTACCTTCATATTTGAGCAGAGTGGGTGGTTTGCTACATATTCATACAATGTACCTTCATATTTGAGCAGAGTGGGTGGTTTGCTACATATTCTAGGAGCACACTTCACATCTATAGTCTCCTCATAGCCAGTGGGTAGACCTTTCATGAACTCTTTCTTATGTTTGGTCAGTCCTAGCCACATATAGGCCTGTACCTTGGCTTGGAGGTTCCATCCTCCTGCTCCCTCCCCTTTCTTCCCAGCAAGCTAGAAGATAAGTAGATAGAATATAGTAGTAATTCACATATAATAGTAGGATTGTCTAGGATTGACTATAGAAAGTGTGAAATTACAAATACATATGTTCAATTTACTGAGGTGTACAAGTTCTGCCAAATTTCACTCTTTCACTATTTCTAAAACAATTACTGTAAAGAGGTAATTTTCCTCAATTTTTGAATATTTACCAATAAAATTCCCCAAAAAGCAACTGTAGAGTTCAATTCTCCCCTTTTTCCAAGTGAATTTTTTGTTTTCCTTATATGCTCTTTGGGGATTTTTAGAAAAAAAGCATGACACGGAATGATAATAAGCCAAAAATATTCTTCAATTGAAACTATTTTGTTAATGATCTATTTTGTTAATGTTGCTTGCTTAGATCTGATACTACCTTAAATAAAGACAAATTGCAGTTATCTTAATTCTCTGAACTAGTACGCATGTATAATATAAAGACATACATTTGAAGTAGGAAGCATTTAACTTTCAAAATTTACAATTAACACTCACTATCCTGCTCGTTGGATGATAAGAGTTTTCGATAACTTCCAGTAGTCTAACAGTGATAGTTAATATATCACACTTGACAGGTTGGAACAAAATGTCATATACACGACATGTTTCATTAGCAAGATATTTTTTTTAAATGAACCACACTTTCCTTTGCACAATTACAATATTGAGGGACCTAAACACGTTGAGTATATGTCATTTTGTTCCAATGAGGTTGGAATAGATGTTTCATTTCATTCCAAACATATGATACCAAGAACAAAATAAGTGTCTGATGTGTTTTCTAAAACAATATAGAGAAATGTATATACCTTATATACCTTATTATATATATAAAGGTATATTGTTTCAAATTAAATTGTTACCATTCAAAAGATGATCATTAAATTGACGATGTGTAAAATTTTCAGAATTTTTTGATGACTGGTTTGAGAGAAACATGTGTTTAATTTAGTTCGCCATATCCATACCAATCCTTTTATTCCTTAAAAACACTATTGGACATATTAAACACCTGATAATATCCAAGTTTTTTTTATGAATTAGGCATACCTCAGATGAGTCATTTAAAACTGCAGAAGATTCAGCCTTCCATATTTGGATAAAACCTCTCAAACTTTGTACTGTTTCAAGAAGGCACATGTAATTAATTAAAGTCAGACCGTACACTCAAATCAACATATGGCTTCTTTATATCCGTACTTGAACTTTGTTCAGTCAAATACTGAGACCAATGAGGGATTCTAAAAAAGTAAAAATGTTTCTTTATTTTCTTTTTTGCCTAATTGTAGCTCTTGAATATGTTGTCTTAGGGGCAGCAACCAATGATAGACAACCCAGTTGTAAAATATGCAAATGTAATGGAACAACCGTGGATTGTGAGGGTGTCAAGCTCGACAATGTTCCAAAAGACTTCCCACCAAATATAACTGAGCTAAGTCTCGCAAGATGTGGACTTGTGGAATTGAAAGACAATGAACTTGGAATGCTCTATAAGCACCTGAGGCGGCTAGATATCCGACATAATAAAATTGCTGCATTAAAGAATGTCACATTTGCTGGATTGAATGAATTACAATATATTGATATGGGTGGGAACAAATACAGGGCTGATGAGGTGGATCCATTTGTCTTCAGCTTGCTACCTAATATTACCGAAATCATCGTTAGAGGATATGGCGACACAAGAAATCACGATATAGACCGACATGTACCACGGGCATGGTTTGATACATTTAAAGGACTAGAAAATTCAACAATTGAAAGAATAACATTTGATGCTATATCTGAAAGTCCAGTGATCTTGAAAAAGGAAGATTTTGTATACTTGAATAAGTCCCCAGTTAAGTATCTCTCTCTTTATAATATAAGACTAGTAGATATTGATTTTGAGTTTCTTGGAAATCTCATTCACCTTGAAGAAGTAGATCTATCCATGAACAACTTGCAAATGAATATTAAGTACCTTAATGCTATAACGCAGCTTTTCAAATTGAAGAAATTAAGAAATATCAGCCTGAACGATAATTCCCAGAATTGGAATGAAAAAAATGAACGTGAGCTTCTACCAAAATTTATCGCAGAATTTCCACTTCCAGTGCCTCAGAGCATGGAGGAGATTAATTTTGCTCGATCAATTCTGGTCCGTGGCCCAAAGCGATATTTATCATATGGATTCAAAATTCAGAGGGAGAATGCAATAAGGAAAGTTGACGTATCAGGTTTCAAACTAATGCAAAGATTAGGACCAGTTCATGGAGCAGTTCATGTTAAGGAGTTGTATGCTGAAGATATTGGTTGTGAGATGTATCCATCTACATTTTCATGTGAATACGGAGCACTTGAATCCATTGAGATAATGAACATAGCACATAACTTCATTAACATGACTCAAAACAATGTAAAGCAGTTGGGATGTTCACCAACTGTAGCAGACTCCAACACATAGATTTGTCATATAATAGAATGTCCAAAATGCCATTTGTTATGTTCAAAGACTCTAACCAGCTTAGAACTGTCAACCTGAGTGGCAATGATCTAAAGCATATAAACACTGCCTTAGATTCAGCTGTTAACCTGGAAACCTTGGACATATCTAATAATCGACTACAAACAATACCGGAAGATATTCAGAATCTTGTGGATCGGCTGAACAGAAACTCGAATATGCAGGTTAAAGTTGGAATCAAAGGAAACCCACTAGTTTGTGGGTGCCAATCCTTTGACTTCATATTTTGGATGCAAGAACACAAAAAGAACATCATTGATTGGGAAAATTTAGAATGCACCTATTTCAATTTTTCCATCGTAAAAATGCATGCCATTGATTTGGTTGCAATGAAGTTCTCTTGTTGGAAAACAGTGATATTGGCTGGAACAATACCATGTGGAATCATGCCACTGTTTGGATGTATAGTGATTGTAATATACAGAAGAAGGTACAAAATACACTATTTGTACCTCAAACTAAGAGCTGCCCTTAGGAACCACAACAAGGAGAAAGACGAGTATGATTTTGACGCTTTCATAAGTTACAATTCACTGGATAAAGGATGGGGCCAGGAAACATTATATGCAACTCTGGTTGGTATTCACCACTACAGCATATGTATTGATGACATTAACTTCAGGCCAGGGCCATATATCTCCGATATCATCATTGATGCCATCAACAGAAGCAACAAAGTCATTCTGGTCATTACCCAAAACTTTCTCCGTAGCAGGTGGTGCAACTTTGAACTAAGCATAGCAAGAGGAGAGCTTGCCAATAGGGGGCGTGATTGCATAATCCTCATTCTGAAGGAGCCAATACATGTCCTACCAAAGGATCTAATCACCCCTACATTGCAATCACTTCTGGATACCCGAGTGTATCTTGAATGGAGTGATAATGCAGACAGACAAGCCGTGTTCTGGAGGAAGCTATGTGATGCCCTAGGTGATCCTAGACCACATAATGAGGAGCCGGGAGGCAGTCAGTACACAATGCCTCAGAATGAAGAAGATGAAGAAGTTGTACAAAGATTTTTAAGAAATACTAGATAATGGGCAAGTCAAAAGTTGTTAATCCTATGAACTTTATTAACTACTCATTCTGTTGGTCTTTTGTTATAATGTGAAGAGCAAGCACATTACAAGTTTTCTATCAATTCAAAAATCCTAAATCCTAAAACTAAATCTCAAGCTATACATATTCAGTAACAAGGCATGAACATGACAAAATGCCACCACCTACAAATGGTTTTAAAAGTGTAACAATTGTTACAGATGGTGTCCCTGACTGCCAACAAAAAAAGATTTATGAATAACAACTAGAAATCAAGATTGCAAGCAATTTTATGAAGGCCCTAGTAAGGATTTTTGACCCTTCATAGGTCAATAAATGGCCAAATCACATATAAAAGGTCAGATTACAAAGTTAGTTACTTATCCATCTTACTTATCCTATCTTGCTTTGATTCCTATGTCAGTTATCAAGTTAGTTGCTAATTTACTTACTAAGTTAGTTACAAAGTTAGTAACTTCAAAAGTTCAATGTCTGATAGGAAACTAAATAAATCTAGTAGGGGATCATTCAGTTTGATATCCATCAAATTTCAACATTTCAAATATTTAGCAATTTTCAATATACCTTGGAAACCAGCCATAGTTTTCTCCTGATGACCATTGTGAATTATTGTGTTTTATGGATTATGGCGACGGCTTTTGTGAATGGATGTTGACCCTTTTAAATGCCTATGGACTTGGAGACTGGATTTTATCTATCCCACATCATTTGAGACTGAATGCTCTATCTTGTATGAATACTTATATCTACAACAATTTTTGAGGTTATGAGTATTGGCTATCAATTTCTAATTTTTTCTTTCACATGTATTGTAATGACTTCAGTATGAATGAAATGTCCCTTGGTCTTCTGGTCTTGGATTGTGATATTGATTCTTGAATGGTGGGGGAAAGGGGGTATTAGACATTGTTTCTTATCATGTTAGATCATGGTTTTGGGCTATATGGGGTTTGTTTTTCTTGACTGGTATGCACTTAAAGTTTGCTTTTTCTTGCTAAGTTCCATTACAACTTTTGGTCCTTTCCCTTTGGCACTAGTGCTTATATATTTGGAATGGTTTGAAAATAAAAATTTACCTTATGCTTTCTTCTTCAAGATGCATGCAACATAGAATATTATGCTCTGTTGTTGTCACATGTTTTAAAAATTCTAAACATGTTAATGGTAATGCCCCACAAAAGTCCAAATCCAAGAAAACATGCGAGAAGTCCATGATCAAGTTTTGGGGAGGGGGTCAAACTCAAAACTAGATTTATTTAGTTTCCTATCAGACATTGAACTGTTGATGCCTTCCCTGAGTTGGTTGGTTAGTTTGTTGTTTTCAAACATCATTTTGTCTCTAGTGATCCATTTAACCTTTTGAATCCGAATAACCAAAGTGAATTTTTTTTGACCTTTTGAAGGTCACTGAAGGTCAAGTAAAGGTCAAATCCCAAATATAAGGTCAGGGAAAGTACAGATGTTTAAAAGGTTTGGTCAATTTGAAGCAAGTTGAGATACAATGACTTAAAAAACTTTGAAAGACCTTTTTCAATTTTTTAGCTCTTATATCTCAAAACTGGTACAAAACTGGTATTTAGTAAATAGTCAACTAGTGCTCATATTTGTAGAACCTTTAGAGGACTGTTTATCCTATTGATTTGTAGTCTCAAGCTTTCTGAAACAGATAACACCATTTGTAATCCAGGCCTGTCAACTATCCCGCGTATTTGTGACTGTCACGCATTTGCTGAAGAATTTGAAGTCACAGAAAATGTCAGGCAAATACGCATTTTACTTGGAAATTGTCAAGCAAAAATATTTTTGTAGAAAATTTTTTAAAAACGTCCGCCGATACAGCAAAAATGCGAACGCCCAAAAAATGATATGCATTCCGTTCAAACTTTTCACACGGATCGCGTATATGTCACGCATCCTGTTCGAAATTGGTCGTACCTGCCCCCCCCCTAGGTGTTCCCAAGTTGACTGGCCTGAATCTAGTTAACCTTGCCCTTGAAAATTTACCTTTTTAGACCTCAGAAGGTTTTTGTGATTGAGCTAACTTAAATTAGGAATCAAACAATCAATTTGAAAAATCATCTTTTTGACCTTTTGATGGTCATTGAAGGTCAATCAAAGGGGCAAATCTCAAATCTCAAGTCAGATTTCAGCTTGACAATATGTAGATGATTTTAGAAGAAAATTGGTCAATTTTCTTGTACCTTTTGACCTTCAATGACCACTTGATTACTGCCATAGTAACAGCTATTTGCAGAAATGTGTTGGAATTCATAACATGTCTATATATGTTGACAGTAAAAATTTCAAGTCAGTCTAGAAAGGACTTGTTAAGTAACTGGAATTTTGATATACAATGTAGATGCCAACCACAAAATGCCAAACATCAACCGCCAAACACCATTTACAAAAAATTGGAGACTTATAACAATTCGTCACCACATAAAAAGTCATGAGATTCATTATATCTTATTCAGGCAGATGATTTGACGCTAACTAATTTCATTTTGCACTACTTTTACATAACAAAATGTAAATATACAAATAAATGTAATATAAAAGCCACTAACCCTCAGGAAGAGAGTCTGTACTTTGGCACAATCTTTCCCACATTCCTCCCCAACAATGGAATGTATGATATCCTTGGCGGGGACCCTGATGTAAGCAACACGCTTGTTATTACTCAACATCCAAAGGAAAACATCAGGCAAAGCATCCTGAGGCTGCAATCGGGAAGAGTAAATACATTTTCTTGTATTTAATTTTAAATAAGGTGAAAAATGCAGGTTTATAAGAACAGCATTGCAAAAATGCATTTCCATCCCATATGCAAGACAAATATTTTTCAATTCTAAATTTTCTCTTTTTACAATTTCATTATTCTGTTATCATGATATGAAAAAGTTTATGTTATCATAATGTGAAAACACTGGTCTTCTACCTCATTTGCCAGATGTTTGAGCTTGTTCAGGCAAACAGCAGTAGATTTGAGGCGTTCCTTCAAGTTGTGTTTGTTCGTTGTAGCTTTTAATGTTCGAGCATATGTGCTAAGTTGCTCCTATAAATATAACATTCAAACTTAATATATATTCATAGGTGTCATGTCATGAGCAGATGGGTCATTCAGAAAACCAATGCGATGACCAAAAGCATTTGCATTAGAAAACGTTCACATTTCAAGGTTTCTTTATATGTAAGTCAATGGGAGATGAAAAATAAGGAGCAAGAAAGTGTTCCCATTTAGAGGTCTTCGGATTAGGAAGATGTTCAAATATAAAGGTTTTACTGTTATTGAAGACACAGCCAATGATCATGAATAACAAAAGATCCATATAAAGTTCACGCTATAATACATATGGTTAAATCTTACCACATCTCGCTGACACATCTTACTCCTTTCCTTATCAAGTTTAGTTTTTCCTGCATTAACACCCCCTGAGCTTCTGCATAGCTGACAGTACTTGGAACAACTACTCCCTAGTTCTTCTAAGACCCCCTTCAGACGTCTCTCAGGGAATGGCCTCTCTTGATTTATCATTTCATTCACATCAGCCATGCCATCTTCCTGAAATTAAGGAAAATGTACAATATCTAGAAACCATAAACAATTAAAATCAAATAGGATATACTGTATTGGGTAACCATCAAACATGGAAGTTCATTTTTGAGATATTTACATACGTAAAGTGAATTTGCAAACATTTCCTCTGAAAAATTATTTTTATATTTTGAGTCTATATACACACTTTACTTTATTCTCACCAGTTTGTCACAGATGCGCTTCAGCACATTGCAGTTATACATTCTCCTCCGATGGTCTTCAAACCAGCATTTCACATAGAGACATGGCTTCTCTGCATTGTAAGGTACTGTATAGTAGAACTTGTCTCTAGTTATTGGCTTTAATGGTTCTGATGTGCTATGCCACATTGGAATTTCTGGTGTACTTTGGGCAGCAGATTCAACCAATGAGGTGCTTTCATCATCTTCACTTTCCTGGGTTTCTACGATAGTAACATTCTGACCATCTTTTGTGTTGCCATAGTTACCTTGAAATTATTAAAAATTGGATTAATTTTTACGGTGCAATAAAGTTAAATGAAGGAAGGTGCAAAGGGCAATATTTTATTTGTACATAATGGAGGCATACTTTGTGGCTTTTGAATATTATTGAAAGGACTGAGGTCTTCACTTTATCTCTTCATTCAATGTCTTTGTTCATTTAAATAATAAACTGATACCTAAAAAGATTACACTGTAGTGATCCGCCATTGCTATGACATCAGAGAGTCAATAAAATAGATAAATATAATATATTACCTATACTGAGTTCAAAATGTATTGGCTTTTCGCCCACCTTCTTGTCAATCATAGTGGCCTCAAGTATTGTAGTAAAGAGGAAATACTCCTCTGGTCTACCAGCAGCATTCTAAATAAAACAAGGCTATGGCAATATAGTACAGAAAAATCTGTCCATGTGGAACAGCTTTGGTACCTCGAAAATATATTCAACTTGGGTGTTCCACTTATAGAGGTTAATTCAGCTTAAGGCAATCGGTCTTGGGACTCTAAAAATGTTCCGCTAACAGAGGTGTTCAAGTTCTAGAGGTGTTCCACTTTACAGGTTTCACTGTACTTTGAAAAAGTGTTACAGACAGTTTGCTCTAAATCAGATGTTTTAATTTTTCATATTATTCAAATTCAAATAAGTTATGATACCCATTTAAGTTGGCTTGAGTCTTGAATTTTATTGTATAATTCTACAACATGTAATAAAAAATCAATTTTTCTTGCATCAGTAAACATATTTTCTGAACTTTAGAATTCAATATTTTCTTTTGAAGCTTTTGTATCAATCATGGCATGCAATCATAGTAGGTAATAAAGAGTAATTTACATTGCCTGTACTAAAATAATTGAACATAATAAACAATTATTGCATTTGTCAAAACCAATTACCTCAGGTATTGGTAAAGCAGGTTCAACTTCTACTTGTGTGCTGGAAGCACTCTCCTCGTCAGAAAGTTCTGTCTTCAACGAGACCAACAGGCGCCCTCTGTATGACACACCTTCACCAAGACCATTATTAAGGTGACTATGTTCCCGTAACATGCTATAGTCCCGTATAGACCCATATAGATTAATCCAGCTGGGGCCAAAAGTTGGTAAGAATCCTACACACAGGAAGCATGCTTTAATAACTTTTTTCAATTACCAGTAATTTTTTTTTGTTTGAATAAAGGCAAAATCAGAGAAACAAATCACACTTTGACTTATTCAGTGTATTTTGTCTCATATCAACGAGTTTTCTAATATATTTTATATAACATGAGAAGGTCAGTCATACTCTTAAAGGTGTTATGACCTCCGATTTTGTAAAATGGCCCTCTTTATATGTACATATAATAGACTAAACAGGTTATGTGTAGTTACAATAAGCCACAAACTGATCCCTCATTATACCCCATAAACTACCATTCCTGGATAGATATTAATTACGTCTATGGTTTTAACTGAATAAAGCATCTCAGTAGGCTCATTTTACTTAAGGAAACATCATTCTAAGAATTCTCTTGTAGGCAATTATTGGTCTTACACATTTTGAACTAAGTGCTAATAAATCAAGGTCATTATAACCTATGTAATCATCACCTTTCTCTCCATCATTCGAAACTTTATTGATGTCAATAAAATGTGTTCCTATGACATCATCATTCACGCTGTCATTGTCACGTAACTGAATCTTGAATCTGCGACACAATGGGGGAAACATCTCTGTAAAGACGACCTGTTCATTCCATAGGGGCTCATAGCAACCTTTTTGTACTGATGTCTTGCCCTAGAGTAACAATATGGACACATTTCATCAATCACAACAATGTAAATACAACTACAAGGGTAAACCAACTGTTAATTACATGCCTCAACACAAAGGCAAACATGATGAGCCAAAAAACGGCTTGGAGTCACAAGTGTTCATTTTGTAAGTGTTCAATACAGGGAAAAGTGCTCACTAGGAACAGGTGTTCACTCTGACAATTTGTATATTTTCGCTTATTATAACCATATATTCTAGGAATCTGACTGAAATTGAAACCAGGCTAAATATATCGTAGACAAAAGTGTTATAACATGTACAGAATTCCCTATGGAACCAATAATACGATGAGCACGATATACAATACATGCTTTTTAGTTTATATGTTCCATTGATTGCCTCATAGGCTCATACTATGTCAGTCTACTCTGATATATATCAAGTGCAAAGAATCATCGACACTACTTGGGGATTTCCATACATGCAAATCTCTGGTGTGCAACATCTCCAATTAAGTTCTAGTATCCGGACTTGGCTCAAACAATTCAATACACCTCCGATAAAAATGTTGCACTAAAAGCTACAAATTCCCATTTTATTATGTGGCATCAGAAAAACTCCACACCAAAACTTCATTTGCATAAAAATTCCTTGGGAGAGCATCGTGACCAGAAGTCAGCCTCATACTATTCATGTCTAGTGTATCACTATCATTCTTGAGCTAGCTTCTAGACAATTGAGGACAAAATATTCTTGCTCGTGTATCATTCTTGAGCTAGCCTCTAGACAAGTGAGGGCAAAATATTCTTGTTTGTGTTTGCCATTCTATTTGTAGGTTGTATATGTAAATGCACTCACCTTTTGACCTGCGAATGACACCAACACATAAGGGTCAACAAGGTCCTTTGATTCACCAGTAAATGCTTTTTTCACATTTGCCATGATACTAGATGTCATCTTGGGGAGGCCCTCTGCCCTGTATACCTTAAGGATGAACTTTGCCCTTTGTCTTTCAGTGGGCATACCATCTGGGAGGAGTAGGTTACTGGAACGCAATGCTATTCAGTAAACATTTACACTAATGAAAATTGTTAGGTCAGATAATGTTGTAATACTTGATCTTTTCAGAGAATAATTCCAAGTTACTGTGATTACATAACAAGTGCAATGTACTCCTGTTTTCGCTCCAGGGTCATCCGAAAATATCCCTGGTCAAAATGTTTTGTCATTTTAAATAATCTAAAATTTTTCATTGTGAAATAACTTCTGTTTGTATTTTTGACAAAAAGAGAATTAACCAGTACAAGCCTCACCTTTCAATGTCATCGTCATCTTTATCAAGCTTCTTTGGAGGAGTCTGAAATAAGTAGTATCAGCCAATTTATTTTTGACAAAGCCTGTCTTTATCATGTATGGAGTTACATTTTATCAAATGAGCTTTGAAACCAATAACTTGTTCTTAAAGTGCTTTTCTGTTTAAATCTTCTGATTTAATTTATTAATAAGTCAAAATTCAATATTAAAATAATCATTAATTGTTTCAATTAAATGCCATTTAGCATTAGATCATGTACTGGTGTATATATTACTAACCAAAACACCACCCTCTTATGCTATTTTCTTAAAAATCAATGAGCTCTGGCTTTATTTCATGGAGATACAATTCACTTTAATTTTTGAGATTATTTGGCAATAATTTTGAAATTCCTTGTAACTTGACATATTTGATCAGATAGGCCATCTCCTTTTCAGCTATTAAATTGAGAGCATATGGGACACACTGACATAAAGGTTGAACAAATTGGACACACTGACATATTAAGCGTTGAACAATGCTTCCATAATGTTACACTCTCAATGGATCCTTCGCTTCCACTTCAAACATGCAAACTCTCAATTAAGAAGCAAGAGATACAAGTACTGAACTCTCATGATCGCTTATACACAGTCAAGAGGATAACTATGAAAGGCATTTGTCATCTGTTGATTGATGAAGAATGCAAATGATAGAATAATCCAGAAAATATAAAGAAAACTAATGCATAATTAACACTAACAATCTATGACCCCCCTCTCATCACCATATTAAATTAACTTTCTAGTCATGAAAAATAGTATTTGAACAATAATTTCAAACATTACAAGGGGCCTTTAAATATATTGTCCTCTTACAACAACATCATGATTTCCATGGTTACAACAATAGATTTAGGAATTTCTGTGGCTTAGAATTCAAGAGATGCAGAGTTTCAAGGTATCATAAATGTTCAAGAGAGTGATAAGCTACCTTGACTGTATCTCCTTTTCCTATGACAGCTATATCACACTTCAAGAAACCTTTAGGTCCACTTGAGATATCATCAGGGTCTGTTAGCATCGCCCATTTGTTGAAAAATAAATGATCTAAAAAATAAATATATTTTCATGATGAATGTGTTATAGCGAGGAGTACATGCGTGAGAAATGGTATAATGGAAAATGGTACACAATTAGAGATCAATAAATCCAATTTATGGGAAGCAAATTAAGGTAATCATCCCATTATGGCACAGGTCACTGTAATCATTACAGGAATATGCATAAAATACAATAACACGCGAGGAAATTCAAGGTAAACGGTAAACAAGCAAATATTCAGATAAATACTCAGAGGTTTGGAAGAGGATAGTGAAAATGGCTTGTTGTAATAAGAGAAACATGAATTAAAGATTTGAATGGAGAAATAACAGGAAATCTCTCCAATAAATATTTCACAATAATGATTGGAAATAAATGCAGAGATTGAGCTAATAAAGATATAGTTACAACAACATTTAATATAAAGGCCTCCCTGTTAAAGCCAGACCCCATATATCCTTTTAAAAACCATAACAGCCTATAATTTGCGCCATCGATATACTTTGTAGTCTGCTCCTGGACCCCCATATATCTTCTTTAACAACTGTTGTTGAAGTAAATAAGGGGGGGTCAAGGGTTTTAAAGCAAGACTATACCCTTTGATACAAACCATCATTCCGTGAATGCTAAAGCTTGAAATATTCACCTATAGTAATGCCTTGTTCACATTTGCTCCGATTCATCAGCCGGCGCCCGGCCGATTGAGTATTCTGTTTAAAACTGAATACAATTGTGAACAGGTTACTCAATCGGCCGGGCGCCGGCTGATGAGTCGGAGCAAATGTGACCCATGCATTAATGATATGAAAAGTGCACTGTGCTCCTTTAAATTACTCTAAAAGTATGCACAAATGAGGAATAAGAACCCCAAATATTACAGGGTAACAATGATAACCTGATAACAAAAATCACCTGACTAAAGTAACCATAAAGTCACAATATTCACAACCAATTTTTCCTATTATTGTATTGATTATTAATACCATGGAAGCTGAGGCAGCATTTATTATCCAAATCTGTCATTTTGTGGTCTGGTGACTTGTACTTGATCTCTAATAGAAGGAGATGGTAATCTAATAGCATAATCCTTTTATCAAATCCTATGGGAAAATATAATGATCAGTACACCTGTCTAATTTGAACACCAATGGGACTGGTAAAAAGTGCTCAGATTGGCAGGAAGTCACAATTCGATTTTTTGTAATATGTGGGTCTAAGGGAGAAAAAATGTTGGGCCGAGAAAAAGTGTTCACACTGAAAGGTGTTTGAATAAGAGAGGTGTTCAGATATACAGGTTTCACTGTATACTGAAATGTCTACTCTGAAATCCATACAGTCTCATATAATATAATACTATATCATAGTAATACTATAATACCTGATAAAAGTATTGATCACCATAGAATAAAAAACACCAAACCTGCTAATGGAATGATGTCACTGGAAAAGCTATTAGCTGAAAAAACTGAGTAACAAGAGGAATTGAAAGACAGGTGCATCCACAAATTATTTTCCATAATATGAAGCCATTATACCAAAAGGGGCTTGTTTCATCACCTGACATGTACCTGGAAGTATAGTGACACTTACTAAATAAATAATGCCATAGTAACTGGAACAATTGATTTACTGGATTTGTTTGATATTCATTTAATGTTATGTCTGTTAAGATGGTATTCTTTCATCATATTGAGGAGGTCTGGATAGTTGATTTGATTTGAAAACTATATTTATTCTGGGTAGTTTTATCAATTCAACAACTGGCCCAGTGATAATCTACAATTATTCATATAATTCAAATCAAATCATATCATTTTTACATGACAATTCCAGAAAATTCCAGAAACTAATGAAACAATTAAACTTCTTAGCCTTGACAATTGAAACATTCCTGGTAATAAACCTTAGAGCATACGCTATCATCAAAGAAATGGAATTAAAAGACACTAAATAATGTAAGAACATTATTGAAAGCCTGAAGAACTACTTCGAATTATTTGAAAGAGCGTTAATTGTTTCCCATGAGAGAGAAAGTAGCAAATCGATTCCATAAGTTCAAAGAATTCCCAATGAAAGAATGCCCTTGTATTCCCTGATCAAATCATTGTGATCAGTATTGCTTTAGTATGCGATGTAAACTGCTTTGTATTAAAGATAAGGCACGCAATAAGTTGAAAGACACACAACAGTGTTCTGAAGATAGCGAATAGACACTAGCTGGCCACTGGAGTCTAATCTGATGTAGTCTAATGACATGATAAAACCCATGGGAGTCTCAATTGACCAAAATATATCATAATCAACTGTAAAACTATAGAAAGATGAGCAACAACTTCATCCAAACAAAGAATATAAAATCTCATCTTTTAGAGTCTTATTTTGACATAATCATTATTTTCAGAAAAACTGGGGAATTACCATATATGGGAGTGGTGATATTGCAAAATGCAGTGATATATGAAACAATATGATTCAATTTTTGGAAATCTGGAAATATCCTGGTGAGAGCCCTCCACAATATTAAAAAAAAAACACTAAGATGTTTCTTAGCTTGAAATTAAAAGATGGGAAGTCTTTTACACCCCCCCCCCTTTTAAACTTTTGGTTAATTTCCAAATTTTGCCATTGAGGTATTTCTTCTTACAACACTCACTTTATGAAAAAATAAGGGCCCATTTTTCCTTATTTAACTTAACAAACTGATCGCTATGTTTCAAGTGTGATATATCTACATAGAGGAAATGCATCAGTTTGAAAGCAATCGGGTAATGAAAATGCCATTAAGGTCAGAATGACCATACCAAATTGATAAGATGAGCTAGGTAAAGTAGATGACATCTTGCAGGACCCATTGATTGATTAAGTCATGGGACTCATTAATTGATTAAGTTATGGGATTCATTGATTGATAAAGTTATGGGACCCATTGAATGATAAGTTTGTCAAAGGATAGCATATTAACTGCTCCCATAAGTACATGGAAAACCAGACCAATTGAAATATTTTAAAATGTCAGCTATTCGGCATCAATATATTATTTGTTTGAATTTTATGTTTTACTCTATTGATCAAGTTGTTAATGCTCTGAGTGGACCACATCTGTTAGTGGACCACTTTTCAGAGCCCCAACACCAACTGACTTGATGTTAAATAAACCTCTGAGTGGAACACCTCCTAAGTGGAACACTTTTTAGAGGTACCAAAGGTGTTCTACTTAGACAGGTTTTACTGTAGATAACTGTGTAGATGCACATATTTCTGAACTTTGGCAGCCATTTTCTTCGCAACATTGTCCTCTCTATAAAATTCATTTTATATCCATCCTAAAGGAGAAACCTAGAATATTTCATTTGTTTCAAATTGGCCAGGAAAACTGACCCCAAAGCATAAAGTACACAGATTTCCATTAGCAATAAGATTAATGGTGATAAATCTTTTAACATTTCGCAGGAACATTAATTATTGAAGCATTATGGTCAATGGACTCAATTTGTCTCATACAAAAAGTTTGGACAGGAGCAATGTTATCAATGGGGATTTTTCATTTAAATACTATAATATGTCAATAATTTCTAGTCATCAGATATTTTTGTTGCCTTGGCTGTTATCAAATCATTTGCACGGTGTCCAACTCAAACGCTCTCACAGGCACGACGGAGCGTTTCATTCACACGGAAAAGCTGCGGAGCGAAATAAAATGGCAGCTAATGAAGATCCCACTATGACTGGAAGTACCGTGATTTGAAAGAGAGTTATTTCATTCTTCCTTTACAACGTATGAACATTATTCAATTTTTAATATACAATAAACCATCAATTAACCAATATAATTATATACCATCAAACATGTATTGTTAGTAGAAAGATTCTGATGCGCACAATAATTATGTTAAATCTATGTATCATACATATTTCTAACCCTACTATCACACCAAACTAGTTCTCACTACGTTCTCGAAAACGGGCTTCAACTGTGTACGAACGGACTGGACCTACTAAGAACCGTTTGGGATCTATTTACAAACGTCATCAAACGTACTTGAACGGGTAAGTCCTCTAGAATTTAGACAATGCTTAAAATGTTCTCGTGGTCGTCACGTTCTACAATTAAAACGAGTGACAACGTACTAACGACGAGCTGGACGTACTACGAACGGAACCGTCGTACTTCAATCCTACTAGGGACGTTTTAACAACGAGTTGAACTGTCTGAGGACGTGTTGAGAACGAGGTAGAACTCATTGCAAACGGGTTTAAACTGATTAAGAACGTATTTAGCACTGCTTATGAACGAGTTAGCAAATATATAGCTATCACACCAAACAAGTTGCCACTGCGTTCTCCAAAACTGGTTTTAAACAGTGTGCGAACGGAATGAACGTAGCTGCAACTTTCTAAGGTCTATTTACGAACTTTATGAACATTCTCAGACGGGAATGTGATTTTAGAATTTTGAATCGATTCAAAATTCGATGGCGACCATACCGTTCTGTAATCGGGTCATGTTGACCTTCTAGACTAAGGGACGCGTTCTACGACTTTGTACACCGACGTGGTGCGACCTGAACGAACTGCGAATGAGATGGACGTATTGAAGACTGTTTAAGAACGAAGAAGCTAATTATTTCAGACATATTTCCCGACCACAGCCAGATTGAGCCCGTTTTACGACGTTTTCGTAGGACTGGCAAGAACGGGCAAGAACTAGTTTGGTGTGATAGGGGGGTTACATTTACGATATAGTGGTGTACAGTATATGCAAGCTTTCATACATCAAAGCACCTGAAGACAAACAACAAAGTCTACTCTGTTATTCAAACAAACAACGAAAATAATGGAAACTACCATCAAAGGAGTTAAATATGCTACTTGAGTTCAATGAAATTGATTATTCATAAAGTTATGACCCGAGACATCCCGGAAGACAACTAGACACAGACAGACGCTATTTCAAAGTAAAAGTCATTTAGTCTCAAACGTCTTCTGGTCTTAAACTACCCCCAAAGAGCTACGTATAATATGGCAAGTGATTTTCACCGTAAATTCGATACTTTTCCTTGTAACAATATGTGTATAGTCCCAGAATAAAAATATCAAACTCTCCTTTTTAAAATAGTGAACATATTTTCAAAACAGACAATAAATAGCATTGGATATCTAACTTTAATACCATACAAAGGTGATTGATATAAGGCTGAAAAACTAGACAGTGTCAGACTTTCCTTATATGAAAATAACATTGGATATGTGGTCTTCAACTTAATTCCTATTCAACACAGTGCTCCCTTTCAGAATATGACATTGTGTAAAAGAAACTTTTGGGATGTTAAAAATGAGAAGATCCTATTTTTAGAAAATAAGACCAAGGAGGGGTCTTAATTCATGGTTTTTAAATGGTCACATTGATATTTCATTAGCCTGGGAATTATGCTTAGACAATAACATTTGATATAATGAAATATGTTGTTCTTTGGGTCAAAAAATACTCCTGGTAAAATCTATGTTGTCTAAAATCACTTACCGTACCATATATTTGGTATTTTTGATTGTAGAAATGTGCATTTAGACTGCTGTTTCCAGCTACAAATCAATTAGTGTATTCGGAAACATAAATCTGGGCTGGTAAATTCTCATTCCCTATTGGAATTTTGCTATATTTTAGGATCTGAATTGGAGAGAGACAAATCATATTAACACCTATGCAAGAATTGAACCTGGGGCCAATCAGTTTAATATATCATGACAGTGATCATCCATGTCTCCAATAATCACGAAATTGTGCATTACTATTTGTAATTAATAGTTACAATGCTATTCTATAATGCTACAAGGCGACTGGCAGCATATTGAGTAGTGTAGCCTACCAAAGTTAAATAATATGAATAATGATAATATGAAATGACAAAAACCTATCACGCAATCAGCCAATCAGTTTAAATCAGTTGAGAATTCAAATATCACTTGTATGCGAATATATTCTGACATTTTCATCAGCTCTGTGTGCTTCCTGGACAAATTATCTAAAATGAGAATGTTGCGTCAATTTGAGAAATCCAGGTCAATTATACACTTCAGTGCACTGCTACACGGTTATCAAAACCTGGGCAAGATAGCTCGATTGTAGATGCCCATACTGTCAAAAGATGGCAAAAATTTCATAGAACCAAAGCATTGATTTAAAAAAAATTAGTTTGATTAATATTGATATTTTGAGTTTATTAGAGCAAAATTCACATTTAAACCATTGGGACAGGACTTGAGGAATCAACAAATAAACTGCCCTTTACATGTATGAGTCCTCGTCCCTTTTTGCTATCCAAGATCCTATCAGTAATACATGGGGACTTTGCACTCCCCTCCAAAAGTTTGCAACCAAAAGTCACATTTTGGATCACATATAAAAGCCTGTTTATGATCCATAAAAATGCTTTAACATACTATCAAATGACTTCCAATTTCCAAACTTTTGGGGGAGGGTGTATAAAATACCTGTATTACATAAAAGCCTAGCTTACCTTTCTGGCTATATACTGTGCCTACATCAATTTTAAAGATGGCTAATGGTTTTTTGGTCCGAAGGAACATCCCTGAATGTAGCACCTAAAGCCATACATAAAAACATAATATTGGGCAAAAATAGATGGGTCTGAAAAAGGGAATAGGGGTTAGTTGATCATCTAAGCAAGCAGACAAACAAGGAAACAAGCAAGCAAACACATAACATCAAACATACCAACGCCAGTGTTTTCAGGTAAGCAAAGATAAACTACAAAAACAGTCCAGAATTTCATTAAGATTTCATGAGCTGAATGCTATTTTATCAAAATATGACAGCCAAATGATCATAAGATAAGTAAAGAATACATGAATAGAAAGTTTACACTAAAGAATACATGTACAGCCTTACTCAAAATTAATTAAATCAAACATGACACAAAGTGATAAATATCGCACTTGATATTCACAATGACTTCGTTGTAAATTACTGCCCAACATGCCCAAAACCTAATCAGATCTTGGCGATATTGTGATTTCTAGAATTTGTAGAAAATTCAAATCAAATGAATAAATGAATGATTGGTTTTCGTTCTCAAAATTTGTGCCATCATCCCATGCCATATACCAATTGAAACAAGACTATGACAATATATCACTTGTCAAGTGCGATACAAAGTAACACGGTAACACATGTAGAGGGAGATGGATAAACTGAGTTTAATGGAAAGATGATTATAAGCACCAATTTTATAGATGTAAGGAATTACACAGAGATGTGATGCATAGCATGGGTAAAAGGAGTTTGAACTAGGGTTAAAACAGATTCAGTAATCAAAACGATAAAATAGAAAATTAAGATAAATATGATGGAAAATGGATATATCTACCAGATGCACTGTAAACGGTGCCTACATCGAGCTTGAATGTGCCAACTATGGCGCCTGATCGAAGGAAATTGCGGGAATGGAGCACCTACAACATAATGGCATTCTAGACTAATGGCCCATGGATTTGCATCTACAATCTCTATGTTTTTCAGCTATATTATCTTGCAGCTCTATTTAAAGGCCAGTCTCTGTAATTCTGATCCTAAACTATCACAAATTGTATATTTGTCATAATGACCTCTCACTTGCACCATGATTTTGATAACCTTTTCTGAATTATATAAAAGCTTGAAAATTGCTCAACCTGTTGAATTGAGATGCTCTCATTTTTTTATTTTGAAGAACAGGCAATCCACATATTGCTTAAGCATTTTTGTCAAGCTTTCATATTAACAGAAAAGTTAATTAAAAAAGTGTGTATTTGATGGTGCAAAGTACAGTAACAGATCGTTGTGAACTAAAACATTTTGGGGTTTAGGATCAGAACTACAGGGTCCATCCCTTTAAGAGAAATAAAGGTGATATGGCGGTTGCTTCTTGGGTAATTCATTAATCCCCAGGAACATGGATCTTGATTAATTCAAATCAGATAATGGAACTGAGGTAATAACCCAAAGAATTAATAATCGTATAACAAGGTGCACAAAGGATGATGCAATATTTAGAGGCATTCAGTTCAATTGATGGAATATTCGCCTGATTTAATATAATTAGATTCTGAGATTTCAATTTGGTGAGAAGGCCTGTAGCTGACAGCCAATCTATTATATGAGGACTATCTACTGTCAGAGCAATTATTGAAATAAAGGTTTATGTAGGTGGAGAAATGTGGAATACAAAGACGTGATACGTCATACGTGAAGTGACAAAGGGGTTCAAGAACATGGCCCTCAAACATAATCATTTTCTTAATGAATTGAGCCACAAAAAACAATTCTGATGTCCCCTAAAAAGGTGTTAGCTATTTATTCTAAAATACATATTAGGTTTATAGGAATTTGTTGTTGTTTTGTCATCAAATGTTGCTCTCTGTGTTTTCTCAATACTTTCAGATTTTTTTTTCAATTTTTTTCTCAAACAAATTTTAGGCTAATGCATGCCTGTTGTCATAAAACCAAAAAGTGTTCACATATTATTCAGTGTAAACAGCAACATTTATTATTTTGTAGGAACATGTTTGTCATATTCACCTATAGATCTGAATTTCTGAGTTGTATTCATGGTTTTGCATGATTCATTACAGTTTATTTGTTTATCAAATACAACCTTGCGTGTATTTCAATGGTATTACTAAAACTGAACATTGATTGATTTTTACGCACCTTTGGTCCATTGAAAAACATTTTTCATGATTTCTGTGTATTTTCTGTTTATATTTGGATAAAGGTTCTTTATCTTAATTTTCTACATCATAATCAATTACTACTCCAGGCTGAAATACATTGGTGAACACACAAAAAATATTAACCTCCAAGTAAAAATCAATTATTTGATTATATTTTTATTTGCACAATTAATCTAAATAAATATTAAACATTAGATGAAAATATCAATTCTGTTGTAGAGTGTAGAGTGTCATCAAAATATGATATTTTGCACTGGTATACAGGGTGACCCAAGAGTAGGTTTACAGTTATTGAAGTATCTGTAAACTGTTACTGTAAACCTATTTAATGGCAACCCAGTTTACTAATATTCAGAAAGTAATTACAAGAAGGCATTAACATGACAAATTGTCACCACCTAGTTGCTCACAATATCATGGGTTCTGAGTCAGCTTTGAACTTCTGAGAACTTGTAGATGATTTTGGAAAAAAAATCAGACAATGAAAAAATACCTTTTTGACCTTTATTACCTTGAGAAGGTCAATGAAGGTCAAGTCTTAAATCTAAAGTCAGATTCAAACGTATTAGAACTTGTAGATGATTTTGGAAAAATTTGGTCAATTTGAATCAAGTTTACAAAAGACATTGAAGGTCAAATCTCAAATTTAAAGTCGGATTTGAACTTCTGAGAAATTGTAGATAATTTTGAAAATAAAATTGATCTATTCAAAAAAATAACTTTTTGACCTTGAGAAGGTGAAGGTCAAATCTCAAATCTAGATGATTTTGAAAAAAATTGAAGTCAGTCTAAACAGTATTTGTTAAGTTGTTACAGACGCCGGCCACCACCACCCACCATCACAAAAAATGGAGACCATATCAATATCTTACCATCGTCACCACTTTTGGTAATGACATAATAAAAAAGGAATCCTTGAAGAACTTTCAACTAGTTACAATAACTTTGACAAAATTAATATATTTCAACAAAAGACAATACTCAGAATGAAAGATTACTTTCATTAAGCTTTGTGAATAGAAATGTACTTGTCTTTGTTTTTTCCATGATTTCCCAAAAGGCCCGTTTCTCTTTTCTGCTGGCGTAATTGGCCAGATATTTAACCCTAAGCAATAATTCTAACGGAGACATTAGGTTCCAAGAACTTATGCAATATTTATAAACTCGTGCTAAAGGTAGTCTAACTAAAACAATCAGTCTAATTTAATTTAACATCCAGTGTGGTGCTTTTATTGCTGATTTGATTTATTTCTTTTAAGTCTTGTTTGGTTTCTTTTTGATCTTCTCAAAGTGCAGTTAATTCATTCAGAATTCAGAATTATCGCATTATCTCTAAAGTAATAGTCTAAGCAATTCGGAATTTCCTACATGAGGTCCATGAATAAAAAAAATATAACAGTCTCATCTTGACTAAAAAAAACAAAGCAATAGTAATTTGGTGCAGATCATAATCATTTTAAAATCAAAAAACACTATTCTAGACAGGAATGGCAATTTCAAATACAATATTTCAAATTGTTGTTGTAACTATGGGTTTAAACTTTAAATGCAGTGGAGTTTCATCTTATCAAGTTTGGGTTTGGAAGTTGGAAATCTTTATACTTTACAAAAATATGATTTTTTTGGGAGGGCCTGCCACCTTATCGCAATGGACCCTTCCCAACCTCCTCATTGATATGTAGGCTTAAAAGCTGGAAATGTTCCAATAGAATTTTTAATTTGTGAAAAATGGGCCTTAACAATTTCCAGATTTGGTTAAAGGCCCTATCTAAAGGCATGAGCTATGGTCACTCACATCACAAAACATTGTGCTAAATATGTGGCTTGTGAGTCTCTAAAAGGCATAATTGTGCTTAAATATGGCAAGTGGTTCCTTAAAAGGTGCAAACTATAATGGGCACACATCACCAAATTCTGTGTTTGAATTCTCATATATAGCATCTAAAATGCATGAACTATTAGGCATGAAATGCTTCAACACAATCACAGGGCATGTGCATAGATTTTATATATTCTTATCATTTAAGAATCCAGCACAAACTAACACATACAAATGAAATGACAATAGCTTCGATTCAGATGGCAATGACATATTATAGCAATACATCTACTCAAGAGTATTTGCATTATCAAAGATGTCCCAAAATGCTAAATACTTTCAAATGAAAGGTAAAATTAGACGTCAAATTTCTGATTGTATGTATTAATTTGTACTAAAGTGAAATGGAATGAATTCTGCTTTTACTGAGAAACTGAGATAAATTTCTGGATTATACTGTTTTACTGACATTTTTACACTTTACTTTCATTCATATTGAAAAATGGTGAGTATTGATATCAATTGCAAAAAATAAGTGACTGCAAATCACAAATGAATGCATAATTTTAAAACAACTTTTTCCATATTATGATTTCATACAGGGCGGACCATTATAAGTGTTCTGAACATCAACTACAAACCAGTTCTAGCAATATATTGGCCCACCCTGTGTAAATGTGACATATTTAGTTTCAAAATGAATACCAATGTTATACTTACACTCAATGTTATTATATGGTCGAACATCATAGCTGGGGTTAAACGGAAGTCAAAAACAAAATACTGAAACAAAAAAAAGAAGATATTATTAAGAATTTAATTTTGAATTTATGCATCGCCATCGCCTCAGAGTAGCAAAGCCCACCTAACAAAACATAGTTTATCCAAATCACTTTACTTATTATGACAATTGTCATTTTGAACATATCATGACAGAAATAACCAGGCAGGAGTTTTGCCTCTTTTTGGGCAAATTCATTAACTTAAATTTGAGCCATTAGAAATCATATTTATTCTGAAAAAGTTGGACATTTTGAACTTAACTTAATTTTTAACTTAAACATATGAACAGTTTACATCTCGGCAAGTTGTTTATAATATTGGAAGCATTTGTTTATTTTAGATAAAAATCAATGTCAGTCAATGTCATCCTGTCAAGGTAAACCCTTAACCTTGGATTCAATTTTGAAATGGTCATAAATTAGGATTCGATCAACCATGATTCACAATGTTAAAAATATTCCCAACAAATCAGATTGCTTATTTAATGCTTTAATATTTGCCTACATACCTCATTATAAAAAGGGCAATTTGTTGATTCTTGTACACTGGTATATTTCTTCTGATCGCCTACTTGGACACATACTACTGGATCCATGTTCAATCCTGCTAGCTGCCGTGCTTCTATCACTGTAATACACACCTGAAATGTGTCATAAAGAAATGTTATTCCAACATTAATAAAATATGGACATTTTTGGGCCCACTCTGTATATGGCCTGGGCAGGGGATTAGGGAATTAATACAACAAATATCAAATGATGTGATAGTTGAATATCTGAATATATTTCTAATAGAGGTGTTTATTCAAACATGGACATTTTTGGCCCAACCTGTATTACCCTAACTTGCAATGGATTAAGGCAGGAAATTAATACAACAAATATCAAATGATGTGATAGCTGGATATCTGTATATATTTCTAATAGGGGTGTTTATTCAAACACAGACATTTTTGGCCCAACCTGTATTACCCTAACTTGCAATGGATCAGGGCAGGAAATTAATACAACAAATATCAAATGATGTGATAGCTGGATATCTGTATATATTTCTAATAGGAGTGTAATACACCATAAACCATACCTGATAGTCCTGTATCAACAATGAGGTCTGTTCTGCTGCCTTGGGTGTTAGCTTGCTTCTAAAACAAACAACAATGTCAAATTATTGAGTTTTTCCAAGGAAACCTTATACATCATGAATGTCTTATTATTAAGTTACTTTGAACCATAAATGTATCTCTTATTGTGAACTGTTATACTACCACTGATTCAAGAATATGTATGCATAATTAATACAATTCTCCAACCATAAACACATATTATTTGAATTATAGTTTGTGCAAAGATACTCTTAAAATTTTGTTTCTGAGTCAATCTGGCTGAAAGTTTCACTCAATATACCTTCACTGTTCAGTGTTCACACATTAAAATCCTAAATTATAAGAAATTGGTTCATGAAGAAAAAAGTTATGGTTGCTATAGTAATGCAAGTGGGGTGTAGGGCGGAACTTAATGAACGCCATGTAAACTGTATAGTTATATATCAACTGAGCGAAAATTATGGAGTAAAACATTAAGCAATCAAACACAGGGTACCCCAAAAAACTATGGCAACAGTAATAAAATCATATTGATATTTTCTAGAATGTTCTGTGCCCAAACAGTTATATACATGAACATTTATATTGGGCAAAGAGCAGAAGATGAACAGACGTGAACAATATCGTACCTAAAACACAGCAGTGTGACAGTGAAGAATTTTAGGACGGAAAATCCAAAATGGCCACCTTAAAATTTACCCAGAATGCCCAAAAACTAATCAGTTCTTAACTTTGATACGTAGAAACATCCCTGGAAATTTCACATGAATCCATCAAATGGTTTGGCTGGAAACCTGTAGACAAGTCTTGAAAGTGAAGATTTTAGGATGGAAAATCCAAGATGGCCACCTTAAATTTTACCCAGAATGCCAAAAAACTAATCAGTTCTTAACTTTGATACGTAGAAACATCCCTGAAAATTTCAGATGAATTCGCCAAATGGTTTGGCTGGAAACCTGTAGACAAGTCTTGAAAGTGAAGATTTTAGGACGGAAAATCCAAAATGGCCACCTTAAAATTTACCCAGAATGCCAAAAAACTAATCAGTTCTTAACTTTGATACGTAGATACATCCCTGAAAATTTCAGATGAATCCGTCAAATGGTTTGGCTGGAAACCTGTAGACAAGTCTTGAAAGTGAAGATTTTAGGACGGAAAATCCAAAATGGCCACCTTAAAATTTACCCAGAATGCCCAAAAACTAATCAGTTCTTAACTTTGATACGTGGAAACATTCCTGAAAATTTCAGATGAATCTGTCAAATGGTTTGGCTGGAAACCTGTAGACAAGCTGAAAAGTGAGACGCCGCCCGCCCGCCTGCCCGTCAAGCTGACGACAATATCGTACCTTTATTAGTAAAAAGACATTTCAAGAAAATGCATTTTCATTTGAGGCATGCTCAATATATTTGGATTGAGTAAAATTACCTTTTGAAAAAAGTATGATTGAATATACTGAATATTATTGTTTCATCCAAGTGCGCCAATATACAATGGTTATAAAAGCAGTCCAACAATGATTGAGAATTTACGCCAACTGATCTAATTTATCACTGTCAACCATTGTGTAAAATCTGATGAAAACTTACAATTGAGAGGATATAATTACAAGCAATCTAGTTCAATGGTCACAAAATAAGAACTTTGATTTTAATGAAGGTAGTGTTACAGAATAATTTAGGTTGCTATAATAAAGTAAATTAGGGTTCTCACTTTTTCACAATAACAGGTCCAGTGAGCATACTTCCCCCTGAAAGTTGTCCATCGCTCAGTGTGTCATCTTCCTTGTTATCAACAACCAACCTGTTATCCCTTGCACCCCCAGATCCTACAATCAATAAGAAATGGTAATATCCATGTTACATGTCACTAGTTGGAAAATTGTAACAATTGTTACAGATGACAACAGCAAGTGCTAGTTAGAAAAAGCAATTACCTGTACGTATTCCCTTCATTTCTAATCTACAAGCGCTTGTTCTCCATTAATATACACTTCCCTACATAAGTACATAAGTTTGACAACTAAAATTTCCCCATAAGACTATGCATTAAAGCCTGTTTTCTTTGTATCAGCAGTGTTAAAATTATAACTAATTTTAAAACTTGGAGTACAAACTTAACTCATTTTGAATGATATCACAATGTAAAATGATTGAGCTAACCTAGGTCAGCATTTTTCGTAAGCTGCTCTGTTGTGAGAGTGGCATCTTCGTTTTCTTGGCCTTGACGATGTTTCTTCGCAAGCTTCATCATTTTAGACACAGCTTGGAAAGTCTTCATCCTGCAACAAAAATGAAGTTCATGATAAAATGAGGTGATATATTAGTTCTTAAAATCCCCCAAATCTTTTCGATATTCAAATCACAAACATACAGAGAAACCTGTAAAGTGGAACACCTCTAGAAGTAGAACACCTCTGTTATTGGAACACTTTTCTGACCTCAAAGACCAACTGACTTAATATAAAATGAACACCTACCGAGTAGAACACTTTTTAGCGGTACCAAAAGCATTCCACTTAGACAGGTTTTTGATCACATGGTTTCCCGGTTTATGAAAATCAGTAAAGAATTATAGCAATGAAACAACAGGAGACAGGACATAATGCAGCACATCTGCAAAGTACACTTCAACATATTTCACATCTCCTTTAATGTAATGATTATCACACTTTACTGTCAAGGCAATACCAATTAATATATTTGGAGTTTTCTAGTGAAATGTTTCCCGATTATACCTATCCCATTTACAACATGATCAGTTTACTTCAATGCTAAGGCAATTCAATGTTAAGGCAATACAGTTTAATATCCATCAATGTTATTTAAATGTTTATCATGTCAATTCCATTTGCAATATGATCTTTAGTATGTCAGTGTCATTCAACAATGCCCTTTAACTTATTATTGTATTCAACAATGCCCTTTAGCTTATTATTGTATTTAACAATGCCCTTTAGCTTATTATTGTATTCAACAATGCCCTTTAGCTTATTATCGTATTTAACAATGCCCTTTAGCCTATGATTGTATTTAGGAATGCCCTTAGCTTATGATTGTATTTAACAATGGCCTTTAGCCTATGACTGTATTTAACAATGCCCTTAGCTTATGATTGTTTTTAAGAATGCCCTTTAGGTTATGATTATATTCAACAATACCCTTAAGATTATGATTATATTTAACAATGCCCTTTAGCTTATGATTATATTTAATTATCTGTCATACAGCAACATATACCAAACATAATTTGGAAAAAAGAATCCTGTTGTGTGACATATTAAAAGCTTTTTGTGACAAAATGGATATAATTTATCATATTTATAATTGCTTGATAGTTAGTCCAAGTGATTCTGCTTATATGATTTTAACAAAAGAATTTAATAACCTTGATACAAGATAATTTTGTCGAAGATTAATTGAGTTTCAATTATTTAGGTTAGTCCCCTTCTTATATAAATTGTATAGATACACAACATAAAATACATTTCCTTAGCCAAATGAAGTTAAATAGGCTATATAAAAACACACATTTTAGCCAACAATTCCCAAAACTAATTACCAAGAATGGTTTCAGTAGCTCCTTGATGGGCTTCACCACACTTCAATCATTACAAAAACATCTCATTCACCGAAAACCTAACCTTAAAAGTCAGAAAATACACAACTCGAGCATCAGAAATTAGAGACCCTTTTTAATAGGTTATTTTCAGAGTTTTATCTATACTCTTTCAATGAGAGATAATCCTTGATCTGTCTTTACCAAATAAGGTTAAGGTCAGTCAAATATGCAGGTACCCAGTCAAAACTGCAATCACAGAATTTTACTCCTCCATTGATACCTTGCATCTATTTCAATGTGTACACACATGTAATATTGTATACGACTTTTAATTATGGAAATAAAATAACTTTAAAAAATCTATTTCATTTTCAAACTCTTATGAAAGGCCAATGACAACTACTTGCATATCTATTTGAGTATTATTTGTCAAATTCAGAGACTAGTCCTTATACTATCCTTTGGGACTCAGGGCACAACTGGACCTACTTGTGTATTCTAAATCCATTGTTCTTTCTAAGCAATGAATATGAATGGCACCAGGGGAATCTAACCCACTAGCAAATGGAATATCAATTGAAATGGATATTGTCACTACTTTGTTTTTAATCCACATTAATTTTCATTTCATTTTAGCTTAACTATGTCCGTTTTACAAAATGAGGCAAGAGTATCTAGTATTACATGATATAGGGGCAAAAAATACAAATAAGCTTATTGTTTATTCTAGCCAAGAATCTTTTGGATTAGATTTAGCAAACACTAAGCCTTTGAAAGACAAACTGTCTAGTGACCAAGCAGGATAAATTGATCCTGTATTAGCTCAGCCTACCAAATATAATCAACTTAGGCGAAAAATAAATTTTTACATTTGAGAATTCATCTTTATTCATACCATGATCTTTAAGGTATTATTCAGCTTATAATAGATTTTAAAAAGCAGTCTGGCTAAGATGACTGGTATCAGTTGGAAGTTGGATCCATAAAAATATTATATGTTATACTTTCATACACAATTTCATGGTACAATTGTCCCAGTTAAGAACTACCATATATATGAACTTTTATTCATGATTCTTTCCAATCAAGCATGTTTACTCTCTTTGAGGGTTAAACTTAAAGGCATTAAGTAGAAAACACCAATTTACAGAGTAGCAAATCCCGCCGAACAAAACATGTTTTGATATAGTGACCGTCTATAGTGACCATCTTGAAAATTTGCCACTTGTATTTGAGTTATCAAAGATTACGTCTTTCCCAAAAAATGGTAGCCCGATTTTGAAATTCAGTGACCATCTTGAAAATGTTTTCTTGAACTGACCTTTTTTGTCTCGACGCATGGATATAAAATTTGAACTAAATCCATCAACTAGTATTTAAGTTACCAAAGATTTTATTCTTTTATAAAAAAAATTGAGGCCATTTTGAAATTCAGCTGCCATCTTGAAAATTTCTTCTTGAGCAAAGCTCATTTATCCGTGGGCACCAGCATATAAAATTTCAAACAAAATATGTCAACTGGTATTTGAGTTATCAAGACTACATTTTTACAAAATGTGACGGCCATTTTAATTTGAGTGGCCATATTGAAAATTCCTTTTTGAGCAGAGGTTCTATTCCCATAAGCATCAGTCAAAATTGAACCCGATCTGTCATCCAGTATTTGAGTGATTGCCCGGACGACAGTTGGACATCTTTTTAACATCTCTCTTGAACTATGTTCGGTGGAATATAATGATTATTAGTCAGTCAAGTTACTTTATTTTCATAAAACCATTCTATAACTCCTTTGTAGATACTCGAAATAATTTCTGTCCAAAAAATGAACGATTACTTTAAGTTCTTGCAATTTATTTCACACTTACGTTCTTGGCGAATGTGGCGACTTTGGTAGCGAAGATCTAGAATTGACACTTAGTCTGCTTGTACTGTGCTGTGATTTAGCAGGACTTGATGACATCAGGGAGGCTGTCTCGCTTTGTTTGTCATCATCAAGGTCATCAATGTCAAGGTCACACTGGTCCTCATCTTCCAGGTTCTCGTAATCGAATCCCTCCTTTTGCCACATGCCAACGGATCCATCAGGGGCAGTGTATTTAAGGTCAAAAGTGATAGTGCTCTGAAAGAGAATTTAGATATACACTATGATTATTTTATGGGGGAACAAGTCACATATTTCATTTACAAAGGTTTTTAACTTTTTTGAAATCTTATTCAAATTTTTAATCAGACTTCTCAATTCTTTCCAGAATAAATGTTTTCGCTTCCCTTATTTGCATGTATTTCTTCTCCTTCCGGCCATAGGGAGCAATAAATAAAAGCAGATGACACCTTTTGGGGTCATCAAAACCTTATCAGCATCAATACGGTAAAGTCATTACTTGTCTCTGAGTCTAAAGGTAGTCATAGTTATAAAACTACAATATAAAACTATGCTGTATTTTTACCTGCATGACAACATTATTAGGGTCTAGCATATAGTCTGTGATCTTAAGCGAACCAATCTGCACTAGCTCTTGTAGAACCATTCCAAATGAACCTATTAACCTGTAAGACAATGCAAAGTGATAAAACAATAGAAGTAATGGGAGAAAGAATATCTCCATAATGAATAAACAGTCAATACATAGAGCTCGTTTTAATACGGAAATAAAAGAAACAATTTAAAGGGTGAATTAAGAAATATAGACTGAAGAGCAGGGGTAATATTGTCTAATACAAGACTAGGCACAAATGTTTTCTGTAAGCTTTTGTGCCTAACCCTAAGGGGTATATTCGACAATATTACCCCTGCTCTGAGGTATATATTATGATTCTAACATAAAAGCTCGCTAAAATTTTTTGAATAATCATTATGGTCCGCCATTACTACGACCCGTCGTTATGATGTCACACTTTACACGTATTACCAGGGGTATTCTTCGCGAATATATCCCGGGTGAAATATTATCTTGTTTACAGTTTATAGAAGGCGTGAATACAGTCATGTTCGAATTATTATTTATCAAATCCAATTTATCTTAATTTTTTATTTTCATGTGTGCCCAGAGCTTATTTTTTATGGTAAAGCCACCAACCTATTGGTCACAATTAACATAAGTTTGGTAAATTAGCATTTTGGCAAATTTTCAACACAAAACTCATTAAAAAATTAGAGCTCTAAAAATCAAAGCTCCCTCTTGCAAAAAGCTGGTTACAGCCAATGTCCCCCCAGAATGACCAACTCTGCCAATAAAATCCACACACTGGGGTACAGTAAGATATGTTGTAAAAAATTCATTGTGATAGTGGATATCACAGGTACACATAGCATAGCTCTTTTATCCATTATACCAAATGGCAAATCAATAATGCATATGTTCACTCTTGCAAAGTCAGTGCAACAACAGCATGATAAAGATAAATAAATAAGGGAACCATCGTTAGTCATATTGTTTTACATGTACTGTAGTGCCATGTCAGTACAATATAAAAATTGAATATTCTGAACATAACAAAATTATGCATGCTATCATTATAAGTGCCATCCATTGCTCTGTATAATTAGAGTTATAACTTTCTTAAAGTATTCTGTACATTGAGAATGGCACAAATTGGTAGGCTCATATGGTGTTTCCTTACTCTTATTTTGATGACGTTTTCACAACAAAAAGCTGATTTCTCCAAAAGTGTGATGGTGATGGTGGTGGTGTAAATTGCCAGTAGCAAACCCAATAAACTGGATTTGAGTGTCAGTTCAGACTCTAGAAACTTGGTAAAGAAGTAAAGTGCAAGATGAAGTTTAAGCTAGATATTGCAATTTGCAAAGGAGTAGGTGTGCGAGAGGAATCCTTAAGGAATGTGGAAATTACCTATTGCTGAGGTATTTGCTATAGTTGAAGATCTGAATATCAATCATTTCCTGAGCTTCTATGGCACGAGCCACTGGTAGCTCGAACACCTGAAAATATACATATACGAGTGTATTGAAATTCAAATCAATTAGTCAAGTGGTTTGACTGTGAAAATTAACAAAAGTGAGACATCATCCATACCTGTTTTATGTATGATAAAAATCTAGAATATTTTAACAAAATGCAGTAAGGAAAATGAATTTCAAAAAGCATATCAAGTGTTTTCAAGAAAACAATCCCCAACATCCTAATTCAAACCAGTTCTATTAATGGTTGTATGATGATAGTATAGGGCAGAGTTGTCTGTAAATAGTGCAATGTCCATAATAACTCTGCAATCTGAATATGTTATGAATCATATTATACTATTTGGCCATTGTATATTATGCAACAGTTTTTGCAACATAAGGTATAGGTATAACAGTTGTATACAGATCATATAATATACTGGAGAGTGGTATTCCATCATCATTATATACGTACATGAGATGATAAGCAATGGTAGTTGACTCTTTGGAAAAAAACCTAAAGAGTGGAGTAATAAGCTTATTGTAGTATAATGATTCATTCTGTGTATACTTCCCATGTTCTTTGTACTCTTCTATTTGGTAATCCACTTGTTCGCTATGTTCACTCAGGGATAAATCATACATTCACTCGAGAATAATAAAACACAATATGCATAACTTTATAATATACCTCTCTCAGCAAGGTTGGAGAGGCAGACTAATACCACTAATGTGTCTGTAATGCATATGCCCAAGCCACAAAATAATTTAGGATATACCTGAGGATTTTTCATTTTTGCCACTTCGCTACCTTCATTTAATTAATATACAATATGTGATGTTCATTTTTTTTAAAGTACCAAGGCTATACCTATTACACACGCTGTAGAACATAATTTGTGTAAATTGGTGTAAAAGTTGATACAATTCTAGTGAATTTCTTTTTTTGTCGCCGTGGGTATTTAATAAGAGTGCTTACAAACTATAGAAAAGAAAATGAAAAATGACTTTGTCCATCTTTAATCACCTCAGGTCAGTTTCCTAATCTCATTGGTTCCTGAAATAGCCATTTTGTCTTGTAATGCTACGCTGATGATGATTGCTTGCCTAACTGAATAGCACTAATATGTGAGCTTTTACACATATTGAGGATTAGGCAAATTAAAGCTAATCCAATGAATGTTTTGCCATGTGTCTCTGTCAGAGATTCATTAGGAAACATGAATCGCCCACACAAAAATCCTTGCTCATCCTACTTTTATAATGAATTATCCATATAAGAAATCTAACTCATTTATATGAACTAGATAAGGTACTAACATGCAACATGTCACCACCTGTCATTTGTTGCAGATACCACATGCTGAACACCAACCACCAATTCTGCCAAATGCTGTCCACAAAAAAAAGTTGGAGTCCATAACAATATAAAAACAAGGCACAGGACGTGAACGAGATCACACCATCAAATAGGCAGACACTATGAACCAGGAAAACTGTTCTCCTATTATGTTTACAAATTTCAAGAACAAGAAAACAAGATGGCCACCCAAAAATTGATCAGCTCTAGTACTTGATATCCTCTATCATTTGTGTAAATTTGAAGGAAATCCGATGAGCGGTTTTCCTGAAATGGCGATGACAAGATTTTTCGAAAAACCTTCAAAATGGCCACCAAAAAACAAGATGGCCACCCAAAAGTTAATCAGCTCTAGTACTTGATATCCTCTATCATGTGTGTAAATTTGAAGGAAATCAGATGAGCGGATTTTCTGAAATGGCAATGACAAGATTTTTCGAAAAATCTTCAAAATGGCTGCCAGAAAACACGATGGCTGCCCAAAAGTTAATCAGCTCTAGTACTTGATATCCTCTATCATTTGTGTAAATTTGAAGGAAATCCAATGAGCGGTTTTCCTGAAATGGCGATGACAAGATTTTTCGAAAAACCTTCAAAATGGCCGCCAGAAACCAAGATGGCCACCCAAAAGTTAATCAGCTCTAGTATATCATATGCTCTATCATCTTTGCGAACTTGGAGAAAATCTGATGAGCAGTTTTCCTTAAACGGCGATGAGAAAAAGCGGGACGATCACGATCACGACCACGACCACGACCAGTATGACGACTATATCCCACCGATGGTGTGATAAAAAAACAGTAACTCCACAGAGCAGCAAGTTTCAAACATTGGGGAATATTCAACTCTACATCATTCACAACAAGATGTTAAACATCCACAAAAAAAGAGTTGTCCTTCATTTTTTTTTTCATTGTTTCATTGATTTTCAATCTTCAACGTGGTAGGACTAAAAAAACATACTTTGAAGAAATCACAAGATCAATGGAACTTCCTGTCTTTTGGAAGACTTTTTGATAAAAAATGGTATATAATATTTGCAATGTGGTTCAAAATACCTTTCCTTTAAATACAATGAAGCTATACTCAAAGTTAATAGAAATTCCCATTTTCTCAATACCCCACGATTGCCTTAGGCAAAAATTGAACACTTCTGTCACAAAATTCCTTATTCATTTTCCCTTGTGATAATTCTGATGACAATTCATCAAGTATATCCTGAAATGAAATAATCATTCATCACAACTTAACTGTCAAACCAATCTTAAATATATGACTTATTGATTGCACTGAGTTATGGCTGATGTTGCATCACAGCTTTCACTTCCTATGTATAGATCAATGTATCATTTGTTACTATCAAATTCGAACTTGATAAATCTGTGAAATATTGGAACCTACCAAAGGGCTATATTTATCATTTCACTCTTTTATTGGTTATTCTGAACTATCTTTCCCTGCAAAAGTTTGGCAACCCTGCCACTCTATTACATAGCCTGTTGTTTGGAACTAATTTTTTCCTAAATAACATTAACAATTAGTTGAACAAAATTTCTCTATTACCTTTTGAGTTATAGCAAAAAATGTAAAATAACATGTAAATGTAAAGTAAAATCGTGGTCATTTCAAAATGGACGCCTTATAGTCAAATTGTCATACGACAGTGAACTATGCTTAAGAGTTCACATATCAAATATGAACAAAATCGCTCCACTACTTTTCAAGTTACTGCAAAAATGGTAAAATAGCAAGTAGCAAGGCCACCATTTTTCAAGATGGCTGCCATGTGTTTCTTAAAAAGCTACATTTCTAACTTTATTAAAGTTCTATATACCTTTTTTATATTTGAAACCTATTGCTATTAGTTTTACATATTGTACCTAAATTATTGTAAATTTGCCACTAAAATGGCCGCCATTTTAAATAAACGAGCCGCCATTTTGAAACTTCTACTTCCATAGGGCATAAGTGTACAAAATATGAACAGAATTTGTCCAAAAGTATTTGAGTTATTGCCCAGAGAGACGTACATACGGATGTACAGACATACATACGGACGAATGGACGGAAGCGAACAAAATTATGGAAGGAAGTGTATGTCCTGGGGTGTTCACACTTAGCACAACTCTGAAAGATGATTATATCATGTTAGTCTCTTTTGATATCTTTTTCATAACACGTTTCTAGAATACCTTTCATCAGGATGGAGCCATATTAAGCAAATTAAAGCCTTGGGAATCTAATCTTACCACTAAACTTAATTTCCAAATTCATCTTAAAGTGAATGGGTGAATATTTTTCTATAAAACTTACTTGGATGTAGGCTTCTGTATACTTTAGAGATCTAAATTGTTTGCAAATCATTAATTCCCTTACTTGATCTAAAATATTATTACAATACTATACATGTACTGGTAAACTCAGGACTTATGGCCTAGTCACATAGCCCGGCCGATGTCCGGCATCGGTAGAGCTCGGTGGATTTTATTGGTGCCACCGAGCTCTCCTCATCGGAAGCAGAGCTCGGTGACGTGAACGGACTCCGTCCGGACATCTTCAGGCGACCGACTGAACACCGGCCGGTGACTGTACGGAGTCTGTCTCAAAATGGTAGTTTTTTTCTGCCGATGTGGCAGCAACTACCGGCCGGAGGTCAGCCGGACATCGGAAGGAATACGGCCGGTACCCGAGCAGGTAACAGGACACCGTGCGATCGCCGGGCGGGTTGTTAACGGGCTTTGAACAGTGACTGGCCGATGCTCTGTCCCACATCGGCCGGAGCTCGGTCGGAGCTCAGCCGCTGTCCGTTAAAAAACCTCGTCCTCTGGTTGTCTCAGATGCACGGGACACCGGCCGATACTCGGCCGTGCACCGGCCGACGTGTTTTCCGATGTGGTTACGATGGGGCTGCGATGACATGATGAGGGAGCTCGGTGAGAGCCCGGTGAAATTTAACTCCGAAGTTAAAATTTCACCGAGCTACCACTGATGCGGTTTTAAGCAACAAACGCCACGGATGTCCGGCCGGTGTTCGGCCGAGTTCAATGAAAATTGCATCGCTGGCTCATTGTAACCTCATCGGCCGGGCTATGTGACTAGGCCATAAATAGGCAAAAAACTCTGGCTATATTAATGATGTTTAAAATAGACCTACCTGGTCAAACCAAGCACTTTCTTCTGCATTCTCTACAACTCTGGAGTAATAACTTGTACCTGGAAGGGAAATGAATGAATTAGACAAAGGTCATGTTAAATATGAAATGGAAATTCTGGTATACTTTTAAAATAGCTTGATTTCTAAAAAATGTAGTTCTTCAGAAAACCTCAGAATTGTTACAAAGACTCTCCAGAAACACATGGATGTTTAATTAATTAAGAGCAATAAAACAAACAGTATACATGTTTTTAAACCATGACAAAAAGAGAAAAAATGTTTTAACATTTTCTGAAAGAATGTTTTAAAATTTTTTGATAAATACATAATTACCAGTTAATATTTGTTCTCTCATTAATGAACAATATTTAGGATTTCACAAATTAATGTTTTTCAAAGTTGCCTGCTGAATTATGCAAAAATCTTTTCTTAGTATTTTAACCCTTTCCCAACGTGAATGCAAGAGGGAAATGTCGACCTGGTGACGGAAAAGTACAAGCGGTTTTTAGGTAAGAACTGGAAATGACGTATACCGCTGGACCTATACTTTAACTTTTTATCACTAAAATATAAATTTTAATAAGTATTATCACATGTCAACAACTTGGTGTAAAAATACTGTAGATATTGTCATTTCATTGATGTATGTAAATAAAAAACAGAAAAGTGGTGCCAAAAGGAGCATATCATCCTGAAAGGTATTACATAATAGGACTCAATATGGAGCGTATCGTCATGAGAGGGTTAATAAGGATCTAAGCTTTTTATTATATATTTTTTATTTGACATGAATTCTTGAGATTTAAGACCAAAAAGTCTGGACAATGATTCCATTTTTTCAAAAATAATTGCCACCTAAAACTGATAATTAACTTGTATGGGCATAAAGGAGAATTTATGGGACACCAGGTGGGAAGCAATCTCCCAGAACATAATGGCTGGACAATATCACAATGTGAACTTGATGTTGCTATCTTGTGTCATATGGGAATTTCAGCCTCTTTAGCATCAATATTTATCATAATGCAACCAATATGTGACCCAATGGACCAGTCATTCCTTAATCATTTTGCTATCTTGAACCAAGATGTGTTTTTGTCAATAGTGCAATATAAGATTTCCTGAAAGCCAACTAAACTGGATAAGTGGCTCTTGGCTGACTGATCTAGTTCTGGTTGAAAAGCTGACATTTTGAGACAAATCTTCATTTTTGAGAAATAATATGTAGGTACAATATTAGTTTGATAAGAACGAATAATAATATTTAATATGCATAATACATAAAGAAACATACTATAAACAATTATTTTATCTAATATATGCCTGACTTATTTCATCTTGAATTGCAACCTAAGTTACTCCTGTTTGGATATTACGAAATAATAGAATCACTCTATGAATAGGAACAAGAATAATAGGACAATATTAATAATAACAAGAATGAAAATAGCAAGTGTGGCAAACCTCTAAGGGAAACCAAGGATACCATTAGCCTCATTTATATAATAATTACTGGTTAAACTATAAGTTCACTCTGACCTAATATTTTTCTCCAATCTCACGTGTAAAATAGATATTAGTCTTTTACATAAAAGTATAAAACAGGTGTCTCAGCACTGTGGCAGCGCTGCGACAGCGAGCATTGACAGCGCTGTGACAGCGAGCAGTGGCGGGGCTGTCACAGCGGGCTGTCACAGCCACTAAAGTATAAGGATATGAATAAATATACTTTGAAATTCAACATTAAAAAAATCGTGATTATTAAAGTGAATCAATTGGTTATTTTTTAGATTGCATGTGTATGTATAGGTAAGAGAAAACATATCTCTTCACATATTTCCGAGGACTAGATTCCAGTTCAGCACGATAAATACATCAATAAAATATCAAAAAACCACTGGAATAATAATTAAAGAGTGCTTATTAACAAAGGTTCTCTACCAAGAATAATTACCTTACAAATACTCAATTCCAATTGACCCAGGATAAGAAAAAATTAGTCATCCTAGTTTGAATAGTTCAAGCTTCTGAATTCAACTTCTCGTTATAGAAAGAATTACTTCTTGATTTGAGTTAAATACTATATTTATTCTGGGTAGCTTTACATTGTTATGAATGTTTTCAGTGTATGTAGCTATTAAGTTAATTGCATTAATTAAAGAATTCCTTCTGTGTTTTGGAATTCTATTCAGGATGCTCAGCTATTAAGTTAATAATATATCCACTTAAAGGAAGGTTAGTTTAACAGGAAGCTCTCAAAAACAATACCGGTACCTTCATCATCAATTTGCTGGAAGTAATGCAGTGCTATACAGATTCAAATCCTTACATATTCTGTAGCATGGAGGCTCGTTTGGTGTATTAAGAGCCATAACTTTTGATTAAATCATGACGTTTTTATATCATTAATAGCAACAACTTATGCAAGAACGAAAAATACAAAAATAATGAAAACTGAGGAAGCTGTATCAAGATAATGTAATTGCATAAAAAATGAAAACATTTTGCCATAATTGAAACAATTTCAGCACAAAAAAGCAGAAAATTTTAAGTATAGACATGGATGTGTATAAGCAAGCATAAGCCAATTACATATACAAATTGGAACTCGGCCCCTTGACAAAATCAATTTAATACATCCAAGACCCTTCGCCCACATAGTCTAGGTTGTGATATAAAAATGGCAATTTAGCTATTGTAGAAAAGTATACTGCATAGGTAAACTCTGTCTTCTTAATGGAATGATTTAGTGTGCCGTAAAACTATCTTTGTTCACTCAGCTCCCTACAGCGGAATGCAGTCAAGGCAAAGTGTGCGAAAATGTCTTATAACAGAGTATTGGTTATATTACAGTTGAAGTATGCTATATTGCTAAACACCTAATACCCTATATCACCTATGTAATGTGATATTTTTTATTTGGATCAGATAGATATCATTAGTTCTACCAATGAGTTGATATTGATTAGCCTGGTGTTATTTTTTCACACCTAAGCTGATAGTGATCACAATGAACTGAAAAATAGAGAATATCAGATCATTTTGAGAAATATAATTTTTATCACTTATCACATCAAATATCTACCAAGTGAGCAAAGTTAATGAGTGTTGCTATTTGAGACTCAATCCATTCTAACTTTGAAGAAGTTATCTTCTCTGAAATTAAAAATTAAAATAAAGAAAAAAAGGTTATCGATCTCTTGTTGTATAATCTATCTATGCAATAAAATTAGAATATTATTTTGATGAGAAATGTGATAAATATTTATTGTGAAAAAATACTTATGGTCAAAGATGAGTGTTAAATTGCTGTACATGGACCATCACCTTAAAATCAATTGACATTCCATACCTGGGCCTTTGTTTATCAAACAAGACAAGTGGCTGATAACATTTTTTCTTTAGTTTATCAGAAATATCACTGACTGTCTCAATGTATGACACAATAATCATGGGGTAAAAAATATATAAAAATCCCAGCATTGTATTCAGTTAACATGAGTAAAATCATTTCAATATATACCTATATATTACTTCAAATTTCTTTTTCTAAATATGAAACATTGAACCATATCAATTTTATGTGCAAGCTTAACTCTTCCCATCACATTCATGTACAGTAAGAGCCAGCTATACCAACTACAGAATGTCAAGATACATCATTGTTACAGGCTCCAGATATGCTATTTATCATACCCCAAGGGAAAATATGAACAATATGTCATTTGGAAATCTCCCCAGAGCAATAAAGCAGAGAGCGTATATCAAAAATATCAATAATCAAGATAATTGCACAAAATAATACATTTAAGAAAACATTTATTTTGCAAGGAAATAATGTACATGTACATGTATATATACTCATTGATTTTGCAAGTGATATAGATTGGGCCATATAGATGTATAGTTTTAAAAACAGACAGAAAGTCTTCTAATTGAGCTAAATGAAACAAAACAATCATTCTGCTTGTATTGAGTTATCTTTTATGCCCTCACTGGGGCAATGCTACATTCATAGCAGTTTATCGAAGGGATTTCATTAGAATGTCTGACAACAGGCAAATTGAAAACAATAGGCAAAATGAAAATAACTAGACTTTGGAAATTGAACGAAGTTCAATTTCAGACTCCAGATTTAGACCATTTTTAGCCGAGTCATCCAGAATAAGCTGAGTCATCCAGAAAAAGATGTATGAATAAAATAGGAAGGTAGGATACGATAGAATAGGAAGGAACGATAGGATAGAATAAGAAAGAAGGATAGGATGGAACAGAATAGGAAGAAAGGATATGATAGGAGAGGATAGGAAGGATAGGAAGGAAAAGATACGAAGGAAGGATAGATAGGAAGGATAGGATAGGATCAGATAGGAAGGATGGATGCATTTTTCAATATTTTCTTCTCTACTCTTGACTTTCTATCAGGATACCATCAGATCGATTTTCCGAAATTTCAAAACGCCATATCTTCCGAACCAGAAGTCGGATCGAAATTTGGTTTGCAGATTCGGATTTCTGAGAAAATTCTATTATTGATTCATAACTCAAACGTTAAATTTGGAGAACTTTTTATTTTGACCTACTTTTCGGACACCATATCTCAAAAGTGGGTCAAAATACTTTCTGACGGCAAAAGGCTAACACTATTAACACACTCTTGGCTACATATATACACAATTTGGAGGAATATAATTAAAGTGTAGTGTCAGAATCACAAAAATAAGGAAAACCTTTGGATTTGACCTAGATTTTGACCTAGGTATTTTGGTGTCAAAATTTTGAAGCTAGATGGCTTTTGAGGTCCCCTTCTTTTAAAACCTTTCATTAAATTAAGCTAAACTCAGTCTATATTTCGTATTTTTCACTTCAAAAAAATCTTTTTTCCCATTGACTTAACATGGGCACCAAATTTAGCGATTTTTGAGCTTTCAAAACGCCATAACTTCCGAACCGGAAGTCGGATCGAAATTTGGTTTGCAGAATCGGATTCCTGAGAAACTTCTCTCCCTAATTCATAACTCACACGTTGAATTTGGAGAACTTTTTATTTTGCCTTACT